TGAACTCTACGATAACAACGAGGTTCGGTTCTAAATTGATGATCTACCCTCAAGATGGTTGGTTGGTTGCTTCTACTTCTAGGGTCTATGCGGGACTTGCTGTGGTATCGAATGACATTGCAATTCCGAACCCTACAGTGCATTGTAGGCAGGAAACCAAATTGGTCCACATCCAACCTATTACCCTGGGTCTACTCGGTGAGCTCTCTGTATCCCCTAATATCGATAGTGTCATTGTTCGACAAGAAGAGCTCATTTTCATCGCGCCATCAACTAGGGCTCTTACACGATCTTTATCGGTAAGGACGAGGAATCTACTTGAACGGTTATGCAAGCTATGATATTTGCCCTACGTATGCATCATTGTGCCATGGGAAGGCGTCAATTCTATCGCTCGCGAAGGCAATCGATTCTGTCCGATTGTTCATTCTATGGCGAAATAAGAAGCTATTAGTGGTCGATGATGACGACAATGAGTTATTATCTATTTTTCGCTCAGCTATCGCGATAAAGATAGTAATCGTGACGAGGATATCGTCTATTTCTTCTCTCATCTATCGCTGTATCGATAGCTGTCACTTATTCTTGTATTTGATTATCGATGATGTATGGGTGCTCAAATGTCGCACGCGGGGTATGTGCCGGCTTCGCGGCGGCGCAAGTTGTAAATCTCGCTCGCCCGAAATTCATTAGTTGAAACGGGTGAAACGGCTGGGCGTCACGGCTGCTTCGTGTAGCCTTCTCTGAGCCTTTAGAGAGCCTTTATAGTGATCTTTGAGTGATCTGTGAGGACTATCTTCTAGATAGTATCGGGAACTATCTCTTTCGTAACTAACCCTAACACCAATAGGTCTGTTATACCCTCAACGCTCTAGTACATTGCGTTAAGCCTCAGGAGTCTATGGAATTACGTTCTGGTTCTAAGTTATCCCCCTCTGTCGGTTCTGTCCGCAGAGGGAGATCTAGAGAGGAATCTAGTGCTTTTCCTCTTCCCCCTAGTAACAGGATTCCATCACCCGCTCCTGCACACAGTCGATCAAGGGCGCGCGCGCTAGTTCCGATCATCTTCAAAATCGACAGTTTGCGCGCGCCACCAAATTTCTCCTCGGGCCACAACAATACGTGACGAGCAGAGCGAAGGCTAGAACAAAAACATAATCAGAATAGATAACAACAAAGAACAAGGGCAAGTCGTAGAAGGAAAAACCCAAAACCCGACAAGACAACCAGGGACGAAGGAGAAATTAGTGGCGAGGCAGAAAAAATGGTAGCCCTCGTCGAGTAGGCGGGACAAAATCCACTGAACGTAGGCTTGAGAGTTTTGTAGCGAGTGAGAAGTTTATGCTACCTGACCACCTGTAATTCGTAAAACGGTTTGGTGAGGACAGCGTAATCACCTCCACCAACCCGGCCAGAGTGTACAGGGGAACTCAGTCACTACTTACACGTCAATCATTCAAAACACTCTGTGTACTTGTCATTCTGATGCTACACGACCTTCTCCTCACCTAGGCTCATCACGTTGGATGTCCCCCAGAGACCGACAGCGATAAATCATCAAGTCGACAAATACTCTACTTGAATTTTCATTGTCAATCTTGATTGTAACGTGATTAGATTGTGACATACTTGAATTCTCAAAGTCAACCTTGATTGTAACACCGTCATACTTGCCTGCTCACTTGTCAAACTTGCACGGGAAAAGGTGTAGACTATCATAACACAGTGCTTGCGGGGAACTTGATAAGTCTAAAAAGAAAGGATGTAAACCCACTTGAACTTGAGCGATCTACTCGATGAACGATTCAACGAATCTGCAAGTCTCCGAAACACCAGTCGGATTCGTCACATTGCCTGCCTCGATGATGAGATCAGATAGTCGCCCTTCCCAAGTCAACTCCAACGCCTTGGGCATCTCCTCCCCCTTGAGTGTATCGACCAAGCGTTGAAGTAAAGCGCCGAGTTGACGGATACGCTTATCAACATCGTCTTCCACTTTACTTCGTATTTGCGATATTGAATATTCAGTTGGAGGTTTGAAGAGGCCCCTTGTGTGCCAGCCGAGGACCATCTTATCCGCCTTGCCTAATAACATCTGGTAGAAGGTAGCCCTCCATTGGAAGTCGGGGAAGAAAGCGCTCTTGCTCTTCAGTTCAACCACCGTCTCCTCAGCGTTGAACTTCCCAAAGGCGCGGTAATGCATCGTATCGCTGCCCTTACAGAGGATCCAATCCTTCAATGAAGCCTCGTCTCCAGAGTCATTCAACACAGCATCGACTTCAGTTCTAACGAGTATTCTCAACCTGTCGATGGTCAGGAGGACGAGCCTATGATACTCTTCGAAGCTAGCGGTCCCTTTGGGAGCCACCGTCACATGCTCCTCGAAGGATGCACCAAAGCCTCTATTAATCCTCTCAAGACCCTCTCTATGCGCAGTGAACACAACTGGTCTCTTGCCAGCTGGGACATCTGCGAGGATTGCGAATCCTTCCTCAGCACCCGGGAAGAATGGCTTGCTCTGAACTGGGTCCACCAACTTCAGCAACTTCCTCAGATTGTTGCGGTCTGTGACGAGATCAACAGAGGACCAGTCGAATTCAGGATCACATATAGCAACGGCATGGAATACAGACTCCATAGGGTTGGCAATGTCCCACTCCAGTTTACTATTGCCTTCTCTGAACAAGAGCACAACCATGGATGCTCGGATGAGATAACACGGAACTTACTCCACCCCTTTGTACGCTTGAAACGACTTGCTCACTGGTCTGTAGATGCGGCCCTGGCCAGGTACCACAATATGAGGTTCTTTCAACGTAGAGGAACGGTCCCACGAGTAGGAAGCGACCGCCGGTCGCTTCCTACTCAGTTCGGGTCGGCTGGGGTCCCCAGCCTGGGGATGGTCACGAAGGCGCTCCTCATAGATGGGAGCCCTTCACGGAGCCTTGAGCTTGATGACGTCCCTTGTGAACTCTTCTCGACTAGATGGGCATCACTTCGATCACGCTCCTTGATTCGGGCGACCGGGGGCTTGAGGCGGGTCTGGCTCTTGCCATAGAGACCCTTGGACGATGTCCTCGTAGCCCTCGAGCTCGTGGATGCACCCCCCTTGAGGATAGGGGGTAGACCAACCAGGGATTGATCAGAGACGCCTTGGTCAGGAGGTTCAGTACAGCTAGATGGCTCTCTCTCTTGAGGGGCCTTGCTGTGCGTGCGGTCGTCATCTTGAGTTTGTGAGTTGGTTCGGGGTATTATCCCGGTAGAATGTGCAGGAGCGGGTGATGGAATCCTGTTACTAGGGGGAAGAGGAAAAGCACTAGATTCCTCTCTAGATCTCCCTCTGCGGACAGAACCGACAGAGGGGGATAACTTAGAACCAGAACGTAATTCCATAGACTCCTGAGGCTTAACGCAATGTACTAGAGCGTTGAGGGTATAACAGACCTATTGGTGTTAGGGTTAGTTACGAAAGAGATAGTTCCCGATACTATCTAGAAGATAGTCCTCACAGATCACTCAAAGATCACTATAAAGGCTCTCTAAAGGCTCAGAGAAGGCTACACGAAGAAGCCGTGACGCCCAGCCGTTTCACCCGTTTCAACTAATGAATTTCGGGCGAGCGAGATTTACAACTTGCGCCGCCGCGAAGCCGGCACAACTGATCCCACATGGGATCTCAGGTTGAAGGACAAGAGATCAGGTGGCCTGCTGAATACGGTCCGTGGGTGCTATTTCTGTGGCTTGTGTTTTATTCAGATGCACTGAGGTCCTGAATAGTATAGAAAGGAGTCTGGTAGTGGACCTGGATGCTGAGACCTATCTTGTTGAATTTTATCCTTGTTATGGTAGAAAGGGTCAAGGCCAGCGCATCGGAGACTGAGATTGGGAGGGGCGATTCGGTTCATGGGCAGGGGAGGTATCGATCTGGAGCCACTGGGTGCGTTCTACAGGGAAAGCCGTCCGGCTTCGAAATTGTAACTACTTATGGTCGAACTTGGAGCGGCGAATTGCAGAACCTCTACTACGTGGGATCGGTGAGGCTCGATTCGTATCTATGCAATGAGAGCATTCAGAATGGCCCAGTCAGCATTTTACGTCACTGTAAGGCTATAAGCACCCTCTAGGAAAAATACGGAGGGGTTTTGGCATTTGATTGCCAGGTCTATAGGAGGGTCCGAGGATACTCAGACCAAGTACGACCTCCCCTTGGGGTGGTAGGCCTCAACAGCTCTTTTCCTGCTTGTTACCATTTCAAGGCGGAAGTGGCGCAAGTAGGAGCATGAGACTATGAAGGGTGTTGTCGAGTTTCGAGGCTCTTGGGTTGTTGCGTAGAGTGTTTTATAAGGAGGGTATTCTGAGTGGTTTTGCTAGGGTGGTTCATTCATGGCTGATTTGGTGGTTCCTGATACGCTTTCTTATGGTAGTACATACTCTGTAGTAGACTAATAGGAGGTGGCAGTGGCAGGTACTGTGAGGACGGCAGGCCGATCGGCGACTGGTCTATTCAAGGCCAATCATGAGATGCTGGGATGGCGGAATCGGCACACGGGTCAGACCACACAGCTGAACAAAGAGGTAGTATGAGGTTGGGTCCTCTTGGGATGTGTTGATGGAGTGGTAGGACCGTTAGAATGTGTTGTCAGGATATCGCATCGGTAGCATGGTATAAGGTCAGCAAGGAGTGCCTTTTGAAGGTAGGGGTTGCCAGCTCTGAGGGAGTCATAGGCTTGCTCACAGATCGTGATGAAGAACGGTGATATATATAAGTACGATGGTTTCCAGGACTCAAATTATGAGACTGTGAAAGCGTTCTTCAAGAAGCATTATGGCCTTGACTTGAAAAAGGATAAGGTGGAGAAAGAACTCCCTAGGGAGGGTCGGGGTTGACGTGTGGTTAGGTCTCCACCCGTGGTTGGTGCTGGGGTGAGAGTAGTTGGTCTGGTACGGAATTGAAGTTGAAGAATGGCAATGAGATGGCGTATGAGATTCAGGCCACTGATATCGCACAGGTCGGGGAAGTACCTTCTCTGGTTGTCCCTATATGCCATTTGCTGTCAGGTGGTCCCAACTGGTAAGAATGAGGTAGCCTTGGAGTTCCATGTGGATGACACTAGAGATGCTGATGATGAGAGTCTTGTCGAGATGAGGTTGGTATTGGGATATAGAATCAGAGGTGTGGTCATGGTTGGTTTGTGTTAGGTTCTTCATACCCAATGAGGAGTATGCGGCGAAGTTGAAGGATGAGCTCATCCAGAAGTCAGGCGCTGCTAGTGGTAGTGCTGGTTGGCTGTCGTCGCCTTGGCATCATTTCCTCCTCGTAGGTGGCGGCACTACCGTCTGCCAGTTCCTCAACATACCTATTGTCCTACCCAGAGGCCATTACGATTTGGATATGTTCCGCTCATCCTTCAAGCTGAGGGGCAAGTCCTTTGACTATACCATCAAGTACATGAACGTCTCTAGAATGTTCATGTTACCCAAACCTGACAGCGTTCATATATCCTTCGTCCTCGGTCTGGACCAGCCGGTAGGAGCTCCTCCTCCTTCTCCTAGTAGTAGCGACCACTGTGTGTAGGTACGGCAAGGCAACACGGCTTATAGCTTCTTGGTTATGCAGTATGATAAGGAGAGGGAGGTGGAGGACTTGGCGATCAATTTGGATGACGAGGAATTGGAGAAATGCAAACTCCAGAAGGTTGTTAACGGTACTGGACTATGGGCACGATGGTGTTATAGTGTGTATGCCTGTAGGGGAGAAGTTGTATGCTGTGATGGGACAGTTGTTCAAGCATATGACCGGTAAGAATGTGGTCACGCCCTGTCAGGACTTCAAGGCTTCCAATGGATATAACTGCGTAGGGCTCAGACGGAGAAGAGGGAAAAGGACTGTTGCCTTAGGTGAGATGCTCTCATAAAGCGAACGATGGATTCTTATACCCACTCAAGAAGAGCTTCTTGTTTGTCAACAAGCCCGTTATGTGGATACGATACGACGACGTCCTGGCTGTTGGTAGTGTGTGATGAGGTTGGGGTGAGGTCGTTATTGGTCTTTTTAGAGTTCTCTCGGGCCGATTCTGGATTTACCCAAACCCGTTATTTTGACCTTAAGGTCTATCGTAAGGGCGAAGGGCAGCCTCATGACTTCCAGCAGATGGACAGGTGAGACTTGCATCGTGCCGTAGTAGTCAACTAGGTGTGGTCCTCACTATCAGGTCTGAGTATAACGGCCTTATTGAGTTCATCCAGAAGGCTGGTATAAGGATACGCAATCTGGAGGGCTCTGGTCTGGGCCTTGGGGGCAAGAGGTCACGAGAGGACGGCTCCTCCCCGGGTAGGATGTCTAGGTACTAGGGATGTGCATCACTCCATCAGATGGCTCACCTGACCTCGGTGATGATCTCCCGTCTGAGGATGAGAGCGATGATGAAGACTATGAGGACGATGCTGGTGGAGCGGCCGACAGCAGTAGTGATGACGATGACGAGGAAGAGGAGGAGGAGGATGCGGTGAGTGGAGGGAAGGAGTTTCCTGATGCTGTCTGACCTTCATAACAGCGTAGTTTTTCATGATCAGGGAAACGATGGAGAGAAGAAGCACAAGCATAAGCATCACCATCATCATCATTCCCATAAGAAAGAAAAGAAGCGCAAGTCCTGAGGACTACACCATAGACTGAGGAAACTGTTATTATCATCATTGCACGTCATCAATCTTCGCCTATAGGCTTCGACAGTGGAGGGTTGAGCTGACCTGTCAATTACCGGGCACTTTTAGTAGTCCAGCAGTGTCCAGAGGTCACTCGCGTGAGTGTACTATGATCGTGGTATAAACTTCTCTATTGTAGAAGGCATCCTGCAGGGTAGTATAAGCTGGCCTAGTTGTAGTAGATTTGTATATGTCAATTCGGGTAGTCAGGCGTCGTAACACTCGGGAACACTTCGGCGCCTCCCAAACAGTATTCGATCAAGACATCGATTGTGGGCGTCCCTTCACGTTAGGGTCCGACCCTCGAAAATGTAGTCTAGTGTTAAAAGGCCTTGCTGGGAATCACTGTACAATGTACTTGGAGACATCTCTAGTCTGGGTGGCCTGTAGTAGTAAAGCCGCTGGGCTTACCTTCTTGGTCACGTCTGACTGTGTGGATGACCGAGACCGTACGGGGAGGATCAGTCTAGTGTCGCATATGGGTAACAAGGAGAGACCCCTTTACCAGCTCAGGCAGGGGGATAGGCTCATCCTCCTCGACGGGCAAGGAGGGGATTGGGAGGTAGCATGGCTATAGTGAGGGCATGGACGGAGCCTGTTGTTGGACAGATTACTCTGACCTCACTAGAAGGGGGTCGGAGAAGGTCCTCTGGTGAGAGCTTCAATTTCGGCGGAGGAACTCAAGCTTACTGCCCGGTTAAGAAGAGGAAGGACGAGGAGGAGGCGGAGGAGTTTGACATGTACTCTGAGGTACACATGACTATCGTCATGCTGTTGCTACTGTGGTGGTGGTCATGTAGTGAGCTTCCCAGGGAGCTTGTCTTTCAGGGAGCTGATTCCGACCGGACCCTCTTCCCCAACGAGAATGACAAGAATCGTGCCAATGACTTCTCACGAGACTCTCTTCCGCCGGGTCTCGACGATACGATGAAGTTCCCCCTTGAAGAGCAAGGTCAATCGTTATCACCAGTCGTGCCCCTCCTCCTGACCAGCGGCGAGGTCAGAGGCCCTAGGGAGAGTCTCAACGCTATCGTCATCGACAGGTGCACCCCGAGGACATCTTTGGTGGTAGGGACTCCTTGCCATCTCTAGCTAGTTTTGGGCAGGGTAGTGTGCCTGCGATACGCCCATCGACACCAGGAGCGGATCCTCGGGTTGGTTACTAGAGGCAGATGAATTATCTGACTTCGATCACTTCATTCAGGCGAGCATCGGCACAGTGTCTTACTGTCCTGGTACCTCCTATAAAGAGAACGTGAGTGTCCTGGTCCTCCTCTCGCTGACCATTGATTGACTGCTCTAGGTTTACCATGATATCGAGCAAGATTCGGACACGAGGCCATATGGTGGGAGAGAAGCCCTGAAGGAAGCCCCTACGGTAGGCTGCCTTTTCCCCTCACGCTGCCCTCCACTCGTTGATTCTTTCCGTCACTTTCAGCTCTTCTATGGGGCAGAGTCGGAGTCGGCGCCTCCTACTCCCCTACAGGACAGTGGGATGGAAGATGACCTAGTGGAGCTCGACAGGACCCCTCTGAGTTCATCTCCGATGAGGTCGCTCACTCCCGAGGCCTCATATGGGGCGGCATCTGTGATGGCCAAGACTCGCAGGGTTCCACATCCAGATGACGAGTTGGTATGCTCGGGAGTAGACGAGGCTGTCAACCCGACGGACTTCCCTCTCCATACGATAATGGAAGACGCTTTTGGTACTGGCATGACCATCAGCAGCTATAGCGATGGGGAGCCCTCTGAGGTGCGGAAGCCTCAACCTAAGCCCAAGGCCAAGAGTAAGGCTAAGGCAAAGGGACGGCCTAAGGCTAAGGCCCGAGGGGGGAGGAGGAGCCCCCAATCTACGGCTAGCAAACGGTCACGGAAGGTGAAGGTCGAAGATGACAGTGACATGAGCAGCATAGAGGCTCCTCATAGTCCGGTTAGTAAAAACAGGAGGAGAAGGCGCAGTGCAGTCAGTTCGAGTTCGTCACGGCGAATGATGAAGGAAGAGGCCAAGGTAGGAGAGATGGTCCTCGGCACCTTACGCTCCTCCTCAGATCGCCATATGTTTCAGCACAGAATGCCGACCCTCACCATTTGATGAGAGACGAATATCAGCCTGCGGTGGGAGGATAGTCAACTCGGTGTCGGGTAGGTTGTTAAAGGCAGTCATGATGGTAGTTGTTCCCTTAGATGACGTAGCGATGTTCGTTGCTGGTCGGCTAAAGCGTACGGCTAAGCTCATGTGTGCTATTTGCCGAGGCATACCAGTGGTGGATTTCGGGTATATTCGACGTTGCTTTGATCGTGGGGATATAACACAGCCTTACGATGTGGGTGACTGGATGAAGGACGCGTCAGGGGAGAAGCATTGGGGCTTCACTCTGAGTGAGTCGATTAAGCTGGCAAGGGACCGAGGGCCTGTCTTGAAGGGTTATCAAGTGAGTACCTTTGGGCTAGGCATTGACTCAATCTATTTCCGGTGAATAGATTCACTGCGCCACGAAGAACACGGCGACTAAGGACTTCAGAGAGCTGGTAGCTGCTGCTGGTGGTACGTACCTCAACAGCCTCCCGGCCCGTATCCCTGATACGAGTAAGTCATAGCTGCTCGCTGATTGATGATGGTGTTAACAAGTTGAGTGTGCTCAGGCAAGGACTCGCTTCTCGTCATAGTCGAGAACCGCGAGACCAGAGGAGACCTGCGACTCGTACGGAAGTTGAGGCTTCCACGTGTTTACGTTAAGGAGCTGGTCATGGCAGCTGCTACCACACAGGAGCTGAACCTCGCTGAGTTCGGTGTGGACTTATAATTACTATGCAGAACTACTACCATTATCACCATGACCTCTGCCACTCTTGTTGCTGTCCTCCCACTGGGCAGAGTACACTACCTTCTTACTAACGCTTAGCTGATCTTAAGTTTGATAGTTCGGGACGCGGGCAAGGGCCTCTCACCCGCATTCCTACCGCTCGAGATCTGAGTATGGAAGATCGTGTCGAGGATAGGTGTTTGACGATCGCACCACGTAAAGGAAAGCTACTACATGCTTCGATGGGATTCTGATTTATGTCGAAGTCATCCTCTCCGACGATATATCCTACCCGTTCTCTACTCAAAGGTGGATTTTTGAGACATCTTGCTATTCCGCACAATGGTGGAATCCCCGTCCTCATCATCATCCTCATCCTTGGCGGGGCCAGAACCACAGCCCTCCCTGCGAGATCGGAGGCAGGCTCTTAGGCTGCTAAAAGAAAAGGCGTTGATATTAATCCGCGACCAGAATAAGGCGTAAACCGAAAACAGTCAAATCCGTTCATCCGAAAGACAGTTACTGGACTGCCAAACCTTCTCTATGCATATGCGCGTCACAAGTCGTGTCGGACATCCTCGCCAAGCCTGAACAATGGGCGATGGAGGCTGAAGTGGGTCTAGACCTCACGGCACCCTCTGCACGATCCTCGCACACAGGCTCTGGTTGATGCACTCCTGGGCTGTACTGCTGAGTTCAATACCCCGATATTGGACTATTCTATTCACCTTTATCTTCTATCACATTGTCCATTGAGGTATCGGGGAAATACTCCTCAGCTGTATATCAGTCACAGGCTTGCTCTGCTTTGTACCGCGATACGCAGCGCGTCAGCGAAGTTGGAGCTGCAACGCTTACTCGAGGAAGTCCAGTACAGGAGAACTTGTTTGGGAATATTAGCAGTCAGTTAGCGGCCTGCTATTCGACAGTACATACTCCTGCATAGGCTCTTGAAGTGCTCAGAGAGGATCCGAGAGCCCAGTGTGAGGAAGTGTACGAACTCCAATGGTTTGCCGTTGGATGCCCCTGTCGCAGTCCGGACGATACCTTAGAAGACTTTCGCGAGTTACTACGAAGTTCGGCTAATACTATGGGCACTCCCTTAGTCGACGATGAGTTGACATATGATGAAAGCTGGGCAGAGGCTCTAGCCGTCGCTGTGGAGATGGTCGCTTCTATATCTCAAAGGATGCTGGCCAGCGCCGAGGACTTTGGTGACTTCTTCGTTGATGACTGGGTACTTCCATTCACAACTATGGTGTCCCTCTAGTCGCTCCAGCCAGGCTCGCTCGAAGGTCGATGCAATGATGGCTGGTCACACACGCTATCCCCCCAAGGCAGCGCCATTACTCCTGACATTCTTTCGTCAGTGGTGGACCACTGCTCACAAGGCCACTCGAACGAAGCTTCTCGATGATCTGGTATGATTCCGTCGCGAAGCGATCCTATCGGTTATCGTGCGTGTGCGAGTGTACTGTTTCAGGCCGGCAGACTCATCATTCATCTGCGCGGTACTGCAACGGCTCGAGCTATCATTCACAGTCTCATCGAAGATCCCCGATCGGATGAAGAGTTCAATCTGATTGCGCGTCTTGAAGGCTCCTGTAAGATGCCGAGTCCTGAGACTGTGATGGCGATAGTGCTGACTTGCTCGCGAGCACAATGGGTAACGGTTGCTTGCCTGCGAATGCAATGACGTTTACGACGTGTAGAGAGTTAAGGCGTGGCAAAGCTGCGGTGTCATGTCGGAGGGCCTAGTAGAAGTCTGCAGGAAGGCGGTTCTATATGATCCGGACGCTCAAGTCAGGTGCGATCATCTGAGGCGATACTGATGCTACTATAGCCCTATCCATTCAGACTCGCGGCGCTCCGTTGTTTAGGACTGGTAGATAAAGGAGCAGTCATGGAGTCCTTTCGAGACACGAATTACGAAGTCAGACAAGCAGCACTCGACATATCTGGGTGCCGACCACTGATTTGGATCCTCCACCTGCTGGGGTACCTCCCATGGCTCAGGCCCCAAGCCCTGGCAACCTGCACCTGTGCACATTTGGTCATTCTGGCACTCAGCGAAGATGATTCTGGCATGATCATTCATGTGAGATTAGATCGACAAGTCGCAATCAGATGAAAGTAGCTCCAGGTTGAATCAGAGATCCTCAAAAGGGTTGAGGCTGATTCTGAGCAGTTCCTCCGGTAACGCCTAAGTTATCGAGGTATCCACTGGATGGCGGGAGCCTTTTTTCAGGGACATTCGACTGTTAGAAAGGAACGGGGAAGATACAGTACTTCGAATCCTCAGAGAGAGATTCCCAGTAAGAACGAAAGTCTTGACATGGCGACGTTCAGGCTAGGCAACTCGTTTCAAGGCTATCTCTCCTGAGCTTTTGGATACATACCTTGAGCAACCTCCTCGCAAACAAAAGCATTGCCAACCTCCCGCGACGCGAAAACGGCGAGTATGCGGTAGAGTTGATATTCCTATCCGAACGATACGATGTGAGAATAGAGCTGCTTCTCGTAGGCGTCATGTGCCTGGAGGCCCTGGGAAGAAGTCGCGGAGCAAGCAACGCCAATGAGGTCTCTGCGAACCAATGAGACTATCGAAGTTGCGCCCGCTCTGGTGAGGTTATGATTTGATCGCCGTTCTCGTTTAGGAGTCAAACACACCGCGAGGTTGTAGCGAGCATATTTCTTCGTGCGGCAGCTCTGCGCGTGCTGTTGCCGCTGCCTGCGCAGATTTATCAGAAGATGATTTGAACGCTCTTGCCTGGTGGTAATTGCAACTCCTGAGTCACGTTGTGGCTTTTCATGCTAAGAAGGAAAAGTCTTGGGTTGTATTGAGTTACGGGACCTCATTGATCGTCTAAGTATCACAGAACTCCTCAAACGCAACGGAAAATGAACATGAATGAGACACGCGCTCGTCATGATGAGACGGTATTTTCACAGACCATCAACTTCCCTTGGATAGCACGGAGTAGGTCAGCAAGAGAGTCTCGACATGAGGGGCTCTTCTCACAAGACAATAAACCTCCAACGATTAGTCTCGCCCTACAGGTAGGACACACAAAAAGATGCACAGCCGAGACCGACGATTGCGATGATGCCACTAACGTCACTTTGAGAGCACTGCTTTAGCATCCTCAAGTTCCTCAAGAGCAATGAGCACAGAGGCGAGAGCATTGAGCGTACGACACACCGGCACGCTGTATTGACCGTGAATTTGCTCCTCCACTTCCTGACAGCCTTAGGATAGTCAACGCGTGGATGGACACAGTGAAGATCTCACGAGAATTTCAGATAGATATCGTCGAGCCTTCTCATGCTCCTCAGACTTCACGGCCCGCAGTGCTAAATCTCGCATGACATCGATAACTCGTCTGTCGGTAGGCTTGTAAGTCGAGGTAGCAAGCTCATGAGCTTTGACGAGCATCTCGAGAGGAGACACATCAACCTAATCTCGATCTCACAATGGGGCACTTGCATAGCGAATTTGTTGGTCGCCGCGTCGTCTGACGAAGCTGTCCAGTGTGAAAGCTGCAGCACGTGGTCTATGAAGAACCAGGGCTCGATTCCGGAGACAGAAATCTGAGAGGAGGACAGACATGCTCGCCCGAGCTCTCCTCCACTCTTCGTTTTTCACCTCTGTCTCGGCATCTTCGATGCTCTGTAAAGTTTGGATCATCATCTTAACAGCTTCCTTCTCTCTCCCTGCAAGCAATCACCCCCCAGCTCTGTACTGACGATCTTCTGACCTGCCAGCATTTCAGCCTGAGCTACTCCCACAGAAATCTCCAGCACGGCTCTCGAACTGGCACCTGGATACCATGTTCCCCATAACGCGGTTGCTACCTACAGACCTAGTCTGTGTACACGGATTGCTCGTGCTTGCTCATAATGCTCTTTCGCTAGATCGAGGTATTCGTGTTCGCCCCCTGAAGTGGCACCACACTGGCTTCTATCACTAATTGAGACATGGACTGACCAGCGGCATAGCTATTTTGCATTCGATTAACGTAGACCTTCGCGATGAGCTCTTGCAGTCGGGCACATCGGAGGTCCTTCTCTCCATATCTCCGTCGTGTCTGGTCGAGTGCGGCATCTAGCAACGCGAGTACCTAGAAATCCGGTTCTTCTGAAGGTGGGACATCCCATACTTCCCGCTGCATGGCATCAAGGTCAGCGACTGGGTGCGTCTGATCGACACCCTGCTCTAGCTGTGCGATGAAAGCCTGGTAGCATCTACAGATGGGCATCCTAACGTCAGTGACCATTGAAAACGCCTAACGCATATCCTTGACAACTGGCGATGTCTGCCTGTAATCTCTCATTAAGAGCTCTCACCACTGGGGTATCTTTCTCACCCTCCTACAGTCAAAACCTCATCCCTCGCGGTGACGCCAAGCTCACTATGGCGGAGAGGATATCATCCTCGGCAATCCTTATCGCAGATTTTATATGTCTAGAGCACTGTCCGAAGTAGAACCCACGTGCGTAGGCCTGAATGAATGCGCCACTACCCAGGGACTCTGGGCCAGTGTTTCCTGACAACGCACCTCGGCCAATGCCACAATCGCCGAGGCTAAATTGCCGAGTGCCGTTGCTATCGACAAGCTGAGTGTAGAGCCAATTTCTTGCCGCGATGACAATACATTTGTGATGGCAATGGTCCGTTCTAACAGGACCTCGAGAAATCCGAGTCGCCGTCAACTTGCGCGAACGTTATACCTTTCGATACGCTACTTGCTGTATTCGGCATTCGATGACCTCGTCGTGCAGTTTCATGCTAGCCGCATCCCATGCAGGCTCTGCAGCACCGCTGAGGTCAACAGTCCATTCAGCAGGGAGAGTATTCGACCGACTTGCTCTCGATTGCTGCATTCAGCTGTTTGATTCGGTAGTCGAGCTTGGCGAGGGCTTCAAGCGGCGCATGGTAGCCCGCGTGTTCGGTGTGGTCACCCTGACTGACGGCATAGGGCTGTACGTGACCGGTATCCATTCTGTGAGAGATCGAATCTGTCCCCGCTTTGTCATGAGCTTTGGATGGCGAATTAGACATCGGATTGCGATCAGGGGGAAATAACCTTGAGTAACAGTGGGAAGAAATCAGAACAGTACTGGAGGATCGTTCCGACTGCACCAATTAGTTCGAAAGCAATGACTAAATGCTGAGCCGTAGACCACGACCACTCAGAGACCTGAATCTGCCGAATCCTCGTTTCGGGAGAGCTGACGGAAGAATTTGCCATCAGCGGAGGAGCTGATTATGACCAGCAAAAATAGGCATTGATTCGACTCCATTATTTTTCTCCATCACATTGTGACTCACATGGCTTCGAGTGGTTATGGTCAAATACAGCCGCTTGGAGATGGATTGTTCGAGCTAGTCAGCCAGCAAGTCTACCATAGTCTCGCCATTATGGTTATCTTGCGCAGCAATCGTGCGCTATTCCCATTCCTTACCACAATTATCATAGCAATCACGAGTTGTGTCCCGCACTGAAGTATGGCGGGTGGAATGCAGACAGACATCAGGATGAACTCCGTGTGTAGTTCATTCATGGAACTCAATGAAAGTGAAACACCACCTTAACGGCGTGTGGGTCCGGGGATGAACGTTCATCTCGAAGATTCGCAGCTTCGCTAACACCGATCTTCAGCGTTTCAATCAACGAGCGATGCACAACTTTGTCCTTGCGCCGGCGAAGGCGGTTTGGATTCTCCGAAGTGTGTTTACTTGCCACTGCGGCCTTGGGATCATAATGGTATACTAACATATCACCATGAGTTTAACGGCGGCTCACGGTTATAGAAATTGCTGATGAAACGGGCACGACGTGCATGAAGATACTTATCGCAGACGTGCGCATACGGTCGAGGGCTTCCTCCTGAGGTTTGCGTGGTGTCTCGACAAATTTATATGCTGGTGCAACACGAGATTCCAATATACCAGCAATGCTTGCTGTATGCTATAATGTCTACTTGCTCACAATGTTGGGCAGTGTCTTAGCACACACCGTAGTGCATCCACGATATACTATGGAGCACGTCGTGCAGGAGCCACAAACTTTTTCATCCTCAGCTCACCATGAGCCAACACGTGAACGCCACCGCGCATGCAGCAGGAGAACATCACGTACGATTCTTGTCAATGCGGAACACGCCAGGACTGTTTCACTTAATGAAAGACAATAGTCTGAACTTGATGTCTTATTCAGGGCCTTATGAGCTGGATAACATCCCTGGACCTGAGCCAGCTGTCTGTCCCAGCGATCTGTACCATCGGGACCGTGATAGGTCTCTTACACGCGCTTTCTGGCCCTGACCATCTAGCAGGCAATGACGCACGCTAACCCGATTCTCGGAGAGTCTTCAAGCGCCACAACGAAGGGTGCTTTGTTTCAGCTCTCATCCCTCTGTCGGTTACTCTACCAAAGGTCAAGTCGTTTGAAATTGGAATGGCTTGGGGGGCTGGACATGGAACAGGAGTCGCCGTAGGTTAACTGCGCCTCGGCTACTACCTTCTTTAGTGGTGCTCTGTTCGACTAGGTGCTTGCTATAGTTGTATTTGCTATCAAGGATTTCACCAAGGTGCTGCATAGTCTTTGATGTCTAGAGAATTATAAATCTCCTCAGATTGAATTCCTCGACAAGTACATGGGCCTTGCAGTGGGCGTTACGATCATAATCATGGGATGGTAGGTCCGCTCAGTGTTTCGATTTATATCAGGAAGAGTCGTGAGCTCATCACCAGCTTACCTTTCAGTGTTGCCATTTATGAAGCCAAAACTTACAGCAAGCTTCATCACTATCATTGCGACCACTCTACTGATTGTTCTTCCGCTTATGGCCAACCTGATACAGTTCTCGGGTCCGTCCGCTTCCCTATGGAACCGCATGAGAAAGAACCCCTGGGGATCGAGAATGGTGAGAACATTTCCAGTGGGGACGACTAGGTCATGCAGATACGCGGAGTACTTCTTCGGGAGAGCATTGCTGTGCGGCTTCCCAGCAATTGGCTGATTCCACTGCGAGGGGTCGCGGCCAAGCAAACTTGATTTGGCTCACTCTCACCACTGGTGTTATCCATGGTCTCAGTGGGTATGCATATGAGCATAATACGGTTATGTATTATACGATCTCCTTAGATGTGGTCATATATTCGGCATTCTCCCGGCACTATCCCTACACAGATGGCAGCTTTTCTGTGGCTATATTGTAACTTTCTGTATCGGCTGTTGCCTCGGGATGGGTGAGTGGTAGACTCCCTTGCGAGAACAGCTGTGAACCACATAGCCAGGTGGCTTCTGCGTAGTCATATCAGTAGCGTCCAAGTCATTGATGCAACGACTCCGGAGGCCGGAGCTGCCCAGCGATCTGGCCTTCTGGTGATAACGGAGACATTCTAAGAAATCTAATAGAGATGATCTTCCCAGGTGCGGAGTACTTGCCGTTATTTTTGGCGTTGTCTGGGTGATAGCCGTCCTGGCGTAGATTGAGGAACTTCCAAGTTCCTTGTGCGTGGTGTTTGCTACATTGCCCTATCATGAATGTGTTTGGATACTTCGCATGTTGAGTTGCACGAGATATGAGCTTCGGGTCTACCAACTTGGTAGACCCGAAGCCCAACTTAGTAGTACGAGAGGTTCGTGATGACGCAAGCACCCCGGCATACCACGGAGAACATGCTACTCGACAGTATACACAGGGTGTACACGAACGTCGACCCAACGGATCGGAAGGGTGCCCAGAACTAGTATCCTTATTGTCGAATATTTTCATGCTGACAGTGTCAGCCTGACACTCACCGCGATGCGGAGGTCCTGACATTTTCTACCGTCTCGACGGTCAACGCCTGGCTGAATATGTTGGAACCATGCCCTATGAGCATTTGCAACTCCCCCTATGTGCGTGAAGTTCCACCCCAGCTCGAGATGTGGACAACACAAGCTGGTCAGGATCATTCGATAAGGAATTGTTATTCGCTAGTCCTTTTTCAATTGAGTTTGTCAAGACGACGATTTCTCGACAGCTCGACCGGTTCTCGTGCACAACGAGCGGTACGGTACAATGATTACTCTTATAGCTTTGCTCGACACTCAACAACGCAACGTATGATACAGATATATGATACGGCTACATGTCCATCATGTGGACAGCTGTGGTCTGTTCACAAATTGGTCTTGGTACAACGGCCATAACTCCTTCAGCTTTCTTATCATCCACACGGTGTTGTCGAGGGCTTGCAGTTGCTCAACCTTCAACTTGGGCAAATCTCGTAGCAAGGCCATACCTTTCTCCATGTGGGTATCAGCTTCTATCATCTAATATAAAAACCGGACCAACCATGAAGGGAGGCAGTCCCGAACACACCTGTTTTTGCGCTGCGGCAGCCACTGCACTGTTGATGAAGGCTGTTGCCAATAGAGAATTAGCTTTAGAAGTCTCGGGATTATCTGTCAATTCCTGTACCTGATTTATATCACCAACATTGAAGCACCTCTGCGAGGGAGAATGTACCGCTTTAGAACAGAAGTACTCAGCTTCATGATAATGTTCTTGACGATACAGTACGCAGGAGTATCGGAGGCAGCACTTAGCGTAACGACATATGTGGCCCATCTTTAGATAACGACTCGATGCCTGCTGGAAGAAGTACCTGGGTGACGACAGTGACCAGCGGCAACCGAAGACGTCAAAGCTGCTCACTCAGCGCGATCCCCGAGCAGTTTCGGATCTACCTCTGCTGAGGCGAAGGCCACCCCAAGGGCAGTATCGAAGAGATATCTGATACCACACTTCGAGGACATCCCATCGTTCGAATGCCCCACGCCTCAATAACAGTCCTATGAGTTGCATGCAGCATTCGGAGTGAACCAGGCAGCTTCTCCAGGACTTCTTGAGCTAATCTCGCCGCCTCATCTGAACAGAAGCCTCATCGACCAATGTAGTCCGGAAGCTGCCCTTACCGAACTGTCCGTTCTTGACACATAGACCAATGAAGCCAGCCACGACTTGCATGACAGTTTCGATCAAGAAGGGCTTATTGGGACTGAGTGTAGCTGGATTGAGGATATTCAAGTTGCCATTGCTAGTGTCCTCCAATAGAAGTATGCACGCTAGGTAGTTGCCCTGTCTCTCCTGCTCCACGAACTGCGTGGCCTTTTCTGGGCCCTTTAAGATTTGCAGCAGCTTGGCCCGGCATATACGGAACCTCACAGGCTTGATCCCAAGCCATATCGGTTGCAGCTTACTGAGACAGAATTCTACCGTAACCTGATGACAAGACCAGGCAGACTGGCGCTTGTCAACAACACGTACTTCAGGATTCTCGCCCAGGTCTGTCGAAGGGCCGCCTATCTCGCGAAGTAGGACCTGCGAGTAATACATTGTAAGCATGTTCTTCTTTCGATCGATTCACCTCTTCTGGATCTACCCCCTGTGGGCTATCCGGTCTACCACTCGGCAGAACATTAGGATGGATGTCTTTGAACTGCGAGTCGTCCCCATTCATATCAATGAGATATCTGTGATCCCATGAGAGTAGACATAAGACCATAAGACCATCGTACTCCCGCATATATTCCTTATCAACTCCATCCTCCTGTAACAGTCCTACCGCATCAGTAGTTGTAATATTCATGGGGGACCGTAACTTGGACGTGGACGCTCTACTCAACTTCGCTTTCTTCTTGCGGTCGCCACCTACGAAACATCCCACAGAGACAGCAGATCCACCATAGGCTCATCACTAGGAGTTAGTGACGGCTCTGTAACTGAGCGGGAGATGAAGGCCTCCTGGCCTTTCTTCGAGGGGCTGCTCTCGACTTTGATAGCCGTTCTCGTACCTACTCCCACCATCCGCACATACTTCACATTACCACACTTTCACTTCGCCTGCTGACTACTGCTGATTTCCGCGATTCGGCCACCTGTCTTTGCTTCAGCTGTGCAGTTATGGCCTCCAACATAGGCTTCAGATTATGGTTCCGTTCAAGTAGCGTTGCAAATTGCTCCATCACTGAGGACATACCACTCCTCGCTCATCTTCTACCCCGTCGACCCACCCACCCCTCTCGTAACCCCAAGTGAGCCATTGCCAGACCTGCAGCATGTCCTTCGCCAACCACAAGTTGTAGACATAAATGAAGTATAGATTAGCACAAGCATAGTGGTCAGCTTGAATGATCTCGGGCGCCGGTAGATCCCCAGGGTCGGCAGCAACGATAACCCTGGATGACCGAGCTGGACGATCGTTGTCTCCATTACGAACAACAGAGTCGGTAGCCGTACGTTGAGTCCTGCCTCCCAGATATGATGATATCTAGAAGAGGGCCAAGCCCCGCATTCCCGCCGCACCAAGCAATCCTAACCTTGGGTCTGAAGGCCTCTATCGCCTTATCGTCATGGAAACCATTGGGTCCATCATCATCACGCCTCTCGACAGGGCTCACGCTCCTACCGCTCGGCGCACACTTCTCAGCTGATCTCCTTCGCCTGATAAAGCCATTTCACCTTCTCACCAGCCAGTCCTAACTTGTGCGTTTGCCTCGGGAGACTGGGCCAGCTTGCGAGCTTGACGAAGCGCGCAAGCGTCCTGATGGAAGATATATAGCGCTGTCGCAAGATGTAGCCTCGATAGACGCTCTGGACCTGAGCCTCTACCTGTACTCTACATAGACCCAACAACGATGCTTCACCCTAGTGATGAGCTCCAAGTCCATACTAGATACCCGAGCGATATGGGAGGTGAACTCCTGTGAGGGTTCGCCGTATGACTCAGCTATGCAATGATGGGCTCTCGAAACGTATCCAATAGGGTGAATGTCTGTCCAGCAGTAGAAGACCCAAGAATGAGCAACAACCATCACCAGAAGGGGGAGCACGAGACTGGTGTCCGCAATGAAGCCCCGGAGGTGGTAGATAATGCTGGCCAGACCCTAGGGTAACGCTATCTACATAGCGATGAGTTAATGCCGACAACATCTGAGCGACCAATGGACATTTTGTGGTAGGGCACTTATCTTACTGGCTCGATGCCCTTCCAAACAGCCACCAGTAAGTGACCACCAACGCACGCACCATACAGCAGTGGCGACGTGGAGGAGCTGCAGATCTACGAACAGACGACGAATGACCAACTGTCTACAGGAATGAGGTTACTACGATATCAAGGAGTTTGTTAGTGACACCCATGATCCCTCTGAGCTCTCCATCATCTGACCAGATGCTGTTGTCCTGATGTCTGGGCTACCCAAGAGACACGTCATCCCTTAGTCGTGGGAAAAGCCCAACCTCGGCGCCTCCTTTCCGGCCTCTAGATGCACGACCTGCGGCCACCGCCTCGAACTCTGCCTTTGCCCTGCGTTGATTAATCCTGACCCGAACAGTGTCATGAGGAGATGAACAGGGAGATAGCAGTACCTCCCGAGAGCTTCAATACTCTGGTCTAGACATTCCTGTAGCCAGTCAATGGCGAAACGCAGCGCGATGGAGTCGTTGATGAAATCGTCCAGTCTAGCAGCTTTCTGTTTGGAGAACCCTCCGCTGCCTGTATAACCACCAGAGGCATACACTCATAGACTATGAGTCATAGTCGTCGAGAGGACTCACCGCTAGTAAAATCCACTAGGCGCCCATGAGATGTCACTGTCTCTGGAGACGGAATCTGGTCGGGGTCCAAACCCAGATAACCCCTGCCTAGGACTCCGTCGTATATCGCACGATCTAGTACAGCCCAGTGCGGTCGATGCTTGAGACTCCTATACCTGAAAAATAAGGATAGATGTTAAGATAGACGGCGTGCCATGTGGATAACATATAACAGTATTCATAGTCGATAATTATATCTTTCATTGCCGCCGAATGTGGAAGGGTTCAACACTCACTCCAAGAAGACCCTAGCATCCGGGCAGTCGAGGAATCCTCGATGAGGATTCTACCCAACTGCTCCCAATCCCAGTCCGAAAATGAGCTTCCATTTCCAGCGTCGACCCAACAACGCAGTGGAGCTCCCCACCTCTAACAAAGTTTGTATGGTATTACTATACAAGAATCCTACGATGAAACCGATCGAAGTCGTACGAAGCACAAAAAATATAACTAGGTCGTTTAGCTCAGTCGGTTAGAGCATCGTGCTAATAACGCGAGGGTCGCAGGTTCGAGCCCTGCATCGACCATTTCGTCATTCTATAATACTCGAGGTTTTCTTCAATCTGCTACTTAGCTATGAGTACCACAGGGCATGGTTCACCTCGTCTACTCGTTTGAAGTCACACAAATAAGCGCGGGCAGGAAGCATTCATGGTGTGCGCCAAGTACGTTGGGAAATTCTCAAGTCCACTCCTGATTCTCCCAATGGGGACCTCGGCTCAGAATCCACGTGTAGAATCAGTAGAGTATACCAGGTTTTCAGCCATGTTCTTGTTCATCGAGCCCATCGATAGAGAGTATACATTCGCCAAAAATGACCGACAACCAGCCGACAACGACACGTCACTGGAAGAATGCGCCCTCAGTCACGAAGATGTTTAGCGGTCAGGTTACTCACCGCTGTCCACCATCAACGGAGTAAGGAATGAGAAGCCCGACATAACGCCCTACTTTCCACCACCGGCAGCTCGCGTGGTGAACTGATCGTTGGTACTCCGCCATACTGCTGATAGAGCTGCTTTACATGCAACCATGGCCGCCTCACACGCACACATGAACAGTACAATAGCTCGATCACTGTGATGGTGGTTGCACACAATAGAAATGAATATGCATCCTGACGAGGACGAGTCATGGCGGTAACTCACGGTTGCGATGCAGATCAGCGCTGCTCACTCCAAAGAGTCGCCGCATTCTTCGTAGCTTTCCTCCACGGATCCTCTTTTCCTCCCGGCATCGACGAACCCATCTCCGTGTCGGCCGTCAATTTGTTCGAGATGACCCTCGCTACTGCAGCTATGTGCTCCCCAAAGCCTGACGACAAGAGCCCTGCTGTTGTCCATGAGCTTCTCATAGCAATGCTTGTCAACAGGAAAGGTACAAGCAAGTCGTCGATATCGCTTCGGAAATAGCCAGCAGCTCATTCCCTCACTAGTTTCTACACTAGATTCATCTAACAGACTCACTGTTCGGGGAAGATGTCATTGCTGCCGCAAGCTTGTGAATCATAGGCAATCGGCTACCCCATGAGGGCCTCGAATCATCGGTACGGCACAAGAATCCATACATGTAGGTTGTCGCGTAGAGGAAGACAATCTGACGAAGAGGATGCCCTCATAGAACGAGACCGGTCCTCGACCACCTCTCGATCCAGCCGCAGTTCAGGCTGCATCATGGCACTGCAAAGGGTTTTGGGCATCCACGGTATAGAAGTCTCAAAGTGTAGTCGTAGCCATGCAGCCCATTGTTCTGATGGCAACGAGCTGCTCCCATTCTGACTATCGATAATCCAGAATCAACAGCGAAGTGCCCATACCGGAATAATGTGCTCCTTGGTAGTAGTATCACAGTCATTCATCGCCGCAGTAGCACTCCTCCTGTTGCATCCTCTCTTCATCTTCCGGCTAGCCAGTATCATCTGACCTCGTCTCACGGCTGCATGTACACCTGAAATCATAAGCTTACCCGTCAAATTCATCACCACAGTAGCCCCCGTCACGACCCTTTCCTGTCTGACCAGCCGCCCTCGAGGATAATGCCGCCAAATTCCTGTGTATTGCCTCGCATGCCCTTTGTATCTGAGCATACGCCTCCCACCACCATTTCCCACATGACACGCTCCCTACCGCAGTTTTCTCCATAACCTCACGTGGCCGTATTTCCTGCATTCGGCGCCGTGCGAAGCACGGAGGCTCATAACAGGACAGCCTCTTCACCTCAGCTCCTGTCTCCTGAGCATATACCGTCCGGACCATCAGCTCGGGCGTGATACCTCCTTGGATGAACCGTGTTGTCTGTAAAGCTGCAGCTTGTTCATTCTCCGCCTTGCCTCTATACGCTTCATATCCACTACATTAGTCCTGTGCTCCCCCAAAGCGTCTCGGTACTGACTGAGTGTATAGGACTTCCGGACCAAATACCTGCCATGATAGCGATGGGAGAGCTAAGTGGCCGGTTCATACAACTCAAAGGGAAATGTGTCCTTATTATTCCTCCTCTCCTCAGCCAATTCATGTAGTACTATTTTGTAGCTCTGCACAATGCGCCGCCCTTCCTCGCCATGAAGACATGCCCGTACCTTACCATCTATCAAAATAAGCATCACTATTTTCCATATGTTGTCACCAAATGGCCACGAAAATGCTTTTGAATAACCTTGGCTCTCTCGTTCAGCAGCCTCAACCACTTTTGATGTATTACCATACGGAACACACTCTGTAACCTGGGAGGAATATCATACCGTCCATCTATCAACTCACTCACCTCAGCACAGCCTCAAACAGCGACCGATTCCTCCTCTTGGTGAATATAGACCGAACGTTGTGCTGTATCTAGGTGACGACAACACGAGTCATGACGGCTCAACCGCCGAGATCTACCATAACAGCTGCACTGTTCTCCTTGGCAAGCCGCAGCGCTGCCTTCACTCCCCGCCAACATCTCTGTATCATCAACACCGGCCCCTTCATCTTGCTAGTGTAGGTCTTCACCCTATAGTAGCGGTATTGACTTTGTATGACCATCGCCGCTCGATGCCTGATGACCCTGGCCAACAGGGCTCGCAGGGTTAGGTGTATGAGGACCACTCCCAACACGAAGGGGGTATGCTCCTGGTACTCGTTCCTCCGACTCAGAACGAAGAGCTCCTTCAATCGCTGCATCTCTAACGATCGATCACAAGCGCTCGGAGCCTCAACCTCCACGGCCCGCAACTTTACTCCTAGGCCTTGAACACATCTCAGTACTTGCCGACGGGTCAAATAAGCAAAATCGCGCGCCCGCTTCCGCTCGGCAGCCTTATCGGTCATCGATGGCTCTATCTTTTTCACATGCCGTAGCAGCTCCTGGACCACTACATGTGCCGTCTTCTTCCCATAGTTCACAGCCCAGTCGTCTGGCAGCTTGTGCTCAACCTCACACCCCATGAGATCAAATACCTGCTGGGCCGTAGAAGCGTCCACCCCTTGGAATGATAAATTACCTACAACACGTTTCCACAGGTAATGATGACCGCCATTGCTTACTGTCCATCTGCAGCCTGGCTTGGTCCAGGAACTCCCTCAAAGTGATGAGAGTCTCCGCAATGAGAGTTACGTTTAGGACCTTCTGAGGTAGCCCCTTCATAACGAGCAACCAAAAATTCTCATTCACTAGGCGCATCCTCTTATCGTGAACATGCTGTAACGAGGCCATGTCCCTCCACAACAGCACCATCGGCTCCTTTGCCCTACATGGCACCGTACATGTACCTTCCCCAGGAACATCACTCAGTCTGATGATCTCCCGAGGGAAAGCTCTGCCCTCCATAGCCTGGTCAATGCCAACCGCGCAGTGGCCCATAGCATGCGCTGTCCACACTATGACCTCCTTCAGCCGCTCAACCGTGAGCTGCCCCCTTGCCATGTTAAGGGTCTCCTTGATCACAGTAAGAAAGATCTCAACCGCCATATCGCTCGTCTTAGACTTTCCTGCGATATCGATCGTCTTCTCTTTGAACCGCTCCTTCCTCCCAAAGAACATCTCTGAGCCAAGCTTCTCGAATGCCTGTATCGGCACATTGGCAATAACCCTCTGAAGGTGGGCCTTGAGGTCCCTCAGCTGCATTGCCACTGCAGGTGGTAGATGCCTCCACCATGGATGTACATGAGTACTAATCCCCATCAGAGCCAGCATAACTTGGCCCACCACTGTGTTGACCTAACGACCTCAGTACACGAGGGACACTCATGGACCCTATCAACCCCACCTGCTTCTCTGTACCAGCTCTCGAGCGGCGCATCATAACCGTGAGCCGCGTGTCCACGATGCGTCTAAAGTTCCTCTGTAGAAGGACCGCCGCCATAGTAGCTAGTTTCCTCATCATCAAACGCTTCCTCTCAGCCTCCATAGCCTCCAGCTCCTCAAATATCATCACCTTCACATGAAGACTAGCCTGCCATCTACGCCAACATGCTTGTATCCTCGTTGCTGCTGAAATCTGACCACACAAATGCGATTGGAACAAGGGAATCCCCAGGCGAACGAGTTCCAAAATTCATAAGGAATTCCCTATGACCATGGACCCCCCCCCTCCCTTACGTACCTTCCTCCTGAGTCCCATCCGGTCCAGGAACTCCCTGGCCAAAGCCTGAGCTCTTACAACGCTCCGCAGCTGCTTACGTAGCCTCATACGGACTATAGCCCCTCGAAGGACCCCCTGTATCCTCGACGCCGCCTTGTGCATCTCCCTCACGGGTTTCCTACCATACCAATAACCTCGCAGGACCCTCTGTATATCCAGAGCCACTCTAGCAATATGAGCCAGAGCCTTCTGAATCAGCTTCATCCTCCAATAGCTCTGCAGCCTAGCAGCTTTCATGTGCTTCTCCAACAGCCGGCGCCTCTCCATCACACCACGATACGTTGCCTGCACTTTAGACACCCTCAAGTGAGTCTGTCGTTGATCTGTCCGGGCACGGAACTTGCGGTACCAGGCCCGTAGTATCATAGCATTTGCGCTGTGCTTGCCGAAAGACCTTTGGGTATCCCACATACGCTTATAAGATGCAATCACAGTCACAGCCTCAGCCTGTCTCCTCATACGCATCCTCACCTGAAGGCTACCGCTCCCAACCGAGTGAACAGTCCCAGTACCCCTACCAGCGCGCCGCGTAGGAACCTCTGAATTGTAATCAAGGCAGTCTGTTCGGCCGACTTCTGATGAATATAGCACGGGTCATCGGTGATGACATCGTGAGAAAAGCTGTAGTAGAAGCCCTCAGCATCTGGTGCTAGTCGCGGAGGGTTAAGGCGTGCCAAATGCCAGTGCTCAGCAGGACACTGTTGGAGGGCCGCCTCGAACGCCTCTCGTGGGAAGAACAACCATTGGCATTGGCATGGACCCGTCTTGTCCGACTGATTGTTCCGGGCTAGGAACCGACGCCGATTACAAAAACCAACATTCAAAAAAGGCAAGGCTTCCTCGAACATGGCCGCCTCCCCCACAGTGAGGTACCTAATCACATGTGAGCGTATGAGGGAAGCATAAAGCCGAGCCGGCCTTCTCACCGGCACCCAGGCAGGGGATATGCCCAGTGACTTTTCCGTCGCTTGTGCACAGCAGCATAACAATCACAACAGAAATTGTCCGTACACTGTTGACACCATACCACCGAATCCAGGACGCCGCATTCACTACACTTCACCTAATGAACCATTCACACTACATGATGCCCTCGCCGCTCACCTTGAGGAAGCCACGATAGTCCCATAGGAAGTCGTTGACCATGCAATCATTGAGATGCTCCCTGAAGGATGCCAACATTGGGTGGCAAACCTGCCCTCGGTCCAATGCCAGACTGTGGGCCTCGTTACCGCTGATACTAGTCTGAGCAGTCTCCTCAGAAGTGTCCATTTTCACATAGTAGCGAACGTCAGAGCCTCGAACGATGACCTCCCAGTCACGAGGCAAGCAGTAACGTAATGCAAAATAACAATACCAATAGTAGTGATAGTTGCCGTGGATGCCGAGCTGGAAGGCCAGACTCTTGATCTGTTTCGGACTGATCATCACATGGCCCTTGGTCCCGTCAGGGTTGCCCGTGGCCCTCAACAGAAGACGGAGCCCATTGAGACCTGTGAGAGAATACTGCTTTTCCTCAACGTCGAGAACATCAGGGGCCACAAAGCGGTTGTCGTTATCAGCCCGGCGTAGATCATCAACGTGGACGTACACCTAATGGGAAGACCAACTGCTCGATGAGACACTACCTAACCGCCGCCCACCTGTTCCTCGTCTACTAGTCCTGCTTCCAATAGCTCCTGCATGCTGAGCTCCTTCCTACTCCGTGATACCGTACCATCGCTATCCTCACTATCCTGCTGCGAGAACTGATCAATGAGCTCAATACTGTCGGCCTCCTCAAGATTAGCCTTCAGCTCCGTATAGGGCTCAAGCCACTCCGGCAGCTTCCCCAAAGCCATCGCGCTGAAGGTCTTAGGAGGTATGCTCCTAACCCTCAAGGCGTAGGAGAACCGGACATCAGTGAACTCGTGGTCGGCATTGAGGGCCGACTGGAGGAACCACCCATGCAAGGGGTCATAGGGTTTTCCAGGGTTCCCCATCACCACATTGGCCGCATCAGGGAAGCTCCAGGCATCTGGATGTAGCATCATGACATCGACATACTCCAATCGCATGTAGAACAGATGGGACTTCTTTCTCTGCATCTCGAACCACATGGTGCCGTTCTGATCTCGTATGTGCTGCCGCATAAACTGCTCTCGAGCGGCGTAGTCGTAGAGGTAGAGGTTGCTCAGAATGCACGGGTCCTTGCCCATCTTGAGGCTCTCATTGACGATATCATTCAGGCCGGGACGGAACATCTGAGTCCACCTCTGGCCCCTCTCTCTAGCCCGTTCAATTGCCAGGCGCATATGTGGAGGCTCGATGCCAGCCGCCACGCGACAAGTGGTGGCTCTTATGCGACCGTCAAAGAGGCTCTGTCGTCTCCCACGATAAGCCACATCCGTCCACTCGCTGACCTCCGCGTCTTCGGCCGCCCCAACATCGCCTTCCCTACGAGCATAGGCGATAAATACCCACAACCAGCCACCGAACCAGTCGACCTACATATCCGTAGATGCCTCCATCCTGTTCATGGCTTCAGCTCCTTTGTGCCTCTCACTGGCCGCCAGGAGGGCCCTCCTCGCCAGGGCGGTCCCCCGGGAATCGGCCGGGCCAGCCAGACCGCTATCCTCCGCTATCTCGAGTACCAACTCAGCAATATCCTTCACTTCTCGAAGGGCATGGCTCTGCACGCCGTGGGGTATATTGGCCATCACGAATTCCCGCTGAGGCCTCCCATGGGCGTAGGTAGCAGGAGTGCTCAACCGACTCTCCGTGACCCTCCGGATGCCTCTCATCCCCGATAGGTCCACCACTGGTAAGCTCACGAGATCATCACGCGTCGAGTTCTCTCGAGGGCCCCGCTGAAGTTTCCTTTCTGCCTGAGCCACCGATCCCAGCCTACTTCTGCCAGCGTCACTAATCCCGGATTTTGCAGACCTACATAGGAGGGGCCCGGGCCCAACAGACTGGGGCCTCTGCCAGCCAACCCACCTGCTCGCCTCGTCCTGCTCGGAGTTGTTGCCCTCGTCCTCTTCCTCTATCCTGTCCGCCACCACACGATGACGATGTTTGGGTATCCCAGGCATTGCCATGAGCATCTTAGACTTCAAAGGAGCGAACGCTGTTGGCACTGGAGGTTTCGATGATAGTGGCGGGAAATAAGGATGGGCCGCCGTTGGGGCCTTCCACTCCTCCACTTTGCCCCTCCCGACCAGTGCCTCCGCGGGCTCACTCTCTACAACAATCCGATCAATGCAAAGGCGTTACTTTGCATAATACCGGCACCGCCAACCCTTGCCCTTCTGCCACTGCCACTGCTGCTGTCGCTAGCCCTAGCCGACGGGTCGTCCACGTTAATCTCAGGATTCAAGTCGAATTGCCTCCGTCGCTCCTGAGATCCATCCTGCCCCTAGAATCGTGAGGCTCCCTGATCCTACCTGCTCAGAGCTCTCATTGGAGTCGTCTACCTTGCCGCCTTCCTTGAGCTCGTGGTACTCCAGCAACGACACCGTAAAGGTGCGCGGGAAGTAGCCAATACGCGCAGGATTGTGCACCAGCCGACCGAGCCACCAGTCACTCTGAGCTCCGACTACACTGTGACAATCACGAGTCTTGATACATCATCTGGGCCATGTAGAACCTCCACAAAGTCTCCCGCGAAGAGCCTCATTAAGCGCTGGCCCTCCCTCTTGAACGGCCAGCTCACCTACACATAGTCCTGGTGTGAGTAGTAGACTGAGGAACCTACCGTGGCCGGGTCGAATGAGTGAAGAGCTACTACTGTCTGGGCCTCGACTCCACCAGGCATCATCAAGATGGGTGAGGTGAGAAGTACTAATATTATGATACCGCAAACATTTCTCTCTCCCAATGCCCCCACGCAAGGCGCGCTATCAGGTAACGACGACCAAGCTAGTGTTGTGATACGGCAGAGCGTCACTGTGCCCCATGACATCACTGTTAGCAGCTCGAACATGAAGATCGCCGATCGCACCTTGTCCGCTGAGGAGCCGATGCACTCCTATCGCTCGAACACAGGCACACTTACCATGTTGGGTAGAGCTGGATTACGCTGACTCTCGCCCACAGATCTGTTGGGACGGAAAGAGCCCACTGAGGTGGCACGTGTTGACGTGGAGGACGTCGGGAATACGGGTCAAGAGCTGGTGGGCAGATGATTCCTCACCCTTGATAACGATGCAAAATTTCCCAGGTTGCGTCACAACTTCAATGACTTCTAGGCATCACTGTGTGCCTCTATGGGACGTGCTCAACGACCCACCTCAACCAGAGAAACGTACCAGAAATGCCTGGCCGAGTCAGAAGTCCTCTGAGACGCTAACTGAGGCAGGCTGGCCCTCCATTACGTGCTGCACGAGTGACTGATAGTAGTGATAGTTTGGGGCATGCTGCACATCTCGGGCCCATGCTCTCCTGATATCAGCGACTACCCGCGCCCTATCCCTACCTTAAGACGATCCAGTATGTCTCAACGATCCGACATGGGTGAGCCATTTGACTATGTCGAAGGACCGTACTAGATGAGCTACCACCATCACATTTTCTCCCCATCCCTCATCTCCCCTTAAGGGTGACGTGTAAAGCCTGTGGCAACACGTCCAGGTCGTAATAACAAACTCAACTCAAGGTCGTCCAAAGTAACAGTTGACTGACAGAGCTGTAATTCTACGCGGGCGTGCAGGTCGCCCAATACTGCAGAATGTGGCGCCACATTTGTGCCCATCTGAAGGTCAGCGGCTACGTAAGCTTTGACTAACCAATAGTACAGGACAAGAGCGTCAATCCTTCTATAACAGAGTGAAGGCATCGTAATGGGACCCTCCTCTGAATGCCTATTATCAAATAGTAAACGACCATGACACCAGACTAAAAATGTATCTGAGTCCCATAAGACCAAGCGGAAAGGCACTTATACGTGCGAGCATCAACTCGTTTCGAGCTTAGAAAGCAATCACGGCGCCCTTTACAGAGAATGAAGGCGATAGGATGCATCAAGCAGTAGACTAGGGAAGGTTCATCTAGGGTCCCCCCTGAAATGATCATGAGCTTGTTGGGTAACCGGCACAAGATGATAGGGCCCGCAAGGTATCATGTACGGTGCTGGTACCGGGACAACCCTATTGATGTCACCACCCACGTCCGTGTGAGGAGGAGGGAACGGTAGGAAACCATTGGGGACAGGGTAAGGCGAGTACACGAGTTGAGGAGGTGAAGCCCCCGAATACGGAGCATTAACTTGATTAATGAAATAATAACCTGGATAATTGAGAAGCCCTGGTTGTCCAGCAGAGGAGAGGTCGCGAGAATCTCTCAAGTACCGCTCCCGCCCATTAGTGTCGGAGTCTTGAGTTGGGGAGAAGAGCTCCTCAGAGCCGTCCTGATGGCCAACAATACAAGTGTGCCGTGAGCTGTTACGGCAATCGTGATCGAGATCAGGAAGCGTGGTAGATGCAGAGCTGACTTTGCTCGAAGAATGATCCCCAAGATGAGAATGTTCAACCACTTCAACGTTATCTCCGTTGGACAAATCGTCGGGACCGAGATCAGATTGGCCGTGAGCATACCGGCACTTGCTGCCTAGCTTGCAACAACCCGATTCGTAGAAGGAGCACATCTTAGTCTTGAAGAAGGCATTGGTCGACCTAATCTGTCTGATATCGTGTGCGTAGGGGCATCGTTTGCGATCAGAACACGCGCCCTTTTGGAGCAGTGATTGACACATACGCGTCTTTGAGAGGTCCGGCTTCGCCCTCAGTTCCCCTTCGGAATGAGCATGGCTACAGGCATCTCCTTTCTTGCAACGACCGTTCAACATGAACCTGCACATCTCCGTTTTATAGAACTGGTTGAGGTACCGATCGTGCCAAGCATCGCGATTGTTCACGGAGGACTTCTGAAGCCTGCTCATGTTAACAACAGAAAAAGCTGTGAACTTCAAGTAACGCAGGTAATCATGCAAGGCAAAATACCCATGCTGGGATTCGAACCTGCGTCACCAATATGATACGCGTGCCCAAGTGATGTGACCAAGCCTGCCAACGAAATTACCTGCTTGCCTACTTCCACTAATCATGGACACTACATCAGCTCCACAAATAATCGAGCATATCAATGAACCTCTCAATTTCACTCCTTTCGACGTAAGCCAATCAACTGCTTCATCTGACAAAATGAGCCCGCCACTCGTAGTGACTGTAGTAGTTTAGCATCCCTTCTAGCAAAGATATGTTCTGTACATGCCGACATAGGTTCGTTGGGTACCCCGATCAGCCCGATTTGCTCTGATGGGGCAGTTCCCAAAGGCAACGGGGGTTGTTCGTATCTGCGAGATGGATCAAGGCAAACTCACGAAGTTGATAGAGAAAGAATGGCCTGTTGGTAGTCTCCCCCACAGAGACTTCAGTCGCTCGGGCCAGCTATGCTCTTGCCTGTAGGGGTCAAGTGTGGAACATTCGCGGCCTCCCCTTCCTACGACGCTAGACATCTGGCTATCGGTGACTACCAAGGCCGCCTCACTATTTTCGACGTGGATCGTATGGACAAACCATCCTTCAGTGTCAAGGCTCACGGCTCAATAATCAACACTGTTGACGGTAACAACAATACACCCTCAAGCAGATGAAAATTCTCTTCGGCTACAGACTGTCGAGAAGTGATAGCGTCCCACCAATGCATCGTGTCTCAGGATGCAAAGGTCCGGGACCAGTCGAGATCGTAACCGGATCTAGAGATGGCAGCGTGAAGATATGGGATCCTCGAACACAAGACCCAGTGGTCTGCCTCGAGCCAGTGACCACACCTCAAGATAATCGTTAATCGTCTCTTTGTGGTGCTCATATTATAGGTACCTGATGCTCGAGCTGCAAGTGCCGGGGTGTCAGTAGCAGATTGCTGGGCCGTGGCCTTCGGGAATGCGTATAACGAGATCGAACGGGTCGTCGCTGCAGGGTAGCAATAGCCTCTATAGGGCTCCCTGCCACCGGTTGGACGAGCGAACCAGTTACGATAACGGCGACATCAAGCTATTCGACCTCCGCACGATGCAGCTTCGATGGGATACTAACGTGAAGAACGGCGTGACTCATGTCGCCTTCGATAGGAAGGACATCAAAATGAACAAGCTGGCAGTTAGCTGCCTCGAAGCTACCATGATAGTTTACGATATGCGTAGGCTCGACTCATCGTATGTTACAACGCATGACCTCGGATAGCTCTAGTATTCTGTTCTTCCCGACCACCTCTATATAACACTGTATTCCCATAGAGTCGATGAATGGTCGTAGGAACCTATAATCCAACCTCTGGCTACAGTGGATGCCTTGAGAAAGTTCTTACCAGAGGGGAAAACCAGAAAAATCAGCCACAAGGAGGAGCTGGTGGGGTCTAAGCACTAGACAAGGAGTTCGCCGAAGCAAGGCATTTCAGGCACTGTTTGGGGCTGCCATTTCCTGCCACAAAACCGTGATATCTGGTGCACTGCTGGGGGATCGGGCGGCCTCTTTTTGTGAGTCTAACACCCACTATGAACCCCGGTTTTACCTTGGCGTGTCGCTGCTTATTTAGTGAATGCGTTCAGACAGGCACAAATACAATTATCCAATGGAACGCGAGACGCGTGATAAGAACAACAATCCTCTTGGTGAGGCCCATATGGTGCAATGGGGGGCGATTCCTCCACAGGTGTTGCTGGTACCTGTGAGCTATTGAACCAACGTGATGTATCGACACAGCCCATCATCGCCTTCGATTGGCATCCCGACAAGGAAGGTTTAGCTGTTATGGGGAGTCTCGATCAGACTGTCAAAGTGGCTATTTGTGAGTTGAATACTGAACGCCTCTCTACTTCAGTTCACACTGCATTTCACCACCGCCGTGTTCCTGATTCAGGCACGAAGCTGAACCTGTACTGATCCTCTGGCCCTAGCTCGTGCGATGGTTTCCCATGCTCTGATCACATCTGCTTTGTGTCTCACAAGGCCTTGTGTTGGCGAGTTACTTATCATACGGGTTGTAAGCTGCGAAAATGCTTCTCATCGCGCATTATGCGCGGCACATAACTTGGTGAAGAGTGTGGAACACAACACCCTGGATATAGGGTTGAGTTAACTTAGTATATACAAATCAATGGAATAGCCCTAAGCTACGGGCTGAGCTATGGGGACAGCTGTATCACAATATGCTCCACAAGAGCGACAGAGTCTCGCAGCTCTAGGTAGGGGCCATCAGCAAAGCGGGGTAAACCATCAACTATATCGCCGTGCTAGCCGTCATTGAGGTGTCTTACGAGCCTACTAGCCTCTCATTCTAGAGGCCATGAAGGATGTTTAGGAACAGGCAAGCCATGAATGGTCTGTGTCACCGACGACAGTTAAGCCAACTCGCGCAAGGAATTCATGTTATCAACGCGGAAATGAGAAAACTCGATCCTTCTGATGCTACTCCGTGAAACAAGCTTGAGATTCGAACGAAGTACACGATAGATTATCGAACGTCGACCAATGGGTTCCGGAGTGGTTCCAGGTGAGAGTACTGCGTCGTGCGTAAGGTACTCGATATTCGAATGGTCAACACGCATACTACAGGAGCGCCTCGTGGTGATGGACATCTAACGACTGTTTGACATCCACCGTAGCCTCGTCGTGTTACTCGACGACAAGATTTTCGTTGAGTCATTTCATCGAGGCCTTGGCCCCGAGGTGGCCTCCAGAGGAAACCAGCTGCCTGGAGAGCGACCAGCCAAGCGTTGGCTTGATCGAACCATGAGCGGCACCTCCACAATCAGTGCAGCGCATGATGACTCTCCCCGAAATGTCCGGCTCCCCTGCTAGGAGATGGTCGTGGAGCACACCACGTCATCGAGTAGAGACACCCATGAGATTCCTCTCGAAAGCACGTGAGACAACTCGTTGGTGTTAGGCTGTTGGAGCAATGAAACGCTGCCCCTTTCGATACGCCGTAAGCTATTCCTCTCGTGTGTGCAGGAAGACAGTCGCAACCAACGAGTGGAGACATAACCGTGACACAGCAACGGCTTGGAGAGGACGGCAAAACAACTATCGAATCAGTGAGGAACGGCTCTAGCAAGTTGCGAATTATTCGCTGCATAATTTCCTGGATGATAGGGTTTTCAAGCTTCTCTTAGGATGGCAAGCATTGAATTTTCAGGGTTGCGAGATTGACGGCAGTAAAGCTTCACGACTAAAGAAGACAAATGTGACTGACAATCTCGATGACGACGTAAGAGTAGACATTGTCTGCCTGGATTCTACTCGAGGAGAAATCCATCATCAGGTCACACGCTTGTACATGGAAAATCTGGAAATGAACGGAAATGAGGAAACTGCGAGGAGGAAGCCTACCGCCGTTCTGTCATTCATCGGTGAGTCGCAGTGCCATAGTGGAGTTTCACCCATGGAGTGGAGTGGCGTGAAGCTCGGTGAAAAGCGCGATACTCGCGCTGTGCAGTGGTCGTGAAATATATTTTTCACTAGTGTTTTTCATATCACGGGTGAAACTCCAGTGTATGGGTCGTACTGACGAGCTCGAGCTGCCCACCGGGTAGTGCCCGTTGGCCATCTCTCCCCTCCTCGCAACCATCTAAGGCTGCACCATTGCTTCTTACTGTACGAGTATTCATGTGGTTAGATCAGATACTGGGAAAATCCATGCCTATGGGGCACGTCCTATGGACATCGAGGGTAATCCCCCGAGTGCAAGCCTCTCCACAAGGGAGGAGAACCTTTGTGACATTCTCTGTTCTGAAATCGCCTTCCTCGAACGCAAGCTACAACGCTCGCAAGAGTACGAGCTCCCGGTATGTCCGTCATAGATGTTGTACGAGGTACCACAAATGTGGAGAATCGTCACCGCGGGTGGCAATCGGAGACGTGTCGCCCTCAGGCAGCGCTTCTCCGCCAGGTAGGACGTACTGAACTAAGCCCTGCCCTCCGGTTTTGAAGTCGAACCCCACTCGATAGGTGCAGCGACGCCCTCATCCATCGGTGGATGGAGTTTAGAGGATGTATCTCGGAGATGTGATGCCCTCGAGGGAGAGATGCAGGAGATCAAGGCTCGCCTGGTGAGAAGTGGAGTTGACGCTGTATGATCATAGACTGCATTTCTCTCAGCCGACTCAGGGTTCGACATCAGGGAGGGGTATGTTGGAGAAGGCTGTTGAGACGGCCTCTTTTAATGATGGTAGAGTCGCGAATAAGATTAGGTGAGACTCGCTCAATGTGGGAGTTCTAATGCATGCGGAGCCTCGTAGTCGTATTTCCATCAGGCTACTGGAGGAAGAACTGCACCGTATCAGAGGTGAAGCTGAAAAGTGGAAGGTCACTTCTGCCCAATATGACTGGCTGCGCAGTCGACGACTCAGGCCGCGTATTATCGACTCAAGGAAGAACAACAGGAACTCATCGAAGCATCATACGAGGATGAGAAAACCCTTCGCAAGCTATCAGAGCAGGTATTCACCTCAACTCATGATTCCTCCCCCTCTACGATAAACCCGTTAACATCGGGTTTCGGCAAGAATTTCGTTCCGGTCAGGTGTGTAGGTTGCAGGAACAGTTGTCTAGAAGGGAAGAGAGGTCGTTGTCAGCGAGCAAGTATCATATTAAGGAAACACTGGAGCTTGCTCATCCTCACCGCTATTCCTCGCTGGCCAGTAGTCGTATCACCTACAGCGGCCTCAAACAACGTCGATCATCTTCCCATCGTTGAGATACCTCATGATAGGCTATCAGTAGGGGCCGTTGTCATTCCTCATCGTATGAACGAAGTTCTCGTTGCTAATCAGTGTTGTGTCCAGTGTAATACTTTTACTCGAACACAAGACGAGACAAGGCACTGCTTGTCAACTCACAACCGGAAGCGTATCGGCTTAATATTAGGCACAGAGTTAACATGCAAGTGTTCCGATGAAAGTATACATGATGATGAATGCTGAACTGTCTTCACACAGTTTAAGGATAAGCCGCGACTCATCTGATACTGATCAAAACGAAGAGTACCTCAACCAACGCTGGAAGATACGGCACTAGTATGATAAAGCAGGTGAATTGTGTTCGAGTGGCAGCTGATTTGTCACTGCCGAAGTCGAAAGCCGGCGTTCGTTGTGCGGTTCCGCAAGCGTCCTAAAACTTTCATCGTTCCATGCAGCTGAAACCATTGTGAGGAATCGGTGATAAGAGTCGTATCATAGGACTCAGACTCGTGTAGTAGACGACTTACAGGGGTTATCGCCTCTTGACAAGAGAGGGCTTCCTGCCCTATGTACGCCAAGACAGGGACGGATTTCGCTAATATCGCAGCTGAATTCACGCCGCACGCATTGACAGCCCAGCGGCAAGTGGGATGGTCATTGCAAGCGTCTGAAGCACTAAGTGGATTGTGACACACACTTCACTGAACGCACCCTGGTCGTACAACATTTTGCAGATCTGGTAATAATCTTCAGACATGAGATGGAAAAAAGTGCCCCGATGGGAAGAATCTCGGCGAACACGGTCTACGAGGCTAGACGTACCTAAACAACGACTCAACTTCAAAACTTCCACATAAACAGAGAGCTACGAGAGAAAACACAAGTGCCCCAAGGGGCCCGCCATGTACAGCGGTCGTCCGAATCGCAGCTCGCCTGTCCGGTATAGGCCGCGCAAACCTCGCAGGCTTGATCGAAATAAGACTGTGTAGAATACACGGATGCACTTACTAAAGGACTTATTTCATACCCTCGTTATTTCATCAAGAGCTGCCACGTTAGCGGCGGCGTACAAGTGACAAACTCGGGAATCGGATAGAGCACAGCCTCCTTGTATCTCCTGAGCAACAGTCTTCGGGACAATAACACCCATTTCGAAAGAATGAGGTGAAAGGCTCATGGCTGGCTCACATCCCAGTGGCAGAAGCGAGTAGACCAGGAGCTCAGAGAAGTGTGCGACCATGTGAGGAAAAGCAACCAACGATGCATTCTCAAACTGCGACATCGTGTCAACGGCATGAACTCTGAACGATGACTCTCCTCTTCGAAGTATACCTCGCGGATGCCTTGCAGACTGCAGAGTGCAAGTTGCAGTGCGCGGTAAGCGCAGATCCCTCTAGACAGCATCGACAGGTGCATGAGTGCAGATTGAATTATCCAGTCTCTGATGGGATACTATACTATGTACCGTGGCTCTAGGCTTCAAGACGCGAATTTCAAGTTCAAGCGTGTTGATCTCTTAAACCGAGATTGTGACTTAGCTTGGTGCAGATGAGACCCATCATAATATCTACCAATCATTATAGACAAACACAACAGTGTAAAATGCTTTCAGCATGGTACACGAATAGTTCCGAAGGATGTCTGCTGCTGAAGATGTGGAGAGAAAACGAGTTGGAAGGGGGAAAGTTGCATATTACGCAACACGTAACCTGCATTGCGAAGCATCAATCTCCAAGTCTTGGAGTCCAAGAGGTTACCTTTTGATCACGAAGCAGAGGTGCTTACGATCAGCCGCTGAATCGCGGGCACGGTTTGCTCACTTCTAGACAGCTCACGATTCAGCTAAGAGCTAACGATACACTTGTTGTAGCCAGACTTTGATTTCCTTGTTATTTATCTGAGAAGCGAAAGATTTACGAACGACTTATTCAACTATCATATATCTGATAATATATGATGTGTTGATCACATCAAATATTTCTGTCATCCCTCAATATAGATTGATGATTAAACCAAACTCCTAGTTGTTGGGTTCTGCGGCACAATGCGTTTTGCATTCAACCTTGTAACATACTGTGTTAAACATAGCATCAACAATCTCACTGGTCACCAGTGACTAGCTAAGCTTGAACCGTTGAAGCCGGTTAGTGGTTCTTCAAAAACCGTTCCTATGACTCCTTGTCTCCTTCGGATTCTCCTTCGAACCATCGATGTACAAGACCCAGTTGCACAATAACCTAAATGACTGAGTGCCGAATGCAACATAGTTCTCTCGGTAGACGTAGATCTCCCAGTCAATATCTTGCAAGAGCCTCGTTCTTGAAAAACAGCACTCCTGTTCGCTGGGGATTTGCGAGCGTTCTGAATACCGAGCCACTCATGGATACCAGAGTCATCGTCACGCATACAAGGATACCCATCAGCAGATAGACCTCTCTCGTCGTACTGGGTGCGACTGGCCAAAGTGTTCGGGAAATGTGATCTCAACCCTAGTTTTTCCACGCCACGGACTCCATGGTAGGTTAAGTGAGCGGCAGCATCATCGCTGGATTTGATGCTTCGCACCGGAATTTCCGGTCCGGAAACCGTCGAGGAACTACACTATTCCACAACATAGACAGCTCGAACTCGAGTCTGGAGTTATCTTCAAGCTTCTGCTCGGACGCGGGGGTCGATGTACAAAGAACTTGGTGGTACGAGTGGTACGATAAACTATAATTCGCTCATCACAAAGATATCGCCACTAGGAACCGTGTACTACACGGCATCTAGCAGTGGTACACGCAGTGCACACGGCTACTGGGAGCCTCAGTCTGAGACTCTCTAACTATAGCATTTTGAAACCCGAGTCGGGCTTTGACCAGCTCAGCACCTGCCTGGTAGTTTCTACCGTAGTATCCACTGGGCCGATCAGAGCGGCTGCGCAACGGTAACCTCCGAACATTATTCGGCGAACACTGAGTTTGGCTACGAATAGGAGGATGGGAAACAAGGCTACGCTCGGGCGATGAAATGTCTAATGCACGGCAAAGGAAGTTATACTTCTCAGTGAGAAGTATAACTTCCTTTCCCGTGCGAAGTTCTCATTGCTAGAGCCGTTCCTTTCATTCACAGGAGCCCTGCGGCTGGACAGCTCGCTTTGGGCTCCCCTTCTAGCCGAATTTGACTCGCAATTTGATACAGGCAAAATCAAAAGAAGCTCTATGCCATGAGGAACTGCTAACTTGTAGACTTGAGCTTGCCAAGCTCTGCTTGGGATGGTCGGCACCTCGTGCACTCCAGTATTCGACTCGGAAATCGTCCGATAAATGGCGTCTATACTTGAGAGACTAACAGTTAGGCCCTTACTGATGATATAATCTATCGTATCTCGCGTCGTGAGACCCACTTTATACAAATTCGTTGTTCACACAATGAATCGCGAGCAAGAGAATACTGATCTTCTTAACTGTTTGTCTTACACAAAAAAGGTAACTAGCAACCTCCTCCTGGCCTTCCGAATAGCAGGCAATGCCTGATCCGCAATCCTTGTAGCTTGGGCTTCGTGAACCTGCACGACACAGTGACGCCCATGTGGTTACGTAATAGCTTTTATAGCTCTTCCCCTGTTACCTATCCAACTGAGGCTCCTGGTACCTATCCAACTGAGGCTCCTCGATCGAATCCTGGCCCTATATACACCCTATGAGTTGTTGAGCCTCCAAGGAAGACCTGATGTCTGCACAGGAGACGAGGTGCCTGCTAGGGAGGCTAATAATCCATCCCCCTCGTTCGGTGATAGTAGCAGCTAGTATGAATAGGGGAAGGTGGCGACCAAGAGCCTGACAATGTAAAGGAGCCCTAGTAAGAGCAACACAGATGCCAGACATCTGCTCGGGACGTCTCGGTGGTCGTAGCGACCCTTGCCGATATTGACATGATAGAACCATTGAAAATGTGGCGCTGAATGATGAGCCATCAACGATGAGCTCCTAACCAACACAAGGGGCTACGCTAGGAGGAAAGCGCCTTATGGCTTTCAGTTCTCCTCTTTGGCCCCTGCACAATGTGCAGAGAAGGAAAGTAGAAAAAGTACTATACAGAAATTCTCCAGTACGATAGGGCTCTAATGCTGATAGTAGAACACATTCCAGGGATGCTTTGGTGTGTAGCTCGCACCATTGCTGGTCGCAAGCCAGCAAAACGTCAGTCCAGACATGGTTATCTAGTGAATGACTGTAGAAATCGGATATTTATAATGTGAAAAGCCTTCTGGCTCCCTGATGGACCACAAAGCAAAGATAGTACAAGTAAAGTGAGCGCAGGGCCAAAGGCGCCCGTGCAACTCTAAATCGAATAAGCGGAGAGAATAATTCGCTAATGACACAACAAGTATGCAGCAGCAACGGCAACCGCGAAAAGCATACTGAATTTTACCAGGGACTTATGCGAAATGGTCCCAGTTATTTGAGGTACTACGGTGATTGACACCGTCAATTTAAACAGTGATAGGCTCAATCGCTAAGCTCATCGAAAACGTGGCGATCCCATTGGCAATCGCGACCGAGGGCGCGGACATGCTCACAGGACTCTCAGCATCCTCCATCCGTGGCAACGCCTCCTCAATCAGACCACGATCAGTGGAGCCGCGAGAAGATGTGCCACTTCCATCGGAGCGACCCTCAGAACGATGCAACTGACTCGGAGGAATAGGATGCAGCACCTCATCACCACCCGCCCTTCGAATGAGACCCAGCATTTCGATACCTTCCCGACCTGATTAGAGTCGATCGTCTCCTCATTCGATTAGGCAATACTTACACATATAGCATCGAGTGGTCGTTATTACCAAGTCCTTAGCACATCCCTCGCAGAGTCCACCGTGACCACAGGGTACAAAAACTACGGTCGCGAATCCATGCATACATATCTCACAAAGATGTGCGACCTGACTCCACAGTACCAACTTACGAGTGCTGATGACAACATTGCTACCTTCTCATCGGTGGAAGCTTCTTTTGCAATAGAAACATCATCACTCACGTCCCCATCCTCTCCCCTACTAGGCTCCTTCGCAGTCTCACGGACACTACAAATGCGAAAGTAAGTACCTGCGGGCCGACCAAAGACCATCGTGATGTGCATCCAAGAAGCAAAAGCAATAGCTATTGCTGAGCAGTAGCCTACTGGAGAGGCGTTCCAAACTGCAAACCTCATCACAACGCTCCGTCGCGTTCTTCTCTAGAGCTGCTACAGCTGCCGATTCCTTCTCTTGACAAGTCTGAATGTATCCAATCCTACTCCAACAATACCCCGGGAAGGACCATGCAAGGTGCAAGATTCTCTCAGTTCTCAGTTTTACCCAAACTCTACCGCGCTCATTCTCCTCACACCTTGCTGGAGACAATCCCGACACATCGCAGCCTCGGAAGAGGTCTCCCGATGTACCCTTATTGCTCGGCCACAATCAGTGCATTGCCCTACCTGCGTCGGAGAATTCGACGCAGGTAGAGCAATGCACTGATTGTGACTTCGACTCGAAGTGTGCTCAGTCGCCCGAGTGATCTCGCAATCATTTCCATGAGGTATCACTCTCATCTCACACACTATAGTTGCGAACTTCATAACCATAGTTATATTATGACTTAATTATCAATGATAATTTATTGTCACTTACGATATAAACTATAACTCTGCTCAGGACATTTCCATCTCAGACAACGCACGAGCGAATCTGGCACGACCGAAGACCCTCTCATCCGGAATATTACCACAGTGTTGCGATGCCTCCACACTCCGCATAGCAAGGGTACTAAAAGATACAATATAACAGTAACAGAGATGAATAAAACGATAGCCGTCACAGCGATAGACCAGACCGCCCATGCAGGGAAGCCGCTGGCTGCATCCGACACTCGACGCAGGTTTCCATGGCTCGTCGAGAGCAGCACAGATAGAGTCATAAGAGAACGGCTATCAAATAAAATACCTGCAGAATAACCCATCCGACAGCAACTCTGGTTCAACCAAAAATTCTCGACTAATGGCTCATCCAAATAACATCTTGAACCACAAAGAGGAAGTACCAAACTCTCAGTAGCAAACGGTGCCAAATCTAGTCGACTCATCGCTCCTCATTATCACAGATAAGACATTTCTGAGAAATGTGAGAGGTGATTTCTCTCGTTACTCTGAGACAAATTCAACTCGCGATTTGATAAACGCAAACCAAATGCAACAGTTGTCATCCGAGAAACTGCTGAACTATAGACTTGAGCTTGGGATAGGCGTCCTCTCGTCCACTCCAATGTTCCACTCGGAAACCGCCCGATACAACTAACTGCGTTCATATAGAACTTAAGAGCCTTACTGTGGTATGTGATCTATTGTACCTCACAATATACAAATTATTCAAATCATGAATTACTAGTATGACAGTGACGATGTCAAGAGCCTTTCTTATCAACCGGCTGATATTCTTCTCGCAGTGACCAAATGCCTTGCCCTCGGTCCGAGCGCTGGAAGCAACACATTTCTTGTAAGATGTGTCGGAACAGCTTGCGGTGAGTTCTGAAGAAATTTCGATCCGACAGGCTCGATCGCCAACGCCCTTTACTCACGCAGGCACGTATCGATCCATGGCGTCGAGTAGCTCGCTAGTAGAAGATGCATAGTACGACCGAGAGGAGAGAAATCGGACGAGATGATCCATGATACGAGACTCTATAGTCGATGAGACGGATGACCTAAGATTGAGAGTACTAGGAAACAACTCTCAGCAGTTACTTCGCCGCTCCTGGCATCATGGCTTCACCGCGCTGCTCGGGTTCTTCCTCAGCCGTCACATCGGCAAGTAGTGACATACTCTGAGCCATGGCCCCTGCTTGTCCGGTCTTACCCGTCCATGTCGGCACCTGGCACCCAGACGGAGAGCTCTACCAGTAACCGGATGGGATCTTTAAGAGACTGTCTTACATGAGATGGGTAATTAGAAACCTCATCCTGACTCCTCCGGATAGCAGCTAATGCCTGATCCGCAATCCTGGTAGCTTGAGCTTCGTTTACCTGCACGATACAGTGACACCAGTTCGGAAACACAGCAGCTTTCCTGCTACCTGTGACCTATCCAACTGAGGCTCTTCGATCTGATCCTGATCCCATATACACCCTATGAGCTGCTGAGCCTCCAAGGAAGGTCCGCTATCTGAACGGGAGCCTAGATGCCCGCTATGGTGGTCGATAATCGATCACCTTCGTTCGATGCTGGCTCCTCGGAAGTGTCACCTTCCTCGGACGGCGAAGGCGTTGGGGTCGGCGAGCCCTTCACAGAGTACGATTGCTCCCGAGTTAAGACGTACCTATTGAATATGCATTAGCTACAAGCCAGAAGTCCTGTAAGCCACTTTTCTTTGATCCAGCCGCGGTCTCGAGGGGCCCACCCAGGTGGCTCCGGAGGGGTCCTGAACAGCTCCTCCAGCCCACTCCAGTACTCGGCACCTGATTGATCATCGCTGTCCAGCGGAAATTGCCGCTCGACAGAATCGATAAGAAACTTACGTCTTTGCCTAGGGTCCGAGAGGATCTTCTGCGATAGGTAATGTTTGAAGATCTGTTTCTTATACATTGATTCCTCTACTGTACCTAGTACCATCACTCGAGCACATCCGAGCACATGTCAAAAGAGGCAGGTATAGGGGCTACCCATCGCAATGAGCCTGTAGATGAGGACTTCATTCTTCTGTCCAATCCTCCAAGCCCTCTCTCGAGCCTGGGCATCAGTCATTGGATTCCAATCAGGATCGAAAATGACTATCCGGTCTGCTCCTGTCAAGTTGAGCCCAACGCCTCCAACACGCGTACCTGCAAAGCACGACGGCTATCACAGCTTAGGCTCCCACAGATCCCTACTCAATAGCATCAGCTGGGGTCCTTCTGGCGAATTGAAGTCATCCACGATATGAGCCCTATCCTTTACCTAAGGATATGGAGCTTGCAATACTTCAAAGAAGACCCTATCGGCACGGACAGGAGTCGAACCATCCATTCGCGAACAGGTCCATCCTTTCTCGTCCACCTTCCGCTCCAGTATATCGAGCATACCCAGTGTTTGGGAGAATATCAAAACTCGATGACCCTGCGGGACCCACTTATCCAGTATCTGGCCACACTTGATCAGCTTGGGTCTTCGACCGTGAGAGCCCTACCTTGAGTAATACAGACAATTTCCCGCTGCGTTGTTCGGAGCCATAACCCCCATCAGCTTGCACACCAGGATAGAGTAGCATGTCTGGATGGTTACATATCCTCCGAAGAATACCAAGGTAGAACAGCGACTCCGGAGGAAGGGTGGTTTTGCCTCCTGACAGAGGAGGCATCTCAAAGGCGAGATCCAGCAGTGCCTACGCTCATTCCGGCTGTGACCGTAGCGGCGTTGGATGGAGGAGCCCGTGGTGCAACGCACATTACTGAGGACCTCACAGTACACCTCGAATTGCTCTGGAGCTAGGTGGCAGAATAACACCTACGACGAGCCTTTGAGTGGTGGAGCGGCGACTAATGAGCTCACCTGCTCACTCTTCCGCGGTAAGGCGAGGATGTCCTGCACGTCGGCTTTGAGCCGCCTAAGAATGAGGGGCATGGTAAGGTCCCTGACAACCACGGCACATCGATAGGCTGCAGTCGTAGCTGTTGGGCTCGCATTGGGCCGAGTGCCTGTGATCCACGATGATCGCTTGAGGGGCATCCGAGGCGGACGTACCCCTCTCAATTGGGGTGGCCAACTCCTCTTCAAAGGTTGGGAGGGAACCCAGCCTCCCAGGCGCGACAAAGTCACAGATCGACCACAACTCTCGTAGGGAGTTCTGTATCGGTGATCCACTCAGTGCAATACGATGGGGCTGACGACCACCGAATTTCCACAGCTCCAAACCGGAATATATCCTCTCACAGTGTTCATCCTTTTCACTCGCTGAGTGATGCCACTGTCAGGGTTCCGAATCTTCTGCGCTTCGTCGAGCACACAGACACTCCAGACATATTCAAAGAGGATATCTCCACAGTATCGGCGATAGGCTTCAAAAGAAACCACAAGAATCCCACTACATTCACCTGGTGGAAAAACGACCGCGGTTTTACTGCACGAATGCGCGTCAGACTAGCACTCACTCATCTCCTCAGCGGCCTCTCTCTTCTCTTCGACTGTCGATCCGCTCGTCCAGCCCGTTATGCGTAGACCACAGTCAACTGAATTGCCAGATACATCACCAACAAGGAGGCCGAGACACCCACCTCCTCCCCAAGAGAGGATCTCCTGTTCCCACTGTTGGACGAGTGTTGCTGGGCAGATGATCAAGACACCACCACAACTCGTGTCGCCTCCTACTCCCGCATGCGTACCTGCCACTACAATGACGCCTATAAGGACCCCCTTGAAATCACTTCGGGCCAGCGTCGATCTCAAAATACCCGAAACATGGAGACTAATGAGGAACGCTGTAGTTTGTATCTACTCAAGGAGAATGTTCCACAGTCATCTCAGAGACGCCTCACCGTCTTGCCCAGTCCCATCTCGTCGGCCAGCAAGGCGCCCGACCCCTCTCTCCACCGATTCCACAGGAACTTCACTCCCTCTTTCTGAAAAGGGAACCTACCATGGAAGAATACCGGATGCTCGAAATAATGCCCGATCGAACTACAGCTTATCCCAAATCGCGAAGGGACACTCGAACTGAGGCCACCGCCGATCAGCGGGAGAGACAACGGCCTGAAATGAAGACCGGTGAATCGATGAGCTCCACTGCTGGACGTACACGTTTTTCGCCTCCATCCTTAATTTCAACAGTATCCTCTCCACCATGCAATCCCAGCTGCAGCGTTCCTTTCTGTCTCCTCGATAGGGCCTTTCGGCGCCTCTTAGATGGGGAAAGAGAGCCCGTCGAGGACCCCTTCTACGAGGAGTGCACGGCTAGAATCAATGCTGTCCCTCCTACCAGTCGCTTGCGGTTGACGCCGCCCAGCCCTGGGACCAACGAGCGGCCAGTGAGCAATACGCGATGCGGAGTATCCGATGACGATGATGTGGCCGCAGGGATATTCTAAGTGCGATCAGTAGGGCGGACACTCCGAATGATCCCTCACCTCAGCCGCGCTAGGAATACCGTGGAAGAGCTCCTTTTTCACCGGCTTGGACTCGGCGACATCCTCAATTTCGAGGTCCGATCCGCTGCTACTACTACCGGGAGAGTCCTCCTCACTCGGGGTAGCTGCCGGGCTGGGCTCCAGACCAAACTTCGAGCGCAGATTTCGAAGCTTCGAGTCGGAGCTCGATGAAGACTTCTCTAGGCACGATACCATCCATCGCCGAGATCGAGCGCAAGAGAGCTCACTTCCTCGTATACCACGCTCCTTCTTCTTCTGCTTCTCTAGAGCTTCCTCCACCTCCCTCTCAGCCTCCATCTCCAACTCCCACTGCGATACTTGTTTACCAATCCCATCTAGACCTCCGATGGAGTCGGGCGTCACTGAGTCGTCCACTTCTAAGAGCAAAGAGATCCGTTCCACCAGTCGGCACAGAGAATGGCTGAGTCAAAGGGGCTATGCTTTGGACCACCATCGAGGCTTGTCAAGATAAACCCAGAGACACACATTCAATCACAAGAGGTTGTAGAGGAGGACCATACACAGGCCTCGAGGAGAGCCATCACAGAATGAGTACTGTACCGCTCAGCAGCATCAACTTCAGAACGTACTAAAAGACCCAGCGGTACAGCGAGTAGACCCTCACCTGGTACTGATGGCGAAGAGCTCTCCTCGCTCACTCTCTCGCTCGAGTCAGTTGGTGACACTGCCTCACCAGCCATGCGAGAAAGTACAACCTTCCTAAGATACTCCCTGCCACACTCTACGATAGCCCGTCGTAAGCGAAGTCGTGAGCTAACCACACCCACATTCAAGAGAGAAGATCCCGTCCTCTCCACTACAGCCTTACAACAGCCGAGATCCCCCCACATCGAGTTCATCACACTTCCAACGCAGCTCAGTATCACGATATTGAGAACAATGCTAACATCAGTCCAATATACTTCTTTCCCTATGCACTTGCATGTCGACTTCCGACCTGCCGACCTGGTTGTCGCTGTGCGGCCCTTCTACCCTGGGCCGCATCATTGAGGATCGGTACGACCCCGGTAGGGCGAGTCAACGCCGACACCATTCTGGAAGGACTCATTGACTCGACCTGCGACAAAACAAGCACCGGAAAATGTGGTGGAGAAATAACTCAAACCATCACGACTAAACACTGCCAACTCTAGTGGACTCAGCCACCCAATGTTCTCTATCTCAGCAGCTCTGATTTCTCGTATAGAACTGTCGAACTGTTCAACTAGAGTGAGATGCCCAAACTCCGCAGCAGCAGCATCCACTGCTAATACAGTCTCTACTGGAGTAAGAGCAGGGAATTTGCTAGAAAGAGCATCCCAAAGGCCTGCGTGAGGCATCCACTCCAACAACAAGCTCCTGGTCTCTGAATCCATTCTTAACCGTACAAAGTAAACTCAGTTTACTAAACTGGTATCCGAGAGAGAGCATGAGCTGCAGGCACCAGCGAAGAGAACTCAAACTCTGCCGTCTTCTTCAACACCTACTACCCGGACGTCTCCTCCCTGGACAGATCTGCCTAGCCGGTCGGAGCAACAGTGCAGCTTACTTTACCATCATTTCAACTACTCGTAAGAACTCTTCCGACGGCATAGTGAATAGCTACATCATTCGCATCGATACACAAGGCGAGTTCGGGACTATTTCTCCTGCTCAGACGCGACCTACAGCATGTAGGGCTTGATCCACTTGCCCTACGGTGGGTAGAGGTAGCTTGTAACCATTGAGGAAGATGGCTACCAAGAGGCACACAATGTAGAAGAGCCCCAGTAAGAGCCGTATAGATCACAGACGTCTTCTCGGGCGAGATCCTTGCAGCCGCTGCAGATGATGGGATAATGGCATCGAAAATGGGGTGACCGAATGATGAGTTCGTCTAGCAGATTCTGACTAAAAAAAAGACAACACTTGGGTGAAGGTGGTGCCTAGGGCCCTGTATTCAGTCCTCATCGTCGTGTAAGGAAAGCCTTCTGACGCCCTGATGTACACGCAAGTCTCGGGAGATGCACTAAATAGTAGCGGCCACAGCGAAGCCAGGCCAGACCGTCCATGCAGGGCAGCCGCTGGCTGCATCCGAGACTCGACGCAGCTCGTGGAGAGCAGTACAGATAGAGTCATAGGAGAACGGCTATCAGATAAAACAGCTGCAGAATAACCCATCCGACAGCAGCTCTGGTTCAACCAAAAACTGTTAGAGTAACAAGTCAAATAACACCTTCACTCGAAATCACCTCCATTAGATCGGAAAATATAACCTAGCGGACTTCGCAACACCGAAGTCCCCCACCCCAGACTGCCAGAAGTCTTATGAGCATTTTCAACCTCATCCTTCAGCTCTCGGAGTAATCTAAGACACCCGGAGGAAGAGGGTCGTCCCCATACTCTTCCGCCACAGAGCCCTCCGAGCTTCCATCTAGGACGATACAGGGAACCACCTCCCCTCCAGTGTTGCCACCATCTCCCGGGTCCACAGATCTAGTCCCGTCCGTCCAACTATCAGATTCATGAGATTCATCGCGTTCCACAGCAGCCTCTGTCCGCTCTATCGCAATGACCTCAGGGTCCTCCACGGAGCGAATGATGTCTCCTATCCGTTCATTCTGCTCCACATTGAATCGTTCCCCCGTCGAGCGGTCTCTCACTTGAAAGTCCCACAATGCACCCTCTGCCATCTTACGGAAGCATGGATGGTCGAAGAAGCACCTGTATACACTTCGACTCAGCCACACCTCAGCGAAATCCGATTCAGGCTCTCTGTTGGTAGGTAACATCATCAACTTGCAGACTCTCAGCAACTCGTCTGAGGATGAAAAGCCGAGTCCGCCATACGCCTGTGTATATACACACATATATACAATATTAAGTACAGCGTGGTCCACGATACCCTACGGTTGCCATACCCTACAACACAGCGCTGCCTAGGTGACACTATCCTAAACTGTGCCGCGAACACCCTTCCATTACGAGTGTGAAATCACTCGCGGAAAAACCAAAAACTGCGAGAAATCGAAATACCACCTCCCATCACTCCACCAGACTTCCTTCCTCTTCCTCGCCGCTTCTTGAGGGGAACTTCCATCGAGATCGTCGACTCCTCGAGCAGCTCCGACTGCGCGGCTGGCTCCGGTTCAACCAGTGTGCTTTCGGTCATCACCTCAGCCTCCTCGACCTTACCTACCATGAATCATCCGATGTGATAGATTATGAAACTGCTTGCTCGGGCGCCCATTACTCTTAAATTCATCGCATCTCCTCTCCCCACTACCGCCTAGCCCGCACCTCCAGGCTATAGATGGGCCTCTTACGGTTTTTTACGGTTCCCGTTACCGTGTGCATAGCGTAAGCAGTTTACGGTTACGACTTTACGGTTGGCGCTGAACTGCCTTTTCGGAATTGTGGTGGAACACTCGCTGTAAGGCACTCTACCATAGCTCAAATAATTGTTAAACTCATTACTGGTGGCTCGGATTCAACCGAACCGCTGAGAAAGTAACGTTTCGTCTCGCATTCACCACTCGTCTCCGTTTCAAATTCTGTCCGTCTTACTCCCAGGCTGGCCCGAGACTGCCGAGCCGGTCTCGTCTACGCATGCGCATTCACATGAAGTAGATTTAGGCGACTTGAATGATCAGTCCTCGTTTTGTCCTCAGCATCTCCGTAAGACCCGTTATGGAGCCGTCATTTTACGATACGGTGATTGAGTCGTAACCGTAAGAGCGAGCCGTAACGAGCCGTAACGTAATTCAGCTCATCTATAGTAAGACGATTATACAATGGAATGGTATACGAATACTGCAAAGACAACTCGATCGTTAGGGAAGGAGAGTGAGCCGTAACGATCCGTAACGTAACTCTGCCCATCTATATTAAGACGATTATACAAAGGAATGGTATACGAATATTGCAGAGACAACTCGATCGTTGGGGGAGGAGAGTGAGCCGTAACGGTCCGTGAGGTAATTCTGCCCATCTCCACTGTATGCATCAAAGAATACTATCCAACAGATCCCAAAAGGACCCCCTCGATTACGTTTCAACCCATCCAACCCCGAATCCAGCGTATCCAGTCTTCGCCTGACCTCACCAAGCTGCCGCTGGAGCGAGTCGATGGCCATGAGTAGCATAAGACTAACCCCAGGCACTACGACCAATCATAACCAACAGCGGTCGGGCAACTCCGCCTACTCCAAGCCAAGATAGGCGCGACAGATAGGGTCATTTTATTTCCAGCGAATAGAGCCGAATTTGACTCGCATCCCCCTCACCACCGCGAAGTTCTAAGCCACTTCGACCACCTACGGGTTACTATCAAAATATAAACTAGCATCTCAAGGGTCGGAATTGAGAACATAATAGTTCCAGAAGCAGTGGCTTTCACATAAGGCCCTAGCGAAGCATTGACTCATGTCTATCCAAAAACACAACAACGCTTCCTCAAGCAACGACCATGAAGAACAACTACTCGTCAAAAATTATAGGTATAAAAACCTCTTCCCCTGTCTCCTTGCAGCTCTACTATAGTTACTATAGAGTGCCCCAGCACGCACACACACGCAGCTCGATACTCAAAGGCTCCAGGCTGAGTAGCCTGTCATCAATCTAACATCATCCAATCCTGGACGTCGTCCATTGCCGATGTTATGGCGTTGGTCGGCGACACGACAGCCTCTTGAGCACTTTCACATTCACTGTCCTCTATAGTACATACTTCTCGAGCGACAAGCACCGGCCTTTCCAATTCCTTAATAACCTCAATAACCCGATCCCGACTGTGCACCTCTTTCCGCTCGCCATCTCTACCATCACGCACGGAGAATTCCCACGAATTAGGATGAGCGTCGATGTGAACTCTGAAGATGCCACAGTCTTGGAAACAACCAAAGACGCTCTTCCTCAGCCACACCAACGTAGTCCGGGAAATGACCCTGGCATCAGCGCCGTGCACCATCATCATTTCACACATTCGGACACCCTCATCTGAGACAACCCGAACATGTTGTAATCGGATGGGTGTTAACACTCAACCACAGTACCTTCGAGAGAAGGCCGCCGCCGCTGCCTCCTCCTCCGCTTCCCCGAACTGGGAGTAGTTACAATGACAGAGTTCTCTCCTCTACATGGCGAGGCGTCAGCACTAGCCCTTGGACTACTACGGGTGCTCGTGGAGCCAGAAGAGCAGACCTGTCGTGTTCTCTTCTTCGAACCTACAGAGGACGCTGGAACTGCTTATATAGCACTGCAGACTACTACAGAGAACACTATCACCACGGTGATAGACCCCGGCTTCCAGAGCTTCTACTCGATCCTGCAGCTTGAAGGTGAGAGCCTTCAACTCCTCTATTTGCCGCTTTAACTCCGACTCTACCGTACTCATCAGTTAAAACCACTGCACAGGACAGCACTGTGAGTTCTAGAGAACCGCTAGCGCGGCTTCACCAACTCGTGAGCAAAACCCCTACTAATCTGAGTTGCGCTATACACCGCCCCAAGCCAGAGGAGCTCAGTGAATTGGGCGCCCGAAATTTCAGACCAATTTTCCACTGCTTGTTCGGTTTTCCAAACTGTGCTCGCCCATGGATGGGAATCTGTTCTTACGACTACATCACTCTGAGAGAGAGCAATGATGATGTTCTTCGTTTCGCTTGACAGGTCCCTCCAAGTTCCTTTAATCCTGGCTCTTCACAAGCATCCTCGACGAGCTCCTATCCTACCGAACATTTCAACAATCGAGTGTGCGATAGGAGATGCTCCGCAGAAATGATTCGCCACAAGGTATGCTCGAAACCAAATAAGGTAACGTTCTAACTTGCTCAGAGTTATCACCACACAGACAAAATTCACAGCTTGCTGACGATCACTTCCCGAGCTCGACTGGGAAATATAATTTCCATATCACACCCGTGGGAATCGAACTCGAGTCTGCCACGTCTAGGAACGAACCAGAAGATCCCACCACATGATCCTTCAAACCAACAGAGGCTCGCGTGATGTACAGCGAGGCGAGGAATGTCAAAGCGAACATGTTTCCTCCGAGTAAGGCCTAATTCGAGCAACTCAACATAAGTTTAGGATTGGTAAACTGAATCTGACGTTAAGGAAAGGAAGGGCTTTACTCCTCTTCAGCAGCTGCCTCCTTATGATGATGATGCTTCTTAGACTTCTTCTTCTTAGTCTTAACCACATCAACATCAACCTCGACCTGAGACTGATCTCATCCACACACACCCCAAAGCCTGGTGACACTACCTCCTCGTCTTCATCATCAGCGACCTTCTCATGCTTACGCTTTTTCTTAGCGACGGCATCATCAGTCTTCTCCACCACGGCATCAGCTTCAGTATTGTACGTAGGAACACCATCAGCAGGCTTACTATACCTAACACAGCCGAACCCTTACACCATACGAACACCCTAGAGGATCTTCCTACTTCTGAGTAGCAGGTTTAGAGTAGTCCTTAGTCGCCTGAGCAACGCTGCCTCCCTCAAGCTGTCGTAGCCTGAGACGAGCTCAACTTCCACTTCGTTGATACCCAATACGATACTCTACCTTCTCTCAACATACTCCTTGTAGCCTTCACCAACAGTAACCTCAGTTTGGTCACCAAGAGCGTCGACTCTGGCGCACAGGGACAGCTTGGCGGCAAGCACTCGAGAGATCTTACCTGACCATCAACACTCACTCAGCCTCGCGAGTACAACGCTAACACTCACCCTTGAACTTAGGCTGAGTCTGACCCACAAGAGAAGCATGATAGATGAGACCATATTTAGGAGTATCCTGCTTAGTCTTCAAGGCACGGAACAAGGCCTGAGAAACTCACTAGCAGAGTAGTGTCTTGCACCAGCCAACACCTACCTTCTCCGCACCCAAAATTTGTACAGTAGAAGAGGGATGCTTAGCCAGAGTCATGAGTGAGCCGGCGTGGGCGATCAACCTAGCGCCGACGAGCTCACCAACCATATAGGTGAGGTTAGGGGCGATGGCCTCCATACGATGATGGAGATAGTCGGACAAAGCGGCGCGGTACTCGGTCAACTCCAGTACACGATCAGCCAACTCCTGGATATGGCCCTGAGAAAGGTATATAACGACGGCTGTGGGAATCGAACCTGGGAGGTTCGAAAAGCGACCTACCAAGTCCTCTTCAGTGATCTCGACACCCATCGAGATCTCAGCAGCAGTCTTAATGTCAGCAACAATTTGTTCATCAGCCATGATATCAGCCCAAGCCTCCTCACTCAACTTCTTAGCACTTGTCCGGAACCTGACCATGTAAACCACACAAGCATACATTTCAGCGATACCACACTTCTTCAACAACGTCCTTTCTTATACCCCTCATTGCTTACCCTAACAGCTTCACAACTTTAGCATAAGAGTAGTTGTCAGTGACAATCTTGGAGAGCTCAGGGAAATGCCAGCCGTACCTAATTCCACGTACATAACCATAAACTATGGTCACTCAAGGCACACCATTCACGCAGCCTCATTGCGAAGTTATTAAGCTCCTTATCCAAATCATCAAGCAAAGCAACAGCCTGGATGATCATAGTATCAACCTTCTCGGGGGAGAACTTCAGCTTGAATCTAAAAAGCCTCGATTGGCCCCCTCCAGTGACGGACATGTTATACTACCTGTTGAGGGTATGGGAAAGACCAAGGGCCATGGTCCTCTGCTCCTTATCATCGAGGCCCTCGACTAAGGTGGAGAGCTGCTCTCTGATGCCACGCATGAGTTGCGTAGTAGTGGCGTTAGATACGCATTGAATACCGAACTTCTTGTTGATGGCCTGGGCAAGGAATGAACTTTCACTCGCCACTCATTCCTCCAGAGCGACAGATCGCGCTGGTCGTTTTAGACGCGAATGTGATTTCATAATATTATTACACTGCCCAGCTTGAGATCAGCGACGGCAAGTTCATCCTCAACACCGGCCTCGACGATATTCTTCTTCAAGAACTTTTTCAGACTGTGGAAGGAAGAGCACGGGTATGGATGTATCAGAGGTGTAGCTGATGATGTACCTCTTGTCCATAGATCCCTCGATAAGGGCAGAACAAGCGCTAAGGGCGTGCTTGTTGTCCTTGAAGGCCGACCAAGCGTCCAGGCGAATGGCCTACCAACGTTCTCGTAATGCATATTCATACTGCCTATAGCAAAGGACATTTTACCTTCTGAACTCCTTCGGGGGTGCTCAGGGCCTCGGCGGCGGAATCGGGACTTGCGATGATCTTGTCCTTTTGTAGTTTAAAGAGGCCGTAACCCGCTGCTGTTTCGAGGAGGACTAACATTGTGATGTGATGCCTGGGTTGCCAAGAAGAAGAGCAGTAAATAACACACCTCACCTACTACGAGTAGCGGGAGGGCTCAGCAAACAGCGACAAACGGCTCGAATGGGACAGGTATAGCGCAAGTATAAAAGCACGGAAAAACGTCGGGTGCCGGGATTGAACCCGGGTGTCTTCGCTGGAGTCTCACAGGAGTCATAGTCGGCCTGATTGAACTCACTAGGAGAACCATAGTGCATAATGCGATAACAGGGATTGGTCACACGAGAGGCGCGAGTCATTGCGCGCATCAGTCTATTTGAATTGTAACCTAGTTCCAGCAGAGTGAAATATCTAACTACAGAATCACTGTAGTTAGACATCTCGCTCCGTTGTAACAGAAGTTGAGAGCCGGGGCACTGTCCACGACTAACCCAAAGGCAATCACAGCAATTAGGAGATTGGCTCTCCTTGTGAATGTATGCGCCTACAGATCTCACGCTAGTTCGGCGAGGACCCAACTCCTCGGGTATAGAACTCAGCTCACCCGTAACCTGAGCTTGTTCCGCAAGTTTCCTACTGAGGTTGTGGAAAGCATCAATGCAAACTGGCTGGCGCAATGTGGCTGAGATTCACCACAGAACCACCGGTTTTCGTCGAGGAGGAGAACGTGAAACACTATATAAATCTAAGCCCACCGTGTAACTGGATGTCCATATGTGCATTGTAAGGCATGTTTATCTTACTGTTGGCAGGCAACAGTAAGATAAACATGCCAGGCATCGCGAATTTATTGTGGCATTATGGTGTTTATTGTATATTGGCGTCGATTACCAGGCAATTTGCCTGGCAATCATAGCGCAATCACTCTCAGCTTGAAAAACCACAAAAGTTCGTTTCCCATCACTATTTAAAGCATCACATCTCCTAGCCATGATCCGATACGCAGACAGTCCCCGAAGACTACACTCTATCACTACGCAACAGGTGAGGGCTAGATACTCTGGTGACAAACGGTTGAGGATGAAGTTCCTCGATATCATCGGGTGACAAAAGCGAAGACGGCACGATACACATACGCCTCGTAAGCAGTTAGATATTCGTCAGGATCGCCAACTGACTAATCACCGAGCTCACAACCTTCTACCGGCGAGTAGTCGTAAAATGTCGGCAACGAAAAAAATGACTCATAACAATAATAGTGCTCTAAAGGCAGAGCCACAGAGCAGTGTTGCATTTGAAGCCGCTACCTAAGGCTATTTGAAGCACACTGTCACCGGGCTTTAGCTTGCCGGACGTCTCAAGGATGCCCATCTCATACCAGACGGAAGTGCTCATAGTATTGCCGTGTTTAGCTAGACTCTCACGAGATGGGTGCACGTCCTTTTCGGACAGACTCAGAACGTCCATGATATTATCGATGACGGCACGACCACCAGCATGGACACAGAAGTAGTCGACAATGCGTGGAAGGTCCGAGGGCACGAGGCGCGCGCCACGACCGAAGTAGCGAAGACATGCTGGTAAACGACTCATTCGCGGCAGAAGCTGCTCGAGGTTGAGCGCGAGAGCCTCTCCAGCCACCGGCACGATGCTCTTGCTCAGGCATAGGCTAAGAAGGCCGTCCTTGTCGGAGCCCTGCCAGGCAGCGTGGAGAGCTTCCTCCTTCACAACTTGGGCGCGAACTGTATCAAGGAGTTCGTACTTACCTAAGATAAGCAAATCAGCTGAACAGCGCAACTCAAATAACAGCTTACAAGTTCCAGTGTTCCAATTGGTGAGGAGTGCAGCAGTTGCTCCATTGCGGAACAAGACGTTGGACATAACTCGACTTCTCTCATTCCCAGAGTAAAATTGTCGAGCATAGGACTCGGCCGATATGACCACACATAGAGAACCAAGCGGTGCATGCTCGAGAAGGCGACGACCAAGATCAATGGAGATGACGTTGGCAGAGCAGCCCATACCTACCCATTCGAACAGTGCTAGTTAAGTGAGTATAAGCATCATCTCACCGGACAGGTTGTAAGTGAGGCAGTCGCTCCTAAAGCCGAACTTGTGGCAAACCATGGCACACAGCGAAGGAGTGGGGTTGAAGAATGAGCAGTTCAAGACCAGAAACTGGAATAGCAGCAGCCAAGTTTGCACGGGCCCAAATACGAAGATCAGACTCACATCGATTTCTCTGGCCTTGACACCAGTCTTATCGAGCAGTCCCTGCAATATTTGAGTGAGAATGTATTCCATTTCCGTACGAGCATCTTCCATGGTAGCCGACCAAGGCTTGCCAGTCTCGAGACACTTCGTCTGAACAGGGAGCAGATTTCATAGGACCATCGAGCAGTGACATGAGACTTACAATATTGGGAGGCAAGGCGCTGCCTGAGCGAATGCCTGATTGGGAGAGAACGCGCTTGGCAAAGTTCATACTCTCCTCGGTAACATCCGGATGACTCGACATGATAGAAATGATGTCCTCGTGAGTAACTTCCCAGCTCTGCGAGAGGAGCATGCGGGAAAGCAAACTCTCCGACCCTACCTTGGGGGCGAAAAATTCCTCGTGGTCAACACAATAGACGGCAGGCTCACGGGCCTTGACGATGATCGGTACCAAAATTGCGACCGCCAGAGGAAGTAGTACTGCAATAGATAGCATGCATCGGCGTGGAGGCAAATGCTGGTCGACATTACCACTATGGACGCAGAAGACCGCCCATGAAGCCAACACCAGAGCGAGTGCCGCAACGGTGCCAATGTGGACCTGGTATCTGATCAACTGGTACTATTGATCAGGGGAGGCAAGGTGTACCAGGCCTACCTTCTAAGGATGGCACGGCAGCGCCTCAGAGCTTTCACCCTGCTGTCGACGCGAGAGTGGGGGTCAATGAGGGCAGCTGACTCGACGGTCTCAGTGGCCATGGCAAACAAAAGCGATTACGAACAAGATACTCATGCTCGCAGACGCACGCTCAGACAGATGTGCATGCGTGCGAGTCAAGGTTAAGGTCCGTCAAGATGCATAGGGGATACAAGATTTTGTACCTGACATTTGTCATTTCGAAAAACCAAGTCTTTCTTATTCATATTGTACTCATAACAAAGAGCAGAAGAACGTGATTGCTGTATCATGTATTGCTCGTTATTAAGGACCGTTTCAATCGACTACTCATAACAAAGACCACTACTGTAGCGCATGACTGACGCGTTCGACTCTGAATATCGAGTCTTGTAGAAACGCCTGCATGTAGTGAATAGGAATAATCTCGCCCGATTTGGTGATGGTAGTTGGTCGTAGTGCTGAGTAACACAACTGAATGAATAATAACGAGTGTGGACGCTCCCAAGAGTGATGTAAACGTCGTCTTTCTCGTAATAAGCCCCTTCCTAGGACAGTCCTCTGCAAAGTGCTCCAAGGCATGGCCTACAACAGCGGCAAGGGCTTCGGCAACTCGAAAGGGTCAAGTGGAGGATACAGCGAGGCGCCCCTTGCGGTGAGTTGTCACGTGGCTGCTCTCCTCTCTCGTGGTATCACTCTCACAAATACAATGGTTGCTCATAATATCACCACGTAGTTAATCGATTGGAATCAGTTGGTAATTTGGAGTTAGTGACTCCACTGAAAATTAGTTCAAATAGGATTACTCTCCCATAGACGATGGAAAGATTCGACACTTCGTGTCACCAGCACATGATTCACGTTTGCATGGAAATCCAGTTATTCAATGAAAAAATCACCAAAACACTTCCTGGTTCAAACTATTGTTGTTATCCAACCTAAACTTTCCTTTGAAAGATGCAGCTGTAGTGGCTTACCACTGCTCAGGCAGGATATGGTTCTACCCCTATTACACCTACAGGATTGACTCAATTATTCATACGTCACTTACCCCCAGACATGGACGAGAATGGGGTTAGAAATATGTTTGGAAAATTTGGTCCAATTGAAAGTGTCCTCTTCCGTGGTGACGGTGGTGCATTGGTATTCGTACGCTTTCAATACCCCGAGTCAGCTCAAGATGCCATCAATCAAATGAACAACTTCACAGTACCTTGGCCCACTGGCGGTCCATACACTCTATTAGTAGAGTATGCTAAACCAAAACTAGGTCGAGGTGGAAAGGGTAAAGGCAAAGGCAAGGGCTCATTTGACAATGGAGATTGGGAATCTTCCACCATTCCTCCGTCTCGAGCTCCACGTGAGAGGAGTAGATCTCCTTATAGTGGTAGATGGGATGACAATATACCGGGTAAAGGCAAAGGCAAAGGAGGAGGAGGAGGACCTCGGGGTCTAAGAGAAGCCACTTGTTTGGTTCACAATCTGCCCGAAAGCACCACATGGGAACATCTCAAGAACTTCTTCTTTAATGCCGGATTCACCGCTGCTCACGGTAAACTCAAACACATTTGTCAGTTACCCTCAACGATATTCCATCTCAGTTAACATGGGCACGACCCCGGACGATTATCCAGTCGGGTTCGTCTCCTTCGACTCCATTGAAGAGATGATTGAAGCCATGAGACAACTTTCGAATTCTACCATGCAAGCTCCGAATAACGTAGGTCGGCAGCACACTCTGCTGGGTATATCGATCTCGAAACTTGGGCACTCATTGCCAATCATATCGCGATGATCCCACACCTCTCAAATGACTTCAGCCCGGCTAGTTCAACTGAGAGGGAATTTGTCGGGCAAGAAAATTCAACAACTACTTGATAATAATACACACAGTACTTTGGTAGCCGTCGGCGTCCACGAGTCGGATCGTCTACATGGAGCCCGATGGCATGCAGCGCCCAACTCCCGGCGCATTCTTCAAGGGAATCGAACAATATGTCACAAAGGAAGACAGCCCATCTGGGGTACCTGACAACCAACAGGGTAGCATCAGCATCTCGGCTCACAAGGAAATGAAATCATAGTTCTTGAAACCGTCAATGCATTCCGTGATTACTGTCTCTGGTTGCACAGAGTCTGGGTCACTAACCTAGTTGCATAAGCATGTTTGGAAAAGTAGTTCATATGGTACATAGAAAGCCCCATAGGAGGCGTCAAAAGCGTTGGAAGGAAAACACTCGATCAATGAAAAATGACACTAGCTGAGCTGATAAGCTGGTGGTATCAGGTGCAGACCGATGTACAGTTTACTGTGGAGGTCTAGCAGCCGATGTACCAGCGGAAGAACTTAGTGCCATGTTCACACCATTCGGGAAAATTATCCGTCTCGATATCAAGCCGCCGTTCTACGAATGGAAAGGGTGGGTCCAAGAGGCTGTTGAGATCCCTAGTGTAACTCGAGTTCATGCACCCAGAGTGGCAAATCGCGTTGAACTGACCAGAATGACTTTCCCACTTTTATATCACCGTATGCTCCAGATCATACGCATTCGTTCTGTACGACAATGCTGAGAGCGCTGCGAGTGCAGTAACCGCATTAGACGGCTTGGAGATGGCAGGAGCCCCTAACGGCCGTATATCGTAAGCCTTGTCGGAAAAGCTGTTGCTGATCCGGTCGCGCTGTGACACTCTCGCTTATGTGGCCCCTGTTATAAGTATATGTCGAGCATGTAACTCCCCTCAGAGTACAAATACAACTGCAAAGGAAGCACTGGCCGGGGTATAGATCCCACTGAACGAGTGGTAGATCGTGAATGTGTTCGAGATAGCAGACTAGACTGGAAATAATTTTGATCCGGATTGTGTGTTGAGTTATGTTTTCTAAGAGGCATTGCGAGCAAATGTGCTATTCTCATTGGAAATCGGCGGGCCCTTGGAGTCTGTCAGAGCAAGGCCGATGTCGATCGGTGGTTAATCCACAGCGTTTCTAGGCTAAATCAAGTCCTTACCGACAAGCTTAACTTTCTACCCATCTGCGTAATATTTTATCTTTTTGATATTGAACCTATAGTTTTTATGAAACATCGAAGCGATGCATGCATTCCTTCATCCATTTGAAAGTCTGGGAGTTCAATGTAACCAAGGCCGTGCGTATTGAGTACGCGCGCGTGCTAAATCAGTACTGAACCTCTCTCGCAATAGGACAACATATTACGTGGCAGGCCTGCGCGAGAAGCGGAGATATCCTGCGGGGATTTCATCGTAAGTGCTAGTCACAGTTTGAACGTTTCTGAACTAATCGCACTATGACTGAACCGATGATACTACGAAGGCCCCTCCCACCGTAGGTTACCTACAGTAGAATCGACTCCTTGAGCAAGCCATCGACTATGCGATCGGCACCGTCGCCTCTAACGTTTGTTGAAAATGGTTTTATCATGTGTCCGGGCATTCCCGTCGGTGCATAAACTAGCAGCATTTAGTTCACGGGCAGTGGAACCTTTCTGTCTCGTTATTTTTGCAAGTACATTCATTCTGTGAAGGATTCCTTCAGCTGTAATACTATCTGCGAGATGGTTAATGATACGAGTTACAACCAACTTGTAGCTTTCCTGAAACTGTTTGATGAGCATTGAGGGGTGTTGAGTTTTATGACTGCATTAAATTGAACTTCTAATCTTTCAAATACACCGGTTATGATATTATTCTCCTTGGCGTTTCATTAAAACCGTGAGTAAAATATTAACCAAAAAATGGAGACAGTAACTAAATGGGTAGAAACTTGAATTTGTCGGTAAAGGATCAATTTGACCTGGAAATGTTGTAGTTGTAATTATGGAGCGCTGAACCCCTAGCCATACTATAGTATGGTTTGATCTGAGGTTCCCGACTAGATGGATGTATCAATAACATTCACGATAATGGAAACTGCTTCTCAGTGAGATCCAGTACTAGGAGCTGTTTGGGCACGAGTGAGCTGCCATTGTTCAATTGAAACGGTCCTTAATAACGAGCAATACATGATACAACAATCACTTTCTTCTGCTCTAAGGCTGCGGCCGTGGACCTCGTCTCTTGAGAGCTGCCATTGTTCGACGTAGTTCGATGACTGGTGTAAAGCACTATGGCGTTTCATGAAGTGTACCGCACCGCCAATCACCGTTTCGGATATGATATTCCCCACTTGCGAGTCGACGTGGTCTGCAGTCCAGTAGCCGATGGAGACCGGGTGGTTAATTCATCTTGCATTCAATCAGCTCTCATCGTGCCGTCACCAACCAATAAAATGTGCCCGAAGAGCGAGCAGGATATTCTTCCATAACACGTAGCAGACAAGCATCCAAAGCGTGTTTCCTAGTATCCAATTCTTCTGCTCTCACAGCCACTTGAGTATGCTGAAAAGGTCTTGGCTTACTCAAGTGAAGGACTTGAACCCTAATTACGTCTACGGTGACTTTCAACACCGTCTATTTTCGTTTCATAGTGGAGGTGCGTCACAGCAATGATCTTGGCGCTGAGGAATTGCAAGTTTTCGAGATACTGAGTTTTTTGAAAATTCACAAAGCTAACTTTTTGAGTCTAGTTCCGCTTTCTCATCCTTTTGCAAGATGGGCTACGACGACTACAATGATTACGATGGGAAGTGGAACTCATCTAGAGGGAGGAGTTCCCCCTACTCGGGGCAGGGAGGGAATTGGGGGTCGTCCTATGAACAGCGGGTAAGCGGGATGGTAGTGGCTAGCAGGCACCAATAGACACCATAGTTACGTTAGTAGAACAGTGTACTCCTTTGAGGGGAACCACAGTAGATGACAGTTGAGGTTGAAGTAGGGGAAATGGGAAATGCCTAGTTGCATCATTGACACAGCAATCATGAGGATAGTACAAGAAGGAAGTGTTCTGTTCAGGATGATTACGCACCTCAAGGAGAGGCATCAAAGACTCAATTATTCATACGTCACTTACCACCAGACATGGACGAGAATGGGGTTAGAAATATGTTTGGAAAATTTGGTCCAATTGAAAGTGTCCTCTTCCGTGGTGACGGTGGTGCATTGGTATTCGTACGCTTTCAATACCCCGAGTCAGCTCAAGATGCCATCAGTCAGATGAACAACTTCACAGTACCTTGGCCCACTGGTGGTCCATACACTCTATTAGTAGAGTATGCTAAACCAAAACTAGGTCGAGGTGGAAAGGGTAAAGGCAAAGGCAAGGGCTCATTTGACAATGGAGATTGGGAATCTTCCACCATTCCTCCGTCTCGAGCTCCACGTGAGAGGAGTAGATCTCCTTATAGTGGTAGATGGGATGACAATATACCGGGTAAAGGCAAAGGCAAAGGAGGAGGAGGAGGAGGACCTCGGGGTCTAAGGGAAGCAACTTGTTTGGTCTATAACGTTCCCGAAGGCACCACATGGGAACATCTAAAGAACTTCTTCGCGCGTGCTGGCTATGAGTGTCCATATAGTAATACACGGTAGGGTGCTGCTATAGACTAATGCAGCTCCTAGTATTTCAGCTTGATGGTCTCTTCTTGTCAGCTCGTGTCGACACTACTAAAGACGGTCAGCCTGTGGGGATAGCCTCCTTCGACACGATTGAGAGAATGGTTGACGCTATGAGAGCACTATCGAACTCAACAATGTTCTTCGCTAACAACGTGAGAACTCAACAATAGTCGTCCATTCCAGCAAGCATCTGCCGATTCTCAGTCGTCGGCAACAAGTACTGTTATCCACATGGAACTAGACGGCTTGAAACGTCCGACACCAGAAGCATTTTTTCGAACTATTCAAGACTTCGTGGAGAAAGAAGATTCCCCTCCGATAGCAGAGAGCGGCCTCGAAGGTATTTGATAATTTTCTAATCCACAGTCACAAAACTGCAAGGCTGCTTTCAAGTTACAGTCACCACTCAGTCACTGCTTTCAGGTCCATGTACGGTCTATTGTGGTGGTTTGGCAAATGACGTTCCAGTCGAGGAGCTTACTTCAATGTTTGCACCCTTCGGACAGATATTGCGTCTAGATGTGAAGCCACCATTCCACGAGTGGAAGGGGTAATGTCAGCTCACGGAAAGATCCACAACTGAATGTTTACAAGGTCCTATGCTTTCATATTGTATGATAATCCCGACAGCGCAATTGCAGCAGTGAAAGCACTGAATGGTATGGAGATGTCTGGCGCCCCCAATGGAAGAATTCAGTAAGTATACTTGAATCGAATATCAGAACCATACCAGTACTTCAGAGTCGATATTCAACAACAAAGGAAGCACTGGCCTGGTTACACTGGCCGTTAAGAATGAGAGGGCAACAGCGATTAAGTGTCTTATCGCCACTACCTTACAAATCTGACTTGTCCACCAGGACGCAACTTACTTAATTATTCTTCTAACTAGTAAATACACGTTATAGTTGCGTTCAATGATTTAGAGAGTATGAAAACAATCGATTACCTCTTCCCTTTTATAACTTGGGGAAACTCAACAACTCTGATATGATAGTGGTAAAATAGAAAAAAGATATAGAATCATCCACTCGTGTTGGTGACTCTTACAACTCACGCTCACTGGAGTCACCGTCCGGTAACTGAGGCAAAGAGAAGGCTGATGACTGCTGTCTTACATGGAGACTAACCATATCAGAATCAAGGTGAGTGAAGCCTCCTTGGATGTATCTCTCGTTAACCGCTGACCAGTCAACAACCTGTGAATGGTAACTCAAACGTATCAGGATCACTGTCGCCTCTTACGTTCCACCAAGCGTCGATGTGTGCACTTCTATTGTTCTTGTACTTGAGATAGTAAGCATGCTCCCAAACGTCTAATCCCAGCAAGGGGACTAGTTCAGCTGAACAAACACAGCTGTAGCAACTAACCAATACATGTACCCTACGAGAGACCATCTGTGGAGTGTCCTGATTCTGGGTCGATAGAATCTAATAGCAACCATTTGAATAATATCTCAAACTCCATCACCATCACCTTCAACGTATTATCTTCCGTAGAGGTATCCACTACTAGCCAAACCCATCCAGCTCCGAAGCGACCCTCAGCGAGGCTCGTGAAGCCGGACACGAACTTCGAGAACGATCCGAAATCTCTGAAACGGCGATGAATATATTCATAGACGGCTGCATCACCAGAGCTTACTGGTCAATAGCTCTTCTGATAGCTCCTTCTGGCTCCCCTCCACCATCTTTGGACATGCTGGCGAAATAGAGCTCGTGATTCACGTACTGAGGGGATACAGAAGCCCTTGAGAAACGTCATATCAATTTTCCTCGTCTATTACCCCTCCGCCATTGTTCCTGATTTTATCCCTCAACGCCACAGGAACTTCGTCCAACTAACACATACGATGTTTCTCATCAGAAAAAGCGATAGCACTACCTTAGAAAGGAGACCATCTACACCCAGTTTGGCCAGGTATTTATACTCCGGCATGGACCGGAGCTGACGGGCAGCCGATGAGAACTGATTGGAGGAATATAAGGAAGCAGTGGTGGTTCGATAACCTCCACCTTATCCGCATACGCCTTGTAATGTCCAACATGGTGTACACGCATAGTCTCAGCGTCTATGTAACTGCCAATCGATACCCCGATCCACTGCAGCTCTCCAGTCCATAGACTTACGGCTCTAAGGCATCGTAGTCATAGCCTAGAGGGGTCGGCTCGTACGGCTGCGAAAACACGCATTGCAGCAAGAGTACCACCGATAGCCACAACGATCTCATGATAGGGAACAAGCTGTGCTGTATGAATACTCGCCGCCCCCCCCCCCCCCTATCCAGTAATACTGACAACACAAGGCGCGGTAGAGTAATGGTTGTTGATCCGATTAAGCGCTACTGTCATCTACCCTAAGCCGAAGGGCAGCATGAGCGAATGAATAACAACCGGAGCAGCAGTGATATTATAATGAGAGAGAAGACTTTCTATCATTCTTGTGTCCATCTACACTATAAACCAACCGGCATCCGTCGGCTTGCATAACCACCACAGTCCTCCCGACTCCATTGCTGCTTCCACAACAACTACGGCTGCCCGCCTGGCACGCCGTCAATTGTCATCACTCGGGAAGAGTCGTTGGACGTGTGGTGATAGTACTGGTGTTAAAAGAATAAATAACGGCAAATATAACAACACGCCACCAGAGATAATTCATCAGATGTTTGCTGGATATGTCAGTGCAGTAATCGAGTGGAAAGCAATGCCCCTCACGAGACTAGTACCACATGGGAGAGGACAACAGATTTACACGTGTCGAAGGTGACAGTAGAAAACACATCCCACAGAGCAGTCTTAAGCAAGGTATGTTACACCTTGGAACATTACCGACCATTTCGAGAGCTGACACACACACTGAGAGAGTAGCAACAGAGGAAAGAGGCATTCTAATAGAATTGTCAGGCTGGGCGCTTTCAGGCTTATTGTGTTGAGGAGAATAGTCGTATACTACTGCGCAGCTGCCGCTACACCTCGAGTTACTTCCGACCGTAGACGAGCCTCCCTGCATACCTTTATCCAATCGGTCCTGAAATAACAATACGACTCCATCTCCCTCTACGGATTGTTACTATTACTTGCATATGATCAACACCATCACTACAACAGAAGTGCCATAACCAGCGATGAGGCCGAGCCATAGGCCGTAGACACCTCCGTTGAGTTTGAGACCATATATGTAGGAAATTGGAAAACCGACGACCCAACAACAAACCGCAATGATGTTGGATGATATCTTTGATCGGCCTTGGTTAAGGAGCACTTGGAAGGCAGGGGTAAGGCACATCATAGCAGCTATTCCAACAGCCACATAGGGAGAGAGGCTCTTAAGGAGACTCTGTACTTCGGGATCATCAGAGGCAGCTGGTGCGAGAAGAGGTAGCAAGGCCACGTATGCAGCGCCGAGGACTACACCCGAGACCAGAGTGAGCTCCAAACCGACCTCCACCGTTCTTTTAGCATCTGCTATTCGGAAGGACGATATAGCAGCAGCGACACGTACGCCAACACCCTGGCCGATTCCTGAATAAAAAACGAGTGATAGCAGTCAATTTTTAAAGAGGCCTGTCTACCTGTAGAGAAGACGAAGAAGAGGTCCATCATCGACAGAGACAGGTTGTGAGCAGCTATAACTACTGATCCCATCTTAGCCGCCATAAAGCATAGTAGTTCATATTGGATCTCCTCTGTGAGAGCACCCCAGGCTGCAGGTAGTGCTAGTCCAAGGAGTATCTTCCATCTCTTCGGGTTGGTAAGAGTCTTGGCCGTCCAACCGTCCCACGTACGCTTATGATACCCTTTCCATGCAAAGCAATAGAGGATGTACATAACCGTACGAAGGAAACGAGTTATGGTAGTGGCGATAGCAGCACCGATGAGGCCTAGTCCCATAGGGAAGGTCATCAAGTAGGCCACTCCTAGGTTCACAACAACCGCCACGTTATCGATGATCATGGAAGGTTTTACTATCCCTTGAGCGGAGAGATAAGAGCGGCAAGAGAAGAATACAACGTCACAGAGGATTGACAACTGCGAGTAGGTTGTATATTCCCCTGCAAGGTATGCGAGATTAGCGTCGAAGCCCATGTACTCCAAAAAGTCTGCCGTAAACCAACGCGTGACAATAACAGGAACACACATAAGAGTGAAGCAGCACAGGCCTAGCTGGAACCACTCGCCGACCAGCGTGTAGTTACCTGATGACGTGGGATCATTGGTATGAGAGTAAGAGATATTAGCTTACCAGCACCGAATGCCTGACTACATAAAGTGGATAATTGAATGACTGATTCGAGGACCATAACGTCGAAGAGAAATGTCCATATACCGGCAACACCACAAGCCGCCAGGTATCTAGAGAGAGGGAGAAGATAGCATCGATGAACGTAACATTCGGACACTACTCCTAGTAATACCACCACTGCTAGTACTTACGCCTCTACTACTACTATAGCTTGTACCACTACTAGTGTGATCGCTATTATTGACACTATTAATACCACAGTTCATACAACTACTTGACCCCTACTACTACTACTACTACTACTACTACTACTACTACTACTACTACTACTACTACTACTACTACTATATAGCTTATACCACTACTAGTGTGATCGCTATTAATACCACTATCAATGCTACCACTCCCACTATTACTCGGTCCCCAAGTGGCCAAGGATAAATTGGTCCGTCATATCATGGAAATTGCGTGCCGCTGAGGACAACGCCACGGGTATAGAGTACCTGAGCACAGCAAGGATGAAACTGAGATATGCATAAAGTCGTCATTACCCGCAGAGAGTGCAAGCTTCGTCAAACCTAGACTTGCAAGATCTTGTAACTAAATTGTCAGCCAAGTCTTGTAACGTATGTTCGCGCCCCTTGAGTTCCTCCCCTCCCTTGGCTATAGGGGGAAGGAGGGGCGTTCGTATACTAGGTTTGTCGGAGTCTTCACCACCACTACTGCAGTCAGTACTGTCGCTACTACTACCACCACTACTGCCGAGTAACATTGTTGTACTACTAGAAATACAAATAGATTCTGATACAAAAACCAAAAAATCACAGCCATATAACAAGCCAGTCAGTCTGATCGTATCCCCGTCGCTTCCTGTCAAGGCAGATATCCACTTGTGTTCAGAAGTTCTCAAATGTTCAATCTTGCCCCACCCTTACACCATACAAAACCTCCTTGTTGTAAAATACTTTATCAATAAGGAGTTGCAATAACAAGATAATAAATGGTTTATTATTTTTCGAAGTGAACCAACTTGGTGTTACTATCCTAGTACATCCATGACACAATCAGCGTAGTCTAAAATGGAATAATATAAACTCTCTTCGAAATAGGGACCTGCTGGGGAATTTGCGCAACTTTGCAACGCCGACCTCCACAGAATCGCTCCTCTTGCATACGGAAACTCTTGGTCGAGGCTTCCCTCAGTGCGATTAATCTCTAGGGTCCTCTCTTGCGAGACAATCCATTTCGCGATATACGACCAAGCAACTACACGGTCCATATATTTGTCTATGTTGATCTACTGCTAATTACAAATGCAGGTTGGTTTGATATGCAGGATGGGCACAGACGGGCCAACACAATGGGTCGACATCACACAAAAGTCTCTTCGGAGGTCAACAATCAACCGAAACGGTTTATTCGCATGGGTAGTAGAGAACCCTCGAGCCATGGGCTGTTAGATTGGGCATGTATTCAGTAACAGTATAGATATGCTTCACCAGTGACAGTACAAAAATATCAAGGATATCCATGAAAGACAAAAACAAAATTCGCTGTGGTATGGGGACAAAGCCGCCGTGAAACTGTCACTCGCCATAAAAATATACGGGAGCATTTGTCTGTGTGTGTTGTGACAGTTTGTTCCAAGTTATGTAGGTAGTCCACTAGAGTGTTTCAAGCTCGTTACTTATAACTATATGTACGTAGACGTTTCGTAAGGGTTTAGGTTTACTTGCATTCATAGCTAGATGGGTATAAGAGTTGCGCAAGATTTGTTCACCAATGCTCTTGTTTTAGGAAGTATCGATACTAGAGCGAATGACCGTATCAGTTCAATACTTCCTTATATAGACTGTGATGGCTAGACTCAGATGAATAGTATCGAGATCGCATTCGAATACCATCTATTCAGTGGATAGAGCCTCTATGGCTGTGGAGGATACATTCAATGATATCAATCTCGCTCTTGGGGTTATATAGGCCCAACAAACCTGTAGATGAAGATCGTCCCCTCAGCGATTTCTGACGTATACGAATTTTAATTGGCGTTTGTCATAGCGACTCAGAAATGCAGGGGATGTTCAACGTAACTTGAGACAAGTGGAAGTACAGACGAGCCATATCAGGACTCATAGTCCACTCGATCTTCTTGCGAGTATCCACAGTGACATTTCTGAGCAGAAGGTATGAGTGAAACTCTGGTCACTAAAATGCTCGAGCGTAACTTCTATCACTGCTGTTGATAATCGTCACTTCGTGTTGGGTTTTTAGTCGTATGCAAATACCAATTATGGATTAGTAGGCCCTTTGGGTAGAGGGAGAGCGTATCGTGATAGTTTACCATAGGGTTTACAACGCCATTTCGTTGTTGACTGATGATGCTGGCGACGGTTCCCACGTCGGTCCTTGGGCCCACATTACCGATGGCAACGCCGGATTTCGAGCAAGATGAGCCGGCCCAGCAGCCTACTCCAGAGAATCTGGTCAATGCTTCTAGGGCTCAGGCTGAGGCTACCGAACGGTTGTTGATGCCCATGAATGGTCAAGGTACGAGGCTGAGGGGCTCGATCGGATTCGAAGGGGTGCCCTAGTCGGCCCCTCTGAGATGTTCTCTCCCGAAATGATCCGACCTTCGGTGAATGTAGGCACGTTGGAGTGGTATCAGGTACATTACCAGGGATGGAAGGTAGCGGACTTGTCTATCGGCCGCTCAGTATGCTGGCCAAAGACTCTACTGCGGAGGCTGTGACAGGTCTACCCCGTATGTGGAGAATACTCGATCCCATCGTTCGTGATGAGCTGTGTTAGGTGGTGCTCTCCTCGCCCAACTGCCTGAACCGTCAGGCCCCGTGGCTGAGCGTTTAGAGAGGAATGTGATGCAGCTGCAATTGGGCAGGGGTAACCTCCGCATCCACTGTCCTATATCGATGCTTCTGGTCATTGCCAGGTGCGGTCGGTCCACAGGCGGGTACTGTCACGAGTGCTCTGGGAGATCTCAAGGATCGGGGTGGCGCAGGAGTGGATGAGGCTATACGGAATGGCAAATTGTGAGGCATACGTTGGCCGTGCTCTCGCCTATGAGGGTATTCGTTGTTACCCTTAGGCATCTTAGTTTGGCTTCCCAACACAGTGATGTGGTGACTTCAGTGGTGACTGAGGTTCATATGGCTGCTCAGCAGATTATACATGCTGAAATGGAAAAGAGGAAAACTGATATGTAGTGTGGATGCGTGGGTTGACGTGGGAGGTGGTGCTGCGATTAGGTATGAGCGACTCCGATCAAAACTTCTCCAAGGGGAAGTACCTTCGACCGGGACTGCCGATGGTAATAGAAATTAGGTTTCTTGTTATCACTTGGTGGTATGCGGTCAGGTAGTGATGGTGGACGTAGGGTGAAGGGGCTAGTACCTGAGTCGAGTCGGAGGATACTGGAGTTGCTTATTAAACCTAAAGCTAACTGTCCTGAGGTCTTTGACAGTATCGTCAAGTTAGACTGCCATGATGGGAAGGGAGAGGTCGTAGGGTTTGGGGTTGTGGGATTTGGGGATATAACCTTGAGATTTCTATTCCTCTTTTGCTGTGATTGATATCGACATTTGCTCAGAAGGCGGATCTTTGGTCGGCCTTCGAGTGGGCCACATCAGCCCGAGACCCCGTCCCACCCGCCAATGCCCATCAGTTCATTGCTGGCTCGCTTGGATATTTGAATAAACGGTAGTTCGATCCAATTCAATGCTAACTCACTTGGTGAGCATACGTTCATAGATACGTCGAGGGCCTGATGGCCACTGTGTACTCCTCTGGCAGGCCCAGTGCCATTAGCGGCGATATGAGGCATCCAAAGTCTCATGCAGAAAGGTAGGGATAGCTGCGTGAGTGTATCATTACGATATCCATCAACCTAGGCTTGACCTCACATTCCAGTACGGCAGAGTTGTCTTTGACGATAACAATTTCCCTTATTCGCATCTACATGAGGTATGGTTCGCCTTATACACTGCCGTTCGAGCTAAGTGAGTCCGCTGGTCTACACTGTATGGGGTGTATAGGGCTCTTGATCAGCTTCGTATCGGTGGTTGAGACTCTGTGTGCTGAGCCCTCACTGTTGGTGGCCTGCCCTCCCCTCGGGTCCTTCGGGAAGGCTCTGGTGGCCCGTATGGCCGCCGTGAAGGGTACTGGTGGGCAGCAGGTGAGACATGCTGCTAGGTGTTCGCTAAGCTAGTCTCGGTTCAGGGTCCTACACCTACCGCCATGGCAGACTATGACGATGGCAGTAGTGGTCCACTGCAGGTCTTGCTAGCCCTTGTAGATCGGCCCTTGGGAGAGGGTACTACTGTACTGCCTCATTTTTATGCAACCACTCCATGGTCTTTTATTCAGATACAATGGGCTCAGCAACAATCGATGGCGGGGCTCCAAGGCTGACCTCGCCGGACTTCTCTGTGACTCGTGTCTTGCCTAATTGCACTGCTGAGGATTGGACCTGGTACTTGGATGGTCCTATGGGTATTGGCACGATGGGGGCATCAGGTTCAATCTGATGGAGTGTCTGCACCCTAGCTTCTCCACAGTAGAGACTCTTACCAAACTTCAGCTTGTCCAGGATAAAATCGCCAATTTACCGTCAGAGTACTTTGACGACCCACAGGCCCCTGCTGCTGACGGGGGAGTTGGTGCTCGCCCTCAAGGCGGCAACAGCAACGCTATGGCTATTGCTGATGCTGGTGAGCCCGATGGGGTGATAGTGCACGTTTATGCTGGTATCAGGACCTACTGGTTACGATCGGCAGAGGAGGAGGACTGTTGGCGGTCCGAGTAGGAGCAAGAGGGCGAGTTGGAAGCTGGCCAAGGTAGTAACTGGGATAGGGCCCGTATTGGTGGGACTGGCTACTCATAGTGATTGGTCGAGAGGAAGCTCATCGTTCAGTTACTCTTACTCTCACTGCAATTCCCACGTGCGTTTGAGGTCCTCAGTGGGGGATCTGAGGCTCAGGAGACCACAGCTATATGGATGCGACTGGTGAGGTGACTACCTATCGAGATCCTCAACGTGTCCTCTCAGTATCTCAACCGTCCTCATGGCAGTGGTATTATGACAGCTCTGAGGTCGGCTCATCTGGAGGAAGGGGAGTTCGAGAGCTCCCTGGCCACTGCTGTGATGCACTATGCACAGAAGCGGTTCACACTACAGGAGACTCTCAGGTAGGAATTTCTCACTCTCCTATGTGGCAGCGGTCTTTTAATCAGATTCTTGCCAGCGTTGATGCCACGTTGCAGAGTGGAGGTCCTTCGGGAACTGCTGCTGAGTCATACGGAATCCAACGTTAATGGCGGAGCGGAGGTGGTCGATGAGATCGTTGGGTGAGGATATGTAATTAGCGAGAGGTGTGGTATTGGTCAGTCTAGGTTTATCGACCCTGCCACAGGAGAGGTCCATCGAGGCCTCTTGCACAGTTCTGCTCTCGCTAGCGTCATGGACGAGAAGGCCTCGGCATCCACTGACGGCAAGGAGAACGTTGTGGCTGCTATCGGCAATGGTGCGGATGGTATAGGGGTGATGCTCACACTGACATGGAGCTCGTCTCAGGTCCTACCACTAGTGGTATGTTCAGCACACCTAATGCCTTGGCCCTACCCTCAGCGGCATCTACTTCATCGAAGCGGCACCAACCACAGCAAAAGCAGCAGCAGCCGTCAAAGTCGGTGTATGTCGAGACGTGCCGCTATTGTGGACGGTGTGCTGTCGACATGGGCCACCATGGGCTCGGGATGAAGCTACTGCATTGTGCCGGCGAGTATGGCTGAAGGAGCCGTGCTAGGTGTGTAGGTTCTGTTGGCAGGTATAAGGAGGTGGTAGCTGTGATGGTACGGTGTCTCACATCACCCGCACTAGTACAGGAGATCAGTAGGCTCCCTGTATAGCGAGTTACGGCTTGAGGATCCCTGTAGGCGACCCTTCTAGCTCCTTACTGGCTGTGATCGAGATGCTGATGAAGATATACGATACGAACCCTAGTAAATGGAGCCTAGACCGTGTGGAGTGGGATGAGGCGAAGAGACTGTAGACTCGTCGAGGAGAGTGGTTCCGAATTGGTGGACGTGTGGTAGGTATTCGTTGCTCCAGTTCGAGCGTCTATGCGCTAGTGGCCGTTATGAAGAGGCCATTAGCCACTTTGACCGCCATCAGCTGTTGGGAGGCAGCAGTGATAAGAGGACGGGTGGGGCTCGGGCCTCTATTGCTAGGGGGCTCCTCAATGCTTATGTAACTAGAGTGGCACCAGTTGCGTAGTTAGCAGTGATGGCGTCAGGTCCCACTACTGGTACATGCCCAGAAGACAGCCTCTCGTGAGGTGATCAGAGATCGTGTAGTAGAGCTGCAGAAGTTTGTAGCCGCCAACGTGGCAGAGGAGGTGATGCGGCAGGTAGACGGGTAATTCGACAGTGCTGAGGTTTAGTGCATCTTGTCAGGTGTCACCAGCGACTCTGCGAGCTCTGGCGGAGCTGTCGGTGTATCTACGATGAATATAATACTAATGCTCCTTATCTTGCATCGCTCCGCTGCTGCCTTGGTTATCGTTGAGGCTCAACGTTTCATAAGTTGGAGTCTTTTCCCGCGTTGAGTATTTCTGCTGATGGATTCTTCCTAACATGTTAGTGACTAATGGTGTTCCTGTCGACTGGGCCTGCAAGTGAGGGGCGTCCTCAGCGAGCCTCCCTCGCCAGCAGCAAGTTCAGTACCCCTTTTCCGGTCATTCGGGGTGGTAGCAGTTTATGCTGACTGCTTACACATGATACCTGAGTGGTCAGGTCTGGAGGACAGCGCTTCGAAGTCGGTGTTGGAGCCTAGAGACTATCCAGCTGACGTTGGTGATGGCCAAGACTCCAGCATTACCTTTTTGGGGGATGTTGTCCGAGGGATGGTATGGTGTAACGGAGTGGATGGAGGGCGACCACAGCTACTTTGCGCTGGGGATAGAGGCCTCACTTGGTTGGAGGTTGAGGATGATGTTTCACATAAACCGGGTGAAAAGTACCTTGCCGTTGATGGAGTCATCGTATGTGATGGTGCTAGGTTCATATAGTCTCTCGGTCCGGGCGGGGCGTCCTGGTACAGCTTCGGATCTAGAGTTGACAGATAATAACAGACCAGTCCGTGTGAGTGTCACTGCGAGAGGGATTCTCGTATTGGGGACTACCAACGGTGAGTGGTCACAGTAGTTCAGGGCGGATGGGCAGGCCTGAATTAGGTTCTCTGTACACGGTTGACCCCACGACCAGGGAGGTAACGCCATTCTACTCGCCTTCTGGAGAGGAAGAGGAGGAAGAGGATCAGCTGATCGATTTCGATGTCGCCACTGGCGGGCATTTGATCGCTATGATATCCGCCCTCGGGGGCCTGAAGGTGTAGGCATGTTGGTCTGGGGTTAGGTATATGTGTCCTGTATGTTAGTACTACCTAGATGAGACCATGTGGCTTATCGTGGACTGAGGCTTGGATGATGCTTGTGTATGTGCAGGTATCACTGTAATGCGATGAGGCGTGGTCCGGTGTATCGTCGGCCTGTGAGTGGAAGTGGTGCGGACTCTACTGGTGGGGGAGCTGGGGTGGTCCTCAGCGGCAGTTCGTCATGCCGATTCATCGATTCTGAGAATATAGTCGCGGTGACCAGCGGCAGGTGGGCTATGGACTGATGCTATGGATCACGATGGAGTTCTTGCTCAATTGACAGGCACATACAAATGTTCGACTTGCGCGTGTCTCCAAGTGCCGCCGCTTGTGCCGTTCTGAGTTTGTAAGATCTCGCTCACCTCAGTGTTGAGGAAACTATCTCGAGGGGCTCAGGTCCACTGGATCAGCTGGCTCCTTATCGACGTCGCTAACGTGTCTGAGCACGCAGCCGGAGAGTGGCATCCTGTGTGCTGGCGACTCGGAGGGGCGTATGCATGTGTGGGACTGGAGAAAGGGAAAGGCCTCTCCAACTGAACCTAGGGTGGGCAGTGGAGGTATCAATTAGAGATAGATGAGTCGTTGATCAGGTATCAAGGCTGGCCCACAGCGTGAACACGAGTTGTTGTTGTGAGACCTCTGCTGGTAGTAATAGTAGAAGTAGTAGTAGTAGTAAAAGGACAGTCTGGTGTAGAACGTGTGTGTCTGTGTGTAGGCCCGTCCTCGACCCTCTGCATGGTTTCGGGTGGCGTGGACGGCCAAGTATGTCGATGGTTGTGGAATCCTGATAGTCATGGGGCTGGTTCGTCTACTATGGCGCCTAGGGATCAAAACGGACAGCGGCGGAGCAAGGCGGAGAGGCGGTAGGAAGGCTCGTGTGGACCTACTGAGCACTAGGGTTCTTGATGCAGGTGGTGGCCGGGCTTATCGCCAACTACGGACTCTCCTCTAGCTCGGATGTGGAACACTAAGGCAACAGCAGCAACAACAGCACGCGGTGCATCTACTACTATCCAGAGGTGGCGATCCCTAAGGAGGGTGACTTGTGTCCCTTGAGTATGCTCATTTAGGTTCACAGTCGATCAGAGTACAGCAGTGACGTCAGTGGCAGCCACCGAAGGCCCAAATGGGAGCTGTGTTGTTGCGTATTCTACCGACACAGGAGTGGTCGGCCTTTGGGCATCCACTACCTCACTCTGAATGTGAAGTGTCTCCACTACGTATCCATGAATTCAGTTTGGTTAGTCACTACGGTTAATTGGGTGGGCAGCAGCTGTAGTGGTTGTCGCTCACATACCTACTCCAAAGCGAATCCGAGATGTTGTGAAATTGAACTGATCTATCTCCCACTTCAACTTTGTTGTCGAAGATTTCCTACCAGGCCGTTTAGATACGGAGAGTTTCCTGGGCGGACTCGCCTCGTTGGCACTTTCGTCGTGGACGGCCTGTTCCAGCTCTGTTTTCAGCGTCGGTTTGCCCGACAATGGGCGCCGCGATGTCGCACGCCCTCGATAAATGTTCGCATCCGCGAATGATCACCCCGCGCGGCATGGAACTGGGGCGGGCGAGCCCCAGGGAGGTTTGCAGGGTTGATGCTGGTAAGGGGCAATTCGGCAGAAGGCGAGGGGCTAAGAGGAAGAGAAATAAAGTGGAGGCGTGGTGAGAACGGTGTAGGCTGTGGTTCAGCTCTCTCGCTCACAGGGTCGAATACACGAGAATGCAACATGATGACGGGTCCTGGTACGAAGGGCAAGTATGTGGTGGTATAAAGCATGGATGGGGGAGAATAGAATATCCGTGAGATTAGGACTGTCGTCTCCTCTGTTGGGCTTCCGAGTGAGGTTGAAAGTATAACCCGATCTTCTACTCTGGTGCTAAGTCTGAACGATTGGGTGGATTCTTTTGTTAGAAATGGTGAATACTACGAAGGGCAGTGGGAAGGTGGGAGGGCCAAAGGTCGGGGAACATACAAAGGCAAAAGGAGCAGGTGGGGCGGGAGTGCATCACTCAAGTGCTTCAACGTCTCAGCTAGTATCTTCGATCGAATCTTGCTACAGTCATCTTACTCTATGAATGTGGTGTCTTTAGTGTCTACAAACTCCGTTATACTCATGCTGATGCTCGACAATCAAGACGCGCAAACTTTCGTTAACTTTGCAGCGTGGCAGTTCATATGTGGTCGCCAGGAATCGTGCCGTAGTCTCGCCAGAACCGTAATGATAGGTATCGAGGGAGCTGGGTGAATGGCCTCAAGCATGGAGATGGTGAAGAGAAATGGGTTGATGGATGTCGATACGCAGGACAGTAAGATATTCATATTTCACATGAGCCTTCTGCCGGAGTTGAACCGACGACCTCCCGCTTACTAAGCGGGTGCTCTACCAACTAAGCTAAGAAGGCTATGTGTTACTTCGCCGCTTTCGATCCGTAAATGGATGAGGCTTCAACAACCCTCTCAGATACGTGGAGGGCAACAAACATGGGATCGGTTGCTTCAAATGGCCCGATAACTCTTCCTACTGGGGGCAGTTCCATATGGATCACATAGAGGGACAGGGAGAATTCCGATGGCCGGATGGCAGGATGCAAGTCACGGCATCAGACCAATCGCTCACATGCGACGCTTCGCAACCGTTCGTGCCAGTCTTTCGGCGCTTCATAACTGTTTACTGAGTGAACCTTAGTGTAGTGGTGTAGGTATCGTGGTGGTTGGAAAGATGACCGTATGCACGGTGATGGGAAGTTTTCCTCGCCAGATGGTATATTCCGGGGAGGAGGCTACGCGGATAGCTGCTCACTCGGTGGTGCTGGAGCGGTGGTGTCAAGCTCCTTATCAGGTGACCACTTCGGTTCCTTCAGGCATTGAAGGTCTCGAGTGATGCGATGGTCGTGTGTACGGAGGCGAGGCAGGATGATTCGCGATGCTAGGGGACGTTGGAGCCAAAGTAGAGGGTGGAAACGGAGTGAGTTCACACTTGAGATTCGGGGGATCAATCGCATAGACGTTATATAATTTGGTCTCCGCTTCATGATGAGTTTCCCTAGGCTCATCAGTCGTCTCGATAGATTTGAATGCTCTTATGATCGATGCTCCCATATGTGGACTTTGCCTTTCATGCATAGCATTGGCAAGAATCTTCAAGGTGTTTCTCTTGAAAACTGACTGATCTGCGTTTGATTCAATGAATTTGATGCTGCTGCGTGATCTTTGATCTTCTTGATTCATAATTCACCAGAACTCACGGCTGGACATGGGTGCGTGGTACAGCGGTATTGACGCGGAACATGACGCATTATTCGTTGTCCTTGTCAGTGGTGTGTGCCAATCTTGCAGTAGCATTGTAGCCTCAGTTCTATCTGGAGGTGTTGCTGCCTCTTTACTGGTAGCTCGGTCAGAATGAAGCTGACCGAGATGAATTGAGGCATCGCCGCCGTGTTGATCAGGATCCTTTGTCTTACCAATGTTATCCGTCGCTCGCTCGAATCGTCTACTCAGAGCTCTCCCAAGCCGCATTATTGGCAGCCCTCTCACGATGCCTGGTCTGAGATGCATGTCTTCTGAAACCGCTACCCCCTTCGAATCTGTCATCGTCTGCGTTTCGGGTATGTTGACTATGGGCTAGCTATTTGTGCCTTTTCTCGCTGAGTTCACGAGGCTCATAAACCGCGGGCACGATTTCACGGATCACCTTTACATCACTTTCGCATTTCCATACGGTTTGTGCGTTGTGAGTTACTATGCTTGAAAGTGTTACGTGATAGGGTTGCAGATGTTTTTCTCCCAGGGACAAACAAGGTCGGCTTCGTCCGTGATTTATGCAGGGGTTGCATTCATCCAGTTGGTGGCAGCTTGGGGAGAACTCGTATGGCTATCCTGGGGCAAGACTTTACTGTCATGGCTGAGGTGAGCTTAGCGTTGAATTGAGGGAGAATTCCATTGTAAATCTTGGTACATACTATGTACAGTACATAGTAAGGTTGGTACATGAAGCCGGATGGCGGGATCGAACCGCCGACCTTCAGTTTACAAGACTGACGCTCTACCACTAAGCTAAACCGGCTTGAAAAAATTGTTGCTCTAGCGTACGCGTCGCGGACTACCTTGGTTGTCAGCTCGCATCATTTGTTTCTCTCGATATAGTGATTGTCCTTTCTATCGGATAGATCAATGTCATCTCCCGCAGGTGAATCTTCAGAGTGAGCGTGTTGAGGAACTGAAGGAAAAACTCGCTGACGCCTTCCCTGAGTAAACTCGTAATCATCATACTTTCATACTTACCCTCGTGACTCCTTGGCAGTGCCGGCAATTCCTTTGCAGGGACTATTCCCGTCGCGACGAGTCTAATTCGGATCTTAGGTGGCTTGGATGGCTCCCTCATGTCTCAGGTACTTGATTGGGGTAAAGCGTACACTGAAGGAAGTGACTGGGCAAGATACAGGGAGTAATTCCTCTAAACTTCCGTTCGCCTCTTACACTCTGTTTTCTGCAGCTCCTACACTCCGAAGGCAGCTGAGGATATGTGGGCCGGATGAACACAACATCCTCGGGAGGTTTTGCGAGTGAGTTTTATTAAAGAGTTAGTTGAGTGAGCTCTCGGTCTGCGCAGGTATCTCGCTCAGAAGGATATCGACATTCTGGACCTCAAGTCCGAAGTTGTGTCCGGATCTCATATCGGGTAACTTGCTGCTCATGTGCCTTGCTCGTGAGCTTCAGTTGCAGGTATGATGTGTTCGATACGACTATGACCATCGGCATTCCGGTAGGAGAGGATGCGGCAACGGAGCACTTGCAGCAAGAGCTGTCAAAACTTGGTGAGCTTTGCGAGAAGGTCATTCATGTGTACTTGTCTGTTGTGTTCGCCAGGTGAGAAAATCGGGGTTGAAGCAACTCTGTTGCCCCTCCCGTGAGCATCAGCATCCTCCCGCCCAACGCGCCGTGTTGCTAGCTTGTGATGATTTTTTATTCGCTGTCTCGCGGTGTATGGATATAACTCTTCATCGTAGTGTATAGGAGAGTTGGGTTTGTGAGTAAATCTTTGCTATTTACGTACTTAACAAGACTATAGTTCACTTATAGCAATGCTCATTGGGCTCTCCTAGAATCTATCGAAGTTGGGTTATTCGATGACGGTAATTCGAGGTTTTCGGGTTCTGACGAGGCTTTCGCTGGAAAGGACGGCCTTCGTCAGCAGTTGCACAAGTAGTAGTAGTAGTAGTAGTAGTAGTAGTAGTAGTAGTAGTAGTAGTAGTAGTAGTAGTAACGATGGGGAAGGACCTATTGGTGTCGCAGGTTATTGTTCGACCTAGTAGCAGAGAAATGTCGAGTGCAGCGGATGTCAGAGTTGGCAACATGGGCTACTATGGGTGACACGGCAGGGAGGGGGCTGTTGGAGAAATATAACGAGGCTGGGCAGAGTCTCTCCATAGCAGCTGAGAGAGCCAAGGTATGTATATAGTGATTGTTGGGATGGGGGGAGTGGTCGTGGTAGGACGGTGGAGTCTCGAATGGTCGCAACAGCAAGTCGGCACCCATTCACACTACTGTCGTCTCCATAGGAGACGATGATAGTGTGGAGGTTATTAGAATAATTCCCGAGGTAACCTGGCTGGTATTGCTGAGTAACACAAACTGCTATTGGTGCCTTCTCAGGCGCAGGGGGTACTGCTGACTGATATTGAAAGGCTTTGGTATGATAAATACGGTAAGAATTTGCAGCCTGTGCTGGAGCTCGCTGGATATAGGAATGTAGGGCGATATTGTGGCGTCTGTGGTTGCTTACTGGTAGCTCTACTTAGACGAGCCGATTTATCCATACGTGTCCAGGACTGCCGAGGTGCCGAGGTGGCCAGAAGGTGATGAAAGCCTCATGACTCTGAGTAATGCTGCGTGGTTAGGCATCATCACTATCACCGAAGACTGTGGATACTAGGCCCTCGATTGTCACTCCTGAGACGGTCCCACTACTCACCTCTATGAGTGGTCATCAATGATGACTCATCATCAGCAGCAAGGGTTCATCAAGACTCCTATATGCTTGGCAGATGGCATCCGGACTGATATCACTGAGGTAGGGATATAGTCGTGGTCTGTTATCATGGTGAAGACTTTAATAGTAATGGAATTGCTAAGGTCGACGTCGAATCCTTTTCTTAGTCCCCAGTCAGCGAGGCTAGAGTGTCTCGTATTTATGCTAATAGCGCTCCCCCCTCCTCCCCTTCGGCGACCCCAGAATCTACTGCGATGCTCGGATTGCACGGCATCACTGGAAAGAATATCAGTGTGGACCTGATATCAGCGATTATCACTAATTTCTATGGAGGGGAGAAACAGACTACTACGAGTAGATCAGCGGAGCGACTATCTTGTACGACTGATGCTGCTGCTGCCGAGGCTCTCTTCGGGCTATTGACGTTCTTTTGTGATGGTACCCCCGCCGCTACTACAGCGTATGGACAGTGTGGCTACGCTGACAGCGCTGCCGATAACAGCAATAGCTTCTTACAGCAGGTGAGATGGTACTGATGATGACATGAAGATGAGTTCGTCTTCTTAGTCGCCGCTAATGTCGGTTGAAGGCCTACTGGCGGAAGTCGACACGCCATCAACGAACTCAACAACCTTCGGAGCTACTCCTTGTAACGATCCGCGAGGAAATTTGGGCACGCTTATTGTGAGAGGTGACAGACTCTATCGGTTAGCATCTTGTTACGCGCCAACTACTACTGTTATCACTGATGGTGCAGTCGATGTGAAAAGATTCGGAAGAGCCCCATAAGTCGCTCAAGGCCAAATGACGTTGTCTTTGCTATTTAATTAAACACAGATTGCTCGCTGTGGAGGCGGGTAACGTTGTGGATGTTGACAGACTATTACTGGTGCTGTTATGATTGCTGCCGGTTGGAACTTCTAAGTCGCCTTGCTGTCGCTTTTGTCTTACCACCACTTTTCCCAATAATCGTACCACACTTCTGCTCCAACTTGAAGAATGTCTCAACGATAGTGTCGCTCATCGAATCGGAAGGAATATAAAATTACTACAAGAATTACTACGCCTGTAGTATCGTCAGTGGTAGGCTGGGTCGTGTTGTTACTCACATATCAGTATTAGCGGTGCCCCTATTAGACATACGATACGCATGATGTAGACGTGTGGTTACCTCGATAGAGTTACCCTGGGTCAATAATCCTGACTCCCTGGGTGATGATAGAAGTGTCGTTCGATGTTGTTTTTGCTGATGATTATGGTGATGACCATGATGATGATGTTATTGCCTCACTTTGTGGTGCATCTGCTGAAGTGCTGTTGTTATTGTGGCAAGTTGCCACTGGTAACATCACCATCAAGGAAGCCTTTTCTCGCAGTCCTTTGGGTCTTGGGTTGAAACAGTGCATTAGGGTTGAATAAATAAAAGATGTCGTCCGCGGGGATCGAACCCGGGTCGATGTTTGACCAACTATTAATTTCGTGCAAATTGCATGAAAAGAGCACATCGGCTCGTCAAGGTCGCGCTTGGTGCCTGGCGGTCACTGATAATCTTGCTGTGAGAGGATTGTACCAACAGGACTTGAAAAGGGATACGTGCTGGCTCGAGGGAGCTTACAGACGACTACTCTTACAGATTTGACATGTATGGATTCGATTGTTGACAGTTAACTTTAACATTACAGTACCGTTGCTGCTGCGGCAGGCAACAAGCCATTATTCTAACAGGTCCATTAATAACAGAGGTTGGTCATTGAGTGGGAGTCCTCCTGAGATAATATCTTAGATATATTATCATGACGGTTTCGACTGAGAACCCCCTGGTGAACGCGGTTGGAGGAACAAAATTGAACGCCCAAGCCGCTGAGTTCGTCCCTGGGTCGAGCAGAGCAGCGCCTAAGGGGGTTACCGACAGTGAGAATCTCAAATCTGAGATACTTAACGTAAGGGGTTGTTGCTCTCTTGAGGTGATGCACTTGTCAATATAGGTTATACGAGCTACCGGTATGACCGGTATTAGAGTCACGCAGATCCCCCATCAGTTCCGTCGTCGTACAGGGAGGTGGCTCGTCATACAGGGCACACAGTTCACATCGCTATCGTCTATCATTGATGCTATCATGGTAGGCTCATTATACCCGAAACTAAACTTATGTTCTCCCCATGTCAGCCATCGATTGAGTTTTATGATTCCCCCAAGGCCCCTACTCCTGGTATGGAAAAGGTTACTACTTACGACCCCGATAATGGTGTGGTCGTTATGGAGCCGACACCAGGCATTGAAGGTAGGAGATAGGCCCGGCTCGGGGCTAGTCCTGATGGTGGTAGGTGCTGATACGTGCCCACCCCTGGTCGTTGGCGACTATGCTAATAAGGTGGTCCGAGACAAGTCCTTCACGATCAATACTGAAGACCTCTCTTTCTTCAAGGAGTTGGTCGTAGCTGTGGTCAGGTGAGCAGGCAAGGAATCTCACACTGGTTAACCGCTCTGGTCCTGCAGAGACTTTTGTGACCGTAGTAGTCACCGTACGCCTTCGGGGTTGCTCACTCCGTCCCCGGGCTTGGCCCTCTCCTTGTTCTCGGCTGAATGGGAGAGGTAGGCACACTTGAAGGGCGGTGGACCTGTCATTGATTATCTAAGGTACTTCCGTGGGGCGTTAAGCCTGAAGGGCATGCGTGCCAAATTTGGAGTGATGAAGCTTCTGCCGTTTATTCTGTCCTGCAAGGAGCTCGAGATGCTGGGCACACACCCTGAGGTCAGCGAAGGCCCCACTGCTCTTATCATGGTTATTGCTTAGGTACGTATAAGGGTGAAGGCCGAGTACTCCATACCAGCGCAGATCGCTCAACAGGCCAGTAAGTGTAGTGTTGAGGTATGTTCCTTATTGACCCCCTTGGGCAGGGATAGAGGCGGCTCGGATGGAGGCTACGGCGCCTCCGACAGGCCCCCCGGCTGATATCCTTAGCAACGTAGGATATATGAAATTGATGCGACTTATTCTTTGGGGAGATATTCTTTCTCAGTATCTGACAGCAGCATCTTTGCTGAGCGAGTTGTCATCAATGTCTAATGCTACTGCTCTGAGTCGCCCGTTGCCGGGAGTAGGTTACTGTATGCATTTTTGTAGTATTATCCGATGTGCTTAGGCGGCTGGTGATCCGATAGATGGTCTACTGCCGATGTCTTCCCCTAGGGCTGTGCTATCGAGAAATACCGAGGTGCTGCAGCTTGGCCGTGTTTGCCCTCGGGACTCGTCCTGTAGGTGCCGTCGGCTGTGGCGAGTTTCTCAGTAGCTCCATTGGAAGGCATGCCGGACTTCGAAGTGCCTCTTGATGATTCCTCGGATGCCTCCGCGTCGAGCTGTGATTCGCCTCCAGCCCCACAGGGTCAGAAAATGCAGCCATATGGGCCCATACTGGGGAGTGGCGATGGTCTTATGACGGGAGCGCCGATACCGCTTTCAGGGGAGGACCTGAGGCAGTTGCTGTCCACTGTAAGGAGTCACCTTGCTGGGCTTGGTGGGAAAATCTTCTCAGGCTATCCGTGACTACTGCAAGAAACAGGCTGGTGAATGGGAGAACCATGCTGATTATGTGGCGGCATTGGAGAAGAGTTGGGCGGGGAGTGGTAATGGTGTCACGGATGGTGACACTAGTACAAGTGAAGATGAGGATGATGATCTTGACAATACCAGGTGAATGACGGGCTGTAGTAGTGAGGAGTCGATGAGTTGTGTAGCTACCGTAAGGCGAGGGTTAGTGTCCTTATGGCGGGCCTGGGCGGGTCGAAGATCCCTGAGGCTTTGATCACTCCACAGCTCAAGGCTAGGGTGCATGCCAGGCGGTAGGATGGACACTCTTTGGAAGGCTTGGAGGACTAATCTCCTCAGGACTAAGACTATTGGGGTTCGAGTCTCGTCGGTGCGTAAGCTGTGGAAGAAAGCATATCCGGCGCTGGGGGCCTTGGACTACTATCTGGACATACTCCAAGTTAACAAGCTGAGGGTATTCCTTGCTGATGTGCCTGGCATGACCCTGTTGGGTGAGGAGTCCCTCCGGCTTGCACCGCCACTGTTGTTGCTGATACGGTCAGGTCGCGGCAGTCGCATGAGGGTAGCCTCTACGTCCCACATAGCTCAGTATTGTCCACGCCTCCTGCCTCCACCCCCACATAGCTCAATGCCGACTTCCACCTCCTCAATAGTACCCCATACTCAGCCTCTTGCCTCGAGCCTCGATGGTGTAAGGAGATGCTGAGTGATTGGCTTGAGTGAATGCTTGTAGGTTACTGTGCCGGTATATGCCGCTCCTGAAGCGGCGTCGAGCACTGTCAATGAGGGGGCTGCTGCTACGGCCGACGGAGAAGAAGAGATAGAGAAGTTGATCAAGGACTTGTTGCTCACGACTGAGGCTATGACAAGTGCCGAACTAGAGATGGAGATGGTCAGTGGGCTGGTGGGGATCGTCGCGGCCAATTGCTGCATTTAGGCTCGAGCATTCAACCGTGAACCATCGGGCGGCGGTCAGGAGACTGACAAGGTTGATAGCAGCAGTCGTGTTAGAGAATAAGGGCTCTACGTCGTGCCTGCTCTTGGTCATTATTTACTATCACTCGTATTCTACGATAATAGGAATACTCTAATTCCCTACTACTCTCTAATTCGGAGACTGTAGGTTCATCTTCTGATGATGGTTGCATGCTATCATGACCGCTGAGCAAACAGGCGTATCTTTATCTTTGTAGTGTGCATGAGTAGAGCTTAGGATTCCTATTGGTTCTCCTATATTGTCATTATCATAGTTTGTCGATCCTCTATTGGGGATTGTGGGATGCAGCGTATTGAAGCCGCACTTCGTGATGGCAATTACATCTACTCCGATGAGTAGAGTGCCATGAACGATATGTGATGATGATGCTAATGCTAAACATGATGCTGTTCATACCCTGGTTTTGAGCTCTCAGTAATACCAATGTTGGGAAGTGGCCGATTGGTTGAACGAGTCTTCTTTACAATGCTGAAGTGCGTAACGGTGGAATGCATCCCTACGCTGATACAGCTAAAGCGGTCCGTCCACGCGGTCTACTGTGCGGCAATGCGTCGCTATGGTTTGCCTGTTGACGAGGAGACGGTAAAACGAGCCTACGCTCACGGGTTCAAGACCACTCAAATGAAATACCCCAATTTCGGCGTTGGTTCGGATGGAGGTAAGTCGTGCTCGAGTGCTGGGTAGGGAGGCGTTGGGTGGTGGTTAGTGATGAAGTATTATAAGGATTGGTGGAGAGTGTCGGTATATGAGACCTTGAACGCTCCTGGCATGCCGGTAAGCTTCGATGGTTTTGTGTATGTTGGCACTGAGTGCTCTTACTGCAGGCTAATGGGTGGTCGAAGGACGAATTTGAACTTTTCTTCCAAGACGTTTTCTCGGAGTTTGGCTCGGTGAATACCTGGCAGGCTCAGCCAGATGCTAAGGACTTCCTACAGCAGTGCCAGAAAGCTGGTAGTGTCTCTTCTTATGAAGCATGGCGATCAACCCAGAGTGCGGCTATATTGGTGTCGGTGGGGTCAGGTTTAATCACGGGTTTATTGGACAACTCCTACGGACGGTATATTGACGACACCCTACCGCTGTGTGACGCCCTGCATGAGGCCCTTCACTTCAGTGTCCTTGGCGCCGAGTATGACCCTCCGCTGCTGAAGCCAAATGCAGCTGCTTTTCAGGAGGCTCTAAGGAAGGTATGTATATACTCACTCAAGCACGATGACCCTCGAGGCCCTCTCAACGGCTTGGAAGGCGTTCTTGGTTTTGCCCTGTAGGCTAATATAGTTGGGAAGATGTTGAAGGAGGGGGTTGTTGGAGAGATTGCTCCCGATGAGATGCTGCACATCGGCAACCGACTTAATGTAGATTACGCTGGTGCCCTTGGAGCGGGATGCAAAGCCATCATTTTGGATCGCAGTGGCAGTGTGGTGAAGGATAAGCTCATGAAGGGTAGGAATTACAGATGGGCACCGCTACGGTACCTCTCGGTAGCGTACCAAGAGATTACGGTTTGCCTATCTATACTCACTGAGTATAGATAGGCAAACAGTACACAAACTACACATTGAGTATTACTCAGTCGGAATGCAATGTGCACACAATTCAGGACTGCGGGGTTTCTCGGAACTGTTCTTACGTTTAGGTGCGATAGATTTTACCAAGCTCGGCTGCAAGCTCACTACTGAAGACGTGGTGGGGAGTTTGAGCGAGGCTTTGGGCCTCATGCGTGATCGGGGTTATCTTTGATAGTCTGATTTGGTTTCAATACTCTGTGTAGTTCATGCTCACTGATTTTCCAAACATGTTACTCTTCCTCGTGTTACGGTCACCAAAGGGTTGTTGTTATTAGCCGCTGTTGTTCAGGTTGAAGTTGTTTTCAGCACATGCATGGCCCTACTAAGCGGAGAAATGTAAGCACTGAGGTCCAAGGCAATGATAAGAAGCGACAACGTACAAGGGCTCGAGGCCCCCGAGGGAGTTCCGCCCTAGCTGTAGCCTCCGAGCCCAATACCCAACAGCAACGACGAGGACCGAAGAATGGTGATAGGCGGCGGAAACAACTGGTGGGAGTGGCCCTTGGTTGGGGGCCTATGGTGTACCACTTCATCAGGGGGGAGGAGGCCATGGACAGCCAACAATCAGAGAGCCTTCACCGGCGTCGTCGGGGCTAGTTGGGGAGGACGATGAGGAACCTTCGCAAGAGAGGTTCGATAGGTTGATGAAGCAGTTGGATAGTACGTATAATAATGGCGAGTACGCCAAGTGTATTAAGGCGGGTAAAGCCCTATTGAAGTTGCCCGCTACTATACTCCATCAAGACTGGGGTATCAGGCGATGGGGTGGTGCTCTAGAGCAATACAACCCTGGTTACAGGTGAGCCGTCCCTCCCCCCCTTATGGGACATGTCTCTCCTTAGGGTTGTTGATGGTATCAGGGAGACTCTGATTGTTTGCCATACTGAAAGTGGACAATATCAAAGTGCTGTGAGGATCTGTACGTCGGTGATTTTCGATAAAGACGCACCGGCGAGCACCAGGGCTTTGGCGGTGACGCAGAAGATTGATTGCCTCCTCAACGCTGAGTAGTGATGATGGTAGTCTGGACGGAGGATGAAAAATTTTTGCAGGCGTATTTGTGAGGCATACACGTTCGCGTTGAAACAGGACGATGAAGGAGTGAAGCGTAGGAACGAGGTCTACCAAGAATTGCAGAAATGCTTTCCTTGGTTCGTCGGGTTGGCAAGAATAAAATACGCATTCAGAGAGCTCCAGGATGCTGCAGTGAATGCGAGGGAGGCGTTGCAAATAGCTGGCAAGCGTCTCGAGTAATACAGCGGGTGATCATATTTGATAGGAAAATATGAAAAGTGCGTGTTATCTCCTGAGGTTAATAAGAATCAATCTGGAACTATACCGCATAACCAATGTAAACGTTGCTGTTGCATGAGTGCCTTTTAGAGACAAGTTGTTCACTATCATGGATTCCGGAATAGAAAATCATACCGCATATTCTCGACAGTTGCATATCAAATTTTGCACGAGGTTGTCTTAGTCAAGAGCCTACATGCTGGGTCCTGTGGTGTTACCTCATTATTGCCGAGGCGGCTTCCGAGCTGAAGCCGACCAAGGAGAATCTAAGGCAGGCCCTGAAATGGTGGAAGAAAGCGATCGATATGGAGCGCAGGGTGGGTACTCTGTTGTTTCAATGCGAACCCGACCAAATTTGTCAGCATCCGAAATCTGCGTCTACGACCGAGCGGGGGTCCATGTGCCGCATTCAGTGCCTGACCCGCCTCATAGGCATACTGGAGGCGTATGGCAACAATATTGGGGAGAAAATGGCGTCGTACCTGCTGGAGCGTGTGAGGGGCTTACATGATGAGCTCACGGCTGAGTTCAACACCATGTCTAATATACCCGCGGATGACTGCGTTTTGGAGCTTCGGGCATCGAAGTTGTTCTTGTGTGGTCTGAGCAAGGAGGGTAAGCTCGCGGAACAGAAGCGTACAGTGGTCATCGACTGCAGCTCGGGAGGTGTTGCTATGTAGGCTTACTACTTGAATTCGACTGGGGTTAGTTGGCGTTTCCTTCTACTAGGTACCTCACGAGATCGCTCACTCCTAACTGTACATGGGTGTATGAATCCCCAGCTGGGGACCCTGGTATGGGGCATGGGCTGAAGGCCCTGATAGCGCTGCGGCCCGTGAGGGCCCGAGATGAGCTCACAGTTTATCGCTTGCCTAGTAGTACACCATCAGTCAAGGTCAGAGCGCCGAGGGGAGGGAGGAGGGAGGGCATCAGCGAAGACGACTTGGCACCGCGTTTGGGGTTCGGAGAGGTTTACGAGGATCTCACGGACTCGTATGGCCATGGAGCATTGCTGCAAGCCTATGTCCATAACCATGGGGAGAACCATAGGTCTTCAGTCTTCGACACTGACGCTGTACAGATCCTTCCTATGCCTCCTGAAAGGGTGGCTAAGGATGGCCTCTTCCGAGTAGTAGCGGCTCGGGATGTCGCTGTGGGGGAGCGCATCTTCGTGTGTGATGGTATAATCAGAGCTCTATCGCCGGCACAGTTAGGGCAGGCTGATCCGGCTACGGTGATGCCCCTGAGGGACTTGCCTAAGGGAGCCTTTGGCTTCTGGGTCAACCCGAAGACGATGAAGTACCTTGCGGTGCAGGGTGAGCTACCGGACTTGAGGGTTTCCAAGAAGGCACGAAAAAACGAGGATTCTGGTCCTGTGGATATCGAAGGGCTCGACGATATCACCACCATCTTCGGGTTGAGCAGAAAATTGACGCAGATGATATTACTTCTGCTGAAGGAGCCGACTCGGTATGGAGAACTGGTCAAGCTGTTCCACGGCATACATCGACTACCCCGTGATGAGGACTTCTATAGGGGTGTCTGGAAGCTCGCGGTGAGGTATAAGTTGTGTGATAGCATGTGAGTTGGGGATGGTGTGGTCACTGCGCCACCAAGCGATATCAGGTCCTCTGGGAGGTGCCCAGCAGTGGAGCCTGATGACGAGGACTATATTCCTAGTCTAGAGTAGTTATTCGGGATCGGCAAGAGGGCAGTTGTATTATTCCTATCTAGGTCCCCCGAGGCTGCTGCCTGGCAGGTCGTGTTCAGTGAAGATGAGGATCTGATGTCTTTGGCTATCCGAAGACTCCGACAGTATTGTAATTCATTCGAACCCTACACCTTCCCACCACTTCCATCATCGCCTTCTCCTGGATGATCACCTACTGTACATTATGCATTGCAACAGTGAAGCATGCGTATTATCAAAACAATAAGGGCAAGACTAGTCTCATTAATCTCCTGGTTGTTGGGTTATCAGTACATCGAGGCGGGGTTGTGATGGTGAGCAACGGGGCCGATGGGAGGTAGACAGCCTTTGTGTTGTCGCGGATCGCTTCGGTATCTTAACTAGCCTCGAGAAAGATACCAATTAGATCCAATTCATCACCGTTACACTTTAAAGTAGGTTTGTTCGAGTATGTCTTTGACTATTCATAAGGTTCCTACCGTCCCCATTGAGGGGCAGAAGACAGGTGAGAAGGCCGTAGGGTGATATCACGGATATGATGTCCTCATGCTAGGCACTTCGGGTCTTCGCAAGAAGACGGCGGTGATCACAGGCACTCCTAACTACATCGAAAACTGGCTACAGTGCTTGTTCACTTCCATTGGTGACGACCTCAAGGGCAAGACTTTGGTCATAGGCGGTGACGGGAGGTGAGCCCTTCGTGGATGCATTGAGGCCTTCGCTGTAAAAGTGTCCTTGTAGGTACCACAACTCAGCGGTTGCTCAGACGGCCATTCGCATCGGCTTTGCTAACGGTGTGAGGCGCTTCGTTGTGGGCAAGGATGGTATCTTGTCGACTCCTGGGGTATCGGCAGTTATTCGACAACGTGGTCTTTTTGGTGGAATTATCATGACCGCATCTCACAACCCGGGAGGCCCTAATGCAGACTGGGGTATCAAGTACAACTGCGAAAACGGTGGTCCGGCGCCTGAGAAGGTAACCGACCAGATCTATGTCCTCTCCAAGACCATCAAGGAGTACTCGATTGCGGATCTGGACAGGCCAGTGGACCTCGCTCAGCTCGGTGAGCAACACTTTGCTGGTGGAGAATGCGTGGTTGAGGTATCGATCCTCTTGAGATTTGGGTGGACCTCATGCGAAGTGCTTCGACTTTGAGGCTTTGAAGAGGCTGGTTGCCCGTCCTGACTTTACTATGCTATATGACGGTCTCAACGCCGTCACCGGGCCGTATGCTAAGAAGGTATTCGTTGATGAATTGGGAGCTCCCGCAGCCGCTATCGTCGAAGGGACACCTCTCGAGGATTTCGGTGGAGCCCATCCGGACCCGAATTTGACTTATGCTCATGGTTTGGTGGAGAAGATGGACAGTTCGAAGAATCCTAATGCTCCGGTCTTTGGTGCCGCGAGTGATGGGGATGGCGATCGCAACATGGTCCTTGGTAAGGTCATTCATCTTCTGGTACAGCGTGCCACTTGCTGTTGTCCTCTCTAGGCCGAGACTGGTTCGTGAGCCCCTCGGATTCCCTCGCGATCATCTTCGACTATGCCGCGCAAGGCGCTATACCGTGAGTGGCAGTTGTTGCGAGACTCGGCGAGGACTTCCTCTGCAGGTATTTCAACAAGGCTGGTCTGCCTGGTGTAGCCCGGTCCATGCCCACATCCCGAGCTGTAGATGTCGTTTCGAAGGCTCGGGGCATCCCTTGCTACCAAACTCCGACTGGTTGGAAGTACTTCGACTCGCCCTATCTAGTTGGCTCCTACTGCAGTATTGTCAGGTTCTTCGGTAACCTTATGGATGCTGGTAAGGTCTCGCTCTGTGGCGAAGAGTCCTTCGGCACTGGCTCCAATGTGATTCGAGAGAAAGATGGTCTTTTCAGTGTACGTACATTTCCCTTCTTGTTCGCCATTACTCTCACTTGTGCAGATCTTATGCTGGCTCTCTATACTAGCCTTCCGCAATCAAGATCCTACTAAGCCCTTGGTGAGCCCCACGTCCTCCACGGGCTTGATCGCCGCTTCTTTTGTTGTCTTTACTGTTATCATCTCAGGTGGGTGTCCGAGAGATCAACGAGGACCATTGGCGCAAATACGGTCGCCATTTTTACACTCGCTGTGATTATGAAGGTGTGGAGAGTGAGGCGGCTGATAGAATGTTTGATCATATCCGAGGAAAGATCGCCGACAACTCTTTGGCTCGAGGTAGGCTCCTCCTACCTTGCATGTGTTATCTCTCTACTCTCTATATAGGTGTCAAGCTTGCCGAGGGCTGGACCGTGGCTAGCGCTGAGGAGTACAGGTATGTCGATCCGATCGACGGCAGCATCGCTGAGAAACAAGGCCTCATCATCACCTTTGAGAATGGTGGGAGAATCGTCTTCAGACTTTCGGGGACTGGCAGTGCTGGTAGGCTAGCGGCCGTTCAGTGTCCTCATGAGAATTTACATTCCCCCCAGGTGCGACCATCCGTCTCTACATGGAGTTGTTCGAGAAGGACTTCGACAAGATAGCGTCCCATGGGCCATTGGTCGAGAGCGAGCTCATGAAAATTGCACTACGAGTGTCCGACCTGGAGGGTTTCACTGCTCGCAAGGAGCCCACCGTCATCACCTAAGCCTGTGCATTGTTTTTTCAAAACTATAAGTGTTTAGGCAGGCTACACTAACCCTATTCAAGCCTAACCTCCGTGACTATAGGAGTATCCTAGTGCAGTGTGTTGAGTTCAACAGTATGGTGGGACACCCGTTGAAGCAGCTCGTGTAGCCTCATGATACACCGTCTCAGCATAGTTGCTTGCCTAGCCGTTATATCAGTGTGGGCAGGTGTGGACGATATCCCTATCAATCGTTATCCAATAGTGAGTCCTCGTGCCTCTGTTGGAGCTCATCATTGTTGTCGGTATCTCAGCTGATGACGCACGATGCTGCCATGGGTTACCTTGAGAACAGTACTGAACTCATACATCGGTGTAGCAAGAACCAAGTCGGCAGTCTTTATCATCAGCTGACCTGTGGGGCTCGAGCATTCGATCTTCGACCGGCGTGCGCTGACAGTGAGGTGGTTGTCCATCACGGACTCCAAGTCGTTCATGTGCCTTTAAAGTCGGTCCTTGAAGATGCAATGAGATGGGCAAAAGAAAATCCCGAGGAGATCATCTTTGTTCGTCTTGGTTTGTATGGACCGGAAACCCCTGAGTGTAAGGCTAAAGTTGGTCCTATTCTGTCCGAGTTGAACTTGATGGAGTCCATCGGCAGTCCTACTGTACCCTGTAGCAAGCTAGACGGGATGACCCTTGGAGGTGCTAAGAATGTCTCTAAAGTACCTTCAGGTGGTCATGTCTTTGTCTACGAGAGGGACTGTGGGGACGACCACGGTGGCGAGCATTGTCACTCGACTGACTCTGAGGGGAAGTGGTCAGTTCACTGCTATACGCCGTTTGATGCTAGCCGTCCCTCTGAGAAGGTGGAGGCCTTTCTCGAATCGATACGGCAAATCTCACGACTGACTCCCAAGGGGTATAATTTCTTGACAAACGAGGCACACTGGCAATACAACTTGGACCAATTCGAAGGGGTCCGTCTGGCGTCTTCCAGCCTCATCATGGATGAGTACTTCAGCCGATTGAACCATTTCCTAGTAGATGCTATTGAAGGCTTGACAAACATCAACATGCTCCAAGTCGAGAACGTCTGCGACCACGGCCTTGAATTGAACGCGAAGTTGAGAGAGCGCGCTGTACTGCTCGGGAAAGAGTACCCGAAGGAGCGGACTGTTGTTGCCTGACGATGATACTAGTTTATGGTCGCCCCCTCCCTAGCTGCTTGATGCGGCACTTTTGGACATTCTGAACTTTTGAGTATTCTATTATCTTCTTGAACGACTTGTTCCCTGTAAGTTCATAGGGCCTCGTGTTGAATCGATAACATGAGCGGTCAGTATTCACTTTGATATTGGGACCAATGATAGCTCTCGTCCTCCTAGGGAGCCTCCACATATTCCTCTCCACTGCCAGCGTGGATGACATTCCCCTCAATCACTATCCCATGGTGAGCTCATCGGCTCTGCTGGTCGGTGTTGGGATCACAAGTGTTACAGATCATGAGCCACGACGCCGGTATGGGGTACACCGAGCCTTCCAAGGATAATATCGTTCGATGGTCTAAGAATCAGGTTGGAGACCTGAGACGGCAATTCGGATGCGGCGCTCGGGCGTTCGACCTACGAGGGGCTTGCTCAGATGACGGAGTCGTGCGTATTCATCATGGCTTGTTCGTCATCGATACCCCCTTGCGGAAGGCCCTAGAGGATCTTGTTGCAGTAGCGGGAGAGCATCCAGAGGAGCTCATTCTAGTACAGTATCAGCAGTATATGCCGGACGACGAGTCGTGTCGAAGAGCAGTGTGGGATGTGTCAGAAGGCCTAGGGCTTATGAAGTCAGTTGGGGGTGGGGGCGAGTCCTGTGAGGTGTTACGTGGACTCACCGTGGGTCAGGCGAAGGAGTATGGGCGCCTCGACAATGGTGGTCACGTCTTCGTGTTCGAGGCTGGTCACGGCTGCACCCTCGGTCGAGGTGATCTCAACTGCTACACCAAGCTCAATGATTCAGAGAGATTCGCCTCTTGCCTGCTGGAGCCGGGCTCATCAGGGCCGACCTCCAGAGTGAACGAGATGGTCGAGACTCTGGTTGACCTGGCGTCAGTCTGCCCACCTGACGATGGGAGGATCCTATCTACTGCTGGACATTGGCAATATGACTTAGACCAATTCACTGCTATATTACAGTATCATTCTAGCCTGCTCATGGACGTCTACTTTTCTGACTTGCATCATTGGATTGCTAATAGGACCGGTGACATGAACTACATCGGCCTCCTTGGTCTTGACAACGTCTGCGATAGAGGCACCGAGATCTACAAAAAGTTGTCTCACAAAATTGAGGACCTCTCGTCGACGTACGGGATTCCCTGACTCGTCAGAAGGAGCTTCCCGAGTTTCCACTCTGTCCTCAGTTTGTCATTTCTCACCCTATTCTTTAAGAGATCTTCTCAGCCGTAGTGTCAGTCTAGTTTGTAGAGGTGTTGTGTAAACGTAGGCAAAGAGTTTCTATTTACTGGCTGTGTCTGCTATCGTTCATACCGTCTCTACTGCAGTTGCTCTCCATTGGTGTTTCACTGGGCCATGTCCTCTGAGCTACAGTTGTTACCAAACGGCGGTGAGAGTGGCGGTGGTCACCGCACTCGAGAGGAACGTCTGAAGGCTGTTCATCCAAGTGGAGAGGTGAGGCGAATCAAATTCATGCTGTAAGTCATTGGCCCCGGCTCGGCGCGAATGGTGATGCCGCTGTTTTCGCATTCCACGAGTTATTCGATTAATTTTGGGATATCAATACGGCCGCCGAAGACTGCTCTTATATCTTCTTAGGGTACTAGGATGACGAGAAGAGAATCCGCCAGGCAGTCACGGAAGAGGGAGAAGATGTACCTTGGAGACCCTTGAAGACAAGGTCCAGAAGCTCAGCCATGAAGTTAATCGAATGAAGGAGTACGCTGCTACTGGGCTCTCTCTTGAGAGTCTGGACCAGGAGACCCGGAACAACATCAACCAACTTCGAACTGCGTTGGCCTCCGATGCCACTCTCAGTGTGGAATTGTTCAGTCTAGTGGGCGCGCTGTTGGTGCGACTGGGGTCCTTGGCGTCGAGCGACGTGTTGGCATCGAGAAGGATTTGAAGCAGTCACCGGAGCTATTCATATCCCCTGTGAACATGCTTCTCTTCTGGTTGAATGAGCGGAGGATCGGGCCGTTTTATTATTACGGTGAGAGTGCCTCCTCGAACGGGGGCCTGCCAGACGCGGACTCGGCGGCTACAAAGGCGAGTGACACTCACGCGGTAGGTGTCGGGAAGGACTGGAAGGAGTTGGAGAAACGGCTGAATTTGACTGATGAGCAGAAGACGCAGTTACAGCAGATAGAGGAGATCGTAGCTCAGGAGAAGCAACAAACACTGAGCTGTCTTCGTCCTATTGAGCACATGAAACGAGCCCTCAGTATCAGGGCTTATAGTATGCAGAAGTGTGTCGAGAATTTACGAGGGATGTTGTCGCCGGCGCAGGTAACAATTCCTTCGGTTATTGAGTGGTCAGTGATTCCACTCCGTAGGCTGCTCGAGTTGTCCTGTGGCTCTGTGACCAAGCCTCTAACAAGGATGAGATGCAGCAAATAGAGCAGGAGTTGTTTCCAGGAGTTACCATGGCATCGAGTGCTAACTTGTCAACTCAGGAGTCTATTCATCGTGAACAAACCATGCAGATTGCTCGAGACAATATGTTGTCTATGAATGACTCGGAGAGCCCGCCTGGTGAAGAGCTCGAGGATGAGTCTGTGAACTCTCATTCTGATGTTGCTCAGTTTGGCGCTTTCTGATTGACGTTTTCTGTATCATTCGTTCAACACTTTCTTGGCTAATCCGGATGAGTTGAGTTGATCTAGTCACTGTGAAACGCAAGGGCCAGACGGACACAGTCAAACTCATTATATTTCCTCTACAACTGGTAATTCACTGCGTTTTTGTTGCTTCATTCTGAGTAGCCACTTGGGTAAGTGACCGAGTGGCCGTGTGCGATCACTTTCCTTGAAATGTAAGAGACATTCCTCACTGGCATCGTCTGCCTCTACTCTCCGAGGCGGCTCGGTGGTATACACTTGGTCGACCGGCCCGACACCCGCCACATCACACTGGAGTTTGATTTCCCTTGCTGGTTGCAGGTCTAGCTTGATTGCTCCTCCACGATTCTTAGACAATTTCTTCGGCGATAAGATCAAAACATCACCGTTCATGTCCATCTCGGGATCGTCCCTAGGCTCCTGTAGATGAAACGGGACCCCTCCGAGATTTTTAGGAAGGACTTCTGGATCGAGCATCAGAACGTCTCCTTCGACCCGGACGTCTGTATTCTCCTTTGACTGCCTTCTGCGCCCTTGCGCAGAACCAAAATCAACTTCAACGCCCTTGGGCAACTCGGGTAAAGAATATGCAAAAAGTTCACACTGTGGATGGTTACGTCTTCGACCGATGCTCCGTTGTAGTTCGTGACGTCTCGACTCCTTCTTCCATTGATCAAAGTCTTGCTTGCACCCGAAGAAGGCTGTGAATTCCCCACATTCTGGAGTGTTGAAGTCGTAGGAACTCCAAGTATCCTCGTAGCCGCCACGACGAGGTACCGTTTGAGATGTCTGACCAGCGTCAAGACCAAGATCAGGTCATTCATCCCGAATGAGCCACTCACATCGAGTGGAGCCTTCGCGGATCGTTCATAATCCACCAGCGAGACGCTACCACGTCTAACGGACCTATCGTGGTTGGGGGACGCCAAATCCATCGCACGAACTTCCTGGTGGACAACCTTTTGTACGACGGATATTCGCTGACCCACTCACCCAGTTGTCTATCTGTCGCCGGCTTTCGCCATAGAGCCGCTCATGAGCGTATCTTATGGCCACGTCTCGGGCCCAACTCCACTGTAGGATGCCAACGTCTGGCCTATGGATGTCCAGATGCTGCGGAGTGTAAGTACCCGGCTCCGGATGAATTTCTCTCATCTGACAAGCAGGGTTCGACCCAGGAGAGTCCTCGCAAATTAGAGACCCCTCCATCAGGCATAAACCGCCCCTCACCATCGTAGCGAGACGGATCCCCGTTGGCAATATGACAGCACTCAAAGAGCGCCGCCTCCTGGGCTTCAATTCGTAGCCACCAATCTCGTGGCACGATGCGGGGGAATCTGCTCATTTCTGATCTTCAAAAGGGTTTGGATGTGAATACCCACCCCTGCTGAATCTCGGAGCTCTGCTGATAATCAGTGACGGTTCTCTCGAGCACTCGCTGGCCGTTACCTCGTATGTTCCTGGTCCTGGTCCTGGGAGGGAGGTGTGGGAGTGCGGACTATGCCGTTCTCGAGATTCGGCCATCCTCATGACAGCACTGCATGGCCCCGGAGAGGGAGGCGATAGATCATAACTCCCGGGCCCACACGATGATTCTTCCATCCTGGCCCCAAGGGGCATCGATACAGGCATTATCACCGCGTTGGGAGCACGCTCTCTGACCAAGTTCAGGTCGGGTTCAATCTCCGATAACGACGGGGCCTGATCCTCGGATGCCCGTTTCGTGTGGTGGGGTGGCATGATGCTCCCGCCTTTCACTCGTTGAGACATCTCTATAGGATTCAATGACCAGTCGGGGTTCGCGTCATTACGGCGAGTCTCGAATCTTTCCCTTTTGGATTGTCCGAATGTCGCCGTTGATCGAACAGGCCTCTCATGAACTGCAGTCGATGCCCCTGTAGAGATCTCTGATGCCGGAGGGTTAGATGCATTGCGAGCGAAGGGCACCTTGTGCACCACTGGCTTCTCCCCGTCGAGTTTCGAAAGGGCGGCCGCAGTCAGCATGTTCAAGGGCTCACTCGTTTCAAGCTTGTCTAACGAGCACTGTGGGGGTTCATCGTTGGACCTCTTCTCCTCCTTGTCGTAAGCAACCTCTCGTTCTTCATTCATTAGCTCTTCCCCATCCTCGGAGTTGTTGCCCTCTGAGCCCAAGTCTATCTGTGTCGGTCGAGGTCGTCCTCTCTCGATCATCATGCAACGGGCTGGCCCCTGGTATATACGGCTTGCTAATGCAATGAGTCTTCGACTGTCGAGTCTCTTGCCATCTATGCTCACGACCCTATGCTGACCCTCAGGGGTTCTTAATTCACCATCAACAACCTTGAGCCCGAAACGGCCGTTAGGTTGTCGGTGAAGTGGTATCCGTCCGGGGCGACCGATAGCACCACGACGTACTAGAAGTGCGAGGGCATGACTATATTGTGTGACCGGTGCCCTACTTGGAGTAATGTTTTGCGAAGTCTTTAACGAACCCCTACTGTCCACACGTTGACGAGGTAGACTCGACGAGATCGGTGGGCGTCGATCAATGAGAGGCTTACGCATCACCACCGAGCAACGTCCATGTTGTAGCTTACAGAAGTCAAGATTCGAGTCTCCCGGGTTTGTAAAGGCGGCCTATCAACAATATCGCGTGAACAATCCCAGAAGGACGCGCTGTACGTGCGGGTGCACTTACACATTTGGTCCCAGTTTGGTGGAAACGCTCACTCCGTCTGAACTTCCCCTCGAACCCTCTAAGGTTCTCTTTCCAGTTCCAATGTGGAGCCCCTTGACAGTCCGTGGCTAGCTCTTTTCCGTTGTCTTGCTCATCTACAGTGCAGTGGACGTATAGTCTGTGGGGTCGCGGGCTTCCTACTCTCCAACCATCGCGGTGTTGTTCCCATCTTGTATTTGGGCTTGGCCCTTACCTCCGAAGATGCACTCACTGACAGGACGGCGGGCGCCGAATCGATCGCCACCTCGTCATCGAGGAACCGCGGAGCTCGGGATAAAAGCATCAAGATTCAGGTGGTCGGTTGTATCCCAGAGAGGGAAATATGCGTCCTACTAACCGGAATTGGTATCCTTACAACAACGTTGCTGTGCGCCGACCACAGCTTCTACGCAATGCAATCGCGGCAACTAATAAATTCGTGAATTGACAGTCATGGTGGATGCGGTGATTCGGAACATCGATCGGTCGGGAGGACTTCCCTCAGGACGCTTAGCCACCAATAGATACAACTACGTGAAATGCTTCCGGCACAGAACTCACATCGCAGAGATGTAACCTAGATGGGAGTAGTAGTTTGAGGGAATACGCTACGATTCAACTACCCGCTACTACAGAGAGCGACAATACTGCACCAGTTGACCAACCCGGTCCGAATTGACCCTCACTGTGCACAACAATAACACCATGGAGCACTGAAGGTCCCCTTACTCTGTTCGTCCAATGTCCTGAATAAATTGCAATGATCTCTCTCATCGACTACTTCGCACCGCGGGGTAGTCACTGGGCGCGGGAATCGTCGGGAATTTACCGCCATTTTTAGAAACCTAACAGAAGAACTCTCAACAAGGTGCTGACCTGATATGAGATATGCCATAACTTCACATCAGCAACGAACATGGATACCCCATACGCTGTGTTCACCTGGGCTTGTAACTTCTCCGTCTGCTTGTGCGTGCACGGCATCCAAAGCAACGTAGTATTAGAAGCAATAGACGTAGCCGGCAGGAACTTATGCTACATAGGAAAGCCAACTCGAGGGGAGAAGAGGATGTGCCGACAGTACGTTCCTGAGTTCATCCAACACACGTTGCTTCTCTTGAGCCATCTCTTCTTCAACGGCTCGCTCGTCCTTCTCCCGGGTCCGGTCGAGGGTTGACCCACTGTGTCGTTTCCGCGACTTATCCGGAGTCTCTCTACTGACCTTCCCCTCCTCTTTAACAGTAGCTATCTCGGAGAACTAAAACGAATCTTCTTGAGTGAGCGTAATGACTGTGAATCGTCGGAGGTACCTGACTCCTTCTGAGGAAGTCCACACTGAGCCTATGCTCCTGGTTCCATTTAGTATCCTGGATTGCCTTCCCCATCCGTCTCGCTGTATTCTCATCATAATACTCGGCCACCGCAAAGCTCTAGGAATGCATCAGCTCCTGCCCTCATCCGTCGCAGACCATCACACTACTACCTTCTTCGCGGGTTCTGTCCACTCCCTCACTATACGTACGGTACTGCTATTGGTCAAGAGCTTGGTCACTGCTGCTGGGCGAACAGGGCGAACCAAACCCGATACGACCTGCCATCTCCTGTCGTCAAGCAGAAGCGCGTTTACCCTTCAGACTACCACAACAGCCAGGTCGGTCGGGTTGAGGTCAGCCTCCTTCTCTTGCTCTTCTTTGTCGATCGCATCGCGGCCGCTATCGAATACTCCGCTAGGGTCCCCCAACATAGCAGAAGAAATGGAACTTCTACGATCATCCCCCCATTGTAATGATGAACTCAATAGCAATGCAGGACGTAGTGAAACGACACAGACATGCTGGATCTTCGTAGGATGCTGACAGGCATCACTTCGCAGTTCCAGAGAGTATTCGGTCGGTCATGCTATGATATCCAACGCCACATAATTGCAAAGGCTTGGGAAGGCTGTGCTATGCCCAACCTCGGTCCTCTAGCTGCTGAGTTGCCGTAGTATATACCCCGGAGGACGTGGATGATTGCAGAACTCACAAGAGGATCACGACCAGATCGATGACCATCGTAGGGACCCTCCTCAGCCATTGTAGGCACCACATCGGGAAGTCACGAGTCTAGAAAGCAGATACATACCCGACTTGCCCGTCCAAAAGGGGTTCGAGAGATGTATGATGGTCACCCTTTGTAGCTGGCCATAGTCGCTACTGCGAGATGTCCTCCGACTGAATCCTATTGCGTAATGATTCGGTCTCACTCTAACCTGCTTCTATTATTAAATCTTTGTTACGACCGATAGGCCTAGAAGATGTGGACATACTTACCATACCCAACCCAGTACGCCAAGTGATGACCTGGATACGTCTACTGCATGACCATCACTAGATAGTCACCACGATGCGACTCCCCAATTTACAACAGTTGCTAGCAGATCAGACCCGTTATCACTTATCCAAGCTGAGCCTTGCTTGCCTACCCTAGTTCTGCCTGGTGCCAAGAGCACCTTCCAGGCCTCACTGAGAGAGCGGCTCTGTACGGGACGAAGTACATGCATGAGCAGCCAGTCCAACAGAGGCCATTGCTGAAAGCCCTTCACAACTGCCGGTACGAAGGCGATCAGACGAAGGCGCCAACAGAGGGTCCACCTCGGACATTCTCTGCCTATCCAGGTACTCAAACCCCTAGCCTATACAGCCAGCCCACCATTGAGCTACATGAGAGGCTCCCCACCACAATGTGCCGTTCACTACCCTATCCAACACAACATCCGATGATACTATGGTATAGTGCTGTCAACAGCGAGAAAGGTGGCAGATTCCATGAAGCATAAGGTATGCCATTCAAAGGTCCGCGTCGTCCACCTCGTCGGCATCCTCGAGATGACCTTGAAAATAACCTTCCGGAACAACAGGTATGAACACTACCTGTCTTGGTCGCATCCCCAACATCATCTTCAGCATCCTATAATGACAGTACATGTAGCCCACACAACTTCTGATCATACTTACTTCATCGATGGCCTCCATACCCGGCTGTCCCCCATCCCTAGTGGGGTTCTCCTAAAGACACTATTTGGCAACCACTGCTCAGGTTCGCTCAAGGAGTGCCAACATGATTTCGCATCGGCTTTGCATGGAGTCTATGCCACAGACCCACCGGAGGCAGTAGCACGGCCAACGTCTGGATGAACGGATGAGTTCCTATACTCCTAAGCTTAACCACATCTCCCAGCACCTTCTCAAACTGAGATCCACGAAATCACTAGGCGAAGCGGAACTATGCAGGGTACGTTCTCATAAAGCAGTTGTACATTCCAGAGAATAACAGCATGCACAGATGCTTTACTACCTCTTCCATGCTGATTATCCCGTCTCCATCCGCATCGATCTGTTCCAACAAGTCGCGTCCGAGTTCAAGAGACGCATTGTCGAGATCACGACTGTACACCTCAAACTCCTCCAAGCTCCAGTGCCCATCTCCTAGCACATAATAGCCACCAAGAGCTCGTCAGACTCGCCTCACCGTCAGCATCGTATCTCTTGAACTCGTCCTCGCCCACGCTGTCAGCACCTTCATCGTCACCAGCATGCTCCTAACATGGCCAACCACACTACATACTAGACAAGTCGACCTCTACCTGGGTTTCTTTCAAGTCGATTCTGCCATCCTGATTGGAATCCCTGTAGGAGAAGTCTGCCACCATGACAGCCTAGGAACAACCAGCAAATGACCAGCTTCGTCCGAGAGGGTCCAACTCCACTGACCTTCGCCAAATCTGATCCCGGAACGGGGCTCAAGAATGCGGCGAACTCATCAAAATCCAAAACGCCATTGAAATCAGCATCCCCTGTTTTGAATAGCTCTTCAAGGGAATGTGTATAGGTCTCAATCTGAGAGCATAAACTATGACGATTTCCCCACTATGATTAACTCCTACCCATTTCTGCCGGAGGTCCCCAGATGGACCACCTGAAGATGAAGCAATGGACGGTACATCGCCGCACCCACCAGAATCAACATCACATACCTCCACTCAAGTCGTAGACTGCCAAGAATTCTTCCAAGCTCAGGACCCCATCCCCATCCGTATCGAGAGCATTCCTATCCGCTTCAATCTGAGACACTATCATGAGACATCAAATCTCTACTATAACGATATGACCTGTTGACGAAACTCCATCCTCTCAGCCTTCCGAACAACTTTCCCCATCTCCTCTAGCGTCACCGAGCCATCCCTGAACCTAGCACTGACCTAATCTCGGCACGATAGTAGCTCACCGATCAATATCAAGGTGCTCTCTGAACAAGGCAAGGAGCTCATACTTTTCCAAAGGAGGTGTGCCACCCATCATAAAATCATCGTAAATGCCGCGTCCTGAAATGGATTGCCCATGCATCACAAAGTGCACCCGATGGCCTTTTCAAGATCCCTTACCTTCTCCTATATCTGAGGTCTCCTCTCCTCCCAGTTCAGCATCCCAACCGTCATCAAAGATGTCTTTTTCTGTTGCTCTTCCAAAGAGTCGATAGCAGCCAATGAAAAGGGAGAGGCGTATGAAGTGCATTGGAAAAAACCCACGATGTCTCTTCTTCGATCGAGAGCATCCAATTCGGCTTTTGCAACCATCAATTTCGTCGGGACGGGCGAAATTGGAGGAGCGAATCCGAAACGGGGAAAATATATCAACATTTTTCGGGCTGTTAAGCACATGGATTCTAAGTTTCCAAATCGACTTGTTTCTGACATTTCAAAATCGTGTCTATTGAAAGGAAGGTCGGAAATGATTTTTTCAAATCGATTTTCAGAAACGATTCCAGAATCGCGCAGGGCAATGATTATCGAACGGTTGGTTCATCTTCGAAATTCGCCATAGCACATTCATAAGTGTCTGAGGCCGATAGGAAGTTCAAGTTCGTGTTAATAGGAATCTCAATTTTCGACTTTCGAACTTTCAATTCCGTCGAGTATACATTTGAACCCTTGTGCGGCCAAATAGAGATCTTGCGTTGATTCAGTGAGCTCGCGCAGTTGGGTGAGCTCACACGATGCATGTGTCTTGGAATCGTAGTGGCACAAGGCCTCCTTCAGGTCAGGTTGGAGTACGACGGTACGAATAACGTGATAATACCTGGGAAAGATCGAGGCCCAGGGTGGGAATGAGGTGATAATACCTGGTTAACATCGAGGCCCAGGGTGGGAATGAGGTGATAATACCTGGGTAAGATCGAGGCCCAGGGTGGGAATGAGGTGATAATACCTGGGTAAGATCGAGGCCCAGGGTGGGAATGAGGTGATAATACCTGGGTAACATCGAGGCCCAGGGTGGAGACGATGTAATGTTTGACTCTGACGTTTCCTGGCCTCATACGAGAGGGCCATAATCAGGCATGTTTTTGCGGAATATAGCAGATGGTAGAATTTATGATATGCATCCTAGGCTGTAGACAGACTATCGACGACCGTGCATGTGTCTGCAGTAACCTCCTTGATATCATGGCATCTCAACAGTCACCTTCAGCGGTGATTATGGTTCGTCCAGGAGTCTTCTTTTCCAATCCGGAGACCGCGACCGACAATGTCTTCCAGACTGCGGTCGGTATGGACCCCAAAGAGTGTCTTCCCAAGGCCCAGGCGGAATTCGACAACTACGTCAAGATTCTACGGGATGCTGTGAAGTTAAGTCCACTGCCTGCTATCTAGACTTCCACTTCAATCACTGTATTGGTTTTCTTGTTTGTGAGCCCCGAAAATGATTAGGTTTTACCAACTATTATTGAATCGCCTTAGGTTCAAGTCTTAGTCTTGCGAGATAGCGTGGAGCCTCCCAAACCCGATGCGGTATTCCCCAACAACTGGTTCACCACTCATGCTGACGGCACAGTCGTCATCTATCCCATGTGTGCACCAACACGGCGTTCCGAGCGGCTGCTATTAGATAGGCTACTGGCTGAGCTCCGGTGCTCCAGTTATACCGTCAAGCAATGTATAGACTTGACAGGACTGGAAGCATCAGAATCGTTTCTGGAAGGAACGGGGGCATTGGTATTCGATCACCCAAACCAGGTAGCATATGTAGCTTTGTCACGGAGGGCATCCAGTGAAGGGCTGGCCCAATGGGCGAAACACTTCCCTCATTATACGGTTGTATCGTTCTCTGCACTGGACGCCAGAGATGTTCCCATCTATCATACGAACGTTATGCTAACAGTAGGGACAGGATACGTGCTCGTTTGCTTGGCGGCTCTGAGAAACAAGGATGAGAGGGCTCAGCTGCAGACGAAGTTGAGTAGCACAGGAAAGGAGATCATCGACCTGTCTTTGAATCAAATAGACAACTTCGCGGGAAACGCGTTTGAGCTGCTGGGCCTCGACGGAGTGCACCGGTTAGTTCTCTCCGAAACTGCATTCACTTCATTGACTCAAGACCAACTTTCCCGGTTGAAAAAGTATGTCGAGGTCGTGGCAGTGCCTCTCGGAACGATCGAGATCTCAGGAGGAAGTGCCCGTTGCATGCTTGCAGCTAATATGCTCCCTCGCGATATTTGACTTTCCACCTCACCTCGACGACTCGTGTTAATCAAGTGACCAACTCATGGACTGGCGAGCGGCGAACGACATAACATCAACTTGAACTACACCCTTTAGTATATGGTCTCTCACTCACCACAAACTACAACATCACAGCGTTCCTTCCTCGTTCGACATGCATTCTCCGCTCACGAGTACCTCCAGCTGTCTTAATCCGTATCACCCTTGCATACAATCAATCGCGAGAGTTGTCTGGACCGCTGTGATTGCTCTCCTCTAGACTGAGGACGCCAAAGCATCATGTACTTTGCGTATTAGTATGAACGTTGCATCCATAAGATGCCACACGGGGATTCTCATTTGCGGCTCATTCCTCTGCCACGTGGGCTGCAACCTTCTTCAGCACGTGTCTTTTTAGTATGATTCACAATTCAGGTAACTCGGATTCAATCTGAAGATACATGAATGGATCAAGTGTTTCCCCATGACCCACTCTGTCATGGCCATGTTGGAGTCTTCCGCGTCCTATGATCCGGTCTATCAACGCGCACAAGCTATACTTCGATATGAATTATACTCTCTGATGGACTGCAGTATTAGGTCATATTTATATAATACTGCAGCCCATCAGAGTGTGATTCCCCAGCTATCAAGTAGTTATCCAGTATCAAGTCGAACACTAAGCTAAACGGACGAAATTCAGCCATCGAGACATAGATTGACTCTACCTAAGGTTGAGTACGAATACTCCAAGCAATACCTCACTTGTATCACTCTTCAACACAACCGCATAGTTTACAATAATGAAGAGGTATTACGGACTTCTACGTAAAATAAGATGTAGATGGCACTGGTCCATCAGATAATCTCAATCGTTCAACAAACTCTTCCCTCGACTTTAATGACAGTGACACACTGGTGCATTGGAAAAAAATTTCAGCTCTCTATGGTGTGCCAGGCTGAATCATCTCCTTGTCGTACTTGGCCCAGCTCTTCACAGGGGCGAAGTAGCAGAAGATAGGATAGGACAGGTAGATCAGACCGAGTAGAATAATGACGATACTGCCAATGGTGGTCGCCCTACCCTTGTACTTCCTTGGAACTGCCGGATGAGCAGCGATGACCTTCCTCAGGCCCTCCTTGACATGAAGGATGAAAGAACAAACACCGATGAGATAGAAGCAGACCCATCCGAAGTGCTCGAAGATCTGGAGCTCCATCTTGTACAGATCCTTGATACTTACCACTTTGCACGAGGTGTCGTACTTGTCACAGAAGAAGGGATACATCCACTTGGCACGGAAGTAGTACAGAGGAGCACTGGCTTCGGAGACGAAACGGAACTGCAACAAGTGGACGATCAGGAATACGAGTAGCACTATTCCAGTGGTGATGAGCCATAGCTGATCGAAAGCAGTGTTGATGGTTTTGAACTTATAGGTACGGATCAAACCCACAGCAACATGGAGGAGACCGGCAGCCAGGAGATATATCTCGACCGGGAGGAAGAGTGTGCTCCAGGGACAGGGGTGGTTGAGGAAGTACGTGTATCCATTGAAGTGATCGGGACCGAAGAAAACGTGAAGATTACCGACGCCATGAATAACCACGAACACGATCAGGAACATGGCAGACCTAGTCAATCCAGACTTGTCGTGAATGACCTTATAGTTCTTCACCGTGAAAATGGTCTTCAGAGTCTCCAAGATCAACAGCCAGGCGAAGTATATCACTCCGGCACAATACGAATACATAGAATCCCCCAATGGGCCGTGCATAACGGCAGTATTACGATCCTCACCCCACCACTGCTCCTTTGCGACCCTCGGATCAGCGAGCAAAGGTTGAGTCAGCGCTCCAGTGGCAGCAGGAGCTGCAGGCTGGGGAGCAGCCTGTACAACGGGGCCGAGCACAGAGTCTGAAGCATACTTCTCGATGACATCCGGCGGATGGATCATGTTGAACTCGTTGGTAGCATCACGTCCGGCGAAGGTAAGGATAGCCAAGTCTCCACCTGGATGATCAGGGAGGAAGCCTGTGACGTCCAAAACTTGACCATTGATGACCACCCAACAATCCTCTCTAGTGTTGTGCTTGGCGACTTCCTCCATAGTTTTGCCATTAGCGGGAATGGGAGCAGCAGCAGCGGCAGCAGCAGCCGGCGCAGCAGCGGCAGGAGCAGCAGCACCAAGTTCGCCAACGATCGCATCCGGGGCATACTTCTCGATGACATCAGGTGGATGGATCATGTTGAACTCATTAGAAGCGTCACGACCAGCGAAAGTAAGGATAGCCAGCTCACCACCAGGATGGTCGGGTAGGAAGTCGGTAACGTCCAAGACTTGCCCGTTGATCACAACCCAGCAATCCGCCTTGGTGTTATGCTTAGCGACATCTTCCAAAGTGATACCGCCTCCAGCAGCAGGCGCCGCAGCTGCGACCGGAGCAGCGGCAGGCGCGGCTCCAGCCGGGGCAACTCCGATCTGACCAACAACAGCATCCGGGACGTACTTATCGATGACATCCGGGGGATGGATCATGTTGAACTCGGTCGTAGCATCTCTGCCAGCAAAGGTCATAATGGCGAGGTCTCCACCAGGATGATCAGGAAGGAAGTCAGTTACATTGAGAACATCACCGTTAATAACGACCCAGCAGTCATCCTTGGTGTTATGCTTGGCCACGTCTGCCATGGTGATCGGAGCAGGTCCAGTGGGGGCCGCAGGGACGGGAGCAGCAGCTGGCGCAGGCTTAGGAGGAGCCTTCGCAGGAGCAGTCGCAGCAGCAGGGGCTGAGGCTGTGCTCTTTAGTTGCTTCAAGCTGATGGGCTCATCTGCTCCAGCATAAGTTGCACTTCCCGCACCAGTGAGACGACCATAGACGACACAGTCAAGAAGAGAGTTGCCACCCAACCTGTTGTTGCCATGGACACCTCCCATGACTTCACCAGCAGCGTACAGACCCTTGATGACTTTACCACTCTTGTTCAAGACGCGTCCCTTGGGATCGATGGCCAGACCTCCCATGGTATAATGAACCAAGGGAGTAACAATAGCAACATCAAAAGTGTCGTTGACTGACATAGGATAGTCCTTGAAGAACTTCTTGCCGAAGGGATCATGGGTCTTGCCGGAGGGGTAGGCATCATATGGGCCTCCATCAGGGTCCTTAATCTGCTTCTGCATAATCTCGTTATAGGTCTTGCAAGTCTGCTCCAGCTTGGAGGTAGGGATACCCATCTCCTGAGCCAGGGCGGCACCCGAGGCGAAATCCTTCATAACACCACGACCCTTGTAATGCTCACAGTGCCAGTGGATCTCCTGAGAGGACTTGCTGTTAAGCACAAGCCTGAAGGGACCCTTATTCTTGAACATAGTGTTCGAGACATAGTCGCGACGATGGAGCTCATTAACGAACCGGTTGCCATCAGCGTCCAGAAGAATACCACCAACACCTCTGAGAGCTTCAGCGGCAAGAAACTTAACCTTAGACTTCGGGTCCTTCGGGTTAACTAAGCCCGTTGGATGAACTTGAACGAACTCCAAGTCCAGAGTGTCAGCACCAATCTCCATACCCATCTTAATACCATCGCCAGTACAGTGCTCCCCGTTAGTGGTAGAAAGTCCAAGTAGATCTGGGCGGACCTTAGCAAGAATACCATCAGGGGAGAAATCCGCGCCGAAACCACCAGTAGCAAGAACAACAGGACCATGAGCCTCGTGAGTCTCACCACCCTTAGTCTCGTAAACCACGCCTGTGACAGAACCATCGTCATCAGTTAACAACTTGGTAACCCGGGCCTTGTTGATGATCTTGCACTTGTCAGGATGGCTTTTGGCGATCGCCTCAGCCATCTGGATCTCAGCATAGGTGATAGTCATACCAGGGAATCTCTCCTTACCACGATGGGTACGCTCGACAGAATGACCACCAAGGCGAGCAAGAAGGGACAGATCCAAATCGAAGTTGTCCATCAACCAGTTGACGGAGGCACCGGAGTTCTCGACCATGGCGTTGACCAGATCGGGCTTCTTAGCACCACCCTTCATGCAGTCGGAATAGAACAACTCATTCGAGTCTTTAACTCCCAAAGCCTTCTGAGTCTTAGTCCCGGCACCGTTGATACCAGAAGTGGCCTTCGACGAGTTACCACCACAGAAGGCCGACTTGTCAAGCAGCAGCACTTGGCCACCCTTCTCCAAGACGGTGTTACAGGCAGAGAAACCAGCAAGACCACCACCAACAACAATGACTGTCTTGATATCTTTAGTTAGGCCCTGCTTGAGGCACTTCAGAGGTACTGGTTTGGTCCTTCCCTTCATCATGTATGTAGCACAATCCTTACCAGTGAGACGACCATATACCACGCAGTCCAACAACGAGTTGCCACCAAGACGGTTGTTGCCGTGGACACCGCCCATGAGCTCACCAGCAGCGTACAGGCCCTCGATAGCCTTGTCACCTTCGCCGAGTACACGGCCGTGGTCATCGATCTTGAGGCCACCCATAGTATAGTGGATGAGCGGCGTAACGATAGCGACATGGAAGTGATCATCCATCTTCATCGGATAAGGCTTGAAGAACTTCTTACCGAAGGGATCATGGGTCTTGCCACTGGGGTAGGCGTCATAAGGACCGTTGTCGGGGTCGTCGATCTGCTTCTTCATGATCTCGTTGTAATCCTTGAAGGTCTTCTCGAGTACTGCGGGATCGATACCCATCTCTTGAGTGAGAGCCTTGCCGCTTGCAAACTCTTTCATCACACCACGCCCTTTATAGTGCTCACAGTGCCAGTGGATCTCTTCAGCCGAAGACGAGTTCAAGACAAGCCTGAAAGGGCCCTTATTCTTGAACATAGTGTTCGAGACATAATCGCGGCGATGGAGCTCGTTGACGAAGCGCTTGCCATCGGCGTCAAGAAGAAGACCACCAACACCACGGAGAGCCTCAGCGGCCAAGAACTTGACTTTTGCATCAGGATCTTTGGGGTTAACCAGACCAGTTGGGTGCACTTGGACGAACTCCAGGTCGACCGTCTGTGCACCAACAGCGGTGCCCATCTTAATACCATCACCAGTACAGTGTTCACCATTGGTAGTGGCTAGCTTCAGGAGATCTGGGCGAACCTTGGCCAATATCCCATCGGGGGAGAAGTCAGCACCGAACCCACCAGTAGCAAGAATGACCGGACCCTTCTCCTCATGAACTTGACCCTTTTTGTCGGTGTACTTACAACCGACAACAGTACCATTGTCAGTGAGCAACTCAGTCACTCTGGCCTTATTGATAATTTGGCATCTGTCGGGGAACTTCGCAGCGATCGCCTCAGCCATCTGGATCTCGGCATAGGTGATGGTCATACCAGGGAATCTCTCCTTGCCACGATGAGTACGCTCAGCAGAGTGACCACCAAGGCGAGCAAGAAGGGACAGATCCAAATCGAAGTTGTCCATCAACCAGTTGACGGAGGCACCAGAGTTTTCGACCATCGCCTTGACCAAGTTAGGATGTTTAGCGCCACCCTTCATACAGTCGTTGTAGAAGAGCTCATTGGAGTCCTTGACGCCCAAAGCCTTCTGGGTCTTGGTACCGGCACCATTGATACCGGAAGTAGCCTTGGAAGAGTTACCGCCACAAAAGGCCGACTTGTCCAACAACAAGACATTGCCACCATTCTCCAAGATAGTATTAGCAGCCGAGAATCCAGCCAGACCACCACCGACCACAATAGCACGGACGCTGGGAGCAGTTCGGCCCTCCTTCAGATCCTTCAGCGGGACAGCGTCTGAAGCCTTGAGCTTCATGACCTCTGACGCACAGTGCTTGCCGGTGACGCGTCCATACGCCACACAATCAAGTAGCGAATTGCCACCCAACCTGTTGTTCCCGTGCACGCCACCCATGACCTCACCAGCAGCATATAGACCCTTGATAGGCTTGTCCTTGGGGCCAAGAACTTGACCGAAGGTGTTGATCTTCAGCCCTCCCATAGTGTAATGCACCAGAGGAGTAACAATGGCGACGTTGAACGTATCATCGATAGACATAGGGTAGTCCTTGAAAAATTTCTTACCATAGGGATCATGGGTCTTGCCAGACGGATAGGCATCATAGGGACCTCCATTGGGGTCAGCAACCTGCTTCTTCATGATCTCATTATACTCCTTGAAGGTTTTCTCTAACACTGCAGGCTCGATACCCATCTCTTTAGCAAGATCCCGACCAGTCTTGAACTCCTTCATAACACCACGACCCTTGTAATGCTCACAGTGCCAGTGGATCTCCTGAGAGGACTTGCTGTTGAGCACAAGCCTGAAGGGGCCCTTATTCTTGAACATAGTGTTCGAGACATAGTCGCGGCGGTGGAGCTCATTGACGAACCTCTTTCCATTAGAGTCCAAAAGTATGCCGCCTACACCTCTCAAGGCCTCGGCAGCCAGGAACTTAACCTTCGAATCGGGATCCTTAGGGTTAACCAAACCAGTGGGATGGACTTGAACAAAGTCCAAGTCGACCGTCTGAGCACCGATTGCCTGACCCATCTTGATACCATCGCCAGTACAGTGCTCGCCATTAGTGGTGGACAGCTTAAGTAAATCAGGGCGGACCTTAGCAAGAATGCCAGATTCCGAAAAATCGGCGCCAAAGCCACCAGTGGCAAGGATCACAGGACCGTACTCCTCGACAGTGTCGCCCTTCTTCGTGGTATACTGCACGCCATTGACATCCCCATTTGGGGTGGTGAGTAACTTGGTTACCCTGCACTTGTTTAAAATCTCACACCTGTCGGGGAACTTCTTAGCGATCGCCTCAGCCATCTGGATCTCGGCGTAGGTGATAGTCATACCAGGGAATCTCTCCTTACCACGATGAGTACGCTCGACAGAATGACCACCAAGGCGAGCAAGAAGGGACAGATCCAAATCGAAGTTGTCCATCAACCAGTTGACGGAGGCACCGGAGTTCTCAACCATAACCTTGACAAGTTCGGGGTGCTTGGCACCACCCTTCATACAGTCCGACTCGAACAGCTCATTAGAGTCCTGAACATTTAGGGCCTTCTGCGTCTTGGTTCCGGCGCCGTTGATACCCGAAGTGGCCTTCGAGGAGTTCCCCCCGCAAAACGCCGATTTATCAAGAAGCAGCACACGACCACCAGCTTCCAAGATAGTGTTGGCTGCACTGAAGCCTGCGAGACCCCCGCCGACGACGATAGCCCTCTTAGGCGGAGAAGACATTGTGAACGGGTTTGAAACGGGTTCTTAACTGAGAGAGGGCGATCATGAGCTAAGGAGCGCGAGGACGCAGCGATGAATCTGTGACACTCGCGTGCGGATTGCACGCATACGCAGCTGAGACGTAGGTTGCCTCACAAAAGCATACGAGACGACTAGAGAGGAGCGCCAGAAGACGAGCACTTCGATAACCGTGGAGAGCTGACGCCACCTCAAGTAGAGCCTAATGTCGATGACTGGTGAACTCCATGGGGAACGAGAAAGCCGACCACTCTACAGTTGAAGAAGGAAGAAATCGCTGGTGACTCCCAAGTCAAGATGCGACTGGTACTATCCGAATCGACCAATGAGAGATGAGCTTCTCACATCCGGAAGATCACTGACCACGGCCAGAATCATTGCACATGCGTGCAGGCGAGCGGCCGATATGTGGATGAAACCGTCGAATATGCGGAATGGATACGCGGAATTCGCGGCGGCGAACTGTTCGTCAGGCCACGGATAGAACTCAAGCGGTGTAGCGATTGAGGTGAAATTGATCGTGTATCGTTAGGCATGTGAATGATCTGAGCTGGCCCGCATAATCGTACCCACTGATGATCTGGGAGGAATTCCAATCCTCCGAGAGGACGTTTTACAGAATGGGGGGGACGGAAAGTTTACCTCCATGAACCTCCATTACCTCCAGGTCGCGGGACTTCTACAGGTAGCCGGATAGCAATAAACCAGCCACGACCAGCCAATGAGAATATCCCATCCCCGACCTGACCATGGGTACTCAACTCGCACTCAGGAACAACGTGCGTCGAGTTAGAGAGCTAGACTATCAAGGGACCCATATCTGCCTGCCATTCGTCTTCGCATTGGTGTATGAGGCGTTCACTGGTGGATCATTGTCCGAGCCTTTAACAGCGACGGTTGAATAACTTCGTTACCGCTCGCTTTGTTAGTGTGTGCGACGAGGTATAGCTCCTGGCAGTCTGCGGATCTGTCAGTGGTATGTCTGAGCTCACTACTGTTTACCTGGTGGGCATTCAGGGTATTAATTGCGTACCCTGCTTGTTGATGGTAGACCAAACCACATGGACTGCCGCTGCATTCAATCGCTGTATTAGACGCTCAAGCTCATCCAGAGTAAGGAGCTGAGGTTGGCTAAGTGTTGTACACATCATGCAGAGCTTGGTAGTGACGCAAGCTGTTCGGATCAAATTGAAAGCAGTCAGACCTAGTGGTATGGTGGCGTGTTACTAGATGCTTTCTATCCCATATCTTCCTCCGAGACGTCTTCATAGGCTACAATGTCGGTGCTTTCTGGAAGGAGTTTAGTCCAGGAGATGTGGTACTCGTTGTTGTTGGTGGGATGGTCATTCGCTCGATTGAGTTATATTTATTGCCAAGTTCGTGTTGAAGGCATCCGTGCCTCGCAGCCTCAAGATGAGCTTCCTTGTGACATCCATGCGCGTGCGTGCTGCTTCGTGGATGCTGAGGTGAACAATACGTTGTTGATGTTCGCTAGGTAGTGGAATTGAAGCACTGTCAAATGTCATAGCGGATGCGACTCAACAGACCCTTTTGATAGTATTCAACAGTGTTTCCTTCATGCGTTGACTGTGTAGGTACTCAGGCGGGTTTGGATGGCGGACACATTCCACATTGACTACACCGAAGCAGTTAGTCGTAGTGGGATATTAGAGAGATGCCTCGCTGTCGGTTCAGGCTCGGTTTTGCAGTGGACTAGAGCTTTCCTGATGGGTCCCGCAATCGGAGGAGGAAGAGCAAGTCCGTGATGAGTCATTGAAGAGAATTTGCGTCCAAGATAAAATAACGCAGTGGGACCACCATGGTCAGTCCTGGAAGCTGGTTCAAATGGCAGAAGATGGTGGCGGTGCTTATGGTGATGGTAATGAGCGAATTCACTACGGCGCATCGTTGCTTGAAGGGAGGAGCAATCCGCACTCCATAGGTGGTACTGAGGTATGGGGCTGCGTGCAAATGTACAAGAGAGCTACGCCCGTTATTCGATCGAATCGGGTCATTGGTGGCCAAATTGCTGCGAAAACGGCTTCACAATCTACTCAGAGGGATACTCTGCCTTCGAAAAGGCAAAAGGTGGGTAGCGGTTGTGATCTGGCTGGTACTTGGAGATCATCATGTTGAGTGGAGGATTCAATTCAATGCCCTTCTCCAATGTTCTATACAGCTTTTGGGTTAACAGAGGGGGTTTCTATAGCTAAATTCAAACATAATTTGGAGGTGAAATCACATTCCCGTCACGAGTCTGTTCGTTGGCGATGCCTCGGGTTATTCTCCTTGGTAGATCATATGGCCCGGTGTTTGATAGAGTGGTTTATCACGTCACATATGAAGAATGGGCATGGAGTGGTATGTAGGAGGGTACTCAGGCTTTATATCCCTCCGTATCAATGGCGAGGACCAAGCAGACTGCACGCAAGTCCACAGGCGGCAAGGCGCCTCGGAAGCAATTAGCCTCTAAGGCCGCTAGAAAGTCCACCCCTAGCACTGGTGGTATCAAGAAGCCCCATCGCTACAGGCCTGGCACTGTGGCTCTTAGGGAGATCAGACGCTATCAGAAGAGCACTGATTTACTCATACGCAAGTTGCCCTTCCAGCGCCTTGTTAGAGAGGTGGCCCAAGACTTCAAGACCGACTTGAGGTTTCAGACCAGTGCTGTGATGGCTCTACAGGAGGCGGCTGAGGCTTATCTAGTGGGCCTCTTTGAGGACACCAACCTGTGTGCTATTCATGCTAAGCGTGTGACCATCATGCCCAAGGACATGCAGTTGGCCAGAAGAATTCGGGGCGAGCGCTCGTAGACCCCTTCTGTGAGGGTCAAATTGTTCTGGACAATTTGATGATAATCATTGATGAATTTCGAAGGAATTTCGATGACCAAGTATTGTACTTTTTTCTTTTTTACAATAACACTTCTATCTGTCGTATTGTGAGAGTAGTACTCTCGAGTGCCGCACGTTGGGGGGTACACTCCCAACACGCAGTGCTATGGGAGACAAAAACTTCAGAGTTATTGTGTACTATTGTACGACAGTAGTTTATAACAACGATGATGAGGTTGCTGCTAGAACGGTTATTCTTTCATACCGAGAATGTAGTGTTGTTGACAGTGGGGGGATGTAGATTATTAGGAGAGATATCTTAGTCTGCACGCGTGTACAAGAGTGGACGAATTGTGGGAAGGGCGAAAGCCAGGTTAGGATCACTCAGAACCTTCGTGGAAGTCGAAGCGGTTTAACCTTCTTTGAACTGCCCGTGTGACTAACACAACGACAACTGGATGATAACTAGTAGTTTGAATAGTGGTAGCAGCTAGCCTCATTGAGGGTTGTAATGATAATAGAGTGGTACAAATAGTTCTTCATCTTCTTGGCTCGCCATCGCCTACTATACCAGCTTGCATTGGGTCACAGTGATAAATACGGGTACTCGAACATACTATCAAAAAGCGTTATAACATACTATGGTCTGCATAAGGGAGTACATGCGGCATCTAAGATCTGCCTGACTTGCCGCCTCCTTTGCCAGTCTTCTTCTTTGCAGCTGAGGTCTTCTTAGTCGAGGCCTTCTTCTGAGTAACAGCCTTCTTTGTAGGGAGCCCCTTCTTCCCTTTACTGGAAGACTTCTTCGGTGATACTTTCTTAGAGTTGGCAGAAGCCTTGGAAGTGGCCTTTTTCTTGGCGGGAGAGGCCGCCGCCTTCTTAGGAGGGGCCTTACTAGGCTTCGAGGGGGCCTTCACGGGCTTGCTTGGGGTAGTTGCATTCGGCCTTTGGCCTGCCGCCAACTTATAAGAAGCCTTCGCCTGGGACACGATGCCCGTCTCCACAAGGGCCTTGAGGGACTTGTTCAACGCGGTTCTGTTGTCAACACCATAGTTGGACTTGATGAAAGCGGAAACCGCTTGGCGGCTCATCTTCTGAAATCCCCTACAAGTCGAGAGGGCATTCCTTACCATCTCGCTGTAGGTTGGGTGAGGGTTGGGTGCCTTTTTCGGAGATGCTCTAACCATTGTTCACTAAGGGAACAAGAATCACTACCGAATAATGCAAATCCACGTTCTATAATTCCTCAAAAGCCTCGGAAAAGATGACCGAACTGTTCTTAAACTTGTGCGTCACTCGACTTGCACGCACCACATGCAAGTCGCATTCGGACCTCGCATCGGGACCCGTGTAGGAGCTCTATAAAGGGGGTGTCGAATCAATGAGAAAACAGCTGTCAATATGCACCAACCCGCTGCTCTACGACCCATCATAAATCATCAGAACTGAACACAAGAGCCGCCCTCAGGGACAGGGAGAATTAACACGCACGCACCAGGAAAAACTCCGACTTATCGCGGATCGCCTTGTTACATGGCAACCGGCCTCACCCCACTTCCGTGAGTGCTACATGCTATCACCATGAACATTGAGAGGTGATGGACTGAGCCATCCTCCCCTCACTTGGACGGCAGCCCCGTTGCTAAGCACCTATGGCGATCACCAACATGAATACGTGCGTAACTACAACCATCGTCACTACGCCACCGATATAAAGGTCGTTGAAGGGCCTTCACTGGAGATTGAAGGCGATAGTAGGGTCTTTGGATTGATTGCAACGGGTACCTCATTGGATCTGGTGGAAGGTCTGAGACCACTTCAGAGGAGTACCTCATCGTCGTCTACATAGATCAACCGAGGGAAGAGACAAGGCATTTGTCCGGCCGTTTCGTCCAGTCGGAGTGTCTAGTGACACAAGCTATGGCTTCACTGATACCGTTAGGAAGCGTTCACTGCAGTGGGAACGGTTACTACTGGCATCCACGGGGAACAGAGTAGTTGAACAGCTACCACAGTCCACTATTACAATCGATCCCCCGCGGAAGTCGAGTCGCCTCAGCAAACTCCCACGTTACGTCATTGTGTCGAGAACCATAGACGCTAGGAAAGTATCCCCATCCATCACCTTACCCGAGCTCTCCCCTTACTCTCAGACCGCTGAAGAAATGGTCAATTTTGAGAGGCCTTTTCAAAGTGGTCTCACGAGGCTCCAGCGTGATCCAACCGGAATTTGGCACGAAAAAAAGCAGAAGTTTGCCTCGCCTGGTCCGCACTGCTGACGATGAAGATTGTAATAGCCTGGAGGCAACCTGGCTAGGAGGTCTCTAAGAACAGCGCATGTTCGGTGACCAAAACGAAGACTCCTCTCCGTTGAGAAACGGCAGGGGCTGGCAAGAGCGCAAGTTTCCCGACTTCTGATCATGCCCCAAGAACACCACGACCCTCTCAGTGAACTGGTCAATGCTAGCTCCTATCCGTCCAGCATCCTCTACTGGTACCGAGTGTGTGAGAGTATTTGTTAGGGTGAGGCCTCGGAGTCAAAAGGAAAAGTCGGGGCCAACTGGACCCGATGTGGTTTTGGTACTCGAGGCGGGACTTATCACACGGCTCTTTATACGACTACGGCTTATGCCAGGTGGACTCAGCAGCCAAGACAGTCTCGGTGGGAGATCCCTCCAACGCTCAGAATGACTCTGGCACGTCGTAGGACACGAATAGCCTCAGAGGGTTGTACCAAACCATGGTGGTTAGATATACTTTCGATGGGGTCTTCGGCCCAACCTCGACACAAGAGGACGTTTTTGGTATGGTCGGCTCCCAGGTCGCTGGGGCCTGCCTGGAAGGCTACAATGGCTCTATCTACGTCTACGGCCAGACTGGTAACATAAAGGGTCGGGTGGCATGCAATAGGCCTCTCAGGCACCGGAAAGACCTTCACAATGTTGGGCCCTCCTAGAGGTCGAGGCAACGAGCAGGGTACCTCTTGTCATGTATCGGTAGCTGAGGTCGCTGGTAGGTCTACGAGGCCTCACTAGCCGCATAATAGAGAGTATATTCCACGAGCTTAAGACGAAGCAGAGTGGCTCAGAGGGGACCTTTAGGTGTCTATTACGGGGTCGTCCCAACCCTAGGCCCACTTGACGTAGTTACATGTGCAAGATCAGCTGCGTCGAGATATATAGAGAGGCTCTTACAGACCTATTTGACCCCACAGGGCAACAGCTGCAGCTGAGGGATGATATTAGGAGAGGGGTCGTCTCCGCTGCCCGCTTGCCTCGTCAAGTCCCCTCTCTAGGTCTATGTCGAAGGGCTCAGTGAGCACACTGTCTATGATAGTAAGGAGGCGGAGCTCATCGTCCGTAGGGCTCTGGTGAAGAGGCATGTGAGGCCTTGTGAGGGGGCAGTATGTGCTCGGTAGTGGAACATGTCAGGTTGGGTCGACGATGATGAACGAGCAGTCGTCTAGATCCCACTGTGTGGTCATGCTACGCGTGGCTACCAAGCTTAGTCAGAAAGGTGAGACCACCCTACAGGAGACCCTCTACCTTGCCGCTGTCATCAGGAGGAGTCACCCAGACCAAGGAGGCTAGTCTCAACCTAGTGGATCTGGCTGGCAGTGAGCGTCAGCCCAGTGGTAGTCACAACAATCGTAGCAGTAGTGGGATGGAGAGCCAGGCCAGGGTTAAGGAGGTAGGCCCTTGCTACCGAGGCCACGGTGACCCCGCCTGTAGGCTGGGGCCATCAACAAGTCCCTCTCGGTGCTCACTAGTGTCATCTACTCATTGAGCAAGCCAAGGGCTGCCTCGGCTAGGTAGTGGCAGTCTCTAGGGCTGCTCAGTGTTGGCCCTTAGGCAATCCACTTTCACGCATTTCCGCGACTCGAAGCTAACCTTCCTCCTCCGTGACAGCTTAGGAGGCAATAGCATCACTAGCATTATCGGTAGCGCTCGCCTCGTAGTTTTATGGACTACCATGGTTGTTCGTCCAGCTACGGTATCACCCTTGGCCGCCAACTTTGGCGAGACTCTATCGACCATTAAGTTCGCTGCTAGGGCTAAGCGCATCAAGTGCCAGGCTGTCCTCAATGAGTCCCTCACGGGAACAGTGGAGTCCCTAACAGTAATGGTGGGCGGTGTTTGGGAGGGGCAGTGGCTTATAGGCTGAGCTGGAGGCTGCAAGGAGGCAACTGGCTGCTTTGACGGCGGGGCAGACTCAGCTGAGAGTGTCCCCAGGGGTACCTGATGGGGGCACTGGGGCCTTTGCGACTAGAGGAGGTGGGCTGGAGTTACTCGGCTGTCGTGGTTGTCAGTGTAGGAGTAGGATCACCATCTAGTGCTGATGATGGGGATGGGCAGAGGGCCAAGTCTGGGGAGGCCTCATCAGCGTTGAGGAGGAGAATTATCAGTCTGCAGATCTTGCTTGCTGGTGAGGGCCTCTTGTGGTTACTCGTGTTGTGGTATTGGAAGGTGGACAGGGTCGTTGGCTAGAGAGAGGGAGTTGGAGGAAGTGAAGACGAAGCAGCAGAAGTGGGCTGTGTACTGGGAGGAGACCGCCAAGAGCCTTCAAGCGTAGGGCTCGCACTATGTAGGGTACTATGTTGGCTGCCGCTAGGTTCGAGGATGCGGGCAGCTCACTCACTAGGCTGGTGGCCAAGGATAAGGCTGGTGGTCTTCGGCCGACTGCATTTCGCGCTGACTCGTGTGTTAGGTGATAATGGTGGAGACGACGCTGAGGAGGTTGATGATGACAGAGAGGAGGAAATACGACTGCTGCGCACCTTGGTAGGAGGTGCGGGGTGGGCAGTTGGTGGAGGGTCGAGAGTAGGTCGAGAACCATCCGGAGAGGGCCAGACGGGAGCTGTTGGAGTTGGAGCTACAACAGCAACTTGAGGAGAATGCTGCACTGAAGAGGGAGGCGAGGGAGATGCGGCAGGAGCATGAGGAACAGATGAGGGCAGAGAGGCGTCGAAGACAGAGTACAGAGAGCACTGCTACGATATCTGCTATGGATGGTAGGGCCTTGGCTCCTTCCCTAGGGCTTAGGGCGTGTTCATAGGCCTCAGTAGAACTCTACGTAGCGGCATCCTGCCTGGTCGTCAGAGTGGGCAGGCTGTAGCGAGTGCTGTTGGAGGGGCGACTGGGTTGCGGTGGGGGGATGGTATGGCCTCTCGAGCTCGGCGGCACTGGGTGTTAGGTTTATCACGGACAGCGTGTCTGATGGGTCTCCCCAGGGTGGATCTGAATTCACCGAGTCTGATGCAGAGTCGATCGATGTGGCAGTGCACCTCGGGGATACTGGTAAAGGGAACAGCTCTGAGGGGAGGGAGAGAGCGGTGTGTAGGTGGTGGGCCCCTCAGTGATGACGATGATGAGAAGCAGTCGGGGGTAGGAGAGGAGGCCAGGGGCAGCATGGAGTCTGTCCAGATCCGGCATTTGAAACGGGAGATCAGTGGGAAGCTTAGGGGGAGGTGTTGTGGGTACTGCTATTGCTAGGAATGCTCTTGGCGGATATTGAGGAGTTGCGAGGACGATGCCAGTTCGCTGAGATTCCGAGACAGGAGACGCCAGCCCCCATAGAGGGGGTACAGGAGGATGGCTATGGGGACCTTGGGGTACTTGGGGTGGGGGGACGTTAACTTGGATGGTATTCCCTTTCGAGGTTGCACCCTCCCCAGAGTACAGGTTTGGGGAGATCATTCAAGCCTCCCCGGGTCTGAGTCCACACGGCACTCCGGCTGTGCTCAGGACCAGGAAGGCCGACCAGAGCCCTGAGGGTAGGGAGAAGGGGATGCTTGGTAGGGATGTTGGTCTGCTCAGCTTCACCTCCTCAAAGCTGGAGTCAGCTGGTTCCTATCAGCAATGAACGGGTGTCTAGTGATGGTGACGACGAGGAGGAGGAGGCTACTGGCGCTGTGAAAATCGACTCTGAATTAGTCCGGGAAGTATTTAGTCGCCGAGCTTTAGGGGCTTCCTATGTGGCTGTTGAATAGGTGGCCTCGCTGTGTAGAGATGTTGATGCCCTGGTGGAGAAGATACGGCAGGCGGACAACGCACTCGTCCTTCGGTCTACGCCGGTAATGGAGGTGCATGGGGACCATGGGGGAGTGGTTGGAGAGCAGGGAGATGACTTTGAGGAGATAGACGTCGAGAAGAGTCTGAAGAAGAGCCCTTGGGTGATCGATGGGGATGGAATGTCCTCGAAAGGTGGGAGGGGGTGTGAGGTCATTGGGCGTGGGGATGTTGAGTGCAGGGAGTGGTACAAACTCTCCGATGCGGCAGTTGGCCCAGAGTGCTAGTATGAGCCGTCTTATGAGGTATACAGCAGCGACTGTCATGAGCGGCCAAGGCGGTGTACGCGACAATGCTTCTAAGCTTGCTGGTAGGGAGGACGATGGGTGTCGAGGGGACACTCGGCCTTGCAGGTCTGTCCTCGATTAAGTCCACCCCACACCTCAGCTCGCTGTTGGATAAGCGACGACGAGGGTATGGCAATCGAGGACGGTCAGCAGGGTTGAGGTGTTTCTCTCAGGCCTCCCCCAGCGTCCTCTAAGGAGCAGACTAGGACCCTCTCTAAGAATGCTAATACGGCCAGTGCCTTGTTGAGGTAGTGGAAGGCCCTTAGGACGTGTTGGATTTACATGATCGTGTTAGGAACAAGAGTACGAGAAGCCTCCACGCGATATCGGAGTTGGAGCTGTCAGTCTTTGATGAGAGGACGGGCTATATGGTCACCACCGCGAGTCCGAGGACGGCAGCCATCGCTGGTAGTGCTAGCAGTGCCGCCTTGCCGACCATGGAGGAGATATTGGGGGAAGATGGTAAGGGTGGTGGGGGAGTGGGGCTGGGGCCGAGGGCATGGGTTAGGTGATGAAGAGGAGGAGGCTCTCCTAAGGAGCACTAAGGAGACGTTGAAGAAGTTGCTGATAGAGCTGGAGTAGAATTGGTATTGGTGTGGTATGGAAAGATCTTTGCTAGGTTGGTGTCGAATGCATATCAACAGCTCTCGGATGACTTCCAGAAGCTACTAGAGGACTATGAGTCTAAAGTAGCCGAATGTGAGTTCTTCCAATCGCAGTGGAACCAGCTGCTGAGGGGGAAGGAGAGGCTACAGCAGAGAGGCTTGGTTGCAGTAGGGCGCCTCGATGGATGGCTGGCTAAGGCCAGCTTGTCAGGATCCTTCCCTATCATCGCTATTGTCACGGTCTTCTAGTCGTCTCTGTGGTCGGCAGCCTCCATCAAGTGCGAAGTCCTCTGACAGCTCCTCCATGAGAACTACACAGGCTAGTCGGTTGATGCGGACAGTGGAGGACTCAGGTGAGACGTAGTGGTGGTGGTATGGTAGTAACTGATACCACTCTTCAGCCACATCAGGGACACCCAGGGCTAGAGCGGGGTCGAGCGCCAAGGATGGTGAGCAGTAGGGGGAGAGTGGGACAATCTCGATTGTAGGTGATGCGACACGGTCTTGGTTGAGAAGAGGGAATGCAGCGCGAGGAGGTCCTTCTGCCCGGGGCCTCTCTCGAGTTAACTCTGAGTGGGACCTTCTTCTGGGTACCTCATCACCTGATGGTCCTTCCTCCTCCTCCTCAGTTCTGTACTCCCTCTCACCACAGGCATCCGAGGGGAGCCTCTGCCCGATACCAGGCGGGGGTATAATGAAGGTAGTGGTCTCTACCATGATAGAGGCTCCCTAACTGTCGTGACAGCTACGACTAGAGCTAGGAAGACCTCCTCAGTATCCTCTACTGATCGGTCACTGCTCAGCTGCTCTCTGGATGACAGGAAGGGTATGGTGGAGGCTAGTAGACGACTCGTTGGTTTGGTGGTCTCTATCAGGTACCCGTTTATCGCTGGTCAGTGATGTGTCCTTGAATAAGGACAACAGCACGCCTCGATCTACTCGAAGCATGTCCTATATGTGCCGATGAGTACAGCTTCTGGATAATTGTTATTATCACTAATTGACAGTACATTGACAATGTTTGGTCCTCATCATGCGATTGCGAAAGTCTCACTATCCAAGAGTGATGAGTTGTACAGGGCGGGTGATGGGTCTATAGAGAAGCGAGAGTTGACCCTCGGCCGCTGTCAGTAAGGGTCACCAACTTGATGATATCACTGGGAAACACTCCATGGCCAAGAGTATAACTTTCAGTGCTTCATCTGAATACCTTCGCTTCGCGTTGAGAGTGTTGATGGGGATGGACGTTGTAGCAGTAGCGGTTGTTGAAAGTATGCCGGGGTGGAGTCAAGTTGGCAAGAAGAAGAGGAGCCTCGACCAGATGCCGAAGAAGAGGCAGATAAAGGCCCCTCGAGTGGTGGGGAGGGAAGAGAATGTGTGAGTGTGGCTCGGGGCATGGTGGGGATGGGCCATCCTCGACAACCCCAGGTTTGCCGATCTAGATGATAGTCTGTCTGATGCGGCTCATGGATGCTCATCGGGTGGGGAGTGGTGTAGCGGGGATGAGCGGCTCCGAGGGAAGCAGAAGGAGGTACCAGTGGAACTGAGAGGGACCGAGTCGCCATTGCTATTGGTGGGCTCAGATACTGGTCAATGGGCAGATAAGGTCAGTAGACAGTGGTGGTGTGTCGGTACAGAGGCTCGCTGTGGAGACCACTCGGGTTGGCAACAAGAAGATGCGGAAGAGGGTAAGGAGGGTTCTTGGAGGGTTGAGGACTGCATGTCGGGGCAGGTAGAACGAGAATGGAAACGCAAGAATAAGATCAAGATGGAGGATGCCAATGCTGATACACTCATCGCGTAGGCTCCCCTGGTATATGCCGGCGATTCTTACCGATAGTGGAGGTCTTAGTTTACCCTTGTCCATTAGGTTTCTGCTAGGACTGCTACCCCCATTGCGAGAGTTCGACCAGCCGGATGCCTCGAGTGCCATCCTTGCCTCTTGGTCCGACCAAGAGATAGACGAGTTGTTGGAATGCAAGATCTGCTACACGGTACAGCCCCTTCAACAGCTCCCATCGGCACCTAGTGTCGGCTTTAGTTGCGACCAGTGTTCAAGCAGTTGCCCTGTCCACATCGTTACTGTTCGGAGTGCGTTGACCAAGTCAGGAGCATCTCCTTTTCCTCCCTCTATGGTGTTCCTCCATGAGGCCTTCCTTTCAGCTCGAGAAGATTCCGGGGCCCTCATCTGGTTGTGCTGGTCCCGAATCGATATGTTGCCCGGAGTGCCGAGTGCCTTGTGATACCGGCCTCATCACATACGATGTGAAGACTCTACAGAAGCTCCTTGAGAGGAGTGCCCGTTGTACACATTTCCTCCACGGCTGCGACTGGAAGGGACCGGTAAGAGTTGTTGACATCTGCTATGGTCTGCTACCGAGTGGTGATGACTCCTCTTAAGGAAGGTGGGGTATCGCTTCCTCTTAGCTTTGCCATCGGCCTTTCCATCCGTGTTCCTTCGAGGAGTGGGCGGAGGAGAAGCAGCAACAGCAAATGAGTGGAGGGAGCTCTGGTAGGCTTTTTGGTAGATTTCAACATGACCATTGAGGGCAAGGACGGTTAGACTGTGCTGTTCACGCGGATTCGCTCGAACATTCCTTACGAGTCAGCCTACTGCTGAGCACCGTGGAGAGAATATCGCTATTTTCTAGTCAATTCTGACAATAAAATTGCTCCGCATAGACTGCAGGAGTGATGCCATGTGTTGATCTAAGAGAGTACCCTTACTATTACATACCAATTTCCGGTAACGCCCGGTCGTGAATCCTCCGTGGTGTTGGTCTGCAGATCTCCTCGAGGTATGTGCATTGAGCACTGCTCCCATAGGTTCGAAAACAGCACTTCTTGATTCTCCTGCGGAGGTTGACCCAAGACTCAGAGACCGGCCACCAAGGCCTACTGTAGTGGTAGGGTCTATATACCTGTCAGAAGGGTATGCTGCATCGATTCAGGCCCCCAAGGTAGCCGCCTTCAGTGGCTCTGCTGGGGCCAATATCGTGAGTACCCCGAGCTTGGCTAAAGCACCGGCTGCTAGCAGGAGGCTCACCAAGGGATTGGTGCCGCCCGTGAGGCCCAAGGGGATAGTAGGAGTTCAAGTTTCTTGGTTGTGATGGTCATCTGGGGGTACTCAGGCACCAGGGACTAAGGGGCTCCCTAAGGGAAAAGCATCGCATCCTCTAATTCTGGATATGCCCCAGACTTGGCAGCAACTGACCAAGAAACAACGAGCCCAGCTAACGGCTACTACTGCTAAGGCTAAAAGTGTACCAAAGGCCCCTACTGTTGGCAAGGCCAATAGTGTACCGAAAGCCGCTATCGTTGCTAAGGTCGCTACTGTTGCCAAGGCCGGCACAGTGGCAAATGCCGGTACAGTGGCGAAGGCCGCTACTGCTACTAAGGCTCCTCCTCCACCTACTTATACTGCGACTATAGCTGCCTCCACTACTAGAGCCGTCCTCGATAATGCGGCTAGTGTCGTCAGCAAAGCTCCAACTGCTACCGAGGCTACAACGCCTAGTGATGCTTCCAAGACGACCCCTCCGAAGGCTGTCACTGCCCAACTCACCACGACGGTGCCCAACACCCGATCGCCTAGCGTCCTCGTCCCGCCACCCGATGCTCTCTTACCGACGCCCCTCACACAACAGTCGAATGGTCCAGTCATGTCAGGACTGCGTGGGGCTGGGCGACGAGTTGAGCCCAATGGGGCTACTCTGAGGGGTGTTCGATCCAGCTTCGCTCAGTACCCGTCAAGGCAAGGAGCTAATATCAACTTCGCCGAGCGACCTGGGAATAATTCACTCACATCTAGTACTGCCCCTGAGCGGGTATCGCCTCTCCCTACTGAGATCAGAGACCTCCGCCTGCAGTCACTATTGGCAACAACAATGACGAAGTTAGGGCCTCGACGAGTGAGTGGAAAAGGGATTTGGCTCGAGCCGTCCAACACGCTTTTATTAAGAACGGTTAAGTGGGTTTGGCAGCTATCGCCTTAGGTTAATTGGGCTGATGAGGTTCACGTGGGAGCACCGGTACAAGAAGGCGTCTCTGAGCGGTACCCTACTGGGAAGGCACCGACCGGTTTCACGGTAGGCGGTCATGTCCAGATGCCACAGAGTGGAAGTGTTATATACACTGTATTCTTAGATTGATGGTCCTTTGTCGCTTACTCATGGGCCTGGCCGCCGAGCTCCGCAAGCTGTGGATCGAAGGGGCGAAAGGGATCGATCGATGATGAGTAACTCCGTGGACGATGAGTTGGATAGACCGCCGAATACTCCATCAGCATCTAGGAGTCTTAAGGTGAGACCTGCCGGTCCTTCGTTATGGTTGACTCAGCTCTGGTCTTCCTTCTGTTGCAGGGTGGGGCGTTTGAGCGGACTGACTTGGACCTTGCGGGAGGAGTGGAGTCGGATCACCACCAAGGGGCCTTACGGGGAGATCCCCAGAGTCTAGCGAGGTCGGCTCAGAATGTTGCAGTGGGGGAGCTCGACGAGGCAAAGCCAAAGGTGAGATGGAGATCAATGATGGGACCAGCTGGTTGGCGTAGACGAGAGATGAGAAGCCCCGACTTGTAGACAGTAGTGGGGCCAAGAAAACCCCAACGAAGCCATCGCGACCACCTCGACCGAGGGCACCACCGGTTCTGCGGCATCCGGGGTCTGTTGATTATCGGCTCGAGGTGGGTCCTGCCTCCCTAGTAGGGCTGACAGGCTGATTGTTCTGCAGAGGGAGCGGGTAGTTCCTCGAAGAGGAACAGATGGAATGGATAGGAAGTCGATCGCCCAACCATGTAAACCGTCGCGGCCGCCCTCTATACCGCGGAGTATATCCAATGAGGATCATGAAGTAGCTGGGGAGCCGTACTCCCAGTATGCTATTATAGTATGTTTGCTTTTAGACGCAGCCGGTGGGTTCGAGCAGTGGTGAACAGCGGCCTACCCGACCCAGTCATAAACCAGTACTTATGAAAGCGCTTACTATGAGAGGCCTTGTTGTTGAGATCCCAGTAGGGCGGCTGTTCTTTGCCTTGTATAGGGTTAGTTGTGGTCTTCAGGTCCCTCGTTCCCCCCTGCCCGATGGAGCCACCTGCCCAGAGTGCTTGTGCACGGTGAACGCCGAGACTCGTTCGTGCCGGTCTCATTGCCATTTGTTTGATTCTGAGCATCATTGGGTTGGCCCCCCTCTACCAAACGATTGTTGTCCCTGACGTTTCCTATCCTACCCTTCCCGCGTTAGAGTAGTTCGACTCGAACATTCCCACTGCCAATACCATCTCTGGAGTATATGGAAAAGTTGAAAACCCTGTGGCTGAGGCGCGGCGATGAAAAGTTTGTGCTGGCGAGCTGAAAATGCGCAGTGATGAGTTGAGGAGATGCAAGATGTGTTAAGTGCGCAAGATTGAGGTGTTGGTCAGCACCCGTGCGACCCCAACGGTCGAAGGCTCCTCCTCCTCCTCCATCTCCCCACTCAGCTATTACACAATTCTATGATAACCACATGTCTAATCTTTGTATCATATCTATCCTCTTCTATTGGTGGGGAAGTAGGAGTGGAAACGACTCCTGGCCAGGTGGTTGAGGAGACTCCTTCACGGCCCTTACCACGATTGAGGGAGGGGGAAGCTGCTAAGGTAGCATTGGAGGGCCAAAGGGGGGGATGACTTGTCCGATGCTAAGGTCAATATGATGCAGAATAGCGGTCGGTCTACAGCTGGTCAGTTGGAGTCGCTACTAGAGGAAGCGTCGAGGTTTCGGAAGTGGATGGAGAACGAGGGAGGTTCTTTGCGGCGAGGTACTGCATTGACTGGTCGTGGGCTCATGATGTCTTCTCAGAGGGGAAGCTGCCGTTGGGGATACATCTACTACCTTTGATCAACCTCAGCGACCTCGAGCACATAGGAGACCTACCATCACTACCAGAGAGCTTCGAGATGGCTCAGGTATAGCTAGCATGGCGAGCCGCATGTGATGGTTTCTGTAGGCGGCTCCTCCTCATAGGGCAGTAGGCACGCCATCTTCCCTCTTGGAAACAAGTAGTGGAGGGAAGGAAAAGTTTTGGGAGAGTGTGGATCTACCGCAAGACCTGGTGGCTGAGGTCATGAAGCGAATGAAGCAGCATCATCACCATAAACAGTAGTATCAAAGTAGTTATCTTTGGATGGACGTTTGCCAACCTTAGTCGAGCTGTACCTCTACCGGACCATGACCATGCTTGGCTGTTGAATCAGCTGAAGACCCTAGCCGCTATAGTGGATGCTCAAGCACTCCGTGACCGGGGAGCTGAACTAAGTACTATGAGCTTAGCTATCCTTAGTGCATTTAAATACGTCAGAACTAGCTGCTCAACAGCAGCAGCAGCGAGAGGAGGTAGCCCCTCCGGACGCCTTCCATGACATTATGGCTGCACATCAACAGGGAGGGATATGGCGAGAGTAGGCAGTAGTAGGGGGCAGGAGGGGAGCTGAGCAGCGTGCCATTGTAGTTTCATGGGACCATGCTCGGCCTTCGTACCGTATGCTAAGGCGGTCCTGGTAGGGGACTTGGGCGTTGAGGAGTGTTGGCGGAGATGTACTCAGCAGTATTTCTTCTGTACACAGGTGGGTTGAAAGGGTAGTGGTGGGTCGGAGAGAGTCGTCTGTGCTGCCGGCTTAGACACACTATGCTGCTGCGGGTCAAACCTGCTATTTTGGTCATGGCCTTAGCACTCTCCTCGATACCACTCCTGCTGGAATGCAGCCGATTGGAGGTAGTAATGCTGTATCTCCATGTGAGGGTGGTATAGGCTGTGGCAGGGTCGTTGGACACTTGCCGATCTTTGACTGAGCTTGGGTTTAGAGAGCTCAGGAGTAGCAGGATTCATAGCGGGGCCCCTGAGGCCCCTGAGGATGATGTTCCCAATCTGTAATATTAGCGGCTTGTCACCGGTATTGTCGGGCAATACGCTGTGTCAGGTCACCATTTACTGTAGTACCTGGCAGTGGGAGGTATCTGTTGGTACAGCCTAACGTGGGCATAGTAGAAGGAGAAAGGGCAGAGGATGAGGAGACGGGTGAGTGATGGCAGCAGTGATGGGTTTCTTGGTCATTGACTGTGGTATAGTGCGAGTGGAAAGGGCCGACACCTTCCTACAGTGTCAGTCTAACTGTCTGGCATCTGACTGGTGTGCTACGGCAGTCTGGATCGATCGGGGGTCTGAGGGGTAATAGAGGGGCCTTGGTGAGTGTCAGAGGTTTGTATTCTTTAGGAGTAGCATATGTGCTAAGGGTAGCATGCTGTTGCCTGGGAAGAGCACCACAGGGTGTCCTATGGATGGTAGATGCATGGAAGTTTGTGGGGGACAGGATTGTGTAGGAGTGTATGTCTTGTCGTTTGGTGAGTTGTTGGTAGGTCCCGTCCATTCGGAACCCCTCGGGCATCTCTACATTGTCTTGGCGTTACCCAGGGGAGGCATTTGACTTTATAGTGACAGTAGATGCGAAGGCTCCGGAACAGGTATGAGTTGTTGCAAGGACAGCACCGTTATGAACTGTGTAGACGACGACCTTTGGCTGCTCTGATTCTGACTGTGTCGATGGTATCAAGAGGTGCCATATGGCTTGCCATGCGGCTTCGTGTCGAGGAGGATGGATCGAAGTGAGAAGACTGCCTGTGCTTGGGTGGGTGTATGGCCTGGCTCAGGTTGTGGCCGAGAGGGACGAAGTCAAGTGCTTCCTATCATCTGGTTTCCCTGCTGTGGCCGGGTCTGGTGCGGCGAGCGCAGCAGATAAAGGTGACAAGGGTGGTCCCCATAGGATGCAGATTTATGCAACCTGTACACCTTCAAATGATCTCATACCCGCGTTGGTAGGCGTGACCTCCTCCCCCGCTGTGTGTCCACTATCGGCTCGAGCATGCCTTATGTTCGCGTCGGACTATATGATGTTGCCAAGGCCGATGATACAGGCGGCGCAGGTGGGAGGCGGTAGTGTTCTCAGATGGCTGAGGGTGAGATAGGTATGGCTCGAGCAGTCGCCTGGTGGTAGCCCTAGAGGAGGGAATGGGATAGCTCATCAGTCTGCTGGGATGGGAGCTGACATTGAAGGTAACAGAGGGTGGCCCTGGACCCATAGGGAAGTGTTGATAATAGTTCTATCGGGGTGGGGGAGGTGTATGCCCTTCCACGCTGGCTTGTCGGCTAGTCCGGACAGCAGCTTTGTAGCGAGGGATAGGTGGGAGTGTTGGAGGCTGTGTCGAGAGATGAACGCAGAGTGTACACAGGTAGGTGATGGTGGACTCTATAGGGGCCGATGGGGTATCATCGTACTAGGTGGAGTACCACAACAACACGAATGTGTGCGTATTGGGCAATGGGGTGGCATCAAGAGTGGAGCACTCTAAGAATGGGGCCAAGTCGAAGAGCCCTGTGTAGGAGGACGTTTATTGTCTATCGCCCCTCCAGTAGAGTGCTGTCGATCATCAGGTTCTGTCATTCTATCCGTAAAGGGCCGTCACCAACACATGGCTTGCCTGGTATGATGATCGTGGGCAGCATCACTGGTGCTGAGTCTGGCAATCATTGGTTCAGAGGATACCAGGGTAGGTTAGCGACAGGGATTTGGTAGGCCATTATGATGGCCATTCCGGTTAGTGTTAGTTCGGAAGGCTTGTAGAATGGTGGTGTGCAGGGGTTGAACCTGGGTCGTTCGCGAGAGAGACCAGCAAGGTTCCGAAGTTGAGTGATGTGTGCGACTTTTCAGCCACCACATTGGTAGAGACGTTGGAAGAGTGCCAGACTTTATGCGAGAAGGCCACTGATGAGGCAACTAATGCTGACTGCAGGTGAGGACAACATAGCAGGGGAGAGATAGTAGACAGGTTGGGCTCCTTGGGCAGGTACGGAGGCTTCGAGTCGTGTCGGGCTGTGAGGGCAGCCTGCAGGGGTAATGCGGCGGGAAGGCATGGGGGAGCGGAAGAGTGCAAGATGTGCAAAAATGATAAGGGCGGGATTTGCCGGTAGATGGACGTGCCTCCCTCTGGAAGTGTATGCAACTCGGTATTGGTAGGATTGGGTCAGAGACCAAGCCTGGGGGGTCTGGAGTGGGCAGTGACGAGTGCCTTAGTGGCGCCTGCAAGTGGTTCGAAATGGGAGCTGTGGGGTTCAGAGTGAAGGCAGCATCTGGTAGTAGTCATAGTATGTGGAGGAGGGTCTGTTAGTCGTAGCTTCCTTGCAGAGGCCGCCAAGTACGTGGATCATCTCCCACTGAACAGTAGTGGTTTGATATGTCCCCAGGGGGGCGTTGTCAAGAGAGATGTTCTTGGGAGGTAGGATGGTTGGTATGGATAGTGGGCCGTCATGATGACTAGTATGTAGATGCTATCATAGTGTCGAGAGCATGTGGCATTGCCATGCCTTGTGCGAAGCGCAGACGGGGGAGTGTATGGGAGGGTAAGGGGCCGGTGAGGTCGGTGCCAGGTGGACCTAGTCTTCTGTACAGGCTCTATGTGGACTCCCTCCCTGCTGAGGGAGGTGTGACGGCCAAGGGTAAATGGTGTTATCTTGCTATGTATTTGCGGTATCACGCGAGTGACTATGAGGATGCTAAAGTCCATAGACTGTTTGGTAGTAGCAACTGTGCCGCCTTCACTAGGGACGGTGTAGGGAAGGTAGTAGGGGATGCGTAGTGGACGTATGGGCTTCATCATGCCTTGCTCATGTCAGCTGCCAACACTAAGGGTTACTGGTAGCATTGCTGCTGACCAGGCTGTTGAGAGAGCTCCACAGGGAGCGGTAGGGGTCAAGGCCTAGGGTTCGACTGTGAGGATGAGGGTTTGGTGACAGGTTAATATGACGGGAGTATGTAATGAGTTTGACGAGCTTGATAACACTATGATGGAGGGATCCCCAGCAGACTTCTCATACAACCCTATGTATGCCTGCAGTATGAGGTAGTCCACGGTGATGCATCTTGGTGGAAGCAACAACAGCCGTGCTGGCAGGTGCTTGACGATGCTACAGTGCATGTCCTTCAAGGTTGAAGGGTATCCCGAGGATGACTGTGACCTCCATAGTCATCGCCCTAACGTTTCTGCGGGTTGCGAGACCATAACGTGCCGGTTCAGTAGTGCGCTTGCCAGCAAGGTAACAGCTCTGTGGTGATCGTGCTGATTATTCATCTCGATAGGCGACCAAGGTGGAGATCAGGCCTGGGGAGTATGCTAAGAATGCTATATGCGTGTCTAGAGGGGTGGATGCTGCCAAGGCCTTATCAGTAGACTCGGACGTCCGTAATGGTATTCCAGGTTTCTATACGGTGAATGCTATGGCGAGGAAGTGAGGGGTTTGTGACCGCCAAAAGGCTTGAGTTGCGGTGGCTCAGGTTCCGATGGGCTGATGTACTGAACAAACGCCGACTGACTTTGACGCCTCACCTGGAGGGGTGTCAGTCAATTTGCAGAGGGAAGAAGCAGTGTAAGACTGGCACGTGGCAGGTAGGAGAATCTATGCAGACACCGCTTACCACTCCATTGCTACTTCTCAGTCTTGTGGGGCGCTCAAGGATGTATGCTCTGGAGGAACAATGAGGAATCCTGAGATGAACAAAACTTGCGGGTACGGCATGGGGTAATGTCAACCGTTACACTATAGGAGTATTCCTTCAGAGCCTGTACTGGTATAGTGGTAAGTGAGGACAGAGCCCCAGAGGATTACCCTGACAATATGGGTGTATGCAAGCTAGGTATGGACCCACTACCTTTGAGTGGACGATGTGCCCTTAACTTCAGCTTCGGCGGTCTCCCATGCTATGTTCAACTGTGGAGCCACGTCCTCTTCTGCTGGGTGCTATGCCTTTGAGAAGGGCCGTGACAATTTCGTTATAATGAGCAGCTACGCTTCGCCTTTTATTGAGGAAGGTGAGTGCTGTTTTTTCCGGTGGGTGTGATGCGGGACGTCTCTCAGATGCCTCATCTAAGGTGAACACCAGCCTTATAGAATTCGAAGGGGAGAAGGGGGCATACGGCAAAGTGCTGGACTTGGATGCCTGTGAGTACTACTGTGAGAAGGACCCTCTCTGCACGTAAGGGCGCTTCCCTCTATTTGGTATGTGGATGGGGGTCTGGGAGCAGGTATGGTCACTTCGCGCCGAAGGGCATTGGCTTTGGTGACTGCTATCTCACGCACAGTACTGACGTGGACACGATAGACACTTCTACTATCGAGAACCGACCGATCCTGGAGCCTAGAGGATGGAGTGTTAAGTAGTATCATAGGTTGCGAGTTGGAAGATACGAATCATGCCCAGGCGATGCGATGGAGTGTGCGTAGTGTTTAAGAAAGTGGTCGCACAGGATGAGGTAAGGAGACAGCGGAGGGCGGTCTAGTATGAGGGGTTCTTGTTGTTATCATTGTAGGGCCAAGCTGTGACGAATAAGATTGATGAAGTGATAGACACCGAGGAGCAAGAAGTACAACCAGACGTTGTACGCTCGAGGGAGGAGGAGTAGTAGTGGTCATACTAGCACCAATGTGCTTGTTACATGCACCTGCATGGTGTGATAGACCTCTTGTTGGTGATGGGAGGAATCAAGGTGTTGAGTTACTGGAGGGCTGGGGGCTGGTCGGAGGTGGTGCTCAGTTTTTCTTTACCAAAACACTCCGAGATATGCTAACAACATTGAGCGCCCCTGAGGAGGGGCAGCAGCCTACCTCTTCGTGTTCTTCCTCTCCATCATCACCGCCTGTCCCGGAGTGCCCCCCACTCTCCAGCTCCCAACAGGGTGCCTCTCTTCCTTATGGGGAGGCTTTCAAGCGACCACGACTGGACAGTGAGCTGATGAAATCAGCGGCCTGTAGTCCTGGGAGGGCCGGAAATGCCCTACAGCTCCTCGCTGATTACAGTACGCATAACCCGACTGCTGTTGGGGATGTCATGAGACCGTCTAAGAAGCCGCTATCGTCCTGGTGGGTACCTTAGCTGGCTGTGTTGTCGTACTGCGTCCGTATCTTGGCGCACAGCGAAGGATTATTGTCGTGCACATGCTGCTGCTGGTGGTGGTAGGTACTTGCAGTGCATTGAGGAGGATATTGTTGTAGCTAAGAGGTTGGTAGAACGTCGTCGGCTTCCCTTGAGGGGCCTTATTCCGGCCCGACAAGACTTGGCAACAGGTGCAGTGGTTGTGGCCGTCATCTTGTAGAGGTATATTTCCTCAGTTGGCTGCTCGGGTGCTTTGTCCTCCTCTTCCTCTTTAGCATCATCTCTACCACTTGTCAGTGCTGACGGTAGGCTTGTGTATGCTCATCCGCACTATATACCATCAGATACTATAGACGCACTGCCGCTCCTCAACCAAACCGGGGTACTACCACCATGACCGTTCAGCTTATGGATATGTCATCCCTCAGTGCGGCGGCATCCTTGGTAACCCACACCTCCCTATAGCCTCTCAGTCCTCTCCCGACTCATGCAAGTACGGTCGTTGGAGTTGTAGGATATGGTCAGTGGGGGCACGTCTGACTACCTCTGTTGCTCAGCTGAGGAGCATCTAGTCTTCCTGGAGGGTCTCAGAGACCACGGCCGAGATTGGAATACTGTGAGCGCGATAAGGTTGGTGGCAGGGGACGGGTGTCGTCGATGGCAGATTACGAGCTACATACCGACTAGGACCACTAAGCAAGTGAGGTCGCATGCACAGAAGTATTTCCAGGATCTAGACCGTCGCTGGGAGGATGAGCAGGTGGGGCTGTAGGGGCATCCTATCGTTATGTTGGGCCTTCCAGGAGGAAGACGGTGAGGGTCAGTCGAGAGGGTCACAACCAGAAGCGCTGATACAACATGGAAGGAGTAGGTTGTTGGTAGTGGATCGTTAGATGACCGTAGTCTCCATCAAGATGAGGAACGCCAGAAGGCGATAGAGGAGCTTCTGCGCTCACTGAATGTGGCACGTCCCGTCGAGGACACAGGTTGGAAGTGCTGGGAAGGGTGACCATTAGATGCATTGATTAGGACCTCCGGGGAATATGGAAGATAGCTCGGGGTGGAACCAACGACATGCGGACGTTATGGCGACGAAACTCTCACTGAAGAGGGCTGTTGAAGCGGTAGGTAAGCAGGCGTATTGCTCCCTTCATGCACAGCTAGGTATCTGCTAGATCCGGGGACTCCATGAGGGCTATGCTGGGGCCAGCCTCGGGCATGGAGTCGGCAGAGGTAGTGGTAGTAGGGCCACGTAGGTTCTTGCCCGCTGTACAGTGTGAACCAAGCCGTTGTGGTATTCTCAACACCTTCATCTTTTGAGAGCTCGAAAGTCAACAATGTGAATCGATTGTCAACGTCTAAGAAGCGTTCCGTAGCCTATACTCGTACTTTCATATTGAATAAAGCCGTCTCGAAAATCTAGATATGCGTAACTGTTTGGTTCACACTGTAGATGTCCTCTAGTAACCTAGAACTGGCTGCGTTGGCCGCAGTAGCAGCGAATCTCACGTCGCTCAAGCGAGGGGTTCAAGACGGGGATGCCCGTGTTGCTGCTGTAAGAATAAGCAAATGTCCTTCTATGCCTATATCAATCGCTTGTTAGGCTCCGTTTACCCAAGGTATTGACCTCTCCGCATTGGCAGCTGCTGCTAGTGCCATGTAGTATCGGATGGCCCTACCAGTGCAATCGCCCATCTTACAGTGATCATGAATGCTTCAGTCTGATCGACCCTTTTTGACTCTTCCCATTTAGTCCACACTAAAGCACGAATCTGTCGTCCTGATCAGTTCATGTGTTCCTACCACGCCTTCATCGTCACAAGAACAGACAAGTAGAACTCCTAGGTCCTCCAGTAACGGTGGTGAGGAGCAGAGGTCACCTTCCCTCGGCTTGGAGACGGCTCGTAGTATCGGCCTGCTCACGGGAGGAGATGTATTGGCCATGGACAGCCACCTCACTTTTGTTGGTATGACCAGTGGGTAAGTGTAGAGGATAGAGGGCCCCGATTTAGATAATATGAAAAGTGTACTTAACCACTTCACGAGTGCCTTAACACCAGTGAGTTACCCATTGCATCAGCTGCTGTTGTGCACTATCCTTATTACAGGCAACTGGTCCCTACGAGGAGGTCACAGCCTGTGTGAGGGATGTCGAGGCTCATCTACATGAGTGCCGAGCGTGAGTTCATAAGCGGTGAGGAAGCTGCTAGTGATGGCGTTCAGGTGGGCTCCTATAATGACAGAGAAACTACACTCGACGGGGCAAGAGCTGTATGCAAGGACTTCTATGCTGTTCGAGAAGTATATGGACAGCAACAATAGTTCTCCGGAGGGGGCTAGCCCTAGCCATAACAACGTACAGGATTCCCACGTTGTACGATGTTCATCGCACTCTCTCAGCAGGCTTGTCACACATCTGGTCATCCACATTGTCCTATCTCGACAGGTCTTGCAGGTGAGCCGGGCTGTCTACAACGCATGATGATTGAGCCACTGTGTTTTGGTTTAGGTTGGCATCAACACGAACAGCAGCAGCAGTCCGTCGTCCCTGTCGTAGCATCCGAGTCGATCGAACACTCATTCTAGCCACTTTAACTCCTACTGCTTTCAACGTCGGTTTTTTGCACAAAATACGAATACAGTGCATTCTACCATAGTAGTAATAGGCTCCCCAATTAGATCTCTGCTGTTCTGACTTCTGCTACAGCAACAAATAGTACTACAGCGAAGTTATTTTTAGTCCCGTCATCATCGTTTTTACTTTACCACGTGCTGCGAAGAAAGCAGAGCGGCTATTATCTTGGGCGATGGTGATGATGATATCATTCTGCTACATCTTCCTGTTAGGGCCATTTGCATGTCATTTTTCACGGAAAAGTAGGATGGTATGAGCAGCCTTCTTATCTCCCTTTATACGTATTATTTCACGATTGCTCACAGTAGCACTACTACTATCGTTATATATCATGCTTGGTCTTCTTAGCTCCTACATTTGTCTCTTTAACTGGTCTATTTTCAACAGTATCGTCTACCTGTCCATGATGATGACAAGGCCGTTGTTCTTGTCGCTACCTCAATCGCATCTCAGGAAGTATCCAATCGAAAGAGTGTCTATTCGTTTCCTCCAATCACAGTTCAATCGTCGTTTACTCTATCGTTTTCATTTATCATTTGGTAATAATACTCGTACTGCCCGAGTTTGGGGCTCCTCTTTCTCAAGTATTGGGAAGTGGTATCATTAGTAGACTACTCTAGTGGAACATGATCATCGTTGTGATGCCACTGTCGTACTGATACAGTAGTTACTACGGCAGGGGTGAGGTTTCTCGATCAGAATATCTATTGTGTTGTCAATTCACGGGCGGCAACAGCATGTGCGTTTTTATAGCAGCTACAGTGTAATGTAGCAGCACCTTCACGTGCCTGATGGTATTGGTTCCTGTCGATAATCCTGAAAGCCATCATGGTGATGGTGTGCAGGCAAGATTCCCCACGGGCTGCCATGACCTAAGGAATAAACTATCACAAGATTCGACTATGTATTGATGATTATAATAGGCGATATCGTTTCGAGGCAGTTTAGGACCTCGACAGAGAAGTGTGCAACTGCAATTTGGGTCAGACCGAGCCGTCGCTCCCAGCAATAGACGACCGGACCTACCGGTACTTGATCCCTATGCTTGAACTTATCTAGCGTTCAGAATTATAAGGTCTTCCACTTGTGGGTGACGATCCTTACAGTCCTCGCCGTGTCAGTAGTAGCCATCATTGCTTGGTGTATACTATACACACTCGACTACAGTTATTGATCTATACACTGTATAGATCAATAACTGTAGTCGAGCGTTATTGTGATGAAGGCATGTAACAGGGTCGAATCTTTCCTTTCCAACGATCGAGTTGTCTTCACAATATTTGTATACCATTCCATTGTATAATCTTCCTACTATAGATGGGCAGAATTACGTTACGGACCGTTACGGCTCGCTCTTACGGTTACGATTCAAGCCCCGTATCGTAAAACGACGGCGCCGTAACGGGTCATACGGAGATGCAGAGGACAAAACGAGGATTGATCATTCAAGTCGCCTAAATATATTTCATGTGAATGCGCATGCGTAGACGAGGCCGGCTTGGCAGTTACGTGCCAGTTTGGGAGTAACCAACCGTAAAGTCATAGGGCCTCCCCGTAACCTTGACCTGGGAGTAACCTCGTAACCTGCTTACGTTACGCACACCGTACCGTAAAGCGTAAAAAACGTTACGGTGCCCATGTATACGTCTTACCTGCAGCCATTAGCTGCCTGTCTATACGTCTTACCTGCAGCCATTACTCTATGTTATTGTCCCTATTTCATCATCCTCTACTACTTCTAGCTTCCACAGCCAAGGTCGGCGACTCCCACGACTGGTCTCAACTTACTGTAATTCCCCTCAGGTTACCACGGCACTCACATTGCGGTTATCTGAGGCTAGCCGTACAAAGACATCAAGTAACACCAACGCTACTGCCCTTGTGCAATTGCTGTTCAGGCGTTCCAACCCTGCCGTGCCACACTGAGCTCTCAGCTGAGGACATTGTCGACGTGAATCAGGATCCTGTTACTAGGGTATGGCCAGATACTCTAGGGCTGGGCTTGCTGAATGCTTGGTCAGATTTCCTGCAATACGACGAGCGTCGCCGTTAAGAATGATAAAGTGCATCGTCCATTCTGCTTCGGCTTCAAAGCCTCAACCAACGCCTCCACTCAGTTGCCCTCTCCAGTATGTTCGTTGTCTACTTAGTTTATCAGCTTTTTTACTTCAGTTCGTCGAAGTGGAACTCAAGGCGCCTTACGTTATTCGAGCTTTTCAGTTCGAACCTGTGCATGCGTCCGATCCAGGTGAGAGCGCCGTCCTTCAGCAGTGAGCGTCTACTATTATTGTTCAATAGATGCCGACAACGAGGGCAGCACTAAGAAAATCAAGCAACCGTTGCCGAAGTCGATCAAGCTGAAGTGAGCCTCTTGTCAGCCTAGCCCGAGGTGTCATGTGATCATTGTCAGCGCCGCGATGGGTGTGCACGCCTTCCAGTGGTACCGAGACTTACAGGCCCGAGAACACTGTAGGAGATAAACTTTCATCAACCAACATCCTGTCATCACGACTGTCCTATTCTAGCCGTCGCCTGGACCTCACTAAGTACAGAGCCTGAGGGCCCCCACACATCCAACGCTGACGTCGATCTCGAGACAGACTTCCGAGGGCATCTCCTGAGGTAACTCGCTAGAGGCGCCACACCTCTTGTTGTTCTCCCTCGCAACTTTCAGAATTTGGCCTCGGGCAGAGTTGACCAGGAGATCCGATATGATGAGAGCATCATTTCAAATGAAAGTATATTAACGATTCAAGTATTGCTAGATTCATTTGTTCTCTCTAGCTTTACGGATGCCCAGTGAAAGATACCCGGACGATGCAGCTTCGGTTCAGATCAAGCTTCAATTCGATACGGAACAAGTGAGCATGGTTCAACAGTCATGAAGTTCTGCGACGATTCTCTACCATAGGTTCAAGAGTCTTGACATATTCCGGAAGGAGCTCATCAGTCACATTTGCAGGTTACTCACGTTGTCTACTGCCTCAGCGACAACGACGTGCAGTCGGATACTTTTCATCGGTGAGTCCCGCTCGTTCCAACTCTGAAGGATATATCCTGCAGATGTCTCTGAGAAGTCTGCTGCTGAGTTCGAGCATCATCGGGAAGATCATAAAGTAGTCTCCCAGAGGATACAGAGTTACGAGCCCTCGAAAGACCACATACCAAACGTAAGGCGATTGGACCTCCTGAGCTTCGTCAATTGCTAATGCAGGTGGTGGTGAACTTGAGGGTACTCCCGCCAGTGGCACAATGTATCGATTGCCGTGAGTGTTTTATACTGCCGGTAGTGTCGACCGACATTGACCGGATTTGCTCAGGTTCGGCGAATGAAGTCGTATCGCAATTACGGGAAGTGCTGCAAAGCGAGCGGACGACGGGTCATCGGGTGATGGCTAAGTTCGAGGCAGGAAGATACGAGTTGTTATGGTGTGACATGTCAACTTTAGGAATGGGTGACAGACGATACGCCATACTTCTGCTCTAAAGTACAGTGCAATGCCGAGCAAGTGAGTGCTCATGTCGAAACGAGGGGAATGAGAGTATCCTCCTTTTCAGGACTGCGTGAATGGTGTTTGTATCGACAGGATCGGCCGGGCCCATGATCGTCTAAGGTAGGCGGCGTTCAGGCCTGCATGATCATCGACGTTTGCTTATCACAGGACGCTCCCGGCCCTATCCGAGTCGCATAGCCGCTTCGAATCTGCCGATTTGATCAACTGGGATAGGGAGGATGGAGCCGACAAGTCGAGGCCTTTGATAAGTAACTTCGGAGCGGACATTCCCAAATATCGGTGAGAGTGAATCGGCATTCAAGACATGTTGGGTGCACATGGTTTTTGGAATGTAGATACGACGATACCTTGCTCCAGTTGAAGCCGTTACCCTTGATAAAAGGAGCTGATGAGCCTCCTCAGGCTCACTTCGGTAGGAAGTGTACAATTGATGTACTTGAATGTCATGAGAATTCCTCAGTCACTCCCCAATCTCTGAAGCCCTCTTCCAATGGTGTTGGCGAGACTGCACTGGTAGATGCCATGAGAGTTGTTCGTAGTTGGAGCACGCTGCTGTCAGGAATTCCAGTCGGAGGCCGAGCCCGCGAGTTCTGATAAGGCGTTCCACAAGCGCTATACGATGTCCCTGATCATAGCAGGGTCCCTCCTAGGACTGCTGATCCTTGCCGTATCCGTACGCAAGGCACGTGGAATGAGCTTAGCTTGAGGAACATGATAGAAGAGGTTGTTGGAATGGGAAGTGTTGTGTTGAAAGTTAACCCTCTGTACACAACCTTCCAGAGTAGCACATCATTCGCTTAGCATAAGCCGCCAAAGGAGTGCACCATTCGTGTGACATCAGCCTGTACATTACCCTTGGACTTTCGGTTCACAAGAATTCTAGCAACATGACGGTGGTTTGAAGTATAGCGGAAGGTCGCGACATTTTAAACTCTGTGGCACGTTGACGCTGATATGGCTTATGATTATATCCCACCCTCAAGCGCATATATGCACCTATTGTAGGTGCATCGATATAGGCGACCTATATCGATCGTTATCCACATCACAAGAGATGGGGAGAGACATGTTTGCACACTTACGGAAGAGAGTATAGTCGAGATCGTTCCAGTGAGCTTGTGCAAGGAATGTTTGTCAAGTATTCAGGATTGTAGTTGCGAGTAACGTGAGTAGAGCTATGTTACAAACCTCTAACATGAAACCACATAAAATCTATTCATGTTATATGGTAAACATAAAATTCCACTCAAATTCTACGTGCTGGATACTACAACTGGCATACTGAAGAGATAACAACTCCGCCTCCACGTAGCATCATATTTCTTTGAGTGCTTCATCAATATAATGTCGCGGATATGAACACTTTCGTAACACCCCTCAATACGTTTACCTTCCCATCGTTAACCCACTCGCATAAACAGATTACATGATCAGAGAAAATTCTCAATTATAAGTCATCAACCTTGCATAATAAATAATGACTCTCTCATGCACGTATGGGACCACGAGAGATGCCTCGAGTCCATTATAGTCTAGTCACTTTCCGAGTCGGAGAGAACTATAACATATTTGTTAGTATCACTCGGAACCATCTCCCCATCAGGGGAAAAGAACTTCGGCCGTTGCACTCTCCTTCCGCTTCTGGTATGTCCTCCCTCTTGCGCTGGATGAAGCGCCTGCACGTGAGTCCCTGCGAACGACACAATACTCCTTTTCACTCCTTTACTCCCTCCTACAACGAGAAGAGTGGTTGAGTTCTAGTATACATGGGCATAATACTGACGCGGATATATGATGCGACGACTTACTGTGAGGACTCGACCTTCCAGGAATCGATCTACGACGGCTCCGCCTTCTCGACCCGAGAGGAGAGATCTTCACGTCGTCTTCGGGTTCCTCCTTGACAACAACTTCTCCTGCCTTATACGCCCTTTGCTGCTCGGCCGACATGTGTTGTAACGGCGGTGAGGCCGGGACTAAAGACAAATGCGACAATCCATTACTGCTGTAGCAATCAGCCAACTCACCCTCGGATGGGACCAGACTAGGAGAGTAGTGTATGACTCGAGTTCTCTTTGCTGTACCGAAGCTCACGTGCGACTGCCGTCTGCGTGTCTTGGATGGAGCACGACCACCACGGGTCTGACGTTGAGCCGAACTACCGCATAAGCCTATCCGAATACATCATCACTTCTCTAGACCGCTTGGAGGGTCGGTTAGCGGGAACTCCACCATCAACAGGTTCGCGTCTCGAGGGTATCAGGGATTGGAGCGACGCAGATATGAAGGAAGTTATCTTGCTGAACATAGGGTAGGTACGAAAGAAGTAACTCTGCTACATCCAGTACGCAGCCAGTACGTACCATTGGAAAGATGCCAGCACTAACGATCGGTGGGAAACCTTCCGTCCCTTCTGTGAAACGGTTATGGGCGTAGAAAGACCCAGAAGGGCGTAAGAAAACTGTAAGCGCCACGGCGATCCGCAATTGATGGTGGATGGAGGCTAGGAACGTGATAACAGTCTTGGACCAAAGGCCGCGCTGTGTATCTAATGATTAGTGGTAGAGGAGTTTCTCATGTCGTACTCAGTTGGTGAAAGATCAGCAAACCGTGATGTTCCCGAAATGAATTGATTCGCAGAATTGAACGTGTGAAAAAGACTGGAAAACCTCTGCTACTGGGGATCGAACCCGGCAGGGATAGAGACAACAGGATGCAAATCGTCAAATATGAAACCGCTCGTGATGACTTCTCAACCTTCGTCTCGGAGGCCTCGAGCACGCTCGATTATGTCTCTCAAAGTACCTAACGTCCAATAGCAACTATTAAACTCTCCACCATGAATGCCAATTGAGGCCCCTGTGCACGATTATATCCTCACAGCTTTTCACGACTATATAACGGACTATACAACGAGTAGGCCAATCAACAGCACATTCATCGATTTCTTCCAAGCTGTCGGTCCGCCCTGCGCCGTATTTGTTGCGCTTGCGGAATTGATACATTACCACTCCGCCGACTCCTATCAGAGTGAATAGCATCTGAAGATTAACTCACTCGTCTCAACTCTGCGCGAACCTCTAGGATGAGTCTACCTTCGAAAGAGCAGCGACCCACCATCCCTGATCCGCCCTGTTCTGAGGACGCCTATATGGCTCTTCAACGGACAGATCGGCAAGGGCCACTCTGCGAACGGTGAAGCACGTATTGGCAGGCATCCGTGTGAATCACATACACGTTATCCTCTGTGATGAAGCCAACTGTAGCGTCCAGAATTCCCACACGGGTCTCGGGGATCCATCCTAATATGTGAAATCTCAAAATAAAAACCAAAGTCCAGCCCTTCGAAAAGTGCAAGCTAACATCAGTTACGCGAATTCTGCGCAGGATTGGCTGTCCGTTGGAACGACGGTTGCGAACTGTGAACGAAGAAGTCAATGAATGCCAACGGTACTCCTTTCGAAAGGTCAACACGATAACCGATAGCTGTGGAATAGCTCCCGGCTTCGAGCTCTGCGAGGTTGACTAAGTAACTGTTGGAGTATCAAATTCGACCGTTGCAGTTGGAATTCAAATAGCCGGCTAGAGGCCTTTTTACAGGGAATTCTTCATATGGATGTTCGATCTTGGTAGATATTCTACAAAGGGTCGTCGAACCTAAGATGCCGCTGACCACAGTGTTTGCCTCTCAACTCACCGCTCCGATAAGGGCTAAGCTACCGCTGACGATGACGCGGTTGGTATACTCGCCATCCGGTAGTGGAAGCCGTGGCAGCTTATATAGGAGTTCACATGTCTTGCTAGTATGTCTATGTGTTCTGTGCTGAGTGGCGAATACCCAGCCCTGATATCCAGAGGAGGAGAAGCAGGACAGCGAGAGCGAATAATCATGCACCTCGCCGTTGGTGAGTGACACGAAGGCTGTTCTGGCGCCATAACGCTCAACGAAGATGCTCGAGGCGTTGCCAGCCCAACCGCCACATGGTGCTCGTGACATTGAGTTCAATGTTGGCTGAGAGGTATATAGAACAGAAAGGTCCAACACGGATCTTACGACCGAGAAATGCCCAAATTCCTTTTTCGAGAGCCACCAGGGTTGGGATCCGTAGGCACCTCCCTGGCCCAAGTCCACAACTCCTCCTGCTGAGCGGGTGACCAGTATTCGACCTACAAGGCTTGTGGTGCATTCGCGAACCAACAGCGGACCTTGGAACTCCCCATTCTTCGTGAACACTGCTATATGCCCCGATGAGGTTCCGAAGACGTAGAAGGAAACGGATCTGGCAGCAGGGCACACTGGAGGAGGAGCTCGTTGTAGACGGCCAAATACCTGTCCCGTGCGGTGAAGGTAGCAGCCGTGACTCGATGCCTCCTCGGAACGTTAACAAGGCATGGCTTAGCATCATCAGTATCGACATAGCATTGGCCTTCAGTATCAACCTTCTCCTGGACGGCCTCGGAGAGTGACCACGCGCCCCTCACTGACAAGATCTCCAGGACAACAAGTCCAGGCTTTTCTGGTTACATTCACATGAAACCTCTGGTTGGACTCCACCTTGAGTTTCGACTCGCACGTCATAGATATAGACTTTTTCCTCGTCGTCCGTGACCAAAGTAACGACCCTGATGTTGCCTGCGAACATTGATGCTCAGATGATGGCTGCTCACTTCTCCTCGGTGGAGCTGTACACCATCATCATGCCTACCGCGGTGGCCTCTCCTTGAAGTTTGGTCGACGACAAGATTCTTCCCGAACGATGATCGATTATCTGTTCACGGTATCAAATCCTCTGCTGAGCATCGCTCGAACTTTCAAGGAGTTATCCAGGTTAACCGTAAGAAGCAGTGATTTGCCGAGGTGTTTGTGACCATCCAACTCGAGCAGACGAGCGTGTAGCACGCCATTGGCGGCCTCTATGAGCCGCGCCTGAGAAACGCCATCAGAAGCAGAAAAGACCGCTGCAATGTAATCACATCTCGCAGAGGCGGTCGAGGATCCACCAGGAGAGGATACATCTCCTCAGTGATAGCGAGGTCCAGGATCTGAACTTCCTCCTTTGCACGACCTTCGGATGGACTGGTTCTGTGGCACTTGTCGAATCATGCATGAATTCTACCGTACAGGGGTACGGCTCACATGTACTGTTCGGCTCCCGGTAGAGCCTCCGCGATTATAATCCTCATTTCCTCAGACAGAACGACAGCACCATGTGTACCACTAAGCGAGGTATCTGAGTTTCGAATTGGCGATGCAATGATGCACGGCACGACAGCTGAGGTAGAAAAAGCTCGGACGTACTGAGCTTCTCAAGAGATCGGCCGAGCTCGGATATCAGTTCATGCTCACGGTTGAGCCCTCTCGCCCTGGCCAAGGCCAGAATGGTCCACGCCCAAACTGACTGCATGAGGTAACAACAACTGCAAGAACCTCCTTGCAGCCGCAACAAGAGCGTCGTCTAGTGCAGAATTCCTCTTCACTACAACACAGGCACCCTCAGCATACCAATCAAACCATACACCCTAGACTATGGCATGTGGTTGAGAGGACGGCACCATTGTTCATACAACACAGGCACCCTCAGCATACCAATCAAACCATACACCCTAGACTATGGCATGTGGTTGAGAGGACGGCACCATTGTTCACTGCTTGGAAACAGTCATCGCAGGAGGGAATTAGATGGAGTGTGCTAATCAGCTTCCAGATTGCGAGAAACATTTTATTGGCGAAGGTTACTCTCCTGGCTGGCTCTCGCTTGCAGTCGACTCGAACGTTTTCTTGCTAATGCTAGCATCCGATTAAGAATTGTGAGTCACATAGCAATCCCAGTCGAGCGAAGCTACGGCGAGGAAGCTAATGAAACTGGCCTCATCGCTCGGGATTCCATCAAGCGAGGTGCTGTATGAGAGAGTGAGGTTGCGCCTGGATCCCTCTGAACGATACTCAACAACAACATTACGCCTTATATCAGCCAACAGGCTAGCTCACCTCTAATAGAGATTCTATATCCGCTCTCTGTGCAGTTCGTGGCGGCGTGCTATAACTACCATGGACAGATTCTTACGACTCGTAAGTTACGAGACCATCGATTTGGTTGAGTGCCTTACGCTGTTACCCCACGCTGATCCCTAGAAGATTGAGATGTCGAGAGTATGACGATGTGTTCAACGAGTGAGAAAGTATGGCTGCCATACTATGGCTATTAGATGCTCAATCGCATGGGGGCTGGCCTGTTTGACCTCTGGAGGCTAACCCCGCCATCTACAACATCATCGTCATTGTGCATGATAGAGAGTATTGGCGAGGGGCGGATATTGAATGATGTGGACGGTGGACCCCCCCGCGAATTCGGCTCCGACCAAGGTTGATGCATGGTTCCCTTCTCAGGACAGAATTGCATTGTGTTCATTCGAGTGGAGGGGATAAAGAACCCGTGCGGAGACTTCCAAACGAGACCACGATCGAACATCCCTATCAAACGTGCTTACTATGACCATTCATCAGGGAGTTCCACAGTAGCACATATGGTTTCTGATGCTGCTTCCTTTGTCCCCACGTTGACTGAGCGGCTGACCATAAGCTGGCGGACTGCATGTGGTGAGCACAGCTCACTTAGTGGCCAATTCTCAGTCATCCGGGGGCCTCGCTTGGTCGCATTGCCTGACACTTCGGGCCGCAGGTCGGACGGACGACTCGGCAGAGCCTGCTGGTCCTGCCAGAGTCTGCACAATCGGATGAGAAGAGCTCAACGACTGACCAGACCTTGATGAGGAATGAAGAAGCCGATGGGTCATTACTAATTGAGCAATATGTTGAGTTGAAGCGAGAAGCAACTTCTACTATCGCAGTGCCACAATAGTGGGAGGGTTTTTCTTCGTCTCCCCCCTTGTTTTCCAATTTCTGCTTTTGCAGAACTTCTGCAGCAGAAGCGCGGTCTTGTGCATTTGGTCTCCTCCTTCATTTATTCCTAACAGCTTCGCTTCATGGACGGAGAACGCAAATACCGCAGAACGCGTGATTTCTTTTCCCTATCCAGCCCGATATGATGAGATCGTCACATATGCCACAGCGTGTGTAGGGCTGCACCAGCGAGACCTATTTTGTCTTCTACTGCTGCTCTGTACCCTGGTATAGATGGGCAAAATCGCCGTAAATTACGAATTCCGTTACGATTTACGAGTCGTAAAATATTTCAATTCACGGTTACGGATGCGATTTACGGTTTACGGCGGATTTTCTAGCTTTTGATACTAGAAGTTGGTTAAAACACATCTTCTTCAAAGAAACGCGAAACAACTCCAGCAAATCATGCTATAATATCACTTATACAACTACGGAAGACCAGAAAGACACACAGCAATGGGACGCTAACACATAATATGTGTCACAGAGTAAAAGAATACTAGGGGCCGATAGCAGAGCTAATGGCTCTTCAAAAGCATTAAGGTCGTAATCACGTGCTTCTCGATAAAGATCCAGCTAGGCTGAAGCTATCTTCGCAGCTGCAACTACTTCCAGGAATTGTTGCAAGGGCAACAGCAACCTTAGTGAGAATGGGCAAATCTGGGCAGCCTGCCCAGAAGCCGAGGAAATCCGAGTGCACGGCAGACTCGGATCTCAACCTCTGCTCGTATGCGATCAACTCGCGAGACAGACCCGTCACAGCCGTTGTTGTCCTCCTGAGATCTCTGCGATTAAGGGCACCCAACAAAGTACCCTCTACCCCATGCCTACTAGTTGATGGGGAGTCGTCAGCGTCAAGAGCACTGTCACTGATGCCAAAGAAAGCCATACATTTTCTGATAGAATCTTGAGCAGAGTCCTCGTCCTCCGTATCGGCGAATGCAGGATGGAGATAGGATGCAGCCACGCAGGCATGGTGAAGAATGCCCGAGTCCGTCTCAATCAAGCAAAACTTGAAGTAGTTGTTCAAGCTCTCATGCACACGATCCTTGATCCGGCATAACTGCGAGCGCCCACCTGCACGGTGCAGGCTGCACCGCTGCACTTCTGGAGTAGGCCCTTCACCACCGGTCTAATAAGACTGAGCGTACAGTACGACGATCCAGAAAACAGGCGGGTGGCATCCTCGAAATGGCACAAAACTGACGCCAAGTTCTGCAGAGACTCAAAATCAGGAACTGTCAACGCGAACTTGCGGAAATGCTTGTGCAAGTTGTCCGACCTCGGCAAAGCTTGACAACGGGTTTGGAAGAGACTGAAGACCGGGCGATATTCTACATACCACTGTACCATGCGGTAGGTGCTATTCCAACGGATGTTGATGTCCCGGGGGCAGACTTGCTGCCTCACAATACCTTCGGCTCTCATGCACTCAGATAGCAGGCTGCTCGCAACGGAGGACTGACGTAGGAGCCGACCGTTAGCCCGAGCTTTCAGAAGTGCAACACCCCACTGTCGACATCTTCTATCATCAGTTGTTTCCACACCCCGCGACCACGCGAGGTCAGAAGACTCGTCTATATCTTCAGCATCCGAATCGGACTCAGCTTCTGCGAGGATGTCGTCCGGATCCCCGTCTTCGTCGGAGGAGCTATCTTCGGTCTGCTGACTGGACCTGGTCTCATCTCCATCGATGGTTTTGCAAGACCACAGACCCAGACCATTAGTGACCGATAGGTGGAGTTTGTGCCCCACACATAATACGTGGATAATGGTCCCAGGCTCTTGCTCAATCAGCTTCATCATCTTGATATTGACCGAAGCTGCATCACTGGTCACGCTGCAAATCCTGTCTCCGATCCCAGTCTCCGTTATCGTATTCATTAACTCTCCGGCAAGATTGCTGGCCGTATGACGGCCTTGGATGCGTCTAAAATCCACAATCTGACGGCGGACTTTGTCGGTTCTGACAAAGTGTGCTGTTATACCTGGAAGCTCAGCATTAAAAATCCGCTATATCAATCGCTCACATAGAAAGCTCGAACGGCTGCTTCTCGACCACGCGTCGATACTCAGGCTTATTTGAGAGACTCCGTCGAGCCTTTCTGAGAGCAAACCACGGCGTGGTTACCACGCGACCAGTTCAAGCATGACCGAGTAGCTGAATTACTTTGCACCATCTCTACGTGATTGGCGACTCTGTCTCGCAATTGACGAACTAGATCTCGGCGGCTAGGAGCCTCGAAATGTGGATTCAAGCACCGTAGTAGGCGTTTGAAGTATTCATTTTCAACGGTGCAGAGCGGGACGCCAGAGTGCGCCACAAACTGATATAGCGCCTCTCTGCACTCTGCTTGATTCTCCTTGTTCCCAGTTTTGCTAGGATCGCTGCGCTTCCTTTTCCCGCAAGACTCTTGGTGATACTTGACACCACTGGAAGACTTCTTACTTATCTTAATGAGTCTCCCACATTTAGGACAGCGGGCATATTCGCCATCGTCGGACTTCTCCCGAACCCACCCTGGGAACTTCATGAGGAAAGGGTCATCGATCGCAACCACAGAGACTTCACCAGTTGACATTAGAGAAGGACACGCCAGGGTAGCCCTGGCGTGTCACTAAGTATGATTCTTGTTCGATGCCAACCAGCTGAACTTGTCCGGGGGCCTCTATCTGTTTGGTATATTTCATGGAGAGTCTGTTGGTCTCACAGCTGTACAACAGCAAAGGAAAGCGAACATACGTTCATGATGCGATCAGTCATTTCCAGCGCGAGCTTCAGCAGTGCAGACGGTAGATCTTACGTGACGCCTAAACGCGAACACCTACAGTATGTTGATCTTTGATTCCTAGATATTCCGAATCTGGCACGTCAGCGACGTGACGTCCCTAGCCCACATCAGGAGGGTGTGGACGGATCTACTCGAAGTCGTGATCGGGTCGTCGATTGATGCTATAAGTAGTCGATGCTAGTGACCCTGGCAACACAATCCCAAAGGTAGATACGAGTTTAAGGTAATACTTAGTTGCGGTCGACAAGGTTGGCAGGGATGCCAACAGTAATCCTCAGAAGAATCCCACGAAATACTCTAAATGCAATCGATCGTTTGACGCATGCACACATAAGCTACGGTTAAGGCTCTCGCGTCTGCCCTATACTGTCTATTCCGCACAGGCGGACAACAACAGAAGGTAGCGGATGATGGTCGAACGGAGTCGACTTACCACGTGGTTCACGTGTACCGTGCTGCGCGTTTGCGTTCAAGCCGGTCTTGTGCTGTGTTTTGTTGGTAGTCCCCACAGTGGGTATATCACAATATAACTCCACAAGCGCACCTGATGGCTTTGAGGATCGAATGAGGTTCAATGCTGTGATGAATGCAGCTGTTCGATCGGCAAGCGACCCCATATCGATTTAAGAATGTCCCTTCTGCTATGGGTTCCCCTCAGTATTGTCATAGGCTTTTTGTTACTCCACGCGCTGCTAGTGAGTCTGTCAGGAGGTGGGATCCTCATTATGAACACTTCCTCAGGCATTCTGGCCGTGCGTACGTCCCAGGTCGTCCGCTCAGTCCGACAGCTTGAAGCATCTTTCCCTCAATGGCACAGTACAGGTGAGTCCTCGGAAGAGAAGAGTTCTTATCCGGTTTGTACGTACCCAGTGCTTCATTGTATGATTTTGCTCCTAAGTTCCGTGTTAATTTCAGACCTACGAAGTTATCATGGCGGCTCAAGAGGATGTGAACGATAGGGCTAGGTGCGGTGTTCCCACACCGGGGCCCCTAGTTGCCTTATGATCGCTATCGATTTGTGCAGGTATCCCGTCCAGGAATGCTGCTCAATTTGTTTATCATCCTACACCCCACGTAGTAAAGTCAGGAAGCTTTGTTGTGGGCATCTGTATCATGAAGATTGTGTCTGTATGTGAGTATTCGTAAAGCGTACACGGCCTTCATTACTCGACCTTTAACAGGTGGCTTGAAAACGATCCATATAAGCAATGCCCCTACTGTCGGGAGGGCTGCCTCAGGAACCCGGATAAAGAACGACAGCATCCGATCCAACAGCAATCCATCTAGGGAGCGATATGTATCCTAGTGTTACTAGGCTAGTAATCCGATGCAAATTAGTCACGTGGTCATGTTCGCCGTGAAGGTCGCTTTCTCATCACTGATCTTCTGCTATTCAATACACAATCGGTCACAGCCGTCTCGCTCGGTATCATTCCGCTGGAGTTTTTCTATCGAGCTAGTGTGACTTTCTGATCATTCTGGTCGACGCGGATTATGGCTGGTCATTCTTTAGTGTCGGAGCTTTTATATTACCATTGTTCATTCGTGTCATTGGTTTGTACCGATGTCATTAGCTTAATCAAAGTGCCACCAGCCCAATGGTTTTACGTATTATTGACAATTTTTCAACCTTTCAACTTCATCAGAAAGATGCGTGCTCATACCTGGATCCTTCGTAGAATCATCGTGCAGTATGATTCATACTTGGGATGATTGATCAAGATTAGGAAAGGTATATTGGTGGTTATCAATCACAGGTTGCTGATATTTGATAGCGTTCGTCCATGTACGATAGGGCAGTCTGATCTCTCATTACTTTCCGTTTGGTTTCGCGAACAAATAATACCGCGACTTGTTTCACGCTGTCGGAGGTTCTATACTCTCATCGCGCCTTATGGTCGATTTCGGTTCATCCAACAGTCAAGGCTTCCATTTTCAACTTATAGAGAGTCTAGTACGACAGGCCTTGGGTTCAGTCATTGGCCAGTCAATTATGTACTTGTCGTTCCATGGACGAAAAAGGCTGAGAGTGCATAGAGTGCATAGTATGTCGAATGCATAGAGTCCATGCCATGTACCGTGTACTACATGGTACATGCACTGGCGTCGACAACATACTCACTGACCAGATCTGTCGATGTCCAGTCTCATCACAACCGGTCCTCAGCATTACCAGTTTCTACCAACCAACAGGTGTACCCCACAATGCAAAGCAAACCACCACAGAAGATCTGCCCTGACCCGGAGCGGGTTGGAGTGCTAAGGCGTTTCGAGTTCCGAGGCCGAGTCTTCGGTTACCGGGCTCCGACTCGGGGCCTCCGAGTCTTGGGTACCCAAATCCGAGAGTTCATGGATCAAAGTGTGATCCCTCAGGAGAGTCGAGTTCCTGAGGCCTTTCCTCGGCTTGGAGTGCTCAGCATGTATATAATATGTATCACATATGTCAACTCGGTCTGGAAAAACACCCAAGAGTAATGTGTTCATCGAGGGGCTCGAGACAACGAAACACCATGAATACTCGGAAATTGGAGCACTTTAATCTGTTCCGGCGTTTCTTAGTGGAGACTCGGCCGTTTCGTCAAGTCTGAAAGTTTTTTAAACTCGGAACTCGGAAAGCTAACACTTGAATCGAGAACCGAGACCAAGGGGTAATCTTCCGAGGCACCATGGACTCAGTTGCTTGGGCCGTTTTCACGGGTACATCCATTCTCATTTCGAATCGTTCAAGTGCACCACGATGGAATTGCCCCGAGGCCGGAGAAAATGACTATTGCGCCGCGCAGTTTGCGCGTCGGTCGAAGACTACGTATTAGAAATGCCGTATTCCTACTCAAAAATGCTGGACGATATGGGAATGATGATGATAACAACTATTCCGCTCACTTCCGGACGAAGACAAAAGAATATCGTCGCCAATCTCAACAAGCTGTTCTGTAGCGTGGACCAGAAGGACCCTCCCGAGAGCAGCACAAGCACGTGTAACTTGATTCACTTTCTGAGTCAGACATCCTACGTGTATGTTGTTCCTGATTGCAATGGTTCTATTGTAGCGCATAGGGTGTGATGTTGTAAGTTTTAGAGCGTTGTTGTGTTCGCTCGGGAAGATTGGGGCCCGGAATCAGTACCCGCTTCGTATCGGAGAAATAATGATCGGAACCTAGCCTAATGCGTCGCACTTGAATGCACAGCTCGGAGAAACTACTCGGAAATGCGCAACTCGGAGCTTTTAAATTTTCACCGAGCTCTCAGCTCAGGGATGCACTTGAACACATAATATTGTTCCAAGCTCAGGAAAGACGCTTTTCGGAGTACTTAGCCTCGGAAAATGGACACTTGAATAGGGCCCCGGACCATTGACACGAACGTTAACAGAAGAATAATCACTATTCTCCTGTGAACGTTCGTTTCATGATGTTACCACATATTTATCATCTAGTGGTCCATTAATCACCTATTTCATCGGCCGAGCTTGACAAGTGCTCGTGAGGAGCATTCTCCATGGAATCCGATCCGCACGAGCATCGTACCAGTTCGTAGTGCATCACAGCATTGTAACTGAACCGGAGTAAATGTAAAAACTATCATAGTGTCAGTCCAGTGACGAACTCCTCTCTCAGCCAGCACAACACCATAAGAGGATAGAAACCAGACGTTAATATTACGGTAAGCCGCTACGAACGACTCTTCAGCATAAGCTTCAGCAGCTCAGAAGGTTGATCAGCCAGACCATTCTCCGCTTGTTTGGATAACGATTCAACCATGGTCTTGGGCAATTTCGAGTAGCAGTTTAGTAATGCCACGGCGACCATTTGAGAGTCACAACCCATCTTGCCAAGAGGCGCCTCAGCACCCCGTACACCACAGTAGATCGGCAACAACAATGCTTGTATAGGGGCGAACTCTTCCTTCGGTTGGGGACTAACAGCAGTGAGCTGACCTATCACTGACAGAACATAGAGAAGCTCCGGACCAGCAGGGCCATGGCAACTCAGATGCCAAGCTAATCGAGGAAGGCGACGTAGTACTGCTGCACGCATAGACTCGGACACTACCCGAGTGCATATAGAGCTCAACTGATAGTCGTGTAGAGGTAGTGGAGGCTCCTCAACTGCGGATGAGCACATTGCTGCTATCGTTGGTAGTATATGGAGGAAAAGAGGACTCTCTGGTGACACTGGATGAATCTTCGAGTCGATGACCGAGACAACCTTGGCTAGCTGGCCGGGATTCCTCCGTGGAGTTCCCTTCTTATCCACGGCAGAGGTTTCCCCTTCATCATTATCAACTTCATCATCGGTTTCCTCCATAGACTCATCGTCGCTGTCCTCAGCCAACACAGCAAAAGCTCCTCCCGTTGCCTTGGCCGCTGGCCTCTTCCTCGGCCGTGCTCTTCTATCAGGTATATCTGATGAGCTCTATCATACCGAAGCACACGGCCGTACCCTCCCCCCCCCCACTACTACCCTCCTTTGATTCGGTCGAGGTATATCCCGCATCATCATCCTCCTCCTCCTCCACATCGAGCCCAGCAAGCCGCCAGAGACCACGTCGTACTAGCGCATTCGCTCGAGTGAGCTGACGTAGATGACCGACCTTCCGACTCGGTTGAAGGGCCTTCGTTGCCAGAGACATCCAGGGCCTCAACGCTGGGACCTGCGGCCGCCCATGACAACCAAACACTAACGGGGGCTCTGACGAGGCTACCTCCCGTATATCGGAACTCTTCTTAGCTGCATTAGAAGAGGCAATCCTCTCTGCCTGACTGACTAGGAAGGTGACGACCAGCTTCTGCTCCTTGGGCGAGAGCTCCTCCTTACCTGCACACCACCATGGAGAGGATGTGCGCATGCGTTCACCTACTCTCGAGGAGCTGCCCCTTGGCATAGTTCAGCTCATCCATAACTTCATAGAGACCTCGATCAGACGAGGTTGGAGGAACCCGGCAAGGGAACTCCTTAAGGATAGCCTCTACAAGAGGGCCACACTGGGGTAACGAGAGCCAGCCTATGGTCAAGGCAGCGTTCGTGCTCTGAAGGTGAACACATCACCAGAAGAGCCGACATGAGTACCTCCTAACCTGCACAATAAAGAGGCGCCTCCGGGCCAGCTCGATAGGTGAGCGAGCAAGACCAGCATTGCTGGTATCGAGCCATAGATTGAGCAGTTGTTTAGACAGCTTGCCAGCCACATCAGGGGACAGCACACTACTATGAGTGTTATGATGCCCTTCGGACGTGGCACCGAAGTACCCTGCTAGAGTGAAGGGAGCTCGCCCACAGCCACTTCCTAAGAAGAAAAAACTCTTTGATTAGGTTCGAATGCTCAATTAACTTCATCGGCGCGGCACAACTAGAGACCTCAAACGAGATGATCCAACCCATACTGAAGCCAGCCGGTCTCCTTCAGAATGGGGATTAATGGAGCCCCCATCGCCCATGCAGTACCAGCATCCGATGATGATGCCGAGCCATCCGCTGCACGCATCAAGAGCAGGGCTACACTCTCTAGGTTATGGACCGTCACCTTCTGACTTGAGAGGAACGCCTGTAATCGAACCATCCCACAACCCTATCGTCCCCGTGCACTACACTGGCGAGTTTCGAGGCTTCTACAGGAGGCATTAAGACGTCCTTAGATGCATTATCACTCTGTGAAAGTATCCAGGCCAGGAAGGCGGACGCATCCGCACGAATCTGAGGTTTCCTCATTAAGCTAGCCCTATCCCTCTTCACAATACCTCAGAATCCACGTGGGTGATACCAGCTCTGATTTGGGCACAGAGCAGACGCGCAAATGGTCGTATGTCTTGATAAGGTAAGGCGGAGAAAAGGGAGGTGAGGAACTCCGAGGCGAGCCTTCGGACATCACCGTCAGCATCACCTACAGCGCACATCCAATGTGGCGTACTCAAGAGGGTACCCTACACATGCACGGCGCTACTGTGTCGAAAACTTTAGCAGCAGCCTCGATGACTGAGGTGAGCCGATGGTCGTGACTCTCTCCTTCTTTATAGTCTGAGTTCAGACGAGATTTCTATCAGAATTTGAATCTTGAGGAGTACCTTCAGCGAAACAGAAGTTCTTGAGAGCGACGAGGGCATCTCTCCTCTTGAACACGTTGTAATGCCGCACTTGTGAAAGTATAGCCCTGAGAGCGTACGATGAGACGAAGTGAATAAATCCGATACGACGACCTGAGCTTGGCTGAGGCTCCGGACTTGTCCTCTAAGATGCTTTGTCGCGCAAGGATCACCCGCTTAGCTCGAAATTGGTCAACGTTGGTCTGAAAAGAAATACCTCGCAAGGTGGAGGAGAACGTAGCGCATCATCTCGGGTGTGCATGGCACCTCTGCCTGACCATAAGGATACTACCTGATTCCTCGGGACGACCTTTCCTTTACCAACTTTAAGCTTCTTCTTCTCAAAATCCTTTTTAACAGTGGACTTACTTGACTTGTTCGAGAGGAAGCCTCCGCTTTTCTTTGCAGTGTTGCGAACCATACTCAAAGGGGAAGGAAACGATATCCCTGAGATGTTGCAAGCGCGACTGATAACCTACATCAGCATGGGCTATTCGAGAGACGAAATTCATGACCATGTTATGTTGATTCGTAGTTTGCAAAAATAATAGAAAGCATGATAATGATTGCCTTCCCGACAAGTTTTTTTCTGCCGTGACGACTATGTCGGAAAAACGTCAGATGCCGGGATCGAACCAGGGACATGCAATCTGTTCGACGGTGTTAGACCTGATATTGTCGCCCTGAAGCCCCATGTTTGGTTGATGCGTGAGAACATTGTCGTAGGCGTCAGGATTCGACCCATCAGTGGTTCGGAAGAGAGACAGGCAGCTATACATCACTTGAAGGAGAAGACCTGCATACAGGTGCTCCACGCGCCTCCCCGATCCAGAATCTTCAAGGATGACCATTGCTACCGTCGTCAGGCCTCCTCCAGAGACCCTAGCGTTCGTGTGACAGACCCTCTGAGCATCAACTCTCAACGAGTATACTCCTATGATGCCGTGCTCGACTCGAGCAATAGGTAGACCTGTGACCTCTTCAGGGCTAGAGCATGATTTCGCACCATACGGCTATCGGACGCGATCATTTGGTTCGTGCGGGTTAATTCTTTATGCTGGCCTTAGCTCTAGCAGACGCGCTACACAGGAAGACGTCTATCAAGCGCTAGGAAGACAGCTCGTAGACCGAGCCTGTGAGGTACCGTATTGGAACCACTTCGATGAGCGTGACCATTCTCCGTGCAGGGGTTCAACACGTGCTTGCTGGCCTACGGGGTTGTCGGTACGGGAAAGACATACACTTTACACGGGTAAGGATATTCAGAGATGGCCAAATCAGGAGTTCCCCACAGTGCACTGGGAAATCGTGAGGAGGAAGGCATCGTGCCGCGCTTCCTAAGGGACGTCTTCGAGCATTCTGATGAATTACACTTGTCTTATTACGAGCTATACAACGACAGGCTCCATGATCTGCTTCGACCATCGTAAGCACCCATACCGAGAATTCGGGTTCATCTAGAGTGAATCTTCCTCTTCATTGCCTCTCAGAGAACAACATGAAGAACTATTGGTACATCACCATCCCAAGATCGGCGTAGGGTGGACGTCTTGGTAGCTGTGGACCTCTTGGAGGTCTTCAGGTCTATATAGAGAACTTGACCGAGAATGCCTGCAACAGTCCTCAGAGCGCCATGGACCTCCTTAAGTTCGGTCATAAGATGCGCTCAGCCTCCAATACCAACCTCAATTCCCATGGATCCCGGTACGTCCTTGAAGATGAGCACGAGAACTCCCCTCTTCAGATCACACACTATATTACGATTGCGGTTCGAAATTGAGGGGAGAATGACCACAGCCCTCTTCGTAGACTTGGCCGGGCTGGAAGATTCAAAACATAGCGAGATTGGCGTCCACAAGTGAGCACTCTTGTCTAGTTGACGAGCTCACACTCCGGCCGCAGGCTAAAGGAGCTATCCTTCGTGAACAAGTCCCTGTTCGAGTTAGCTAACTGCATCCATTCGCTCTCAACAAATCATCACCACACCAGCCAGCCGGTGCCCTTCAGGAACAGCAAGCTCACCCTTCTACTCTCGGGTGTGATCCATGGCCCCCCGTGAGTGCCATAGTCCTCTCATTAGACTGCCTTATGGGCAACTGTAAAACCCATATGCTCGCCACGATATCTCCAGCCGCCGTAGCCTATCACAGTACGGTCTCTACTCTGAGGTGAGGCCCATGGGCTCATCTCGAGTGGCCGATATCGACGGTGATGGCAGATTCGCGTCTACAGTGAAGGGCATCAAGTGCAAGTGCACTCCAGTGACGAAGGGAAACCGTAACGAATGCCTTATCAAGCTCGCGGTAGACTGCATAGGAACTTTAATGTGAGCTGACGCTGCCTCTAGGAAGAAGTAGCTGACCTCAAAAGTCAACTGGCGTGCCTCAAGGATGACCATCCAGCTGCTGGTCTGTGCATCAAGGTCCACAGTCACTCGCATCTGCCTACTCACTCAGTCGGGCTTCAGGAAGTAGAAAGGAGCATCCGTGCAGTGAGCACAGTCCGTGACAAGTACCGCCAAGAGTGGAGTGATGCCATTAAAGAGGCCAGTGTTCATAGTGACCTACGTATTGGCCTACTCAAGTGAGACTGAGTAAATCTTCCAGGGCTCATGAGAGGTCTTCTTAGACGATTGGGTTTGCCTAACGACGGTGAGGAGCCTGTCGAGCCTTCCACTGGACGTCTGTACCCATTCCTGATGGACCTCGGCGACGCTGCTTACGTTAGTGGTGGAAAGTTGCTGTACTTCCTCTCGAATCCCTGCACCACTATTGGAAGTTCTAATTCGGATACGATTACTCTCAGAGGTCCACGGACCCTCCCAATCTCGGTCGGGAATTCCCCATTTCCAGGCGCTGGAATCGAGCCCAGTATGGTCACCATTCACAGGAAGTACATCCCCAGAGACGGCGGGAGTGCTGAGGACCTCCATCTCACCGCTTCGGTCCCGCCCGACTTGCCCTCAGCGAGAGTAGGATGGCGTATTCAAACTAGCATGTCAATAAGGCTGTACTGGTGTCTTAGGTGTTGGTGAATGGGCGTCGGGTAGCCTGTGGATCGGTGTGTGAACTCCATCAAGGCGATCGCCTCCTTGTGGGCCATGCGAGAGTATTCCGAATCGTCACACCTGCCGATGGTGAGTCCGTAGAGCATCATACCAAACTACACGAAGCATCAGCAAGAGAAGCTCACAAGAAGGGGCTCCCCACACCGCTGGAGGTCAGTCTTCATACCAGACTTGCCTGGCTCAACTCATCTAGGTTGCCTTGAATGAAATCGAGGATGACGAATCAATGGAGTTCACCCGACTGAGGCCTGTTATCTGCCGGATGCTAGAAGATTCGGAAGCGGTTAGTACAGCGGGTGTTAGATCCGTAGTTGACAACGCAACCTCAGAGAGGACCGGATTGAAGGAGTCTAATTATTACAACCGAATCGACCATTAGGGTCGACGGTTTCGGATACTCATGCGGGTATCTTGGCGAGCGATGATGGCTCAAATATATAAAATGCGAGCAATACATCAATCGTCGTATACAATGTCATCATACACAACACGCCCCCCTACGGTGAGATGTCACCGTCATCGAACAAGGGGGACCAGTTCTCAGTTTCAAGGTCGAGCCATTCTTCTGGGTCACCATTAGACCAACGCACCAGAACCTCCATCAAGCCCGACTGATCAACCACCTGACCTTCATACCACTCGCCTTATGTCCTCTTCATCACAGGGCCTGGGGTTGAGAAGCTTGAAAAGGCTCCAGCGAACTCTCCAGGGCGAGTTCCGCTTCAGAGGTGAAGTATATGACATCCCGTCGTGGCCAGCGTTACGCCCTGCTGTCTTTTGATAGCAAAGGTGCTGGGGAGGCGGCTGCTACGGACAGCTTCACTGATCGTAAGCTCTATTCGCGGGTCAAACAGTTCGATGCTGACTCCAACACGAAGTCAAAAAACTTCCGCGGCCGTGCGAGCCAGTAGGCGACTCCCACGACGGCCCTAATGAGTCTACATCACTCCCTGTTTCACCTTCGTCGACCTCTTCTAAGATGGTCCGGTCTGTTCCCGCGACGGTCAATCCGCTGATCTCGCCCTCTCCTGGCAAGCCTTATCCCTGTTCTGGCTCTGGCGCCCCTGTCGACGCTCTGTGTCTCAACAGCTCTCTTCCGGGTACTCAGCAACAGTTCCCGCTATCCGAGGTTTCCTTGCATCTGCGTCTTACGCAAGGTCCTCACACTCTTCCTGTGACTGGTATCGTCGACACCGGAGCCAGTGCGTCCTATTTGGTATCGACGACCTCCTTGTCCCATCTCCCATTTGACTCGGTTTCAGCCCCGAACCCAGCAAAGGTTCAACTTGCTGATGGTCGTTGTATCCGAGTCAATGCTCTTCTCCAACTGTCGGTAGCTGTATGGGACATTTCGGTCCGAGAATGGTTCGCCGACGTCGACCATACCTTTCGTTTTCTGCCACTGCAAGTGGCTGATTCGGCCCCGTCAAGTAACGACGTTCGGCCCAAGCCCTATTGTCTCATTGGTCGGGATCTCATAGATCATTGGCAGATCCTCTGTGCAGGCATTTCTGGTGCATGGATCACCGACCGCCAAGTCTACGGCTCGCTTCAGCAGCATGCCAACAACCATATCCCTGATGTATGTGTACAGACTGTCCGTGAAGCGTCCTTGGCTGAGAGTCTCTTCTACACTACCGATAACTTGACGAAGAAGGTGGAGTCCTCGGACTTCTCGGCACTACCACTCGCACCTACCTTTGCCGGGTCTGTGACTGTGCGTCTGTCGCCTCAAGTTGAGGCAGAGTTACATACACTGTGGAGGTCTATTGCAGCTCGTGGCTGGCTGGATGTGGGTTGCTCCGGGTCCTACTGTACTCGGATTCGTCCTTTGTTTCCGGTTGAGCGCCTTGACTTTCCAGGCCAGACCTACGTGGCAGAGCTCTGGATTCCGAAGCTCAGCCTGCCGAGGATCAAAGTCAGCGATTATGCTGGAGCTATGTATCGTCGACTCACTCCTGCTCTGCAGCAGACCTACTCCGAGCTGGTCTCCGACTTTGTGACCAAAGGGTTCTGGGTTGAGGCACCGCCTACTGGGACAACCTCCTGTCCGACGCCTGTGGCGAACGTCTTCTTAGTGAGCAGTAAACCCACGCCTCAGCAGCCTTTGAAGAGCCGCTTGGTATGCGACCTTAGGCCGGTTAACTCTGCTTTACCTCCGGCTCCTCTGAATGGCGGTCCCGGCCTCTTCCATATACTGTGCGCAGTCAGGCTAGTTGCGCCTCCTGCCCTTATAACGGCTGATATCAAGTCCGCGTTCTACTCAGTGCACATCTCTGCGGAGTCCGGTACTGCATCTATTACCATGAAGACCGCAATTGGCACCTACACCAGTATCAGAGTTACATTCGGGATCGCCGCTGGTCCCTTGGCACTCCGCGGCACCCTGGGCGTTGGTGTCGCGAGCTACCGAGATAGTGACATCGCCAGTGGCTCATGGCTACACGATTACTTCGACGATTTGGTCCTTGCTGGTATGCCGGTGGCAGTGGCCCGAGACCTGTGCCATCTGCTGCATTTCCTATGTCTGGCTGGGTTCCTATCTCAGGAGAAGAAGTTGGCGGTCGCGACGGCAACTGATGACATCCAGGGTATGCGGTCGGTCTTCAAGGAACACCACGTTGATGCCACTGTGGGGAACACAGTTTCTATCTTCAACGTTGCCTTTTCTTACGTTACCAAGGCCGGTCGAACGTTGCTGACTACGGACTGTCGTCGATCTCTTCGACTTGGCCGAGCTCTCGAGTTTTTCCGCCGAGAAGCACCCCTATCTCAAAAGCTCACCAAAAAAGATTATTTCGGTGTATCTGGCTTATTATCCTTCGATTGTGCGAAGCTGCACGCTTCCGCGAGGATGTTGGCAGATGTGCTGAGGTCCATTATTGGAGGTTGTTTTGCCGACATAGGCTGGGACGTACCATGTGATCTCTCGCTATTGAGCGACGACTATAAACAGGCCTATCTTGAGGTTCTTCAGTGGGGTCGAGAGATCTGCGAACTGGAAGCTCAACCTTGCTCGCATGCTGTCACGGTCCGTCGTGATGTGTCCGAGGCTATATCGCTCGAGGTCAGCAGCGATGCTTCGTTGTTCGGTGGAGGGCTCGCCATCTATGCTGGCGGTGAGCTTGTATACGAGGATGCGGTGCGATTCTCCCGGTGCCAAACTCTTCACTCCAGCAATAGACGAGAGCTTCGTCTTTGCTTGCTGGCCCTTCGTAAAGTCGCTGAGATCTCCGAGTACTGCGCCAAATCCGCGTGCAAGAAGCGGAGGGGGGTCCCGGTGAACGTATGCTTTCGATGTGATAATCGACCAAGTTTGGCGTGGATTCGTTCTGGCTCTCTCAAGCTTCAATCCTCCAAGCTCCTCGAGAGAAGAGCTATAGTGCGACTTGTCGACTCCATCGGCTCGGAGCTTGACATTATCCGGAAGCACGGTACATTATCATTGGAGTTTATTCCGGGCTCTGCTAACGCTCACGCTGATGCGCTGAGCCGTCTTCTGGATCGTCCGGTTCAGGGCGCCAATAACCGTTGTCTCGGTGAGGTGCTGATTCCCCGCAAGGGGGGCGAGGTGCTGGACACTCGGGAGATCCTGGGGGATGAGTGCTGTGCCATTTTCGACCCGGAGAAACGAAGTGTCGAGTCGCCGTCTCCTGAGGAGATCTTCCTCTGCAACGACTTCCCCGCGAGTGCCGAAGGTTCCCAACTGTTACAGCTTGCCGCTGATTCATGCTGTTTGTTGTCCGACGATGTGGGGCTGGAATCACCACGGTGTAGCAATGGGCTCTCTCCGCTATTCCTAATTGACGACTCTTGCCGCTCCACCTCCCTCCTCTCCGGGACTTTGTGTACTGCCGACACCATCTTCTCTGTGCGGGACACTATTGGGCGTGTCAGCTCCGACGTTCGTCGTGTCGATGGAGTTCTCTCAATCGGCGATGAACCTATCATTGAGAGTATTGCGAGGGACTGCTATGATCTAGAGTCTGCACTCTGGCGTGTGCGTGTCGTGAGGCTCCTCCTACAAGCCTGGCGAGCTGTGATCGGCAGTGGGACCCCTCCGCAAGCTGACGTCGTCTTTGGGTATGCTGGTTGTTATGATCGGAGTAATTTGGCTGTCGCTGCTCGATCCGCTCAGAGGAACATGCTGACCGCAAATGATGGCAAGAATACCCGGAGTTACCTTGGGGACTGTAAACCCCAAGACGGTGGTCCCCTCCATCTACTCTCATGCAGTGACTGCCCGGAGGTCTATGTGTTCCGCAGCGGCTTGCCATCCGGTGAGGCCATCCTATCATTCTACATTCCTCGCACTGCGACCGTTCTACGGCGTCTGATTCTATTAGATGCCCACCGCCGGTCGCTCCACAGTGGTTTATCTGGTACCCTTGCTGCTGTCAATCACTTCCATCTCTCTGCAGTTGTCAGTGCGGCCCGCGATGTCATCAGTTGCTGTATCGCCTGTCGCCTGGCCTATGCTGTTCGAGGATGGCATTCCCCTCCCGGCTATGGCGATGGCGAGCTTACCGCCGAAGAGATGTCCAGGTATCCTCCTTATACCTTCGCCACTGCCGATGTGATTGCGCTTGGTGAGGGCATTAAAGCCGTCAGTGTTCAGTGCCGGTTCACGAGGCATTGTATATGGCGCGATCTACCCTCTGGTGTTGAGTCGACAGCCAATGTGGTCTCTACCCTGATTCGCATCCAGGCGATCACTGGTGGTATGAAGATTTTATGGGTCGACTGTGCATGCTACTTCCGTAGCCGCGAGTTCAGAGAGAGCTCTTGGACTAAGCTTTCTGCTGAGGTGCGGCTACTGCCTCGTCATGCTCCTTGGACCGGTAGTCATGAGCGTCACCATCGCTCTATGTTGAACTACCTCCGCAACATCACCCGCAACAGCGCTGGCCGTGTGAGGTTACTGTCTCCTACCGACCGAGAAACTCTCTATGACCGAGAGAGTTCAGTCTTCATACCAGACTTGCCTGGCTCAACTCATCTAGGTTGCCTTGAATGAAATCGAGGATGACGAATCAATGGAGTTCACCCGACTGAGGCCTGTTATCTGCCGGATGCTAGAAGATTCGGAAGCGGTTAGTACAGCGGGGCAATCACTGAAGCCGAGTTCAATTCTACTCAGGACCAAGCTCAACTATTCCTTCGGCAACTGCATCCGGCGTGCTCTCTCATTGACGAGGCGAATAGGCTAACACGTGAGATTCGTCCGCAGGTGGGGCTCTGCTCGCCATCTAGCTATACCATCACCTGGCCATGCAGGATAACCTTGCTTTCGAACTTGCAGTCATGCAGACCGCCGTTCCTGAGAGTGTGCAGTACTGTGGAACGAACGGAGAGAGTCCAGTTCGGAGCAGCCGTAGCAGCCCGATACGTCGATCGGCCCCTTTCTCGCCCAAGTCCGCACACTCGGCTGCCGAGTCTCCTCGGAAGGGTGGAATGCCAGTCGAAGAGCCTGTCTTGCCGATGACGCTGGTCGTACGTCTCATTCAAAGACCACCGCCTAAGATCGGAACTGAGGTCAGCTCTGGCGGTACTGAGGATATTCCAAGGGACCTCGCAGGACATGGTCAAGTGGCGTAAGGCCGTCAACGACGTAGTCGAGAAGATCCGTGCGAGGAAACGTCTCGAACCTCACGCCGTCAGCCCAACTCTGAGCACCAGTGTCCATGGCCTGAGTCAAGAAGTAGCGCCGTCTCTTGAGGCTGGGGTATCGTGCAGTGTTATGTTAGGTTGCGGACCTACTGGGCATTTCACCATCGAGAGATGCTGAGCCTCTACACAACGCCCTCTCTGATGGAAGTGGACACATCAAAGCTGGTGCGGCACTGCCCAGTACGCATGACAGAGTCTCTTCCTGATTGGACGCGATGTGCCTCAGCTGCTCCTACGGAGATATCCGTCTGGTCTTTCGCGAAGTTTGAGCAGCGACTGAGCCAGATAAGAGATATTCATCGTCTGACCACTGGCGATGACTGCATTGACCTCGAACACTATCTAGCTGATAATCCTGGTGAGTCTCGATGTGCAGTGTAGCATCAGTGACACTGATAATGCCACTGATTTAGCGGCTCGGTGGTAGGTGGTGACCCGTGGCGAGATTGGGGCCCACAGTCAGTTTCGGCGATGCTCTACAGAATAGCAGATCTAGAGCGCAGACTGGAACACGCTATTTCCGAGCGAGGAAGGGAAGAGCAGGTTTGTTTCTCGTTTAAGGAGGCTCGTTCTGCTCGATTAGAGTCTCACTGATACCAGATCCGTGCTTTACGCGAGCAGGTCATTGCACTGGACGCAGAGCACCTCGCGAGTAGGAAATTAGACCTTGGTGAGAGGATGCCTCTTTTTTCTGCCCTCTTACGCCATTTTCCAGAGAAGGATCTCCGAGAGATTGAGAAGATAGAGCAGATCGAGGTTAAAGCCTACGCGAGTAAATATTCAGCATGAAAGGTCACTGGCTATTGATGACTATTTCTTGTTTTAATGCGAGTTGAGTCCATGCAGTGGGTCGGTCATCTATCAAACTGTTCGACTCAACTAAGAATCATGGATCAGCACTTTCATCAAGAACTTTCGTTGCTCAGGCAAAATATTTTGATGTGTTAAGTAAGAATTCGTGACGTAGCTGGTGAGAATGGTATCTTAACGCAATCCGTGGTGACCTATCCGTCCGGCCGATCGGATCGATCGGCAATAACTCAGTGAGAGCTGTGCTCTAGATTCGTCCAATTCGACCATGATAGGAGACGGATAACATTACTCAACTCCAGGACGTATATGCAGAAACATTAGACATGATAGTTGAAGTGCGGTTGTCATTTAACCAGCTGACCCTTTGCCGCGCAACACACTTTACACCTGCTGTGGTCCACACCAGGCTCGTCTCGAAACACAGGTGTCCAATCGACGGGGACTCGGCCATGGCGAACGAATCCTTCCGCGTCGTGAGGATACTGAGTAGAAACAGACTACTAGATTCCAAGGAACTCCATCCGGTGCAACGGCGCACCTCCTGAAAACACATCCGACAGATGCGGCAGATTCTAGTCGGCAAGAGCTTTTCCTTGGGATCATTGACGATATCGATTCCGAGCAGTTTGAGCTCGTCCTTGAAGTGCCATACGTAATCCATTCGCTGAAAGAGTCATGTTTGCTTATCATCAGCGAGGAGGACTCACCCAGCCCCTCCACTTCGTCATACCACACCATCGACACACCCTATGGCGAGACTTTTCATGGGATAACACCATACTGTAGATAGCGATTTAGTACTACAAGGGATTGATTACTATTACAGTAGCCTAGCCAGCTTGAAAACGAGTCCGCTAGGAATACACCTCTAAAAAACCCTTCTCTTAGCTACAAGTGAGACCAGTTCTGTTAGCCAGACGAATCCATGACGTGCCTTAGTACAGTCAAATTCTCAAGATGGGGTGGCTATGCCGCCACTCCATGATGTGCCTTAGTACAGTCAATTATTCAAGGTGGGGTGGCTATGCCGCCACTCCATGATGTGCCTTAGTACAGTCAATTTCTCAAGATGGGGTGGCTATGCCGCCACTCCATGATGTGCCTTAGTACAGTCAATTTCTCAAGATGGGGTGGCTATGCCGCCACTCCATGATGTGCCTTAGTACAGTCAATTTCTCAAGGTGGGGTGGCTATGCCGCCACTCCATGATGTGCCTTAGTACAGTCAATTTCTCAAGATGGGGTGGCTATGCCGCCACTCCATGATGTGCCTTAGTACAGTCAATTTCTCAAGATGGGGTGGCTATGCCGCCACTCCATGATGTGCCTTAGTACAGTCAATTTCTCAAGATGGGGTGGCTATGCCGCCACTCCATGATGTGCCTTAGTACAGTCAATTTCTCAAGGTGGGGTGGCTATGCCGCCACTCCATGATGTGCCTTAGTACAGTCAATTTCTCAAGATGGGGTGGCTATGCCGCCACTCCATGATGCGCCTTAGTACAGTCAATTTCTCAAGATGGGGTGGCTATGCCGCCACTCCATGATGTGCCTTAGTACAGTCAATTTCTCAAGATGGGGTGGCTATGCCGCCACTCCATGATGTGCCTTAGTACAGTCAATTTCTCAAGGTGGGGCGGCTATGCCACTTCATGGTATATCTTATGACAATCGATTTCGCTGCTCCAAAAACCGATTCCGTTCGGTGGCAGATATGCCATCACGGTACTGGTATATACTCCCAGTGGCAAATTGCCACTCAATACACGCCCGAGTCCCTTCTTCTAGCATAACCGCGTTGAAGCACCGGATGGCATATCTGCCCCTCGAGCGAAACCGGGTTTACTAACAGCAAAATTCATCGCCTTATCTCCTGCCCGTGAGAAATTGAATGGCTTAAGGCATATCTTAGCGGTAGGAGTGGCATACCGAGAAACTTGACAGCGAAACAGGCCTCTGAAAGCCGTAGAGATATTAGGAGCGATAAACAGGGATAACAAGAGCATATTAATGGCCGTGCTAGGCCTATCGATACAAGCAAGAATGATATGACGAAGTTGCATTATTGGGTCTCACCAGAAGACGAAGCGAACAAGATCCCTTTAACTATGCTAACAGCATGTAGTTAAAGTAACTCGACGTCTGAATGAGCAGAAACACGTACAGCATGAGTCACGAATCCGGTGGACGTACACCTGCTTGAAATAATGAATGAAAGTAGAGACAGGCGCCATTGACTGTACCTGGCAGCCGGCCTAGTGCAGCTAGACACACTCGGCATTTGGAGTGGTCTTTGAGTTGGTCTTTAGGACTTCCCCAATCAACCATAGGCGGTAGGTTCTCCAGACACGTTTCTGGATCGTCTATATTCTGCGAAGGACTCTCACCAACATCCTCCCAAATCTAGAATGGGTTACCATGACCAACACCACTCGACACTTCTGACAGATCTTCTTAGGATGGTAGTACTCGTTATCATGATATATGTTGTATCCACATTTTTTAAGGATTCCCTCAAAGTCCTCCACGGAAGACATCCCCTGAGCGGACGGCACACAGTAGAACCCGACGAGTTTAGGGACGGATACCTTGCCTCCCCGCCGCCTAGCGCCGCACCACCGACACACTTGCTCTTGGGCCATTGCATGGCTCATACTTATTGTCATGATAGGGATGTATTCAAAACAAGGGCAAGTGCTCTCATGAAGCACAACGCAGTGAGTGGAGCCCTCGCCCCCCGCGAGAGGACACCCGTTGAAAGACACGACGTTGTAAACAAGAAACACGTTATTTGTATCGTAGACTCTTGTGGGCCATAGCCCGACACACCATGCACTGTCGACGATGGTTAGAAGTGGATGAGGGAGGCGGGTCCCAGTCTACTTGCTCGGGTAGATTGCGGAGGCAGTCTCTAGGCCCGGTGAGGCGACACTGAGTGAGGATGACGATGGTGCAGCTTCTACGAATACAATGCGGCGTTGTGATTAGCACCCAGGACATACAGCATACAACGTGCTCAAAAGGACAATAATATTAGACCATAGCACTGCATGAACGCCTTCAAGTAGAATATACTCCAACGCCTAGAGCCAGATAGGTTATAGAATAACGGCCATTCCAATTGAGCTAACGAGAAAACGATACTACCCTCCTCAGTATATTAGCACAACCAATACAGATATTGTATGGATGGTACTGTGGGTCGTCTTTAGAGACATCAACTCCCAAGGCAGCGAGAGTGTGGTAGTACATGTCAACTCGAGTGCTGTGCATCAACTGAAGGCCAAGGTAATAATGATGTACTCATCGGGAAGTGTGGAATGATCCTGTGGTACTACTACCTTTCCTCGACAGCCACACCATCTACACACTCTATCTTGAGCCTCCTCGTGAGTGAAACGTCCAGAAGGCATTGACTACTACCATATCCTTCAATAGTACTGACTAAACGCAAGGTCCTTGGAAGAGGCAGCGAGAGAATTACAATGATAACACGTAATGGACATAATTTTCAGTACACCTTCACACCGTTGCTCCGAAGCCTAGCGATCTCCTCACAAACTGCGGGGTCAGCAAGACCTTCTACTGGAACCTCCAACTTTCGCAGATTCGGACATGACTTACGGATGAATCTGTAAGTTTCCGGATCCCGTCCCAGCCGAGGCGCTTGGATAGTGAAGTCTCGAAGGGATGTTAGTGCCCCACCGAGCTCCGCCAGGTCACCGACTGTAACGTCCACAGTCAACAGTTCCAGAGATGTGATAACAATCCCGCTCAGAGCCCTCATAGAAGTTCCAGATAACTCCAATAAGGTGCCACAGCCGTCGATTACTACCTCGCGCAGAGTATGATAGGTGGCAAGGTTGGCAAGCGCTTCCTCAACCCTTCCATCTGCTTCACTCCTCTGTCTGAGACTCATGTGGCATAGAACAGGAAACGCTAGCCGTATGCTGCGCAGGGTGCCACCACCCAGTAGTGGTATAATCTTGGTAGCTCGCCGCCTATCCACCTGAACACTTAGTCGCTCGAGATTCTCACATCGCTGCAATGAATCTAGAAGGGCCGTATTGCACGGTTCGGCAAAGGAGAATCGTTGTAGAGTCTCTGCCGAGCCCTCCACCGCTACAATGAGGCTGGCCGTGAAATCATCGATGGCTCTCCTACGTCTCTCGGACATAGGAAAGGTAAGGGTAGGCGCTCTACTATCCTGCAGTACCACATCCATACGTAGCGCACGCCAAGACCTCCCCTTCAACCAATTCTTGTCGCCGGGTGCACCGTGGGCGAAGCCTCGAATCTCGAGGGAATCTAATGTGCGGACCCTACCTACTAGGTCGGCTAAAAACGACCAATTCACAGGATCTGTTCCATCATACTTGAAAGTACGCAGGAGAGGGGGGAAACTAAGGCGTGTGGCAACTACTCTGTCGGGCAGCTCCGACAGCTGTAGATGGACCAGCCTAGGCATGGGCGGTAAGCCCGCTGACACTGCCGACCAGATCAGAGGGTTCGTCACTCCCTCAGAAGTGCAAGAGAGGCGCTCGACGAAAGGGGCAATGCTAGCGATGATGCGTTGAAAGTGCAGGCATGACCGCACATCTCCCGGCAAAACTACACTTGTCATAGCATGGACGACTCTAGGCAGCAAGCCTCGGGTCCGTTGGCAGAGGCACTGCAGGTTGAGGACGTCTGGCACTAGAGGTAGAAAGGACGCTATTACAGCGATAGTCTCGAGGGGCAGTGGAGCTAACAAGTCCTCACAGGGCCGAGCAAGAACTGATCGACTCGACACAGGACGAGGCTTCGGGCGAGAGTCGAAGAAGATCTCCTTCAGTGTTGCATCAAGCACGTCGAGAGATGGCTGATGATGTTGACTACTGAGTCGCTGCATCCTCTTGAAGAATGAGCCATCACCACCTGACCCGGGCTTCCTATACCTCTTACGACGAGGAGGCATCAAAAATGATAGAAAACTGAAGTCGCCACCGTACCATTGAAGAACACTGAGCTCTCGCCTTCCTACAGTCGAGCCCGCTTGGGCCTACAATTCACTACGGATATACAAAGCTAGAATATAAATTTGCCAGGAGACCATCGGAGGCTCCTCAGTGGGAGAAAGAATCTACAAGGTACACAATAGAGGATACTTATCAAAAAAATCAGCAGGAGCCGCACCCCAGAGAGATAGGCTCCTCAGAGTAGGCAATGCCTCTGCCAACTTCCACCAACCATCAGAGGGCACATCGAATCCTTCGATACATAGAAAATTCAACTTGGGTAGTTTTATAATAGCCGGGATGAGCAGGTTGACAAAACTGTCCGCATCGAAGCGAACTAGGCTGAGGGAGAGCCGACGCAGTTGAGAGCACTTTTTGAGCCAGACTGCAAAGTCGGCAACGCTATCGGCAGAAGCGCTGCATTTTAGAGTGAGAGACTCGAGACCACCCGGAATGCTATCGGCCCCCACGACTGAGTCTAGGAGGGGTCCGACGCTGGAGAGGCTCAGCTGGTGCAGCACTTTGCAGGAATTGAGAGCGTAAAGGAGAGTGTCGACATTCCCTGAAGCTTGATGATGGTAGGAAAAGGCGGATAGTGTGGCATGTGAGCGGTCGACAGCATCCACAACATCATCATACACAAGCTTATAGGTAACCGGCTGGAAGCACCATGCGTCAATATGGAGCTCTCTGAACTCCCTCATGAGCCACTTGGACCGATTGGCAGGCTTCCCAGACATACCAGCAGTCAGACGAAGCTCTACTAGGCTCGGAAAGGCCTCTATAAAGCTCGTCAGAGATGACCATGATATCAACGGCAGCGTTTGCTTGTATGTCAGCGATGTCACTTTAGAGACACTACTGGGATCGATGGGTTGATATGGTAGATCACTCAGTTCCAAAGAGCGTAGACGTGGTAGCTGCCTGCCACAGAGTGCTGTCCATACGCTCTCCGCTGGCTCCCCAGGGTATACAAGTGATACTCTCGTGATACGAGAGCAGAGGATATTCACAATAAAGTGAAGCCATCTGTTGTTGGTGGTATCAACTACCGTTAAACGAATGTCATCAACGAAACCAATCCCCTGTGAAAGGAGAGCCGCATAGGATGGGCCACTTCGAGCGATCGTTTGCCAGTCTGTGAGAGGATCGAGGCAGCTCAAGACTCCACCGACGACCTCAGCTGGCAGCATACACCACAGTGAAGGCAACTGCGATGTAGCTGATGAGTCTAATAGAGTCGATAGGGATAGTTGGGGATCCTCTGTAGGGAACAAGGCTGATAGTATCGTGGTCATTCCTAGCAATATAAACTACGAGATGTGGTTGTAGGAGTAGAGCTGTAGGTAGAAACTCAATAGCCTGAATAGTAGTATCAAACATAGATAGAGAGAAACAAGCACAATGGCAGTAATGTGACGAGATAGTGGTTAACAGATGTACTATGATGATTACAGCATGGCTCACGCCGCTGTACAATGGCGTGAAAGCCTAGTAAGGAATTGTTACAATATCATGAACAGACAACAACAGCTATTGTGATAGGAATATCCAACCTCTTGGCTGGTTAGTAGTGAACAAGCAATACTCTAAGTATACACAATCTAATAGCTTGATTCGACGCCCGCTCGTCGTTTAGTTCTCATAGGTTGCTCTTGTTGGTATTCGTCACTGCCGTGTTTGGCAGAACTAGTAACAAATAGTCGTTTCTGCTGCATAGTAGGATCTCTACTATAAGGCCGATCAAGACCCCACAGAGAGCGATGATACGGCTCCCACGAACACTCGGCTGATCGTCTCGAACATGTATCATCTGAGGCAAATCGATTCAACAAGAGAGTTCATACAACAAGAACTCCTACTCTCTGGTACATCCTCGGCATCGATAGCAACAGTGGGAGAGGCGAGGCTCAGGAAAGGCAGTCGTAAGCCCACAGTTGGGGTTAGCACAGCAGAAGTGTAGCAGACAGAGGCTCCAGTAGGTGAGGAAGAGCTTGTGGAGGAAGGGGAAGAATCATCCGAGGTTGAGCACATAATAGGTACACAGCAACTGGGTCCAAACTGAGACTGTCCAGCGTTGCTCTACCCGACAGGGCGAATCTCTCTCTCACTTGAACACTTCGTTAGGAAAGCAGAGCTAGTTCGTCTGTCGCTATATGAGCAATCGATACACACAAAAAGATGTCCGCATATGTCGGTTCGTAGGTTCCGAAATCCCCGTTGATCGAAGTGAGTCCAACTCGCTATAAAAGGGCTGAGACTCTGTACAGTGAGATGTCTCATGAGGTCACTTGTAAAGAATGTGAGATGTCCTTTGAGGCATTCAAGACTACCTCATTTACGAAATTGGCAAGGGTATCACAACGTAGGTTAGTGTGAGGCCGGTCGTCTCCCATGAGAGATCCACGAGACAAGTAATATCGTTTGAACGTCTGATGCCACCCCTTCCACGTTAGACTATAACGCAAAGGTGAGTAATGAGTACACCCCGTCGTGGTAGGACTAGTCATGGGCGCGATGTGCGTTCGACACGCTATCGTACGCCGGCACAAGAAGCAAGATTCGAATGACGGAAATGCCTGAAACGGTCACAGTAATTCAGCGGAGCGATGCATGTTTTCCGCCATTTTTGATCGTTCGGGTCGAAAAAAGGGTATGAGCTTCCATGACTTAATGTAATTACTCCTGCATAGCACGCGGCTGTGTCGACTTGTGCCTGTGATGGGAGCATCCCATGGAGTGAAGACTATGGAGGGGGTAGGAGACATGGAGCCGTTTGGGAATTTCTTCCACCAGCGAGGATGATTTCTTCTTGGATTCAAACAAAAACGGTAGAGTTGCTTGGACCTCTTGAGAATCTTATTGGCTCCGTTTCGGCCTGGCTGGTAAGAGCAGTCGTCTCGGTGGAGGGTTCATCCAGTGAGCTATTTCGGTCTTATTTCTACCCGGTGTTGAGTCTAAGTTCATGCGGAATAAACCATCACCATCTGCTTAGACTGGGCTCCTCATTATCGTATGAGGCCCCCGGTTAATTTTGGTTATAATGACAATCGTCTGCTGGACGCCACCGGGCGACCCAGGATGGACTGCTTCCAGCCTCCAGACTCGCGCCAGTCTGTGAGGGAAGGGAACCTTAGTGGTTTCGTACGACCTCCCAAGCCGACAACGAGGCCTCCTCCAATTGCTGATGAGTCACTCCCGAGGCATGTTGAGCACCAGCCTGGCTATCAACAGCTTCTGTATCCTTCTGAGGGACGTACAGGGTACTCTGAGGGCTGGGGAAGGGATGATGGGGTGACTCAACGCTACGAGGTGGAACAGAGGAGTGTGGTTAGGCCAGAGCCTATGCCTTATAGAGAGGTCCCAGTTGGCTCAGGTCAGACATGGGGGAACCAAGGGGCCGACTACTACTACTATCGAGAGGGACGGCCAGTAGAGCAACAAGAGATATATCCAACTCGGGAGCAGCTAGTTCCGCCGAGTACTCAGTACTATTATGACCCACCCCAGCCGCCACCACAATATCGACAACCACTATTCGACAACTATAGTTCAACGGGTCGGGGATACTCAGAGAGACCCCAACCGGATTACCCTCCTACGGCTTATCCACTGCCGTCCAGTGCTGGTGCCTACTCATCATCCTCTCCCCCTCCCCCTCCCCCTCCTCCACAGCAGCAGCTGCTGCCTCATTCGGACGGTGGTCATTACGGATATGCAGTTGGTAGTGACCCGATGATGCATGGTGCTGACCAACACACTCAGCTCGATTCTACTATTCCTATACGACAGAACCTCAACTCAGAGTATAGCAGTCCTATTAGGCCTGTAAGCAGTGGAGCCGCTGGGCCATCTCGCGACGGGTACGGGCTGAGGATTCCTGAAACGCGGGAAAGATACGCCTACTCACGAGCGACAGAGGAAGATCGTCCCATCCGAGAGAAGGGAGTGTTGTCACCCCCGAGCGTTCCAGCTAGATCACCCCGAGAGCTGCCGCCAGACTTCGAGCCAGAAGCGGACGTTCCGTGTCAAGCCGATCTGGACTCGGTGAGGCATAGACCGCTCATGGCTCAGACCTCTCCGCCGGCCGTTCCTGTACTGAGGAGGACGGTAAAGGATCTACCTGAGGAGGAAAAGCCTGCTAGAGGACAACTGGGACCGAGCCGACTGGAGACCATCCCAGAGAGACCACAGCCACGGGAGATGCAGAAGCAGGAAGAGGAAGAGGAGATGCCTCTTTTTGGGCTCAAGGCGCCGGTATGGCCAGAAGGGTATCATCCACCCACGAAGAAGATACCGAGTGGTACGGTAACCTGCCTTTACACATGGCCTCGTATGAAGCTTGGAAAGGCGGTCGCTCAGTGGGTGTTGGCAATTCCATCGGCAGGGTGGTAAATTCTCTGCTCAGATTCGTCGGGTTCACTCGCCAGTTGCTGCCTTGTGACGGTGACTACTCTCGCCTGCCCTCATCAGGGATGCTGTGGAAGACCCGTCCTCTCGAGCCGGTGGGTATTGCTCTTATATCACTCCAGGCTTCTGCAAACGACAAGGAGGAGGATACGTGAGCTGTCCACTGTCTTCATGGCCGTTACCATAGGCCCATGTAGGTATGTGAATTATTGGGGGCAGAAGATGGTTGTGAAGGTAGCTGTGCTGAAGGCTGAGAAGGTGGATAAGGCCTGGGTAGCTGCATTGGAGAAGTCGAGAGTAAGCACACTTGCGTCTCGGGATGCTCGATAGGGGCTTTTCAGAGTTGCCATACGATAGCCGATGAGAAAGTCCAGGAGATGGAATTGGCCATTCCGGCCCATATCGAACTTGTTCAGAAAGGCCTTTTCAAGGGACTGGACGGGTAGCATCACTCCGTGTGAAAAATTTCCTGAAGTCTTTCCTGTCCTCAGATCACAGGTGCGAGGAGACAGAACGAACTTCCCTCTTTTCAACGATTACCTTAGCCATCTCGAGCGCTACGGTCGGGGTGGGAGAATTAAAGATCCCTTCCGAGACTCCCGGCCCACTGATGATCGACATGAGCGCTATAACAATAGCATGCCCTCAGTCCTGGTGAGGTCTGATAACGCTGCGGAGACGGCGCTGTTCGAGGAACGGGCGAGGCTATGGGATGCCTTGTCGAAGTGTGATATTGACGAGACCATCACAGAGAGGTTCTCATGTGTTCTTTGCAAGAATGGTTGCCAAGGTCTCGGCCAGTTGGTGGAGCATGTGACGTCAAAGGCGCATACTAGTACGGCGGTCCTCTTCCATAGTAGGGATGCGGTCATGACCTTGCCCATCAATGGCACTAAGGATAAGGTTGTTAAGTTTGACGTGAAGGACTTGAGACACTGGATTGAGAGCGCTCCGGGAAGTGGGGAAGCGACTGTGGCGGCCGGCGGTCGAGAGGTGGTAGATGCAACAACGATGGGATAGAAGACTATGGGATTGCATTCAAATTGATGATGATGAGGTTATTGCTGAGGCCTAGTTAGCCAAATCGAGTTTCATAACAGTCTACGTCTCTGTCTGTCCTAAGCACAGGATTGCGTTCAAGTTGATGTTGTCATAGGGAGTTGCGGTATGCATGAGATCATGAGCCGTCTCCCGCGTTCGGGTGGGTCATAGCTTATGAATGTTTCGGTGGATCAGCCTTACTCAGCATCGAATCCGATCACTCCCTATGATAGGTTACAACACTCATGACAGGTATGGCTTAGATAGCCCTGATCTTAGTGTCTGAGTACAGGTTCCTCCCGACTAACAGCTTGTTACTTCCTCACAGGGACGGGACGACTTGTCGTTGGAGTACTATTTCCAGTAGAGTTAAATTCCGCCTTGCATTCTTGTACATCCTATTATCTTCGAGCACTACCTCTATTTCCAATGCCCTGTGCTGGAATCTGTTTCGCCTTTGACGCTTCCTTTCCGCTCTAACATGCGCCTTTCTGCGACTTATATTATCGCGCTCCTCGCTGCTGTGTGGCACATAGTCGAGGCTGTGGGCTTGAGGTCCCTGGCGCCACAGGAGTCCGGCCAGCCCCTGAGACGACTCGAACCGGTAAGCTGTCCTGTGGTCCATTCGAGGGATGGCATATCCTTGTCCTTGTAAGGGAAACCAGCCAGAGGACCAACAGCCAAAAGCTGTTCCCGAGACCGACCAAGTAGATCCCTCCGATGATGTGAGATGGCACCAGTTGGTGAATGGATTCGATAGTCGATTAATTGGGAATTGCTCCTTCAACAGTATCCTCTCGTTTTATGATTCGGTTCTGCTTATGGTACCGTACTTGGGGTCGTGAGTTCGAATCCCGGGTGGGGCTAGAGTACTCATAACACTGCCTATCGGGCGTGTTGATCACTAGGCATTTCGAAGGCCAAGAATATTCTATCATCACCCTTCGCGGCAATATCGTGTACTGTTCTTAGGTTGAAGTGAAGACAGACGAGGAAGGGGATGACGACATGGTCGTTATTGACTCCGGCGATGATGATGATGCTAACGGTGACTACGAAAACGGCAGTGACTTCCTTCCGTATGGTGAAGACGAAGACCTCGAATCATGAGTCACCGAGGCATATCTTGCCTTTCATGTTCGATACGTTGTTATCAAAGGTGTCATGATTGTTGCTGTGAGTATTATAATGAGACTCTAGTTGTGTAGTTGAGTCATTCAATTGGACTGCTGATACAACGGTAAAAACGGTTGAATCACATCACGATGTGAGTGGGAAACCCCGCTGTAAACGTCGATTCATGTTCATAAGTATTCCTTATGTGTTGACATGTTACAATTAGTGTTGACAAACTGCATAGTGTGGGCAGCTGTCGATCGTGAGAAGACGTATGTCGTGCTTCTATAGTTATTGGTCCCTCATATTAAAAAGTGAAGGACTTCATCATGGCTCCTGTCAGGCTCTCCTCTAATCGATGTAAGGATGGATAAGCGATTCTCTTCAGGTTCCATGTTGCATGTGTTGTTGTGTTGTGAGTCTGTCAATTGGTGATGGGTGGGAGCTTATCTCCTCGGTGTCGTTTCCCCTATCTAGCCTCATTCCCTTTTCTCGTAGGCATCTTATGGTGATTCCATACAACCTCCCAGGGACTACTTTCATGATCCTAGAGTGGGGACATATGCTCAGCGAGTGTTTATTACATTGAGGTTGGGTAATCAGTTGAGTCGTTTTGTGGTGTATTACTATCGCCTCGACCATTGCAAGCCGTCTTCGAGCGTTTCTTAGTTCCCAGCAGTCAGTGCTCGAATTTCTTGTTCCATCTCATTGTCTGCTTCTAATATGCTCAGTTATGTGTTCCTCCCTCTCAGTGAGCATGATCCTCGGCGATGGGACGCTCATTCAGAAGGGGTCCGATCGGTCACTATCAGGTGCTACAACAGCATCATTTTTCAGTCAGTAGCTTCTCATACGGGGGATGCCTCGTGTTGCTTGAAGCCTTCCCAATGAACTCGACATACTCCTCAGCCCGGTGTTGACTCACCGCTGGTGTTGTATCCTCTTTTCGTCATGCTTTGCTTAGCATTGAGGATCTTGGAGTTGGTGGGAATAAGACTAGTTGAACTCCAACTCCTAGTCGGTCCTTGATTAGTTAAGACGTCTTGCAACCGCTGGCCTTTAGGCGCATCGTACTGCAGTTAGCAAATCCATGGGTTCCAGTAAGTATATGCAAGTCCATAGAAGAGCCACTGCCGCTAACTGTTTCTCTTTTTCACTTCCTCGTGTAAGCACACATGGCTACTGTTGTTGTTGTTGTTGACAACAACAACAGCATGATGATAATGATGATCTTTCCCTTCGGATGTTGAACTTGTTGTGTCTCTCGTTTGATGCTAGTGGACGGCTCTGTCGTTGCATGCGGCTCTACAGTGCCATTGGTGGAGGCTTGTGATGATGATGCTGTCGTCAACTCTTCTCTTACTCCTGGTGGTTACTGAGACTCCGCTTCCTATCTTCGCCATGGCTCAGTCGCGATGGTTGAGTCCGCAGATCTACACCTGTCATGGCTCTTGCATGGCTGGTATGCTAGAGGAATAGGATGTTGGAGCTCACCGCCGTAGAGGTTCCCTGCTCCCTTTTTTACTTGTCGCTAATGCCTTGCCGCATTCTCTGCATCTCATTGATGGCTTTGTCCTTCTTCTCGAGAGTTGATGGGAGAACGGTAGGTTATCTCGACTCTATAGTCTCTCTCTTTGCACTCCGCAATCATTCGTCAATGTTTGTACTGATGTGATGTGGCTGCTGTAGTGAATTACGCCGTTCGATGGTCTCATGCCCGATCTCCTTCTCAGGCCTCGGGAGGAAAGTCATCGAAGGAGGTAAGCCTCTCGGCTCATTGTAGAGGTAACAGTAAGGTTGGTTGACTTATGGTTGGTCTCAGAGAGTCGCTGAACTGACTGCTGGTTGGGAAGAGGAAGAGCGGATCAGCGATCAGGAGGTATCATTCGCCTCGTTGGTGGATTCTTGGACCGGCTGAGTGTGTCTTTGTTTGCGAGGCTGCTTGGTGTTGATCGAATACTAACGTCCTGAGGCATCATTGCCAAAGGCGCACCCGTTGTTCGAGTGCCTCGTTGTTGCAGGAGGGTAAGAAGTGCTATCTAAGAGGAGACTCGTCTTATCTGGGAGTAACCTATAGCGATTCGAATGACGGCATTCTCCCATATGAGTATTATATCCTAAGAGAAGATGAGGCAAGAAAGTTGAGGTAATCACCTCCCTACTATTGCTTCTACCAGACCGTTCTTTGTACAATTTAGGCATTGCGGTGATGAGGTTATCAGAGCTATCAACCGTGGATTGAGGGAGACCCTTAGAGGCTTCGGTCGTGGTCCGGATGAGGCTAAAATCGTGGCCATGTTTACTCGTGTTAAATCCCTGAGTTAAAAGTAACAGAGCTGCCTCTCCCGCTGTGGAGCTCTACATGTATCCGTATGTACGTTGTAAGTGTAAGTGATCTGTTGTCTTAATAGATGCAATTGTTTTTGCGCTAGTTTCGGGGGGTTGAGCTTGTCGAATCCGCTGTAGCAGCTTGGTGTGACCAGTCGGTAAGCTTTGTAGCAGGCCTGTCTGTGAGATCATCTACAATAGACACAACATAGTGCCTTGACACGTTAAGACGCGTGGAAGTAGCATGAGCCTCTTACGGCTCATGGTGTCTATCACTGTTGTGATAATGCTTCCTCCTACGTTGAGTTTCCCTTCTTACTTAGCTCACCGGGTTGTTGACCCCCTGTATGTCGGTAACGTCTCCTTCGGAATGGAATGATAGTAGACACACCACGACCAACGTCCTCAGTATCGCCATCCCTCGTGTTAGCCTCGAAACCACTCCTGTGTGGTACACTGTAGCAGTATCAGGGCCAGGCAGAGTGCTGCGTTGGACGGTCCGCCGTCGGTATGCGGACTTCCATGCTCTCCACTGGGCCATCATCTCTCTGTTAGAAGGACCAGTGAGGCTACCACCCAAGCGGTACTTGCCTTGGCGAGCTCATGACCCTATTATGGTTGAGGAGAGGCGTGTGGGGTTGGAACGATACCTACGTCAAGTCTTGCTCATGCGGCGGGTATATGAAGACAACCGTGTGTGGCACTTTCTCGAGGCCTCTGCTGAGGTATCTATAATCGTACGGTATGCATGGTCGAAGGACGTGAAGTACTTGAAGCTGCTTTGCCCGCTTTCCCTAGAGGCCTCATTAGCTCCTTCGGTCGCCTCATGCCGGCCCGTCATACGAACACTGCTCGAGCATGTTGATGCTGGAGACCCCTCTGTGGCTGGGGCGGCCCTAGCTGTATTGGGCCAAGCTGTTGGCACTCGGGGTGGCAGTAGATTGATCTCTGACGAGGGTGGAGTACGAGTGCTTATGAACGCACTGGGGCGGACCTTGTCGGCTACAGCAGTAGAAGATGTGAGTCTACCAGGCTGTGATACGCGTACCAGGGCCGAGGTAGGTACTCCTCCATCTCGTACGCTCCCATCCGGAATCCATGTTTCTCTACTTCCAAGTGGATGGTGGCCTCAGCTGTATGCTGGAGAAGCTCTCAGGTAGGCGCTCTCAAAGGTCGGTCTTTTCAGTGTGGTCTGCTAGGCGGAGCGGAAGCGGCAGACATTTCCTTGTGCATGGCTCGAGCCCTGGTCATTGCGGTCGCCGCTGACCCGGACTTGGAGATCGCTTTGACCGACCGCCAGAGTTCAGGTCTGCAGCTACTTGAGGCCCTCATGGCCGAGGACGACCTGTCTACGAAATGCATAACAGGGTTGATCATTTCGGTGCTGCTCCGTCGGGGGAATGCGGTCCTTTTACCGCATCGCGACCAATTGTGGCGCACTCTTGGCGAGCAAGTGAAACGTGTTGAAGAGGTCGGTGGCACTTCAGACGAAGTGTCACTTTTTGAGACACTCGATGCGGTCCTTGATGAAACGATGGAGGCGTTCATCCGAACACTCCTCTCCGACAATGATATCATCACTGACCTCACATGCAATCTCCTTGTGGTGTACTTCCGAGGACCGCTGTTGGAGTTGCCAGTACAAGAGGAAGCTCCTTTCACGGCTTATGCTCGGAACGAGCGCTGCTGGGGGCGTCTCTTTGATACGGCAGTCGAGAGGCTGCGGTGGCTCGTGGATCACCATGGGAATGTGGCAGCTAGCGAGGCGCTGCTGGCTTGCCATGGATGGTGTGAATGCAAGAGCGTATCAGAGCAGACCTCGGAGACCCGTCTACGGTGTGTGGAATTGACCTGTAGGGGCGCCCTGGCCGAGAAGCATGAACAGCTAGCGGGTGGGTCGGCGAGGTATGGTCACCGTCCTAGGCATACTCTGTTAGACTCGTGCAAACTATGTGAAGAGACAGTGCAAGCACAGGAGGGTGACGTGAGGCGGAGGGGAACCACGAGGGAAGGCCTTGACAAGGCAGTCGTCTCCCGACTGCTTGATGCCTTTGATGCCCTCGAACGGACACAGGAGAGGCTAACGGCTTCATGGGAAACGGTATTCGCTATTATATTAGCTGCTGGGGACTGAATAGTCATCAGGCTAGTATGGCCACTGGTGACAGCCGCAGGGCCACGGATGGACTGCTTTTGACCAGAAGGAAGCTGCTAACGATGAGTCAGCGCATGCGGGAGAAGTGCGGCCGTGATTTAATCAAATTATGAGGATAGAAACTGCTTGTCAGAGATATCCACTCGTTGGCGCGCGAACAGGCTGAGGTGGCGAGTGCTCAGCGTGTAGTCGTGGATGCTGAGGATCAGCTCGGTAAACACACGTCAGTGATGGCCGATGCGAAGAGGTAGACGTTTTTCCTTCTGGCGTCCCATCAAATTCAACGCATCAGGCTCCACAAGATGGCACTGCAAGCGCTGTCTGCCTCAGCAGAGTTGGTGGCCCGCGCCAATGCCCGCTTGGCTGATATCAAAAAGTATCGTCCAGTAATACGGAGTAGGCTGGGCTATGGCGCCTTGTGCTCAGCAAACTGGCCATAGCACGGGATAGGCTTGCTGGGGTACCTGCACGGACGGCTCATTGTTTGAGAGCAACGGAGGCGGCTCAAGCGGAGCTCCACGCGGCAGAAGTCGAGGCCAGGTGGGAGGTCTTCACTGTAGCACTTCTGGAATGAACTGGCTATCATGCGTTAGACGCGTTTTACACATCACATGAAAAACACATCACGTGTTTTACGCGTTATTCACTGCTCACATGCGTTTTTTGCCAAGTGAAATGTGACATATGTTTTTCACTAGTGTTTCCCATATCACGGGCGAAACTCCATTGTATGTTCAGGAATAGAAGCTCTGAGGCTGACAACTCAGCTAACACCGCGGACAGGGTGGTTGCCGAGCTGAGCGATATCGAGGCCATACGCGTTAACATTAACGGTCTTATATATCGTGCGAATGCCGCCCAAACAGATGATGAAGTTGACGTCATCTGGGCTGAGATGCCGTCGTGGTTGACAGATGAGGGGCAGTCTAGTGAGGAGATGCACGAGGGACTGAACGCCGTTTGAGCCTCTGGTGCCCTTCTATAGGTCGTCCCACTGACTTGGGAGAACTGCGGGCCCGAGTTGAGGAATGCAGGCTAGTAGTCGATAATAGGATCCTGGCTTTACGAAAGGAAGCTGCGGTTGCCCGAGACCACGCTGAAGCTGCTAAGGTTAGTGTTTGCGACTCATCCGTGTGCTGATGGTTGAAGAGCGCGGTCACAAATTGTTCGTATCAGCCGTGGTCTGGTCAGGAGCTAGAATCCCACGCTAGAGAACAAGTGGGAGTCCTCCAGAAGCGTTGTTCTGAGCTAGAGGTGGAGTTGGCTGAGATCAGTGATGTTGGTGCCCTGGAGAAGCGGGTGAAGGAGTTGCAGGAAGCGGAGAGTAGACAACTCGCTGATGTGGACCAATGCAAAGGTGAGTGCTTGTTATGACGCTTTATCGCGACCTGCCATGTTGTCATCATCAGCGGAACGAGAGAGTAGAGCATTGGAGCTATCAGAGCAGAAGACTCGAGTGGAAGTTGCTACTAAGAGGGTTGAGGAGGCAGTCGAGGCTCTTAGGGAAGCCGAGGTCGATCGTGACTCTAAGGTGAGGCATGCGTGGCCTCCTACACCATGCAGAGCACAGCTAGGCTATTGTGGAGTCCATCCTAACTTCTTGGTGTGCTGTATTAATAACGCCAGAGTATGTATGAGTACATACTCTGCGTGGGCCAACGCTCGATGTTCCCAGAACAAGGAGTTCGAGTTTATTTTTTCTCGTTGTGGGGGTCGCCATTGGGTTTCACTCAGTCGGAAGTGCTAAGGGCAACAGCCTTGAAGACAGATGCGAGCTTGAGAGAGATAGAGTCACTCACAAGTCGCCTCGTGTGCCAAACCGTGAGGACTAAACTCGAGACCATCATGGCGGCTCAGCATGGTTGTTCAGAGGTGGGAAAACCTTCGTCAACCCTACTGTAGTTCTATGGTCTACTATTAGGTGGATGTATGTTTACGAGCAGAAGAGGAGACGAGGGATGAGGCTCTGGGCCGGATCAGCGAAGTGCAGACACATCTCGTTGAGCTCAGCAAAGTTATCAGAGCGAGTGTATCAAAACCTGATTCCGGCGCAGGGGAGCACACGACCGTTTGGAATCCGCAATGATGGTATTCATGAAATTTCCGCTGCATTTTTGTTTCATAATTTTGTAGTCTTTTTGAATACCCATGGACTGCGTTGCGTGGTGGGTGCAGCATTCCCCCAGTACTCAGTTACATGCCTTCTTTTTGCCAGAGTATTAATCTGGGAAGGTGTCCCTGATTTTAGTGCGGACCGGAAGGTTGTGATGTGGCCCAGCTGTTGGCATGATCATATCCATATACTAGTTTTCAGCGACTCGAGGAATCAGCATAGCTGATAGTCATTGGCCTGTGAAGCTCCTCAGAAGTTGTCGAGCTCACCACCATCTTCTCGGCCGTCCCAGCGATGATACGCTCTTTGAGCTGAGAGGAACTCCAAATAAATTCTCTCTCGGTGTTTCAAGGTGGAGGTTCGATCGATCGAAAATCAGGGAGAAAACATGGGCTTATTCGAGTGTCATTTTTCCCTATAGGCGTCATTTTTTAACACCATGGTAACTCTCATCTCTAGCGAAGATAACACCGAGAAACCAGGGATGGGCTCTCCTTGCGGCTGCGAGGCTAAACGCAGGAAGATGATGGTAAGTGAAGCAGTAGCGACTAGTGTTGGTCGAGCGAGTGTCGTTTAGGGTGTGCCACATCCATCGTCCTCACTGACAGCGGGCGTGGTATCGGGCCCCATGACGGATGAGGATAGGCAGGCTATCGACAGGTTTCGACACCTGGTGAGGATTCCTTCAATAAGTGGCCAAGGTGAGTCTTTGATGAGAGGAGCTCCTGACTCGTGTTGTTTCAAGGTGTTAGTAATGGGTCTTATGCTGAGTGTGCTAAGCTGTTACAGCGGTGGTTGGGAGAAATACCGGGGGTGACCAATATCAGGGCAATTGAGTGAGTCGCACTACTGTGCCTCTCGGCTTTTGGGGAGACCATCGGCGAGGAGCTCAGATACGTCCCTGGTAAGCCTGTGATCCTAGCAACGTTCCCAGGCAGTACGCCGAAGCTGAAGTCGATCCTGCTGAATGGTCATTATGATGTGAGCATACGCCCCTTTCTGTGGCTCCAGAAATACTTGGTAGGTCGTTCCTGTGTTCCGAGAACATTGGAAAGTCGATCCCTTTGATGCAGTGGTTGAGGATGGGAAGATCTATGGTCGAGGCACTCAGGATATGAAGTGTGTGTTGAGCGGGTAAGCAGCAGGAGGAAGACACTCCAGCCCTGTATTGCGGCGGAGGGGCTTCCTACAAAAGGGTCTTCTTACGTGTCTCGGGAGCAGGTGGCTAGTTGGAAGAGCACTAGCAATAGGTCTAGATGTGAGGAAGTGTATGTAGCGCTGATCAGTGTTAACAGGTATATCGAAGGTCTACGTCGCATCTTCGCCGCCCAAGGGCAGCAGCAGCACCAGAGACTACGCCGTACTATCCACATATCCCTCGTCCCTGACGAGGAAGTCGGCGGGGCCGATGGTGAGCTCTCATAGTATGTCGGTATAGCGTCTTCTTCCTGATCGCCACGATCCTCAAAAACTACCGTCCGCGATGCTTGATAGGTGCTAGTAAATTTGCTTACAGTGATGAATTCGCGAGCCTCAACATCGGCATGGTTCTCGACGAGGGATTGGCCACTCCCTCTGCTGAGAAGTACGTGGAGCTCTATTGTGACTATCATCCCATGGCCTGTAGATACACCCTTTTCTATGGAGAGCGTGCTACTAACTGGGTGACTTTCCGTTTGAAGGGCAACACTGGTCATGGGAGCCGCTTCATTGACAATACTGCTGTTGAGAAACTGGTACCACATATTTCTGTTATGGCTGGTTGCTCCGATATTATTAGTTTTTTTCCATATCAGGTGACCATATTATCGAGAATCTATGCTGTGCGCACTGAACAACGCAAGATACTCGATGACAGTTCATGCGGCCCAGCGGCGGCAGCTAAGACTCTGGGGGACGTCCTCACAGTAAATGTCACTGCACTACAGGCTGGAGTCGCCAGTAGCAGGTGAGTCTTTATAGGAATTCCCATCAAGGATATCGCTATTTTATGGTAGCACTAAGTCGGGCTTCGCTCTTAATGTTATTCCATCGGATGCTCTCATAGGCGTTGACGTCAGAGTAAGTGATGACACTCTCAAATCGACAGTTCCTGCTGCAGGTGCCACTTCATATAGATCGCACTGGGATACAGCGGATATTCGACGAGTGGTTGGGAGAATACAAGGATGAGGTTGATATTGAATTCGATGTAGGTCGATGCCCTCTTCTCTTGTGAGGGTTTCCAATACCTGGTTACCAATTTCGTGCTTGACGTCAGAACTATGCCGATCATCCTCCGCCATTGGAGCTCACTAATCCATGGTTGATGGCTTTCCGAACTGCCATTGAGCAGGAAGTCGGTGTTGAAACGGCACTCGAGGTTTTCCCCAGCGGCACTGACAGCAGGTCGACAGGGTTCATCTGGGCTTGCTTCACTCGATGGATGCCTTATGACGGCTGCATTTTCAAACTTTTGTTATCGTCTCCTATATTCCTGCTCTTGGCAGATACTTCAGGGCGAAAGGTCTGCCGTGCTTCGGCTTTTCCCCTATGCGTGATACTCCAATACTACTACACGATCATAACGAGTAAGTCGGAGAATAGATGCAGAATAGTGTGTACTGCTTATGTCAGGTTCATCAGTGAGAGGGCTCTCATTGAAGGCATTCGAGTGTACGAGAAGGTGCTCCCAGTCTTGGCCAATCTACACCCGATGAAGGACTGCCTAGATCTGCCTACTGAATGACGTTTCCCCCCGTTAGTATGCATAGTTTTTAATGGTTCTATCAATCGGTCTTTGCCTAAAAGGCGGCTACCAACCTGGTCCGCTTTTCTCATTCGACCGCCTACGTTTTGTTGTTAATGGCAAGGCAGTCAATAACGATACGGGACTGTGTGTTCTAGTTAAAAGGATATGGCCCTGACTAGTGAACGCCTTGGCATGGCCAGGGGTATGGACTCTCTCTTGAGGGCGGTAGGGAGGGCATTCTCGGAATTCAAAGTATCGTTCCACACGATTGCACGCTTTCCCGCTGTCGATGTCCTGGGCAGGCAAATACTTTATGAAGAGGCCAAAGAGCCAATGTCCAAGGCACTAATATCTGTAGCCCAGACATCGACGGCTCTCTTATTCAGTATGTTGAACCTGAGACTCTCAAGTTGAGAGTCGATCCTCGTGAGTCCACTATATACATGATGAACGCGCTCGGTTTGTTATCTAAGTGTTGGGTAGTTGGTTCGGTGAAAGATGTAAGCTATGTGTTGAGGCAGCTGGCACATAGCTAGAGGCATCGAGTAATAGCTAGCATGTTGAAGGACCGTCGACTGGTCCGCCTGTTTACCCTGCTGACAGCTGCTCTCGAGCAGCACCGATGACATCAGGTCCTGATGAGCAGGACTTGAAAATGGAATTACAAGTTGTTGAGTTCAGTTGTCAGCGATGGCTTATCTTTCTCGAACCGCCCATGTTGGCTGCGGTATTACCATGCTAGCTGTGTATATGCTGCACCTACTAAGCAATGATCTGTCGCTATACATCTCCGCGGGGCAACATAGGCCTCCCAGATAACATGGGATGAGGAGGGTTGGGTAAAATCGTGGAGGCACTCAGGTAGGGTCCCAATATGTTGCCCGTTGCAATCGCGCGCGCCCCACTTCAACCTCGGCAATAAATTGACCTATCAAACAACCAAAAGTTTACGCGCACGCTTGTAACAATTATAAGGTGCTCGACTCTCGCTCTGACCGGATTTAAAAAGTCAAATATTGATCGGAATCAGAATCTGATTATCAGATTGTGCTTAGTTGCTCAACAGTAGTGGGATGTGAGTAAGACGAGTTGAGGGGAGAGCGTGATTCATCCTCAATCGTGGATTGGCTTCTCACCCCATCAGCGTTTGGGGCGAGACATTCATGGCGTGTCATGGCCATGAGTCATGGGTATATCTGCTGACGCGGATTACACCGTTAATGGTGATGATGATATCGCATTACCCAACTACATACTATGCTTGCCAATTTAATGCATCAGTTCCAAATTAATTAGATTGATGCAGCAATCATCAATCCTGATACCTTTCATAATAATACCAGTTTCATAAGGAGCACCTTTATTTGTGTATTTCCCTTCTGTTGTACGGCCTACCCTTCACCAGTATGTTTCCGAGCTTTATTTGGTTTTTATGACGAGTTTCATGCACAGTGTGGACATTGTAAGTTACTCAACATCGCAATGCTACCGAAACACTTCTACCCGAGAGCATGAAGATCATCACTATTTGTATAGTGTATTGAGCCATGCATCAGCAGGACGTCCTCCGCCGTATCTGAAAAACTGCTTGCCTGGATCCCTCAAGACCAATATCCTCACCTGCTCCATCCATGCGCGAGACCTGTCTTAGATACAATACCAAACTTCTTGTGATGTTGTACTCGAAGACGATGCCATCTGGCGACTCCATTGTAGTCCCATCCTATCCTGTGGTATGCCTCACCTGTACTTCACCTTATCCTTGGGTAAGTCCTTCACACGTCGACGGAAGCGTCTTCGTCCACCACTCTTCGCATAGTACTCCAACGCATGACCAGCCTTGAGTACTCGTGCCATATGAGTGAGACCGACTACTGCTGGTGCTACGTGAGCTAACGTTTGGGCCACTTGTTCCTGACAATATCCGAGCATAGTCTTCGTCAATGAATCAAAACCTACCTGTGAGAATCGCGATACTGCTATTGGGTTCCGATCCTTAAGCTGACCCAGTTGAGGGTTCAACGGATACCTAGGCCGGTAGGCTCAGGACGAGAAGCCACTAGTAGAGACCTCACATGATGGGCATGGCCAGTCTCGACTGTAGTAGATTAGCCACAACACTGCATCTCGCGAAGAACGTATCTGTACACAGCAATGCCCCCTGATAGATGGAAGACCACTACGTAGTCGAGCCGGGTCGATCTTCCTTGGGAGCCCAGCCATGCAATAAAACTCCCATTAACGTTGAGGCGGATATAGTAACACAAGAAATGGGAAATAAGGATACTAGCGCTGACCATCGTTTGTCATGTCGCTTGGTGTTGCCCGTCAGCTTTACGAGGCCCTCTGTGATGGAGTCAGCCCAGGTTTGGATGAGACCGATTACCCAAGCCATTAACATCCTCTTCATCACATGCATGCAGAAAATTGAAAATGAGATTAGTTGAAATCAGAAGCGGTCCCATCCGGCCACCATCGCAACCACGTTGCATAAGCTCTGGTCAGGCCATCAGACATCTTAAGACTGTCCAGCACGCCTCCAGCCAGCTGTAGTGCCGCTATCAGCTCCTTCGGCGTCATTAAGTCCGTCTGCACATGTGCCCAATGAACCCCTCACCTTACCAAGACTCCCCTGGCTTGAAGACTACAACTGTCAAGGATTCCCATAGCTCATCTGTAGCCTCCCACTCTCTGCTCACATGGCGCTCACCTTCTGCAATGCAGGATCGCAATGCTCGTGAAGAGTTCCCGAGGATACTTCACGTAGTCGAAAATTACCAGGTGCTCGGTAGTCTAGTGACGCGGCTCGTGCCAATGACTTACTGAGAGTATTCCAGCTTCCTATGCTCTGGGATGCTGTCATCCAAATAGGACAACTGATTGGCTCCTTACAGACCTATGGATACCTCTACAATCCCTCCCATCAGGCCACCGCTAACCCATACCGCATTTTGACTCCTCAACCATCCTTGTCCTCAATCACGTCCATAAGCGTCTTAATATGAGCCGTCAGTACTTTCGCGGGTGTTCAAGTTCTCCTCCTAGTCACTCAACACAAACCTCAATAGTAGCAGAAACAACTGCATAAATCTGTACACCAGCTACACTAAAACCTCTAGGCTTGGGGTAGATAAAAAATCCGGGCACCATCGGCAGGATCAAAGGCAAACATCACATCATCAGTACCAGCAAGACCTCTCTTATCATAGTAAGACTCCCTCACTGCAGTCATGACCTTCTCACTTTCCCCTTCACGGATCATAGCGACTACACAGCCACCCCAACCAGCACCAGTGAGCCGAGCCCCGACCGCGCCCGCTTTCAAGAAGCAATTGACCAAGTCATCCAGCTCACTGCAAGAACAGTCGTAGTCACCCGAACAGGACTTGTGGCTAGCCGTTAACATGAGACCAAGATCAACTAGTGACTTACCCCCAGCAGCAAATGTGAGAACCCTGTTGGCCTCAGTGTATACATGACGGGTCCTATCTAGCAGGTGGAAGTCATCATTGAGATCCCACACTGATCGTCCGCAACGATGGTCCAAAAGACGGTCTATAACAGACTGTGGCACTACTGCCGATATCTGAGGGACAGCAAGATTGGAGGGCCTACACGGGCATACACGAGGGCCTACTTGATCACGGGTTTGGGGGCCCTTTGGTAATATACTCTCACACTTAGTTAACATTTGCAATAGGTCAGTAATACCAGCATTGTTCATGAGGTCAGCGAAGGTATAGGTACAGATATCCCTAATAAGCCTCTCCTCTAGGCCAAGGCCTATGTGGACCATATACGCCGCAATACGACACTCAAACACGCGCTTGTTGTATCTACTACTACCCATCACGTTGAGGTAATGATCAGACTGCTAACCTGAAGGGGGCAGTCTCAGCCTTAGCACTAGACACGAGGGAGTTGGCAACTATGAACTGCGAGCCTTGGGGTAGAGGAACGGGCTCAGCCTTGAGGACTGGTGTGAAGGTAATGTGGGTTGCAGAATCTCTCTTGGATAGGAGGATGGCTGCCTGGTCCATTCCACCACCAGCTGTACCGACGAATCTGTAGAGGAAGTTGAGAAAAAAATGGTACTCATAATGAGGCTATTACCTCTCACACGAAGCACACACGCTGGCCAGCTCCAATCTAGTGAGGTTATTCTCGAGACCAAAGACCCCTAGGATACTCAGAACCGCTGCCACGACCAGAGATGAGCCTACAAACAACAGTACTGAAAGGGGTTTACTTAGCTCAAAAGAGTATTACTTGACGAGACACCGGCGGCACGAGGTAGGTCACCAGTGACCACCATCTGGATGGACCTCCCAGTGGGCAAGGCCTCAGGACCAAGCCTCTCACGGAGGCCCATGTAAGCTGCCAAGATATAGTTGGTCCAATGGTGGACCTAGGAGGAGGAGGAGACCACTGACTGGACCACACAAGAAGATATGGAGAATACCGGTATGGGAGTAGTGTTCGGTAAGGCAGTGATGACCTTAGGAGTGAACTCCTCCTCATTGGTGTGCCTTAGTGATAGGAGATCAGAGGCCCCTTCTTGTGAGAGACCAGCAGCTATGACCGTATACCTAGAGAGGTGTCTCTAAGGTCCTCCTTCTACCTTCCTACTACTACTACTTTTCAATAGCACATGGTAGTACGCCGAAGCCATTATAATCTACATGTTCCCCTATTAGATTTACTCGGCCTGGAGACCTGACTACTACCTTTGGTGAGGCCCCAGGGAAATCATTGGTGTAGGCAGCCTTCACGTCGTCAACTAGAGAGGACATTGAGGGCTGATACGAGGCGTTCATACAATCTGCTGAGAGGACTTCATTATAAACGACATGGGTTGGGTACACTATAGAAGTAGTAGGTTGTAGTGGAGAGGGCACTCACAAGCAGTCCGGAGCTATATAACTATCAACACTTAATATCCCGAGTCAGGACCAACTCTGGCTTTGATCAATAGTGTATTGAGCGCCACCATAGAGGCATCATGCTAGAGAGGACAACTATATGACAGCTCACTTGATAGTCAACTTGAAATCTTGCATTTACTCAACGCTAGCCTCCGTGGAAAAAAGATCAATTCTTTCGCCCACACCACCAACTTTCTCTGTCCGGATATGTTCATTCTCGATCATTGGCCACCTCGGACTATTAACCCTACTCTAATGCACTCGTCTCGGACCACCCGTCTTAGAGGCCGTCAATATGGTGGCCTTTAATACCCTACCTAGTGAATCCTCCTGTAATCCGAAATTCCACGCCTAGGAATCTAACACGCTCTTGGTGAAGGGAGGGGGTTCGGAGGGAGAGTAGGAGACGGTGCATAAGGTAGTTCCCGTTGGACTGAGGCTAATACCGCGTAGTAGAAGGACTCATATAGTCGCCGACTCGGACGAGAAGCCTAGAGAGCTCGATGGGGGTTGGGTTGCGCATGGTTTGATGCTGCTACTAGGCAAAGGAAGACTTATTGTAGGCATTCATCTGTATAGCACCTTGAATGCCATCCGATATTTCATACTGGATGGCAGCCACGTGTGTATCATCCTTACATTATTGATGTTATAGGCTTTTGGCTATTCAGCATGCTTGCCACTATAACACTCCGTAAGGTCACCCCTCTCAGTGTACAGGGGACTCTTAGGGCTGCTGCTACTGCTAGTATGATGAACTTGACTAAGCGTTGGATCGGTAGCTTCTCGGAAGGGACGAAGGACAGTGGCCAGGCTACCATCAAGACTACTATAGTAGCAGGCACTGGAGACCCGTACATGGCCAATCCTGGTAGGGGGAGCTCAGCCCGCGGTGTGATGATACAGGAGTAGGTGCAAGGATATTCCCTGAGGCTACTAATGTCACGGGAGTGACGGGAACGGCGTTTTTAGAGTTTTGGTAAGAACGCCTACGAAGGCCGTAAAAAGCTCCCATTAGGGTTGGCAATGCTAAGCAATCTGCTATATACTACATGCAGTGTCTTGGCTTCCAGCCAGTGGCGTATTCTGGTATGGAGACGGGTAGAATGGACAAGGTGAGCCCGGCAAGGCATAGTCTGAGCATAGAAGGGGTCTGTGGTAGGCCTCCTATCTACTGCGGCAAGGGAATATCAACGTTATGCTATCGTCGCCGTTACAGAAGGATGGGGTAATGAATGACTTTTTGAATATACATGGGGATGGTATTAGGTAGGTTGCTATTGATGTAAGTGGTAGGGCTCGTAATAGTAGGGGTTAGGAATATAGCTCTCGAGTGCCCTGATGCAAAGAAGGCGCATGACTTGGCGGTATCCAAAGGGGCTAAGAGCTTCCATGAGGTGAAGACTTATAAAGATGATAATGGAGAAGTGAAGATTAGCGGTAGGGGGTAGCAGTAGATGCTGCTGATAGTCCTGATAGCGTGCCTTAGGTATTCATACGTATGGTGATGTGAAGCACCTGTTTGTGGAACGGGGAGGGTATAAGGGGAAATGTCTCATGCCAGGTTTCGTCGAGTGGCATGCAGGCTATGATGTAGAGGATGTTGGATTGAAGTAAGGCGTAATAGAGCCTGCATGGTGTCGTTATCTACTTGAAGGTATGTGGACCATATGGTTGCTAATGTTGGATGGAATGAGATGGACGTATGGGCCAAGTTCTATCGGGAGGTAAGCCGCCTTTATATTGTGGGAGTAGAGCTGTTGTTAGGTCTTCGGTATGGACCAGCTTATTAGTTTCGATGATAAGGATATCTCTACGGAGTACACAGCCCTCAAGAGCAAGGTTATGACAGTAGACACTGGCCTCGTGAAGTAATGCTAGTGCCTCCACCAGCAACAGGGGGTTGACGGTTATGGGTAGGTATCCTATAAATGAGCCGGCTAAGGGGAAGAAGAAATCACAGATTGAGGAATATCTGGAGTATAATAACGGGCCTGGGGTACAGCATCTGGCCTTGGCTACAGAGGATATCATTCATACGGTATCGGCTATGAGAGCTAGAGGGACCAGTTTCCTCAGGGTGCCTGATACGTACGTTGGGTGATTTGGATGGCGAGTGGTAGTCGATAGCAGTTACTATGAGAATCTTGAGGACCGTGTTGGACCTATTGAGGAGGATGTGGCAGTGTTGAAGGATCTGGGCATCCTCGTGGACCGTGACGACAAGGGATATCTATTGCAGATCTTTACTCGTCCTCTCACAGATAGGCCTACCTTTTTCATCGAGATCATTCAAAGTGAGAATAGTGGTAATTTCGTGGCGCGTGACAAAATTGTTCTGGTCAGGGCGTGGGGGATTCTCATTTGGTAAGGGTAACTTCAAAGCTTTGTTCGTATCGATTGAGGAAGAGCAGCGACGTCGAGGCACTCTTGTGGACTCCCCCTAATGGACAGTGAAAGACCAAATATTTCAATTACGCTGTATCACGCTTCCCCCTGTGTGCTCGGACAGAGCTATCTTCCTATAGTGTGAGAGTGACCACAGTAGGGTTTTCATGATGACAGATTTCTATCATATTATGTCGCTAGCGTTTGTGTTGGAAAAAGTGGAGGGGGAGGATCCTTATTGAGCTCACTATAATATGTCCGTACGGATGATAGGAAGTCTAGGCGATAAGGAGGCTGACCTAGACCTCAGGAAGAAGGAGGAGGCGGCTCGTCTAAAGTAGGCATAGTGGTATGGGTAATCACCACCATTGTATTAGGCATTTAAATGCGGCTAGGGACGCACAGTTACTGAGAGAACAGACCTTCGATATCATTACATGTGCATCTAAGCTGCAGGGGCTTGATGCTGGGGATGGCCCCATCACATCGATGTAGGAATAGGAGGCTGTTGGTTGGGCTGATGATATTCTAGGTACAATGGGGCACGAGATGGAGGTAAAGGGGGAATGCCTGATACCTTCCAGGACTACAATATAGTCTCCAATCTCTCCCATGGTGTTCATCATTGGGCCCATCCAGATGACCGACCGACAGGGGAAGGAGGCCGATATAGAAGGGTAGTGATCGGGTGGAGTGTGGCTGTGGTGATAGTAGGTTGCTTAGGAGGAACGTCTGATACCATCTCGGGCTGTAAAGGACTATGATATAATAAATACGCGGTATCTACATGGGCATGATAGTAAGGCGTCGAAGGAGGCTAGGTTATGGAAAGCTGTGGCAGCTGCTAAATACAGAGCGGTAGTGACAAAGAGGGGTCGTAGGGGTATTGGAGGATCTTCTAGTACGGTCTGTGATGAAGTGTTTAGTGGGGTAGTAGGGTACTAGCGTATATCTAGAGGGGGCGTGAGTCTGATCGATGTTCCTCACCATCTGTGGTGTTTATGTCGTTGGTATTAGTGCTACTTTTGTGTCTCAGAGGAACCGCTTCGACCCCGTACTCCAGCGCTATACTGACTCACGGGAGGATACCTGTAATGGTCATTCACATCCACCAGAGCATGCTACTGTTCTCCTGTTAGGCATGCTGCAGCATACGAAGGCTATGGAGGCTGAGAGGGTGGACAGGGCTTTGGCACAGCAGCCACCCTGCATGAGGTCCCTTGGAGGGTATAGTGTAGTGGCTCACTGTGGTCTGGTCTCAGGGGACGCCCCACTAACCATTGGAACCTCGTTACGCATGAGGTGAACAACCCAGGAGTATTGAAGGCGATGGATGTGGCTGCTGAGGAGAGGAAGGAGAGGTTCAAGAACCGCTACATTATGGAGGGCAATTGGCATGTAAAGGCATGTCTAGGCCGGTTGGGGTGGGCGGTAGCTTTCCTTTTTGTGAGGTCCGTGAAATCAATAGAGGAAATGTGGAGAGGAGTAGAAGGATGAATGTCATCAGCCATGATCGGTAGGCCTTGCAGTATGATGGGCTGTGGTAGTCGTCAGTCTTGAACAGATTCGCAGAGGTATACCGGAGGGGTTTCGACATCGTATCTAATGTGGATCATAGGCTCACACAGTCTAGTCTGCCTTATCCTAGGCCGGCACCTACTGTACGGCAGGCTTATAACGATACCATCTTTTCGCCACATCGCATCGCACATTAGGCATGGCAGAGAATATTGGAGTCCCCGAGTGGCAGTCGACGATCGGAGTGCAGTGGGACCTCCCTACCCAAGCGTTGGGAAGGGAAGAGGTCTCCATCCACTCGAGCAGGTGGATCGTCGTCCACGTCCAGTGTGACGAGCAAGTCTACTCGATCCTCCTCAAAAGGGAGTGCCCGTAGTAGTAGAAGGAGCATCTCATCCACCTTATCTTTGCCTAAACCCTTGTGTGAGGGATCCATAAGGTCTACTGCTTCGAAGGTATAGTGAGTATCGTGTCTCGTTGGTGCAGTAGACTTCAGGTAATACCGAAGCTGCCTCTACCAAAGCCAGCTGATGATGGTTGTGCTTCTCGCAGCGGTGTGTGAGCATGGTCATTCAGTGCTGTTCATTATGGTGTCCAGTACGGGGGCATTGTTGGGTTGATGGTAGTAGTAGTAGACTCGAGGGCTCACTGTCCTCTCTGTTAAGGATGCAAGCATCATTTATATAATGGCCGACCTTAACGATGATGATGATGATTGGGTGTATGTAAGCAGTAGGAAGGATGCCCAGTTGCCGCCTAATGCTGTACATGATGGGTTAATGGTCCACGTTAGAGAGGTAGGAGGCCGTTAGTTTTGCAGGTGAATGAGGACTGATCTGAAACTTGTGAGGTGGTTACTGTCATACTGCACCGTGACTCATAACTCTGTCGGTCAGCACCCTAGGCGGAAGCAGCACGAGGATTAGATCCATTAGTGGATAATGCTAGGGCTGTCCTAATACGTCTCTGGTGCTCGCCTAGGTGTAGAGATTCTGACGTACTACTTATCAAATACAGGGGTCTTTAGTCCTTCCGATTGGATCCTTCTTGTGGTGCTGTCCCCCATCCTGACCAACTAGCCGAGACTATGCTTATGGCTACTACCGCCATGCCTCCACTGGAGAAGGAGGAAATACGGATACCTAAGGTGGCCAGCACTTGGTCGTTGTGGCTGGACTACCTTCGATGGATCAGGCCATAGTAGCGTCGGGGAAGATATCCTCTTTACAGTTGGAGGCAGTAGCCTATGCAGCTCGGAAGTTCAGAGTGGACCGGGAGGCGCACAAGCCTGCTGGTTTTTGTCTTGGAGACGGCACGGGGTAGTTCTGGGCATCTCTGATCGTTATAATAGGGGTTAATCAGGTGTGGTAAGGGCCGAGTGATAGCGGCCTTGATGGTCCATCTATGGAACATGGGCTGCAGAAGGCTGTGTTGGATCACAGCAACACCAGACTTACTCCAGGATGCTAGGAGGGATCTACAGGATGTGGGAGCTGCTCATATACCTCTATTGGACTTCAGAAGAGTCCATAGATACAGTAGTAGCTCGGGTGGGTGTGAAGGGGCTAGTAGGGAAGGATCAAGTACAGGTACGAGCATAGAGGCGTGGAGGCGTCCGAGAGGGCGGGGACGACCACGGAAAGCCTCGGGGGAGAGGAAGGCTAAGAAGCCGAAGACTGTGATAGATGGGGAAGAGAGCATCGGCCATGATAAGACTGAAAGCTGTAGCTCTCCGAGTAGTGGTAGTGGCTGTCGGCCGCGGCGACGGGAAGGTACAGCAAAGAAAAAGAAAGGGCATGACTACAAGGATGAGGGGGAGAAGGGAGCTGCTCTCAAGAAGAAGGGAGGGGAGGGTTCTGTTACTGCGAGTGATGGACCCTTGGAGAGGATCGAGGGACTAACTGATGATGAACAGGCTAAGAAGCAGAAGCGTCGTCGTCGAGAGCCCTCGAGCCCAAGGAAAACGAAATTGAGGGGAAAGAGAAAGCGTGAGGTTAGAGAGGAGTCTGGAGCAGAGGGGGAATGGGAAGGTGATGGGATAGTGTTTGCTGCCTATGCAATCCTGGTAGCAACGTCACAGGCGAATAAGGTAGTAGCAGAGGGGCCGACAGGATGTGTATTTGGTATCCAGGCTGCGAAGAGCCGATTCGACCAGTTGCTCGAGTGGCTGCAAGGAGGCAAAGCATTTGTGGTACTCGATGAATGCCACAAGGCTAAGAACGTGAAGGTAGGAATACCACTCCACCGCCATTTCATGAGTACATCTAGGTCCCTGGGCGCAAGATTAGCTCCAGGACGGGCGATCTCATATTGGAGCTCAGCCGGAAGTTGCCTACCGCTCCCTTCTTGTATTGTAGCGCTACTGTGGCCACTGACTTGGACAATCTGGCCTACCTAGAAAGGCTGGCCCTATGGGGACCCCACACCCCATTTCAGGTCATAACTGTCGTCTCCTTTGCTCACTCCCCAACTGTTGTTGTTCAGGACTTCGACGCCTTCCATAACGTAGCTAAGTTGGGTGGTACCTCTGGTATGGAGGCATTAGCTGCTGAGATGAAGGCTCGAGGCATCATGGTGGCCCGCTGCCTTAGCTTCAAAGGCACTGCTTTCCATGTTGACAGGATACCTATCACACAGGAGCAGGTGGGAGTAGGTGGAGTGTAGAAGTGTATATTGACTTAGTCAATTTGACTATCATCGATTATTAGCGATAGTCAATAGTAACTATACACTACCATACTTTGAGGTTACGGACATGACTTAGCGTAGTCGTGGTGATGGAGATCCATTGAGACAATTCCGGTGGCACTCTAGGTGGAATACAGCTTGTTCTTGTTGTTGTTTAGAGTGCCTTGTCTGTTGAGTGAAATGCTCCTTATCGTAGGTTCAACTCTACGACCAATGCTCAGACCTCTGGCAGGATATCATATCTCTCCCTAGTGGCAGCCTCACTGGAATGGCTCTGTATGCTAACGCTCAGAGGTTCTTTAAAATACTACTTATCAGCTTTAAGGTAGTCGTCGTGGTACCCATACCTGCTCCCGCCCACTTCCTGTTGCTTGGTCAGCTCCCTACTGCAGTCAACTGGGCTAACAGGGCTCTAGCAGCAGGCAAGTCTGTGGTGTTCTCTATATGGACCACGATGGAGTCGCGGATGGAGGAGGCCCAGGATAAGGTGGATGCTGGTCTTGGAGAAAGGCTCGGTAGGTCTTTGCTGGTATTGGTCCTCTTCCTCCATGCTCGTCTTAGGTCCGCGTACTTTGCTGGAGTACACCATAAGGAAGCACCTCGAGGAGAAGGATGCTTCGCTGTGCCAATACTACCTTAGCCAAGCGGCCCAGTTGCAGCTGCCCTCGAACCCTTTGGACGAGTTGATTGATCTTATGGGCGGCCCTACTAAGGTGGCAGAGCTCACTGGAAGGTGAGGGGCCCTCAGCTCGCGTCTATGTCGATACGTTGTATAGGAGCAAGCGTCAGGAGGTGGACAAGGATGGGAAGGTGAGGCTGGTACCTCGGCAGATTAGCTACTCTGGTGACAACATCAACGTCCTTGTGAGTGATGCTCTCGCTATCAGCTTGGGTGGATCGGCGTCTTCAGGAGCAGCAGGCGTTCCAGAGAGGAGAAAAGCTGGTGGCAGTGATCAGTGAGGCTGCGAGTGCAGGAATATCCTTGCACGCAGACGCAAGGGCCGAGAGTGGATCTAGGTCTGGTCTATGATTCGTAGGCATCCTCCTCACCCACCATTCAGGCAGCGGGTGATGATAACATTGGAGTTGCCTTGGAGCGCTGAGAAGATGGTCCAACAGTTGGGTCGAGTCCACAGGACCAATCAGCTGTCTCCGCCCTCCTATGTGTTACTGGTAAAGGACGTCTCTAACGAATAGCAGCCTACGAGGGATGTGTGGCAGGTTACGACTCTCCTTGGGGAACTCCGATTCGTCTCGGCTGTGGCACGACGATTAGTACGACTAGGAGCTCTGACGAGAGGGGATCGCAACATGGCCATTGGCATTGAGAGGATCACCAATATTGAAAGCCCCTCGAGTAGCCCAGAGGTGTCAGTGTGTGGCGGTTCCTCGCCATCTATTGAGTCCTGTCGCAGTGAGAGCCCAGATGGCGAAAGTGGGGACGAAAGCCAAGGTGGAGTCTCATCGAGTCACAGGCTGATGGCCATTACTTGTCGACTGCTGTAGTTACCTCTCCCTCGACATCCTCACCGTTTGGAGCCTTCGACTATAATCTCCCTGCTGTGCGTTTGGCCCTTCGGAGGATCCTCTTCCTGATGATCGCTGGCCCGGACTACAAGGGCGAGGATGGCACTTGGGTAGGTGCCCGCTAAACTGGCTCCGTTTCAACGGTCATTCCACACTCAATGGTCTGGCAGCCTTCTGAAGAAGACCTTCCAGAGGAGGTGTGGCGGAGCCCTGGTCCATGGACGTCACCACAGGACTTCCTAAAGATCATCGCAGGAGTGATGGAGAGTGCCGGTCTGACTTCCTCTAGCCAAGCACGAGCCCTTGACGTGAGTCCTCCAGTTGTCTTGGCTGTCGACTACTTTGTCGGTGTAGTCGTCTGCTGCTAGTGAGACGGTCTCGGCCTTCAACCTCTTCCTTAATCGGTGCCTTATACAGCCAGTTGAGATACAGAATGCTCTTTTGAAGTGGTTCACTTATCACTACCACTCTGAGTATGAATCTCTCAAGAAAGAGGATGACCTTCTCACTCACGGTAGATCATCTCGGAGCAGAGCTGTTTCTACCCTAACTGCGGCTCACTTTGTTTAGGCGGAAGAAATGCCGAGGTCGGCGGGCGGCCCAGCGTCGAGGTTGTCGCCTCAGAACTCCTATGTGCTGGTAACGGGCCTGAGACTCACTTGCTGACTCTCTCTAGTGACGTGGGCACGGCATGGGGCTCCGTATTTGATCGATACCTCTCCTCATGGAACTCCAATGGGACTCGAGGGCATAGCTCCTTGGCTGCAGCCCGTAGTGCTAAGAGAGGTTCGGTGGCCCTGCATGCCGCCATGGACGAGGGAGTGCCTGAAGGCTTCTATGAGTACTTCACAATTTCATCATCATTTCACTGTCCTTACTTCTCTCCAGTTACGATCCTTTACCCCCAGCCAAGTCTGGCATGGGCTTTGTGCTACGAGTGTCCACTAGCGGTCGCAGGGCTACTTTCATCCTTATAAGGCCCGACCTTCCCAATATACTACTGCGCAAGCCTCGCGATCTACTGTCGTCCCAAAGAGCTCCTCGGTTACGGTATCGAGGCTTTGGAGAAATCGACGAATGGCAGAAAGAATGGGAAACGGCTTATATCAACCGACAGTAAGGACAGTTTAGGATGATCAGCAACGGCTCTATCACGGTGATTCTTCTCAGACCCGTCTGCCAGCATATGGTCACTGGTGCTATCTTCTCCCTATGGGCACTGTTGGAGTCCCTTATGGTTGATGGTATCCCTGACCCCAAGGAGATGGCTAGGCTTACACGGAGCCTCAAGTTGAGATCGGTGGTGGCTTCTGGACGGCCTGTTGTTGGTCTTGTTCTCGATGATCCACAAGCAGCTCACAGAGCTGAAGAGCTTGCTCTAGCCCTCCGCAGCACCACTGATAAAGAGGAGGAGGAGGCCTCTGCCGAGCCCGATGATGCCCTAGAGGCTGTCTTTGGTGCGGACTCCCCATCGATTAGGGTCCCAATAGTGCACACCCCGGACTTTGACTCGAAAGAAGGGCAGGAGCTAGCCGTGAAGATGGCTGCTCATATGTGCTCCCTGGAGAGTAGCTTGATAGTTGGCAATGCAACCTTCACTACTTGGCTCGATGTGCATGCGTATGTTAGTGGCAGAAACGGTTCAGGTGTTCGAATGGTCTCCAATGATATTGATGGTATGGTGTTTGTGAGAAGATGGTTACAGAAGCTCTTCTCGAGAGGCTATGTCCATCGAGGGGATAGTGGCATCGTATTCGACCGTTTGATTCCGCCTTCTAGTAATTAGCACTTCATCCTCGTACAGCATTGCTTCCACGTCACTATTTCATCCGTACTGTTCTGCTCCTCCTCGTAGATTACCACGTTTGGACGTTTCTTATCGCCATCACCAATTGGGTTCAGCTCAGTAGCGATATGCTCTCTCTCGTAGGCTTGTTTTTAATGGTACCGGCTGTGTCCCCGAAGTCCTCCGATCCAGCAGACTCTCCTGTGAGCTCTCCATCTAAGCCTGGACGTCTTGGGCTTCTGCTGAGCTCCTACTATGCCGACAGTTCCTCTGCTGACTCTTCTGGTGATTCCCGAGACCGCAGCGTCTCGGTTGACTCGGTGTTGCCGTCTAACGAGGTGGACTACGACAGTCAAGGGGTGTCTGAGCTCACCCGTGCATATGCGAAGTTGTCTCGAGGGAGTGCCGAGCTGCAATCTGACCTCCGAATGCTCCTCTATGAGAACTGCACTAAGTTCTTAGGAGCCGCAAAGGCTGTTGAAGAGGTCAGTCGGACCACAGGGGACATTCTAGACGAGACGAATGGTGACCTTCGAGTGGCTGAGAGAGCCATCAAGCAGGCCGCTGATGTAGCTATTCAAGCTAAGAAGAGCAATGGATGCAGCTCCGTCCGAAAGCTAGTCGATACTATGACAGATCTCGACCGAGTAGGATACCTCAGCACGCCTTCGAGGTACCGTCCTGCGATGTTCAGGTACAACAGCTGGAGGCACTACGGCGCTTGCCTGATACTCTTGCGGCGCAGACAGATGACCTGACACTGGTAGCCGGCTACAAAGCGAACTGTGAGCAGACGTTGAACACCCTTGGTAAGGAGCTTAGAACTGTCCACGACCTCGAGGAGAAGTGTTTGGAGATAGTGAATGCGGCTGATGGTAGACTCCGTCATAGAATAAAGGCTGACTTTGACCTCACTACTGTCGATAGACTGGCCATGACTAAGGCTGTCTATGATGTTAGTTCTGCATCCCAGGAGTTTAGGACTATTGAGTGTATGAAGCTTCGAGAGATGCTCAAACAAGTAGCGCCGAAACAGGTGGCTACCATGTACATGCCTCGATACGTTGAAGTCCGAGATGCCCTGTATGAGCTCGATGTCCTCGAGGAGAGCTTCTGCCAAGCCGTTTTGTCCCCAGCTTTGAAACGAGTTGCTGAATCTTCGGATATGGATGCTATCACTGGTCTCCTATCCTTTGCCAGTAATCATCACGCGATAGACGAACGCTGGCGGTCATTCGCCCGGACGGCAGCTGGGAAGTGGACTGCGGCAAGGCTTGCTGAGGCACGCGAGGAGTGTGTGAAGGTCCATAGCGAGCGGCCACTGGTTCTGGTCTGTGGCACCCTCTCTACTGGCGCGGCAGAGCTTCTAGACTCCTATGGCGAGATGAGCGCAGAGGAGCTAGGCTCCCTCATGCTCGACGAGGTTTGTAACCTCTTCGAGGAAGAGTCCATACCAACGTGGAGGTCTGCCGACGATGAGCTCGAAACCATCGCTCTCATTGCGAAGATTATAAAGCAGTCAGTCGTGGACCGGCTGTCCATATCGGTATGTGCTGGTCTCGACAAGACGAAGCCTGAAGCCGCTGTAACTGGTCTCCTGGATCACCTGTGTGACGCTTATGCGACCAAGAGAGGGGTGGAAATCGCCCATCTGGAGGATAGCGAGGATCGTGCCAGGCAGCTGGCTCATGTGTCCAAGTCACTCGATGAGACATTGGCCGGCCTGGATAGCATTCAACCCATGCGAGTGCTGGGCAAGGTGCGTTGCGGGCTCTGCCTTGCTCTAATACTCATCGTGTGTGCCTAGGTCTATGAAGCCTTCTTGGATACTCTGTCCTCCTCGACTACCCCTGATGGAGTAGGCATGCAGCAAGAAATAACCAAGTTGGTGACAGCAGCTGAGAGTGTGCTAGCTAGCGATGAAGCTTTAGCTGTGGCTGCTATGGTAAGCTGCTACACTTGTCCTTGATCACCACCCAAAGTTCTTTCAGGTACAGGACCATTCGTGAGAGGAACTCTAGTAGCCTCGTAGTGGTGCTATATTCCCCGCGGTATATATTATTATCATTGTTTCTCAACCCCATTCTCTTGTGTTGCTGCCGTTGTGTTGTTGTTATCGTCAACGAGGCATCGTATCGTCCAGTGCTTTAAACTATTTCTCTCATATGTGATGATCTGCTGGGTCGAGGCTCTTGGGCTCTCCGTTATGTGCGTACCCGATATCGCGCTTAGGTGGAAATATAACCGTTCTGATAGAGCGACTAGAACACTGGAAATCTGCGTGCATTGAACCCCCGCTCTCCAGAATCCAAAAATTGTTTGGTATTTCGGTTTGTAGCGGTTGACCTCACTCAATGGCACAGCAAAGCAGTTGCTCTTGCGTGTCGTGTTATACATGGTTGCCGCGTTTTGGCCTACATCCGTTTCCAACTTCCTTTTCACCTGGGTTAGACTGGTGCCCTGTTCACCCACTCTTGCCGCAGTGTTTCTTTTATCGTCGCCTCATGGAGCTCTATCGAGTCCAGCTAGGCTCAATGCCCAAATGCTATAGTCGTTTCCTCGATTCTAACAGCGAGGACGAGGCTACTGCTCGTGGCTGCAATAACGGGCAGTCTATCGAGCTCACTGGTACATCGTCGAAGCCCCTCATGGTACCCCTCCATCACCATGGGGACTCGACATGGTTCCTCCTGAATCATGTTGCCTACACCTTAGTACCCACGGAAATGGTTTTTCGACGGGGAATGTTCGCCGGCCCGATGCCACAGAAGTTGGTGTCGCCAACAGCGGAGCAGCGCGATACTCTGCTGCGGATTTACAAAGGGACAGCCCTGAGCGGCGCGGTGCCCTCGAGCTCTTGGGTATGGCTCAGAAGATCTCTGAGGACCTATCTGATATGCTCTCCTCTTATGTGGTTTCAAGTCGTATCGATATCTTTTTGGATGGTGGATGGTTACTATAACTATGCCATCACTATTCTGCTGCTCACACTCATAGCTCGAGGGCTCCATCTCCGGTTTTTGTATCAGACTTACCGAGCTACTAAGAAGGCGGCCGATGAGTCCGAAGACGGCGTGCTATGCCGTGTCAGGTTCGATGGTGTGGTTGAGGAGGTTCTGGTGGTGGAGTTAGTACCTGGCGACATTGTGAAGCTGGAGGTCTCGCGTTCGATCCCTGCCGATTGCATTTTGCTGCGAGGCTCGGCCACCATCGAGCACTCCTTTATATCTGGCGAATCGGAAGTGTATACTCTCCTAGCGGCGAGCCCAGGATTCCCCCCAGGCCCCGAGAGTCTGCTTCTATGTGGTGGACTGCTACTCGATGCTAGTTGTGATGCCGTTTTCCTTGTCATTGCCACCGGTAATCAAACACTCCAAGGCCTCCACCTGCAGACTGCCACCTTGCGTCGTAGCAGTGCCGTTGAAATACGCTTCAAACGAGTGTTAGTAGCTTGCACTCTATTCCTGGCCGCTGCTGGGGCTTTCGCTTTCATACTAAGTTGGCTGTTCTTACAACAGGTCACTCTATACGACCGAATAATGAGGTCTATAGACGTCCTCACTGATGCTCTGCCGCCAGCCTTGCCCGTTGCATTGCTAGTTCTACATCTGTCGTGTTCTTCTAGCCTACGGCTGCCACCTGGAGTCCAGCCAGCCCAACGTGGGTTCCTCCCTCCTCTAATACTGGCCGGGCTAGTGGATGAGGTTATCTTCGATAAGACTAACACCATTACAACGGGCGAAGCCTCAGTCGTTGGTGTAGCATGTGGTGATCCGATGGGTGTGGTACGAAATCCTCACCAGTTACGCTCTATGCAGGCCGCTGAGCTCTTGCGTCGTGCATTGAGAGTTTCTCACTGCTCTGACCTCCACTTCTGTACGCCAGATCCCGTTGACAGGGCCATCCGTGAGTATGTCAACTGCTTGGGGGACGAGCCCTGTGTACACTGCCATGAGAATGAGTCGAGCCCGGCTGCAATTTCGATTGCCGACTCCCCAGCGGTGGATGATAAGTACTCCTTCGCGACATCTTCATCATACTTCTCCATCGATGAAATACATCCACCCGACGTGTCTCTTGATATGACAACACCACTAGCGCACTCTCCCTTCGACCCGTCCACACGCCTGACTGGTGTCCTCTGTGGTTCACCTAAAGGCCCTACTGCTTTGATTGTCCGTGGTGCCCCGGAGGCGGTGTTTGCCGCTAGCGACCCTTCAACAATACCCGTCAATTTTCACGAGATACTCTCGGGTTACACCAGAAGCGGCTTGCGAGTCTTGGCATATGGCTTTCGAAATAACTTTGGTGTGGAGGAGAGCAGATGGATGCTACCTGATAATCTGCGATTCCTCGGGCTGATATTCATTCATACAACCGTTCATCCCTTATCTACTGAGACGATAAGTGAACTGACCAGGGCTGGCGTAAAGTGTGTGCTCTGTACGGGCGACGCCGAGGGAACTGCTCGGGCTTCAGCCAGTGCTATCGGCCTCCTGTCGCGCACAAGCCTCGCTCTACCATTGATGCAAGATGAGACGGTGTACGCTCGAATGACTCCTTGGTCCAAGGAAGAGTTTGTTCGCTGCTGTAATGCCGATGGGCGGACTGTGATGATGTGTGGGGACGGTACGAATGACATCCCCGCCTTATGCTCGGCTGCTGTCGGACTCGTTCTCAACTCTGCATCATCTCACTCGAGGTGGAACACTACTACCGCGTTGCAGTACTTAGCTGGTGGCTGCCTAGTTGCTATTGATGCACTCAAGGGACCGTGGTTGGCTTGCGAGGTCTTGTCGCAAGGGCGATGGGCTAGTGCTGCTGCGGTTGTTATCATACGACTCGGAGTTACTTATGCGATCCTTCAGCTTTCCTGTGTTCTACTGCTCTACCGCTCTGGTGATAATCTAACTGACTCTCAGTACGCCAGGCTCGACCTTGTTTACTCTCTGCCCTCCCTCCTACTCACTGCTCTCTTCTTGAGATCAAGGTTCAGTACGCCGTTATCACACTCGCCGTCGCGGAATCCACTCGGGGTCGCAACTTGTTGTTTGACAGCACTGCATGTGCTACTGGGTATTGGCCTGCAAATTCTGCTCCTCTCCATGGTCGAGTCGGAGGCTTGGTCCACTCCGAGGAATACGCGTTCGAAACCAGTTATCGATTCTTGCCAAAGCTGGACATTATACGAAACACTCTGCCTCAACTATCTCAGTTTGGCCATCGCGTTGACATTGAGGAACTCCGTCGAGTCCTGGAGATCTGTCTCTCCTGTGACCATATTGGCTCTACTCTACACGGCTGGTTTCTTATACAAAGTCCTGCATATAATTTTAGCTGAACACGATCCACCATTACCCCTCTTCTTCAGAATCGCTCTAGTCGGCATTTATGTCGCACACGTTATACTCACCTCAACGATGGAGAAGATGAGCTTTTTATTATGCAGCAATACCAGACTATATTTGAGTAAAGATTGATTCCAAGAGTTTAATGTGAATTCGGTATCCGAGTTCAGTTTGAACTCCAATCGAGGGAGGAAAACACATAATGGCTCGGATTGAATTGTGGAGTTGATGAACACGGACGATAAGATGCGAGTGGTATAACCCCTTGCTCTCAGAACTTGACGAGGGACAGTGTTTCGTTTTGATTCAGGAATGAGACAGTCCCACAGCAGTCTAAATTTTCATCAGAGGGATGCTGTCACAACATTGCTGTGGGGTAAGTCTTCAAATGTTGTTGTGAGTGTCCTTGCACAACAAGTATCGTTCATTGCTAAACTGTTAACTCTCTCTATGTGAACAGTAACTGCGGTGCCTAATAATGGTTGACTCCTCTCGAAAAACCTCTCCATCCACTTTCATCCAAACGACAGTCAACTATCGTGGTGGCCGATTTCAAGTTTTAGCCGTGGACTTGTCTTAGCCCTTATTCTGCACCAACTGTTAACACAAGACTTCTACCAAGTCGGTGCAACTGCACGGCTCCTCTCATAGGGACAGCATGGTTATTGAGAATAACCCATTTAAAAGATGATCGTGAACATCAATTGTCACTCGACGCCGATTGAATGAATCGCACGTCTGATGACATAAAAAATGTGGTGCCCGAATGGAGCACGATATTGGATACGCGGTATCCCATGCAGGTTTCTGGTAAAAATGAGTATGGTCGTTGACCATCGAATCTCCTATCTCGATACCGCTCTAAACGGCAAACATTAGCATCTCATCATGTTGTTCATCCCTTACCTCTCAATCATGGGAAATCCGGACATCCTTCGCTTCCCGATTTCGCCGCAGTCACTCTGAGTCCTTTCTAGTCCATCTAGAATTGAGAATATCCAGTCGGATCGAAATGCCACCATCCTTACGTTTCCCGAAATCATCCACTGAAGAAGCATTTGGAGTGCCGCCACCACCACTTGACAATGGGTCAGCTCCGACGGAGGCTCTGAAAGCAATGAAAGGATGTCCATACCGTAACAGACCCACAACGAAGGCGTACGTAGCACTGGCCGAGGCAGTAGGGATTTCGTGGCGAGCTCCTCCGCTGGGAGCATCTGAGCAACAACAGTGGCGCCTGTAATGTTAAGACCCCGAGCTCACGCATGGCCCGCTGGGCATCCTTAAGAGCCGTCCAAGAGTAGTAATCCATTCCATATAGTCCCTCAGCATAGTAAGGTTGAGCCGGCTCATTCGCCGACAGCTGAAGTCAAAACTTGTACAGTCCCAGCCTTAAAGAGTGCCATGGCGATCGACTCACTCGTGCAGCTTCAGCCACAGCAGCAGCCTGCATCGCGAAGGTCCAACAAGCAGTATGCAAACCCGAATAGTGAGATAGTGCCTGTGGGACCAACAGTAATTCCAATAACGGAGAGGTGGCTAGCTCACCAGTGGTACGCCGTAGGGCGCGGCGACAAGGGCAGGGGCTGGTGCCGGATGGGACGGCCACATACCCCACATGTCCGCTTGGTCTTGCATGGCGATGGTGTGAGCAGCTTCCATCTGCTCTGCTAATATCTGCCAGATCACTCCGGAATTACTGACGGCTAATGGCGGTGACCTCTTCCTCCGTCTTGGGCGGACGTTCTTTAAGCTCCTCCTCAGTGTGGGCATAGAAGCAGCGCCCAAGAGGGCGGTAACTGAGACGGATGAATCCCATGGTCGACAACTGCACTAGAGGACTCACGTGCAATGCTCTCCATAGCGACATAGTTTAGTCTTTTGCAACCTTCTATGTCGAGTTATGGCGACATTCGAATGAGCTATCGCCCTCGGAATGTGGACTCCTGTGCCTGAGTAGTCGGTTTGGGGTAAACTGAGAGGAGTCGCTGGGACTGGTGGGTCCTGCTCGGTCATTATGAGTAGCACTAAAACTGTTAGTGATACCGTGGATAATTGACTAAGGCAACTCGAGGAGTGATAGCAGATAAGTCCATGCTGCTGCTGCTGCTGGGTCAACAGAATCACACACACAGGCCATGTTATCATGTTAAGAACATCACCGTCAAGGTGTTGCTGCTATCATCATGATAATCGTAGCTCTAGTAGCTGCAGTAATGTAACCACCAATACACGCACAGGTTGTTATTAATACACAGTCTTCTTCCTCACAGTCATCGAACGATATTACCACTACTACTACTACTACCACTACCAAACCACCTAGCATGCATACAAAGACTATCTACTACAACAACTATTGATATAAATAAGCATCATTATAAATAATCAGTGTGTCATCATAGACTAGTACTAGAAGGTGTTGCCAAAGTAGTAGCAGTAGAGGGAGGACGGAGAATAGTCGAAATTCGATAGTCATGGCAAACGATGACAATCCATATGGATGGATTCAGCTACTTCTAGTAGCATCTCTCTGTACAACGAAGAGGAGGAGGAGGATTCTAGTTCGACTTAGACCTGCTGCATGAGCATGATATACAACAATGTGGCGTCTGGGGTCTTACACGTTGGTCATGCCGATGACCCCTAGGCTTGACAGGTCTCTAGTGCCGCCAAAGACGCTTCGGGTCTCTAGCCCATCATCTAAAGAGAGAGCAGTCCTATCACTAGCCTAGAGGCTACTGCTGCCCTACGATTATTATTGCCACTCCTCGTATCGACATCAAGGCCGTCTACCGAGGGGGCCTTCGACGAGGCATCTGGGGTCTCGCCAGGACGAGCCAACCCTGGGGGCTTAGTGAGCAGGAGCGTGCTAATATAAGGAAGCAATGCGGGAACCAGCCTCCCAAACAGCTCACCTCGGGGTGTTGTTGTTGTTGATCATAGGAGGAGGAGCATTACCACCAACAGGAGGCGGGAACAGACCTTCCCCACCTGTAAGGGAATCTCCACGATTACAATGTGAGCGTATTTACCCTGCAAGCCCAGTAGGGCGAAGTCAAGTGAACCTGCTACGGGCAACCCACTAAGGCCCGGGATCAATCCCGAGTCCATAGTAGCAGCCATCACATCCGGGGCCATAAGCTGAGGACTCGGGAGCGTCGCCGCACCAGCAGCCTGAAGAAGGATCCACGAAGTAGCGACAGACGGTTGGATTTACTCTAGCAAGGTCGCCAGCAGTCGCAGCTTGGGCGAGTAGAGCTGCCCAATAGGCCGTGGCACCATACGGCCCGGGCATACCAGGGAGGCCACCACCACCACCACCCTGAGAAGCCCATCAGAGGTAACATTAGTGATCCTGCCACTGACCATAGTAGCCGCAAGTGTAGCAGCGATCTGAGGATTGCACCAGGGGTTGGTAGCCAACATAGCAGCAGCTTGTTCCTGCATGGCGATGTTACGGATAGTCTCCGCCTGCTCCGCAGCGATCTGAGTCATCAAAGCCATGTGTCGACCTGCTGTTGGCAGAAGAGCACCAACCTCCTCCTCCGTCTTGGGTGGTCGAGGTTGGACCTCTTCAATAGAATGTGCGTAGAAGCAGCGGCCTATAGCTCGGTACCTGACACCAGCAGCAATAGCATCCCCAAAGATGACGGTCACCGCCGTACGCGCAGTCCTCGCCATATTTACACAGCTTAGTCTTCTGCAACCTCTTGTGCCTGGTCACAGCTACCTCAGAATGGGCTATAGACCGGGGGATGTGTATCGTGGTGGCCTGCCCTGAGCTCGTGGGGGGGCTTCCAACGGTGTCGTCATCGATCGTGCCGCTGCTGCTGCCGCCAACAGCAGCAGTAGTAGTACTAGTCGGGGTGTCGTTAGTCATGAGAACTTGATTCCAAGATAGCGCTGTGGCCATGTTACGAACTCCCTTACATTGACGACAAAATACATAAGTTGCCAAATGGAAAGGAACAAGTCAACCACCAGAAGAGGGCCGGTGGGGAGCCCAGGTCATAACAATAACTTCGTTCTTGAGACTATGTACAGGAGGCAGCTCGAGGATCTCTGCAGAGACGAGTTCAGGTCCAGATTTGTCACTAAATGCTCTCTCAACAGCGGCATTGATGCGGTCAGAGTTGATGAAGATCTTAGAACGGCGACTTATAGCACCACGCCTGTCGTCCTCGGCAGTCTGACAAAGCGTCTCGTATTGGTCTTGAGGGATGTCCACAGTTGGTGTACGAGGGTAGCGGTAACCATTGTGAAACCACTGCTTCAGCTTGCCAAAGCAACACGTACAGGCGATCAGAGTCGTAGGTCTATGCCGGGCATTCCTCTCACATAAATCAATGGCCACATCAGAGAGGCCAGCGCAACAGTGGAGCCCCACTGCCACGTCAAAGCCGAGGGTCGAGACGTCGTATTTGGCGAGGTCGCATACCCTACCGTGGACCCGATCAGAGAGACCAAGCTCATCAGCCCTATACACAGCTTGCTTTACTGATATCTCCTTGATGTCAAGGACGGTAACGTCAGAGGAGGGGAATACATGGGCTAGGGTGAGAGCCAGATCACCACGACCACCACCAAGGTCCACTATCTTAACTCGGGGACCTTCCGGACCCGGGAATCGAACCCGAGACCTCAGCAATGATACCATGTGCTCTATTTGTGCCCTCTTCCTCCTACCATGATTAATACGTAGAGCTGCACCCTCGTAGTCGCCCCTTTTAAGGTGGTAATATAAACTGATATTCATCATTTCTGGTATGAGATGCTTCGGCAGACACTTCCACTCGATCGGCGCCCGTTCCGACTCCTCCACCCGCTTCACCGACACTCTCGTGGCCAACAGATTTTCCCCATAATCAAGAATGTGACCAACCTCAGCATCATGGGCGAGTCTATTGTGCGCTCGCCTTGCTGATCGATTCCGTTCATTCACTACCACTAGCATTTCCTCCACCGCAGTCCTCAGCTCATCACCATCCAGGTCCACCACGTGCAACAGGTCGCCCCTTGGGACCGAACTTCTCTCCTCCAACTCGTTGAGGTCAATCTTGCCAATCTTGTATTTCCTCAATTGATTCATAACATTTTTCACGTACAGCTTCTTGAAATGGCCACGACTGCTGCTGCTGCCATCAGCTGTAGCAGAAACCATAATAATAAACCACTGAAGAGTCTGCCACTGTCCTCCCCTCCTCGAGATCAATGTTATCAACACTAAGACGCTTAGGAATTGATAAGAAACCTAGATGTGGAAATAGCTGTCAATCTTGTAGAGGGTAATAGCAGGAACACTAGGAGAAGAGAAATAACGCCGCCTCCTATGTCGATGGTTTTGATAGCTACCCTCGAAATATGATATTAATACTACTATCATCAATAGTACACTGGCCTGAGTATGCGTACAACATGATTCACCCGATCGCTGACATAAATGTTTCCTGTGCCTTCATCGACCACCATACCACTCACTCTGCCCACATTCTCCGCCACCACAAAAGGCTGTCCAAAACGCAGCATAGGCGGTGAGGTCGTCGTCGAATCAGAACAGTTATGCGACTTAACATGGGGATAATCCTCAACAGTTTTAGTGACACTCAAACCCTCGTGTCCAGCTACAACAGTGCCAGCTCCATCATCATAAAACTCCTCTTGATAAGGACAGCAGACAATACGACCATTGTAGGAGTCACCCACGTAGAGGACCTTCCTCAGCGGGTCACTGACTACCGCACCAGGTCCTCTCAATTTGATGCGGCCATACTCGGAGCTCGGACCCAGTACTTCCTGTACTGACCCTACTTCACCATCACCATTAGTAGGAGTATACACGACTACCCTATCATTATCAGTATCAGCTACAGCTACCGAAGAGCCAGCACATATACATATATCCTCAGGCCATCGCAGACCTATGTCCTCACACACCGAGGTCACTGTAAACGTACGTCTGTCGACCCTCAATAGACGATGATTACCCGAATCGCAGACCCACAGAACCGTGCCTCGGTTAGACATCTGTACCGCCCTAGGCTCCGTCAGATCATGCTCATCCGAGTCGGGGTCTACCGCTGGCCCAACAACAGCATACGGCTCGACATCCCCAGGGTCCAACAGACATACATTATCCTCGTCCATAAGCGTACAGAAAACGCCCCCACCATCCTCATCATAACACAGACCTAGAGGCTTGCTTACCGTAGCATACACTATAGTGTCAGTATAGGGATGCTCCACAGAGACCGATAATATCCGATCATGAATGAGATCAGTAACCAACAGACGGCCGTTCTGTATTGCCAATTTCTGCGGCGACTCCACTACCCATGCGGATACCTCAGACGACTTAGTGAATAGAGCAGGGCCAGTTACAGCGAGTTGATAGGAAGGCCTCGCAAAAGCCCATGCCTCTACGGCAAGCTGATCTACCAGAGGATCGTCGTCTTCACATTCTAACAACGCATGTTTAGGACCCATCGATGTGAGGGAAGAAGAGCTACGGGTCGAAGACAGATCCGATGGGGAGGAGGTAAAACCTGTTGCTATAGCAAGCTTGGTCGCTGCAATGCAGACGACCAGGCGGTGACGACGTTCGGATAAAGGTAATGATATTGTCAATAGTTACTAATATTAAACTGATCGCAGTACTATACATCAACCGTAACCTGATAACACAACAACAAGAACAACAAATCAATATGAGAGACCATCGACTGACAATAAGAGATTCCCGCACTACTACTACAATGCTGGTAGTAGTGATACTCTACAATAGCACAGGATGAATCCAAACCATCGACGGACTCCAGAGTACTCCTAGTATGAAAAAGTACAGTCTGTGGCTTTCGGACAACAGTGCTGACACGGTCTGTTATTCTACTCCTCTTCCTCCTCTTCCTCACCATCCACATCAGGAGTAGCTGTGCGTTCCAAGATACCACGCTTAATACAGAGCCGACGGAATGCACGTAACATATCCACTGAAAACAATAACCATGATGGAATCTATATCTATTAAAAACTATCTTTTACAGTCGATACAACCGCATCTCACTATGAGAGACGAAGACACACTAGTAATGACGATGATGATGCTGCTGCTGCTCTACCCTGAAGCTTACCTGCATCAGGTATATCTAGTTTAACATCGGCAATGTTTGCCATGATGAGCTTAAACCCATTGACAATATCCTCTTTAGAAAGCTCCTCTCGAACCAATACACAATGGCACAGTAGATCAACTGATAACTATAATGCACACTACTACACTATAGGAAGCCCACCTGCCATCAGGCACTGGTCTCCCGTCCTTTCCATAGCCATCATCAGAATATACTTGACCACGATAGCTGCTTGCTCCGACGATACGTCCCACTCTGCTGCCAATCTACAAAACTCATCACCGTCAGCGCTGCAGAAGTACCTATAAAAACGCAACTTTAAGAGTAGTTCGAGACCCCGCCCCTCCTACTCCACGATAGCATTCCTCAACTCCTGTTTCCACTCCTTCATCCCACCCTCCTCCAACGCCGAGAATTCTACCTTGTCCTTATTAGCTGAAATAATATCAAACAACACTAACTCTATTGCACGCTCTAGGAGGGCAGGAGATCTACCCAATTCCCTACATGGACTGCCGGCCAAGTTGAACCTTCCATGTTGGTCATGGCGTTGTCGCCACACTCTTTCACTATCCAGGACGCTGATAGCATGCCTTATACAGTTGATGCCAACATCGTTACCCGTACGCAGTCTACGAGAGAGTAATAGGCGAGCAGACTGTCCCCCCCACCCTCACCTTAGACTGTTCTTTAAGAAAGCTGGAGGTAACAGCTCCTCCACTACTGCTTGTACGATCAACCCTGATAGCATATCGGGGGCTCCTGGGCAGTCTAGGGTGAAGTCCTCGAGAGAACCTAGCGATAATATCCAACGCGAAAGGACATTATAAGACAGGCACCTAGCATTCTGCCAAAGCCTAGTGAAAGATCGTCGTCAGTGAGTACTCTCTTATCCCTAAGGTCCGCCAACAACTGGATGACCTCAGCCCTTGTACGGACATCACGATCAAAAGAGAGCTGTAGGGCGGACCGTACCTAGGGGAAGATGGATATGCTCAGAATTGTCCAGAGCTAGTCCACTTACAAACTCATGATGCATGCCAGGCTTCTCCAATGCTAGTAGACTCTGGCGGACCTCTTCAGCTCCTCCTCCACCATGAGAGGCGAAGTAATCCACCAAGATTGCCTAAGTAGGAAATAATAATGCACCCGAGGCGGAGCGAAGCTACCTTGGCATGCTCTTTGAACTTTTTCAACTCGTCCAATTGCTCATATACGTCAATGAACTCTGAGGCGTCCGCATCCCGTATCTACAGCGAGCACGCAGTGCGGTAGGGACTTCCCCTCTTGACACCACCTTCCTCAAGAGGTTTTCCGGCAGCCTAGTGACAAAGTTATCAGCAACAATACCATCGCATAGAGCACAGTCGAGGAACTTCAAGATTTGCTCGGGAGCGTTGGGGACCTACTACGACGAGGAGGACTACACTTTGATGGGATGATGTAAAGAGGCGTACGTCTATGCTGAGATCCTCCCACACTTCAATGAGCTTCTCAAAGGCCCTCTGGTTCTGTGACTGAGTCACAACATGAGCAGAATAGAGGAGGGTAAGCAAGGACGATGCCAACGCTTGGAAGGACTCCTCATCTGAAACATCCAGAGCAGCTAGTCTCTAGTGATAGCTGTTCTTATTACGATCTAAGGCTATCTTGACGATACGGTACACTAACTCATCGTGATACATTGAACCTGAGCTCATCAGCAGTGATGGTGGTATCTTAGGTCCAACATGGTATGATACAGTCTAGGTCCTTAATCTCGTCAACGGCAGCCGTAGCGTCTTTAGTGGCGAAATAATCATGAAGTATACCCGATAGCTTTTTCTGGAATTCAGCCATGGACAGCCTGTAAATAAAGTAGGGGCGTTTGGAGTCAGCCTTCCCTGATTGTGATCGTACTTAGCTCCCTCTATGCTATCATGCCCAGTAGCATAGCTCGGTGCCCTCTGCCTCACACTTCTAAAGGTGGTACCACACTCATACACGTCTAGATTGTATTCCCCGTCCAAAATCTCATCATAGTTGGGGTCATTGCTAAACCGACAACATCACCATCTACCTTCAACCACTACTATAGGTTCACTTACCTGTCTAGGGCAGCAGCTCCAGGATCTTCAGAGAGCAACACCTGAAAGGAGTCTTCGCTGAGGAGGGGGTTGACTTAATGAGAAGTGATACCTTTTTGCTCCAACTGGCTTTATGAGATCCACCAGCAGTCCTAACAGCCTTAGGGGCGGGTGGCATCTCTCCAACGATTAGTTTATGACGAACAACACTTATGAAAAGTTCAAGAGGTCGCGCTCTGCAAAATTGTAGGCAAGACTAATCTTGCAATCTTACATTTCCTCAACGCACAAGCCTGGCTGTCTACGCCTAGGGATAGTCGAATGTAGGCCAGCTTTAACAGGGTGGTGATGATTTGGTTTTGAGTTCAGGACGCTCCTTGCTCCCACCACCTCGAAAGATTTACTGTCTATCAAGACTTGTACGTCCCCGGCATCAGTGTTGGGTAGTGGCGCTTGTCGCTGTCCATCTACGACTGCTATATGCTCAGGACGCCTGCTAACCAATCTCCTCTATTTTCACTAGACTTTTCTCTAGAGCTCCCTTGTGACGCTGACTCCGGTCTTCATGCTCAACATGATTTCTTAAATTCCTGTGTTCCTGTTCGCTCTATTCAAAAGAGGTTTTCGAGTTCCTATTCTCTGTTGAGTTTAGTTCGAGTGGCTTCCATCGCAATAGTGATAGTACAGAGCATGGACGGTCTCATGCTGTAGTTGCTTGTGTGTGATATGGAAGTCGACTCTCGTGAAGGATTGACCGGCGAGGCTGCTGAGGCGGACCTTCCTGCATTAGTGTCCAGCATGAAACACCGTGATTTGGTTGCTGTTGTCCAGAGTTACATCCGAAGCTGTGGAGAGAGCGATAGGTAATGCTGGTTGGTTTCAATAGTGTAGATTATGGCTCAACGGGGAAAGTTGGCGACTTTGTAGAGGAAGGTCGGGGGTTCTATTCGACGTGAGCGCTTATCAGGGTTAAGGTGGCTGAGCTTGCTGGTATACCTGTTCACGTCCCTGAAGACCTGGCCTCTGATACAGTGATGCACGCGAGTGCAGAGGAGGAGAGGGAGGCAGAGCTAGACCAATACGCCGGTGCATGCCCATCTCACTGTAGCATGTATGAGGTCAGCTCATCTCAGACAAAGGCGTGGAGGCATCTGAAGAGTCCGAGCCCGAGGTTGGTACCAATTCTGCTGTTGATTCTGACCAGGCTTCAATGATAGCTCGGGCCAAGTGGGTACCAATAAGGTAAGTGAAGCTTATCTATTCTCCTCCTCATCATCATCCTATTGTCGTTAGGCTCACTTACGACGAGAGGAAGCTACTACGGTTGGTAGAGAGTGCGATGCAGGTACTGCTACAAGCTAGTCGCTATCATTCACTAACTACCTCAGGTCGCCGATTACACTGATAAAGTAGACGTGCAGTTCCCTCCTAATGCGAGCCTAGCCCGACAAATGGCAATACGGGCGCGTCAAATGTGTGCTATTCTCAACGGCTTGGTAGTGGCTGAGGACTACAGCAAGGGGGCGGCCTTGGTGAAGAGCCGTGACTACGCTGCTTATGGGAATTTCTATCGGAAGGCTTTTGAGATTAGCAGACGATACAAACTGTTGAATCCAGAGAGGATGCGGTCCACCTATGGAAAACTCATCTACTTCCTCATGGACACTGTAGGCAACTGAGGGCGCCCCTGGTCTCATCGAGGATGCTCTAGGTTCGGCCGGACACTGTCGGGCTATTCGAGCACATAGGAGTGATAGAGCCAGTGAAGACCGTTTTCTCGACACTTCAGACTAGTCCACGAGCACTGAAGATGCTCAGTGACCCTCTGCTGGAGGTAGTGCTACTCTTGTGGATGTGCGTAGGAAGTGTATTGGCGTTTTAGGTGGCTACTAGGGAGATTTACAGTGAGGGACGTTCCAGAGGGGAGGTCCAACGTGATATCAAAGCTGTAGCAATGGGGGCAATGTTGATGATAATAGACGTCGCACTGGTGCTATAAAGGCACCTTGGGAACTTGCAATAGGAGAGGAGATTCTTGTCGTAGCCATAGTCGATTGACTGGCAAGTTGTACTTGTTGTCAGAAAGAGCATGCTATAAGAAAGCTATCACGGAAGTATTGTGCTAAAGGGACACGGACGAAGAGGAATAAGGGACACTTTGGTGGTTACTTCTCGTACATGTTCTCTAGTCGTAATGATGACGATTCGAGTAAGTAGTACCTTGACCAGGGATCGAACCTGGGTGTTACGGTTACCTTAGGTGATACAGAGGATAAGACTATGGACGATGAGGAGTCTAGCGGTGTCCAGCTCACTCAAGAGGATATCGAGCAATGCATCTATGCTCTTGGGGACCACAGTATGACCAGTCTCGAATAACACCTAGCAAGGCCTCCCTCAGGCACTTACTTACGCTTCAATCGACTACCTTGTGATAGGATGATACAGTACATGCAGCACTACTTCTCACCTGATAGGGTTGATCAGGACGTAACGGGGAAGTAATAGTGGTGGTGATGGTGGTGATGGTGCTATAGACCAAAGCTGTCGTGATCAGATATAATATATCCCTCGCTATTGAGGAGGGCATGGGAGGGTCTAGATTGACTCATTCACACGGCCGACAGTACAACTTCGTGTTACAAAGTCTTACTCTCTGGAGAGAGGTAGTGTAGTACTCACCTTCCCATGTTGAGGTTCTTGTTAGGTGATCAGCGATATGTACAGACTATGGCATCTCGCCGAGGAGGATCTGTTGGACCCTGCTAACCCCTACACCCTCCAACAGACTGGTCAGGGCCTTCATAGAGTTCAGAAGAGCCCAAAGGTACCTTCCTATCTCGCAAGTGGACTGCTTTGGAATATATGTTCGTTTTTTTCAGCTGAGTTTAGGCGTTTTTATACGAGTTTACATGCGAATTCGGGTAGAAGTGTGCGTAGACTAACGAAAATTCTATTAAATTTCCTCCCAGAATTTCCATATCGTCACCAACACATGTAGTTGACCATGTGCATATTTCCCCCCACATTGTCAATGGATTACCCAACTTCATGATACAGGTGATGAAAGCAATGCGGCAAATAGTAGGTAGAGTTCAGCGCCAACTGGGTGATCGCTGGATAGGAAGTAGGTGCCCTCGTTACCGTCCTTCCTTCACCTACCTTTTCAGGTACTATTGTCCACCTTGGTGACCATAACGTTCCCAATGCTCTTATGTTCATCGACAAATACGTTCAGGTAGCGGCTGTAGGTAGATCGATGCTGTTATCGTAATGTGTAGGTGCCGCGTATTTTGGGGCCTTTGGTACTGTGCTTGGACAAGATAGCGGAGATGAGGGATGCCCCGGGTATGTCGAACTTGGTCAACAACTTTGGCGGGGTGAGGACCGACTTTACCATGCACAGCGAGCAATTTCGTGGCGCGCGGTCATTTAGGTCGAGAATCTGCACCGAATCATCCTATCTGACTTCTTCCGACACGCCTTTGACGGCTCTGGTGGTGACAATTTCTTCGATGCTGGTAGTAACACCAGTTAGGAAACGTCTCGCCTCACTGGAGTTCTCTCAGGCAGTTGTATCGATGGTAGACTCACGAGTGCATGGAACTGGTGTTCTCAGATTGAAGATAAACCGTAAGTGAGCAGCTGAGGAGTGCCGACTCGATCTGTATTGGTACGCAGGTACTTTCCTGTATTCTTACTCACCGGGTTCACGGGCTTTGATGGTAAAGAGGGATGGTAAATACTCATACTTGTTCACTACATAGTTGAGTTGCGTACTCCAAGGATTAGTGGGACACTTTGTGTAGGCTTGTTACTTCTACCTCTCTCCTGCCCCACCCAATGGCTACTACTGAGCAGGAGCATAGGCTGCTGTGTATATCGCCTGTAGATGGCAGGTATGCTAACAAATGTAATAACGCCTATTGCCCTCTTGAAAAGTCTCCATACCCTCAGGCACTGATCTCAACCATATTTTCTCTGAGTTCGGCCTCATCCGTCAGCGCGTGCGTGTTGAGGTAGAGTGGCTCAAGCTGATGAGTGATCGATCGGAGTTCTCAGAGGTAGTAGTAGAAGTGCATTTCCATGGTGAGTTGGGCTGCCCAGGTACCGAGCCTGTCTACAGAGCAAAGAGAGAAGCTCTCAAGCATTGCCTCTGACCTTACTGTAGCTGATGGGCTCAGAGTTAAGGAGATTGAACGTAAGGATGCCCTATAGCTCACGTTTCGAATTTCTTTTCCAGGTACTACCAACCACGATGTGAAGGCGGTGGAGTATCTCATCAAAGAGAAGCTTCATTCCACCGGCGATCCGACTCTTGCCAAGCTCACTGAGTTCACCCACTTCGCCTGTATACACTTGATCCATCGTTTTATGTTGGATTACTCTTGATAGGTACCAGTGAGGACATCAATAATCTATCTTATGCTTTGATGTTTACTGAGGCCCGTGAGAAGGTGCTCCGATCGAGGTTTACTGCCCTTATCGATAAGCTCGCGGATCTATCGCAAGTAGTATTGGACTGACGAGAGAGGGTGGAAGCCTTTGCTCAGGAGTACGCCGACACTCCTCTGTTGGCTCTGACTCATGGTCAGCCGGCTACCCCAACGACGTTTGGGAAGGAGTGTGTGGTTTTCGTGTAATAAGGTCTCGTAAGTGTGCGTATTATTTCCCTTCCTATTGGTACCTGTATACAGTCACCGTCTGAAGCGGCAGTTGAGGAATCTCGATAGGGTCGAGGTGATGGGGAAGTTCAACGGTGCTACTGGTAACTACAACGCACATATCATAGCCTATCCGGACGTGGACTGGCTGGAGATATCGAAGACACTAGTAGGGTGGTGGGGCGCCAAGGCTTGCTGCGGTAGATAATCGTTGTATAGGTGGAGGAGAGACTGGGCCTAAACTGGCAGCCTGTATCTTCACAGATCGAGAGCCACGACTATGTGTCTGAGATGTGTGATACTGTGGCTAGGATGAACACCATCATTATCGACTTATGTCGCGATTTCTGGATGTGAGTAGTACTCGAGGCCAGGGCCGGTGCCATGGCAATACAAGGGTGAAGGGACTTCTCTATTACTGATCATCCCATGCACTCAACGACGTTATTGTTCTGTCTTGACACTTGTTCACTGATATTATCGATAGGTATATCATGCGTGGAGTGCTAGGCCTGCGTACTATCGCAGGCGAGGTAGGTTCCTCTACCATGCCTCACAAGGTGACTTCGATCTACCTTCCGCCCTGCATACTATATATGGTATCAGGTGAACCCCATTGACTTCGAAAATGCCGAGGGTAACTGTGGAGTAGCCATCTCGATGTTGCATCATTTCTCTACCAAGCTGCCTATCTCTCGTATGCAGAGGGATCTGACTGACAGTACCTCCTCAGCAGCTTGCGTGGTTGGCCGTGTTACTATTGTCTAGGTACCGTGCAGCGGGCTGTTGGTTCCGCTTTCGCCCACACCATCATCGCCATTGACTCCACTATCAAGGGCCTAAGCAAGGTAGGCTATAGGCTCCGAAGATCTTCTATAGGATGGTGCTTAGGTTATGGTGTCCGCACCCGTCGCCAATCGTGAACTTGAGGAGCACTGGGCGGTGACTGGAGAAGCTGTGCAAACGGTGATGAGAAGATACGGGCTCGAAAGGCCGTAGGGGTGACAGAGTTGGTAAGGGTCACGACACTGTCTGTCAGTTACGAGCGTCTGAAGGAGTTCACTCGTGGCCGTGAAATTGATGCCACTTCTATGAAGGAGTTTACTGAGAATATCGCTCGTGAGATTGGAGAAGACAGGCCTGGTGTGAAGGGTCTTGAGAACCTCACTCCCCAAACGTAAGGGAGAGTACAATTACCTTGGTTTCATCGCGACCGTGGTAGGTACATCGGTTTGGCCCCAGTCATAGCTCGTAAATATGGTACACCAGTGGCAGAGCAGAAATAGGCTCGAGTGTTGATACTCATTACGATAGTTTCGCGAGGCTGTACTACTTGTGTTATAGAGTTTGTGAAGTGGGTCTGGTCTCTGAGCAATAGTGAAGTCAGCCCCTGCTCGAAACTCTCATGACGGGGAGGTTGAGCACGTGCACGATTTGTGGCATTGCCTTACTCTGTTGAACACAGTGCAGGCGGGTTGCCACTACTTCCCGTTTTGCCCGCTAGCCTTGTTGCTATCACGATTCAGCAATCAACTGCCATACCTCACTTTGTGGGGTCTGATTACTGAGCAACTCTATTGTTACATTGACTACAGGAGTCGATAGCTGCCGCACGATTGTTTGAAGATTGTGAGGACGATGTACCAGGGGCTAGGTGTCACATTCCCATGCGAATTGCATGGTCATAGGCCTCACGGGATGAGCTAAGTCGCGAGTGACTTGAGGTCTCATCGTTTTCAATCTCTTTATCATCAGTCATCACTGATGACTCATCAGCAGTGTGGGTATGTTAGACATATACTTCGAAGGTCTTGACAAGCTATGAATGATAGCTTTTAAGTCGCGAAAATAAACCTATGAAGTTCAGGGTAGATAGAATTCTTTTAATTGCTCTTTATGGAACGATTAATTGCGGAAAATAAGGTAGCTGAATCGAGAAGTTGGGATGTGCCCTTGTGATCCAATTCTCAACGGAATCTGTCGAATAGATATATAAAGAGGAAAGATAGGGGCGGAATAGTGCAGGAGAGGACGGAAGGGAAAGCACGGGAGGGGGGAGAGTGTAGAGGGGGGGAGAGTGTAGAGGGAGGGAGAGTGCAGAGGGAGGGAGAGTGCAGAGGGAGGGAGAGTGCAGAGGGAGGGAGAGTGCAGAGGGAGGGAGAGTGCAGAGGGAGGGAGAGTGCAGAGGGAGGGGGAGTGTACGAGGAGGGAGAGTGCAGAGGGAGGGGGAGTGTACGAGGAGGGAGAGTGCAGAGGGAGGGAGAGTGCAGCGTGACGGAGTGCGGGGGGGAGGCATACCAATCGAATGGACCTTCAAATGAGCGATGTCGTTGATGCGAATGCAATCAACAATCCGCCCACCAGGTTTCCCTCCGAATGGCAACACAAACCGCCCTAATTGAAGAGAAACGTTCAATACAAATAGTGCAGGAAATCAGGCATAGCAAGATTCAAGGAATTCAACGTGGGACATGAGCCAAAGCTTCCTTTAACCTGTTTCTAATCGGGATCTCATCACTAATTGATCCTCCGACACTCAGGGAGGGACGCAAGACTTCCTCGAGTAACATACAATGAGAAATGACGAGCCAATGGACAGTAACGATATCTAAGAATCAAGGTGGGAGAATAATTCTCTTAAGCCTCACATGAAGGCAGTTTGTTGGATGATAGTAGCGAGCACTGAGCCGATCAGAATACCACAGATAAGACCAAAAGCCATCACATAACCAGCGATCTCCAACTCCTCATGCTCGTCTTGATCAACTTGTGTCGGTCCATGAATCATACACCAGGACGCGACAACACCATTAGAGCCAGCAAAGCAAGCCATGACAACAAAGCGGAACCAATCCTGGTTCAGAGGGTTCACATTCACTTCAGCACAGAGGAAGAACAAGGCAATGAAAATCAAACGACCAAAGGCTGCAAAGCGAGTGCCTCTCTTTCCCAAGCGGAGGTGGTAGCTAGGCGATGAACGACCGACTGTATCGAAGACCTGATAGCAATAGGTCATGAGTTGACCGAACAACCCAACGGATAAGTCCGAGGGCTTCATCTCGAATACAAGCCAGGGGAAAACAGTAAATGTAATGGTGAAACTGAGCCAAACATTGAAGGCTTGAGGAACTGTGTCCCAAACGACTTGGCCGAGTGGGCGCTTCATCTCTCTTTTTAATACGAACTTTTGGCGACCTTCCTCCAGCTCGAGGACAACACGCATAAGAGGATGCTTCTGCATAGCATACTTGTACATAGGGACAGTGGCGAAGTTGGCTAGCATACCAATACCATAGAAAAGCACCATTCGTGGATAAGTGTAGTCGGTGACACCACATCCCTGCAGGATTGCCTGACAGAGCATGTCCAACGGCCAGGCGATGAGACCAGAAAGACCTTCGCCGATGAGGATGAACTCAGTACAGACCGGATCGACGAGAGCAGCCAGGCCGAACATCGAGGACTCCATGAGCGAGTTGGCAAACCCAAAGATTCCGATGAGAACACAGCCAGCACCAAATCCCGCTGCCTGGTTATCCCTGGCGAAGGTGATGGCACAAACAGCAATGAGCATCATACTGATGCCCATCGTGACACAACCAGTGTAGAAGCGGGGACCAAACCTGAACCGATTGCCGATCCATATAAGCATCAGCTGACCAGCGTTGATGCAGAGTGAGTAGCACAGAGAGCACCAAGTTCCATAAGCATCTCCGAAGGCATCGATGAGGGTACCAAGCTCGCCCAGGATGAAGTTCCAGCCAAGGAGGGCAACACAGCCGATAACGCAGAACATGGCCTTCAACTTCCAGTCGACAACCTTGCTCTCGCTCTTTGTCACGTCAACTGGAACGACTCCCTCCACGGACTCAACCGTGGCCACATCATCAACTCTGTCAGCGATAGGTTGCTCAGCACCAAAACAAGTGAAGATGGTCATAGTTGGGTGACAAGGAAGGGGAACTGGAACCAATTGCAGACATGAAACCAATCCCTTGCCGATTCCATAAGCCAGCCTTGAAAACGCCATCCTCCCCTCAAGCCGCATAGCTCACTCCGATCTCCCCAACTTTGGTGACTCTCAGTTGCTGTCTTAACTTCCTAAACAAATGCCTACACAATGCTATCACGGGGATCCGCCTAAGACTCATGTAGCACGTCATTCGGCGGCTACACGGAATTTTTAGCGTAAATTCCGCATTGTGTGATCTGCTGTCCCCTTCCCTAAATGCCTGAGGGAAATGCCTCCGATGTGAGGACCCCGCTGTTTTAGTGCATTCAAGCACAAACAACAGTATTGAGGAACCATTCGTCTCGTTTAACCAGATGAATTGCACGCATACTCCCATGTACGCAACACGGCCAAACTCGATGCTTAGGAAGGTGTGATGGAGCGAAGTATCTCAATAAGCAAACAAAGACGTTAATAGAGATGCCACGGTTATATTGCACGATGTTCATGTACACTTATTGACATTTCTGTCCAACGATGTAACTATGTATGGACAAATCTACCAACGTCTGAGAATTGATAAAGAAATACAATACGTAGATTGCTTTATCCTAGGTAAGAAGGTATTGGCCTTTTTCTTACAATCGATGATGAACACAACAATAGAATTCCAAAGTTAAGTACATAAGAAAACATAGCATGACTGAGCAGCTAGCTGAACGCCAAGCTAAGGAGCAAAGATTGTGTGCGAGTGTCCCCCGAGAGCGCCCTTGTATGCATCGTATGTTAAACACATGATGCACTTGGTGGTGATGCCTATATCAATACGCTTTCATCGAGTGATGTCCATGGTTGGTATAGACTAATGTGATGATGTTCACCTGCCCGGTGTACAGTTGACCATATCAGTTGTGCCACGGTTCGGAATATGATCATGTGGATACTATATGGGATCCCGTCTCGCAAAAGGGTTTATACTGTGAGGTTGTCAATCAGTGTTGGCCAATGGCTGGACTCGGTTGCTGTGAGCTTTTACCATATTAATCTGAGCTCAAGTTATACCAAGGGTAAATTCTTGAACTATCAAGTAAATCCAAACTACCTTGCTCAATCCGTGTGGAACTAGACTGAAAGCTCCACTAAATAGAAGCGGAAATTCGACGACGACACCGGGAGTCACACAGCGAAGAAATCTCGCAGCATGAGTAAAAACCGCGTGGAGAACAACTTTCGTTTTTTCGCAACTTGTCGAATTCGAACTTTCCGAAAATTTCACTTAAAAATTTACTTGATTTATTAAGAGCTGGGACCAATTATTCCAATCAGACGTACTAGCCTTGTACGTTTTTCTCCGAGTGAAAAACTCCGAGTCACTCACTGGCAGTGTGGTAGAAAGTGGGGGTACCTGCCCACATATGTGGGCAAGGAAGTTCCAGGAAACAAGGAAGGACAACCGGGGATAAAGTGTACAAAATCAGCCGTACGTCCGCGTGAGTCGGCGGACTGGGGATTCGACTACCAGTTGTATCAATGCATTAGCCGCGCTGCATGTCACGCACAAGTTGCGCTGCTAAAAAACAGTGTCTCGCGAATACCAGTTCAGCGGATGAAAATACACTGAGTTTAGAGGCTATACAATGAAGAATACAGCTGCAACAATAGCAAGAAAGCTTGTTCAGCGTTCCAACTCGACTGTCTGACTGGGATACGACTTTGTTCATCTCCATTCCGAGTAGATTGATTGCGCATCTTATTCGGTTCGTGAGCATGCGCATGCGTTCCACCATGCGCGGCGTCACGTCACGCCTTGAATCAAGAATATTGATGGCTATTGCGAGGGATTGAAGGTGTAGCTTGCTCACAAATAGGCTGTGTAGAGGGTCCTCATGACAGCTCCAGTTTCAGCTTATCACTCATAGGTTTTCAAGCCAATGAGCGCTCCATCAAGAGAAATGGCAGAGTGCATGTACTGCCCACATAAAGCGCGGAAGGACAATTTCCGTCTCTACGATCACTTCGGTCGCCACCACCCGGGGCAGCCGGAAGCATACAAGCCCGAGAAAGGTCAAAGCTCTCTATTAGACTTCTTTGCCCCGACAGGGGGCGGTGATAGGGGCGCTCGGTCAGCCGGGGTCCCAAGCGCTCCCAGCGGACATGCTAGCTCAGAGTCATCTGGAGATAACAGTGGTATTCCGATCAGGACCATGGGGAGTAAAAGGGATCGCTGTGCCATGGAAGCTGAGGGTAGGTCAACGGCTTATATGTTTTAAGACTTATCATAGTATGATTATCATGCACGATGTATAGCGCGTCAACTACATCTCAGGCCATTTGGGAAGTTCCGAACCATCCGCTGCATCCATAGAGTGCCCAGGAGCACCACAGCAGAACCAGACAGCAGCTCCGCAGCCCGTCGCTCATGTTTTCGACGTTACGAGAGGTGGATTGGCTACACTTGTGAGGGCTCAAACCGAAAAGCTGGATGAGATCAAAGCTCTGCTTGACCAACACCTGGCTAACGACGCCCGCCACCAACGCGAACTCGACTTCCGCCACAGAATCGCTAACATCGGCCCCTATAAATTAGACGACGACTTGCGGAAGGTCCGATGCACGGTGTGCGATACCCATAAATGGTCTATCCCCAGGAATGAGCGTCCTGGCTTCTTCGATAGATTAGGCGTATTCAGTGTCGGAGATTCGATACCTTCTGCAGAAAGGCAACGTGATCTGATCGCTTCCCTCAAGGACCATCTCAAAGTACCGACTCACAATAGATGCATCAGTATTGGCGAGACGGGCAGAACGCGTACGCGACGGAGCGAGGCCCTGGCGGTGGCTCGCACTGCTTATTTCAATGTTGTCGAAGGTCACAGCCACAGAGAGTTTGAGAGATTGCTGGCCTTGCAGGCCGTGAATCAGATACTTTTGGGGGATAAAAATCATTCTCGGGTTCATTTCTTGCCGCAGTTCATTGATGCTATGGTCCACGAGCTTAGGGCAAGAATAGTTTATGCCTTCGAGTCCCCACAACGGTGCTTCAACATGAGACCAAGTCCTATGGCATCATCATGCGACAAGCTGACAACTCAGCGTCGTACTGTTCAAACCACCTGTGCTATCACCTTGGTGGGAGAGCAGTCGCCTACTTACTAGAAGCACCGATATGCACAGATAAGACCGGATCCGGTCTCACAGCTACGCTTCTGGAGTCTCTCATATCCTTCGGGTTCACGGAAGAGTTTCTTCGGGACAACCTCGTGGCTTTGGCCACGGATGGGGAGTACCATGCGCTGAAAGTTGGCACAAGATTAGCAGAGGCCATTGGCTGCGAGGATGATCAGATTTTCCATTCGTGGTGCATAGCACATCGGATTGAGCTTGCCGTCGACGATTCGCATAAGGGCGTCACTGATATGCGCAGCATCCTACATCCAGCGATGCCTTCGAGGCACGGCAATGCCTATGAGAACCTCAAGGCACAAGCTGAAGCGCTAGGACTTCCATTTGCAGTGCCCTTATCCTTTTCATCGACCAGATGGGCGTCAAGCGAGTGCCGCGTCTACCGCAACTTCATCATCAACTATCGTGCCATATGTGAGCTAGGTGAGCGAGTCCTGTAACCTCTGTGGAACCTGCAGGGGAGCTGTCTGACAGCGGTTGTCATGTGCGACAAACGCGTAATCGCAACTCACAGTGAGTTTCGATTACACGTTTGTCGCACGCATGAGTTACGCTCAATTGGCAAGTACATTCCCTCAGGTCAAGAAGATAGACTGGGTGCTCAAGTTCGCCGTCAGCCATGATACTCTCAACAAAATAGCCTCAGCATCTTGCACGGCTCAAGCTGTCAACCGTCGGCCTTGGCAGGTGCTCACATCGGTGCATCATCTCCGTGACGAACTTATTATTGCATCAGCTGAGCTGAGAGAGCTGGATGATGCAATTGTTGATTCTGGGGATCAGAGGGCTGAACATATCTGGTTTGTCGATCGGGATAAGTTCAAGATAGATTCATATCCTACCCTCGCTGGCATTGACTTCGTCGGTAGATCTTGGCAGACCGTGAAGCTCGACCCTATATCACCGTGGTTATTCAGGATAGCCATTGGGTTCTGCGTAAGCTGGAATGACCAACTGATCGCAGCGCTGGGGAAGCGCATGCTTAGGGATGCACCAGCGTGGTTGGAAGCTTGTTGTCAGTGTCTCAGCGGTGAGGCACTGTTCGGCTCTCGCGATGATATCAATCTCGAATGCTGCGATCATATGCTAGATAGGAATGGGCTCTCCCCGAATCTTCAATGCTTGAATAGTCCCGACGAACACTTCGGGGTCGTCGCAGATTTCGTTCGCAGCTTCAAGCCCGATTTGGAGTTCTCAACTGACCTTACTGGACTGCGAGCACAGTATCTAGAGCTTCGCGATCGCTTATGTGAGAAGTTTCTCCCAATGCCAGTGGGGGATGGTTTGCCCAAGATCGACATGGAGGCTGTGTGGTGCGAAGTGCATACCAACTCGCGGATATACTCGGGATGTGAAGATTGTATTTATATCATCGCTTGTTGCGCCATGAAAACTCACTGTGAAAGCGTGGTGGAGGCCCAATGCTCGGTGCTGAACAGCTGTAGCCCTCGCAGGCATCTTGGCCATTCTGGACTCTCCAAGGAAGCGTTCTTGGTTTGGAACTCCTTAGGTTTATCCTCAGAGAATGTGGATCACTTCCTCATGTCCAGTTTGGAAAGAATGCCCAAGACTTTTACTGGCTTCAGGAGGAAGGCCAATGATCCCAAGGCCAAGAACAAGAAAGTCACCCACTCAACGGTGATAGATAGAGTCCTGGCTCATCAGCCTCATGGTGAGCTGTCGGGTCCACGAGACTTTGTTAGACAGCAGCTGGAGGGTCGTCTTACCAGAAAAGCAGCGATACCCAACGCTGGGATAGGGAGAACCGTAGGCAAGGCTCGTGATGGTCTGGTGGAATCCGAATCAAATGAGGAATCAGCTTCCAGTTCGGATTGAACCTATGGTCAATGAGAATGACTCATTTTCCAGTTATTGATCCATTTCCTGCTGACGAACAGCAAATGTTTTTCTTTTCGTGAGTCAAGCTACGCCGTCACGGAGAATAGTTTTCTGGTATCTGTTTCGAGGCTGGTCTATACTGTCAGCCAAAAAACAGGTACTAAATCTATTAATCTATCAGATTTGAGGTTTTCTCGAGCCGACCACGGTGTCGAGTTGATCCACTCAATATGGGACGTTTATACTGCTATCATACTACTACCACTATCGATAGTGTATCAGGGGTGCCAAGCACCCGTGCTTTCCTCCCCGTTTTTCGACTATAAGAAAGTCTACCCTAGGAAGGAAAGCGCCCTTAGCCCAGGAAGGAGGGAATTTTCTACCACACTGCTCACTGGATCAGACTCAAGAACGGCTTTGATGCAATGAGTAACTCACTTTCAAATACACTTAGTGAACTGATCGCAGTCGTAGAGTTTGGTCGACCGTCGGTTAGTGATGAGATACTGGGAGGGTTATGCATCCAAGTCTGGGAAATCTCCAGGGCTTATAGGAGCACAGCAATTTTGAGGTTGTGGTATAAGGAGAAATTGCAAGCTGGAAACTAAAGAAAACACTCTTTGTGTCGCACTTGAGTAACGCAGACCTCCGTCGAGTAGAGATGAAAAGGCCCAGGTAGTCGATTGATTAATCACGGCCACCACCACCATCAACAACTTCGTACGAGGACAGACGGTAATCACTCGGTATCATCAATTTTCCTCCTCTTAGCATGTGGTACTTCTTCCTGCAATAATACACATGCTACATGCCTCTGACCAGTAAACCTAAACACTCACATTCTCATCGTCATCAGCCCCATCCTCCTCCTCTTCCTCCTCTTCCTGTTCTCCATCAACGTCTTCATCGTCGTCCTCAGAATCGCTCGTGTAGGCATCTTCATCATCCTCTGGCTCGGAGTCTTCGAAGAGTACCTCTTCTCCCTAAACATGCATTGGGTGATACTCGTCTAGCCATCGATAATAATACGTTTCTATCGTAACCGTCAAGCACTTGGAGATTCGGTAGTGCGTTGAGGAGGTCTTCACGATACGCTGCTTTTGCCATTTGCTCATCATTGTCAATGCCATCAACGGGGTTGCTGATGGAATTGGCTTACTCGAGTCATTTGTAGTGGCTTACTCGATCAAGTTGAGTATACGTATGTTCACAAGCTTGTGGAGAGGGATTAGAGCGTCCAGTTCAGCGAGTCTGATACAAACCTTCGACTCTCCCTCATCCTTAACACATACTTGTTATTTGCCAGGTGGAGCTCTTGCAAGGTCTCTTTCAAATTACCAAGAGCTTCGAGGGACTTCCTGTCCGAAAGATTGTTGGCTAAAAACAGCACATTGAAGTTCATCCATAGATTCACAGAGATCGTCTTGCTATAGCCGGGTGCATTAGGGCACAGTCTTACAGTTCAATTCGAGACGTTCTATCTTGGTGCCTTCTGGGAAGGGATGGTCAATGGCCCCCACTTGGCAGTTGTTAAGGGAGAGGAACCCCACATTGCAGTCCTTTAGAAAAGATAGATCCCCCAATACAGGAATCGATAGTCCATCTAGGATCACCTGCAATGAGCTTTAGGAGGGACTCGGAGTGTTTTCTGTGATGCTCGTACTTCTTCAAGTTTATCAAAGTGCGCAACATCCTGTTCCTTGGCATAGCGTTTGAATGCCTCTAAGAGTGAAGGTATTTGGGCTACCATGACAGGCAGAGAACGGTTGAGTTCAGTGACGGCCACAGAAAACGAAACTTACAATACGACAGAGCCTATTTGGGGTAAATTCAGATTTTCAAGGGAAATCGTGAATAGTCGCCTATTCGAAAGCACAGGATGTGTCACAACTTCAAAATATTGACAGAAAACTGGCCTCGGGTCGAATCGAACCTCGCTGGGCATTTGAACAGGCGTTCTCTGCTGCGCCAACAAATTGTTATCTTACAGTCGGTAGCCCCCGCACACGCGCTGTAGGGTTAGGATAGTTGGTCTGGATTCTCTCATTGCTTTGAGATGCTTCGCTCTACCGCTGTCGAGGATTGAGCTGGGAAGTCATTGGTAGAGACTCTCCAGTAAGGTTGGTTTACCTCACAACCCTGCCCCTCTCACACAGGCTTTCCAGAACTATTACCAACGACTGTACCCTTATCCACCCAATGTTGAACCCCGAAGCATCCATGACTTCTACTCCCTGTAGTTTCTCGCTCTATGTCCGCCACTACTAGTGATACGACTGCTACTCCGATGTTCACGGAGGTTCATGAGCCCACAACCTCAGTCCCGTTCGAGAACAGGGTTGCCTGGACCATTCGTGTCATGGACTACATCACCTTAGCCTTCTACAAGTCAGGCCTGCCTCCTCTGCATCAATGCAGCCATATAACTGTTATTCAGATACCGCATCTTGTGGGCAATACTCATGGCGGTCGTTGCTGTTGTCTTCTCCTATATTACTAACGGGGACGCTCTTGGATGGCTGCAACATAACAGTAACCGTCGCGGCATCTGTTGAACCCTATCGCGTGTTGATAGTGCTCCCATTACCCGGCCCCTCAGTGTTATTGCTCTAGTGTTCGCCGGTTTGTCTTCTCCGTCCAACGTCACTTCTTCTCTCAACGCAACG